ACAAAGTTTACAGAGCATCTCAAATGAAATAGCTGTTCCACTGAAACAGTTTATTTTGGCTCATTAAGAGGCTCTCTGGCTTAGTAAAGGAGTAACATTATTTCATCAGGGAGAAGCCCCTGGGGAAAATGGGCTTGGGCTTGATGATTGTAGAGAGCTAAACAAACACTCAAGGAGTCTTGTGTATTAACTAAAGAAGACAGTTTAATAAATTGTTGTGTGAACGTCAGAAAGCTTGTATTTAACTGCAGTGCTGGTGGATCTAACTAGTGCTGCTTTGGCTCAGAGGTAGAATCCCTTTTCTCTCAGTCAAAAGGTTGAGGGTTCGATTCCAGGCCCTGTTATCCACATGCCAAAAGGTCCTAGGGAAAGACACTTGCACCTTAAAGGGATATTCCTGCATGAAATTAATTTAAGGTCAAACGCACCGTAACACTGAGTTAGACACCCCCTCGAGAGATGACTGCTTGCTTCTCAAGTTATACCAACTTTAGTAACGACCGAACAATAGCAATACACAGCGGTCTGAGGAGCCACACACAAACCTCAACCAAAATGCCACTCTATAGCCACAAATAATGATCAGAACAGCACCTAACTTCATCAACAGTAAATATAGGGTCCTATCCACCAAACATCTTTTTAGCTTTGCCTGATTACTTTAGCAAAGAGACTAAACACAACTCACCCACTCTCTTCCAGCAGCCGCTTGTTTGTAGCGAGACCTCGGGCCAGTCCATTACAGACTGCTGCGGGGTGACGCAGCTCAAGGAAGAACATTTATGATCATTTCTTCATGGAAATGTAATCAGACTGAGACGCTAAGGCAGAAGAACTACCGCGTCTGCAATGCAAAATGATTAATATGATGATTATAACTTCAAGGAAATGATAAAGAAATGATCAAAGTTAAACAAAGTTAAAAAGATGTTTGGTGGATAGGACCCTATATGTACTATTGATGAAGTTAGGTGCTGTTCTGAGCATTATTTGTGGCTATAGAGTGGCGTTTTGGTTGAGGTTTGTTTATGGCTCCTCAGACCGCTGTGTAGAGAAGCAAGCGGTCGGCAACATTCATCTCTCGAGGGGGTGTCTAACTGTGTGTTTGACCCTAAAATTAATTTTACAACGGAATATCCCTTTAAAGCCTCTGCCATCAGTGTGTGAATGAGTGAATCTGTCATGTAAATGTAAATATCATGTAAAAGTGCTTGAAATGGTCAGAAGACCAGAGGTTGAGCTACATAAACAGCCTGTTGATGGTTTATTCCTTTTACATTTTGATTATGTAAAACTGAAATTAACCTCTAAGAAAACCAACCATTCTCAATCATTGCAAACTTTTTAAAAACTCATTCATGTTTTCACTCTTTTGTTCCTTCCTTTTCCGTCTTCATTCCTCTTCACCTTCTTAATTTGACCACCAGAGAAGGATGTCGCATTGAGAACGTTCAAAAGAATATTAGATGCAGGAAATACGCCTTCAACATGTTGCAGCTGATGGCCTTTCCTAAATGCTACCGACCACCAGAGGGGACGTACGGAAAAGTGGACTCGTGAGGATGTAACCCTCGTGTATGTGTCACTCATGTAGTCAGCATATAAACTGTAATGAAATTATTAAATGTTTTGTAGTGTAGGTAGCTCAAAACAGTTGCTGGATTTTACATATGCTGTTTGTCAAGTTTTTTGTTGCTCTGTCGTGTTTGCATGGGTTTGGAGGTTATGGGGTTAGGAGGTTTTGGAGGGTGGTCTTATGGGATCACAGAATCCTGAGCTGGACTTGCTAAAATTATATATTTTAAAAAAACAACAGCACTTTCTTCTTTGCCTTCTTTGTTTTTTTTGGCCACTGCATCGCCAAACTGAACCACCGTGTGCCTGAACCAGAGCAAGTAGGTCATTTCTTTGGTTGGTGGTTTTACAATATATTGATTTCTCTGGAAATATTTTGAAAGATCTCAGTGATATCGACCTTAAGTTCAGTATTTTGTGTGCCTGAACACCTTTGTGCAGAAATTATGTATTCCTAAAAGAGATTTATAAATGACAGAACGGTTAACGGAAACTTTTGGGTCTAGATTTAAGATTTTTTGCGCTACAGTGAGGATTTTGGATCATCATTTTCAAATGACATACAAGGAAGTTGTGTTTTTTTGTATACATACATGATTTTATATTTCAACGGTTGCCACCTCTGAGGTAAATGCATGTATTGAGTCACGCATCACACAAAGATTCATTTTAATAGCTGATGCAGCTGTATTGGCTGACTCAGGAAGGCTTTCAGAAGCTAAATACAGGCTGGTTGTTGACCTTTGAGTCAGGCTAGTTTATCCTGACATGCTGTTCCCATAGTCAGATCTAAACTTCCACGCCACATTGCTTTCTGTGGTGTAAACACTCGCCCCGCTGTAAAAATAATCCTCACTCAGTGTTTGGATGTTGTGAAAGTGTGTCCTGCCTTCCTGAGTAAACAAGTCCAGACTTAACCTGCATCATTTAGGTCAGAATTTACTAATTCGGACTGTCCTCTCTCAAAGGTTGCAAAAAGGAATTTTTAAAAAGATTTTCTGAATCCATTTCCTTTTAACATCTCATCCTGCTCTCATTCTAGTAGCGCTTCACTATCATTTGAAGGTACAGGTTAGTGAAACCCCCGTGATGTACAGATGGAAGAAGAATAAAATGAGGATTATGGACCACCATTTTTGAGTGATATGAATAAAATGATATTTATTTTTATATTCCTACATGGTTTTATGTTTCAAGGGTCAACACCTTGGAATTAGATACATGTTTTGTGTCACATAATGGACAAATATTAATGTATATCTGTAATAAAAGAAAGTTTTAATCTCAACATTTGTTATTATATTTTTGTAAGTGTTATCTGTTGGATCCATGAGGAGTTTGCAGCTGATTTTGTACCACTTTATGACCTACAAAAACAAACAAGACCACCGGTGAGAAAATGTCCAAACAGCCATTTCTAAAGGTCCTTACACGCCAGCGAATTTGCGGAACGAATCGAAAAAGCTAGAGGAAAATGCGAAAATATTTGCCGCTCCGAAAAATCGCTTTCGCTTATACACACCGTGCGACCACTCTGTGGTACACACTCTCTCCCATCGTTGCTTTTGGTGCCAGTGGTGGTGTGTGTTGTGTGAACTGCAGCCGCATGGGTCTGTGACGTCATCAACAACGTGACTTTTGATTGGCCAGAGATCTAGCAGGTCCAGATATTCGCCTGCGAATCTCCGAAAAATTCTACACAAGCGAAAAAAGAAAAGACGCTTTTCGCCCCGCGGAAAAACCACTGCCGGTGTGAAAGCTTGCATTGACTTTATGCTCTTTTAAAAAAAGGCAAATAAAGGCGACTAATTCGCTTGGCAAATAATTCGCCTGGCGAATTCGCGCCTGGTGTGCAAGGACCTTAAAACTCCTGTGAGGAACTTTCACTTTGTGTCCCACTTGGCACCTCCTGTGGACAACACAGTCCTAGCTTATCTCATCTTGTCTACTTACTTAAACAGTATCTTCTGTGAAAACTCTCATCCTTCTGACTTTTGACAGTCAAATGTTTCACTTATTCGAAATATTCTAGATGAAAATTGTAAAAACTGGGCCGTTTCTTCAGGTGCTTAGCCGACACCTACACCCCTCTTACCAGTTTCAGGCATCGATACAAAATGACGATATAAAACACTCAGTCTCGTCACTGATGGTCTTGCTTGTTTTTTATATCTTTAAAAGTGTTCATGTGAATTTCAGCCTCTAAAACTGATGTCAAAAAGCTCCTTACGAGAGTTTTCACCTCTGAAACTGCCACAGTGGGGTAGGTGTTAGAAGTGATCAATATATGAAGAGAGCTTTATTGTACTATTATGATCTATGGCTAAGAATCCTAATGAGGGATATGTTCACAGAAATGACCCGGATTATCCTCAAGAAGATGTTCAAAAGTTTCTCCTCTCATCCATCACTTTGTTTTCGGACTTGTTAAATAAATGTGTTCTACAAGATACGACATGCTGATCCTCGAATCACAGTGAGTGTACGGTTCACATACTCTGGATTCTTTGGGTAGTCTGTCAACCTCAGGCTAGAGCTAAACACAACCTCTGAGGTTTAATCCCTCTGTGGTTTCCTCTTTTACTGACCGTTAGCTTTCCCTACTTCCCCTTTCCTACTGGCCAAAAGACATGATGTTGCAATACAGGAATGCGATCAGCCATCATTACCGCAAAATGTTACGACATTTTTGATTGAGAAATTTTAGGATAAGCCACTCCTCCATTAGTTAAGTCAATAAAGGTAAGTTTATGTTCCAACCTGTAGCCGTGTTGTGGGTCTAGGTCTGGAGCTTTTTCATTTAAAGACCAGGAAAGTTTAACCCTTGAGAAGATCTATCAGAGCAGTGTTTTTGTTTTTCTCATGCATCAGGGTATTATATCAAGCAGCCCTCTTTACTGTTGTGCAGTTATGTATGAATTTACTCAGCTGACAGGTAGGTGCATATTAGCTGTTTGCTAGGACGTCTAACTCCACCTCAGACACTCCTTTTAGATACTTTTGAAGTTAGTTTACAATGAGGTAGGGTGAGCATTTCCAGTATGATGACCACCATCATTCAGCTTTATAATATGATTTTTAAATGATATTAAAGATCAGCGGGTTATCTTGACCTCAGTGGTCAGGTGGGGACATTAGTGTTACATAAATTTAGTCCACTAGTGCAGCAGAGGCGCATATGTAAGGAGACAAGACCAGAACACGTGGAAAAAAAACTAAGGTCAACTTTTGCACGTCAGCAATGATGCAGCTGTAAATTCCTGTGAGTACGAGGGTCCACAGAGCCTTCAAGATCAGCTTCACTTCTGGGTCAATAGTTTCCTCATATTGTCAGGAAAAACATGCATGTATCAAGAGGTGGTTTTCTTCCTCATACTGACGATTACCTGTGTGAGTTCACAGACAGATGGAATAAACATAAAGAATGACTCTTGTGTTGAAGAATTTACTGGAGTGACAAAGTATTCAGAGGATATCTCAGGATGGAGTTTATACTGTATAATACATGTTACATTCAATACTGTTAAGCAGGTAGCTTGTTAACGCACACAGTGTATTGTGATTATTACAGTACATGCTACTGGTTTAAGTTTCTCCCTACTGCACCTTTAAACTCTGTGAGGCAGATGAAGACACTCAATGACTGAGTGACTTTATGTGTTTAGTTAATCAGAGAATAGGCTGAGAAGTTACTCTGTACATTCAAACTGTTACAGTATATTCAACATTCACTTAAGGGTCCACAGGGCGGCATAGTTTATCATAGTTTGACATAGTTAAAATGTGATATTTACAAAGTAAAAAAACATTATCCTTCACATATCTACATATTCACATAGCTTATGATTTTACATCATTTCACGTGCCTTGGACATTTCTCATTAGAGTTAATTCTTTCAAAAGTTTACTAAGTTGCTCTATGAATATGGTAATATTTTTTAATGGGTACGCTTCACATGGTGGACAGCCAACCTGCAATTCAAGAGAGACACATTAAAGATTACATCATAAATCAAATGAACAAAGAATAGTCATGTCTCTTTGGTAATAATGGAGGAAGAGCATCTGCTTTATCTTTTGAGGACCATGACAGGGATTGAAGTGTAATGAAAAGGTTTAGGATACAGTGTTCTTCATATCTGTGTTAACAGCAGTGTATCAGCAGGTTAGCAAGCACAGGGTTTAGCGGACTAAGACAGCAAATTCCTTAAAATGCAAACTCTTAAATTAGGATTTTGTAAACAGGACTTACATAAGTAGCTTCAGGAGGCAAGATGTCATAAAAATCAAAGATGCAGTCGGATCTTTCATCCATAATTTCTTCTTCAACAGTTACCATTTTCAGCTCCAACATGTAACATTGCAGCGACATCATCTTACAGTCTTTCTAGAATGGAGAGAAAAGCCTAAGTCACAAATTTAGGATTTTGTTCCCAAATTAAGATGCAGTTTTTGACTTGGACTTAGCCTTTTTTTTTAATACTGCTAGTGCTCTGCACACAAGACAATAACTGTACAGTTAATAAAAAGATTGTTAATGTTGGTAGTGCTTGGTTAGATTATTTACTCCTAGATTTAAAAATCAAACAATGATTTAAATCATTAACTAACTAGTTCATTCCTTTTATTAGTACATTAATTATTATTATTATATAATGGCAACAAACCAAAAAGGCCATCACATATTTTCATGACTTACTTTAACATCAGCAGATGATGGAGCATATAGCATAGCATCAGAATTCTGAAAAGTGTGAGAAAAGAAAAAAAAAAGCTGTTATTTAAAAGAAAAGATGGTGAATACTCCTTTTCTTTAACTACTGACAAAAAGTAATTAGTCCAGCTGAGCTTTTTCCCTCCAGTTTTACTAATTAAAAATAAAGGCAGAGATAATAAATTGCTCATGAAAACTCTCACCGGCTCTTTTTCTCTAAAGGATTAAAACATTTCAGATCAGACTGGATCACCATGTCTGTTTTTCTCACTTGCCTGTCAAAGCCTCCATAATCAACAGAATATTATTCACAACATCAGGTACAAGAAAGGTTTAACAAGTGTTGAATATAAGCCAAAGTCAATTCATTTGATACCTTCTCTCACCTGAATGTAGGGTTTTAATCTGTCCAAGCAAATCTGTAAATGTGTTATGTCTCGCACAGAAACAGCAGAGGAGCATGAACTCAAGAGGCTATAAAAGAAAAAAAGAGACAATAATTATGATACATGTCACACAGAGAGGATTATTGATTTGATGTTTGCATGATAACATGCCTTCATAATGAAACATTTCTTCATTTTTTTCTTTACTGAATGTTTTTCCTCATCCAAATGGAAGGCCCAAGGACCTTAGAAGTGTGTATAATGCTCAACTGATCTTTGAGCCCCTTCAGGATTTTTAATGAGCTGCAGTGGACATAAAAGACTTCAATATGGACATATAAACATGCATATTTAAATGAGGCATGATCACTCACTGCAATTAACTTAACTCAGTTTGTTATCAGTTAACAAACTGATTCCTCACTGATAGATGATATATAAAATTATAAAGCTTAGTCATTAGATTATTCATTACTTATGCAATTCTACACTAATGAACTTTGAACATATGACCGATAAACTTGATATGATACACTTTAAACAAAACGTCGAAGAACAATGAACCAAGTCTGACTTTACTTGTGTCGTGTTCACTCAGTGTTTACTTTCTAGCTTTGTTACTGATCGTCTCAATGTTTTCCCTCTAAGTCATACAAATCAATATGTAACTAAAAGCAAACAAGTCACACCTTTATGCCTACCTCAGAATTAAGAAACAAAGCCAGACCTGAGTTTTGTGGCTTTCTGAACACAGGTTACAGGCCAACTGGAACTGGATGCATTTCTAGAAATAAGATACGTAAATATCAGTGTATCATCCTGCAGGTTCTTCTGTCAAGCTCTGATGAGTGCTGAGACAACAAAAAAATACTCGTCAATATGGTCAGTTTTACATTTATTTTTGGAATGAATTCATTTTACAGTTATCAATAAAAACACATATTTGTATTATTGAGTATTGGGGTGAAATATTTGTGCTTTTAACCCACAATTATAGAACCTAAGCTTTCCTTGTGTTGGACAGAGAAAGACATATAAATACAAAACTTTGAATACATACTGTGACATTATACAAAAAATAAAAATATTCAAATATATCCAGGATATAGACAGCATACAAAATCTGAAAGGTTGAATGTGGAAAAGTTGACATTCATACCGTCAACCATACATTCACACACCTTTGAGCCATTTCGTTTGTTTGTTTGTTTGTTTAATCTAACCTTTCTTTAACCAGATAAGAACCCATTGAGGCCCGAGATCTTTTTCACAAGCGTTACCTGGCCAATAATAATACTTATAGTTTTGTGAACAACAACAATAGCTGTAAATGATATCACAGACTCTGTGACATGCTGGGTTAACACAGGACCACATTAAGTGTTGACTTCTTCTCCTAAAAAAAGACCTCCGCAGGAAGTCATCCCCACTTGTGGCCATCTAACTTTACCCCTCAGCTTATAACTCAACTGTTATTTATTAACTACCACAACCTGAAATCTGAACTGGACATCTAATGGTGTCATAGAGTTTCGCTTTGCCTGAAGCTCAAATGAACCAGTAAGGAGAGACTGTACTTGATTTTCTGAGTAATTTAACTCGTTCAGGCTGGTCAGTTTGCTGGAAACTAGGACGTAAGCAGCTCAGGAACATCTTTACTGTTACTCAAGCAAAAGCTGAGCCGGGGGCTGTGTTAGGGTGATTTTCTTTAGCCAGTCATGTCAGCCTTTAGAGAGGTGGAGCTGTGTCACTCAAATACCTCAGATACTTTGGTGCTAGATTTCTGGAGCCATGGGCCCCCAACAACCATCCTCAACAAGGACCTTGTACCCATGTTCAACATCACCCAGGCTCCCAAAATGTGTTGTGCTTTGTTATTACCCTACATGGACTCTCCTTCAGGTCAACAAGATGCAAGCGGAATGTTTGGAAACATGGGCGGCTATATATACCTGAACAGTCTCAGACCAGTCTTTGTTACACTTGTGTTACAATTGTGGCATGATGAAGCTGTAACCCAGATCTGCAACCAGTAAAGCTCGTCAAAATGATAATTCGTGTGGATCTTCCACTTTTTAAAGTATGAACATGGGCTACGCATCCTTACAGGCTGTGTTATGTCTTCAAGAAGTTTTCAGAGACAGAAGGGATCTCTTCACTTCAGAGAGACCCAGACCAGACTTCAATTAGCAACACTGTACGGATGGGTACATTAAGGGAACCACCAAGTTTATTAGTAGTTAAGGAGGCTGAGTCAAACTGGACCAGCAAGGGTTTGACACCTCACTGTGCAACTGGTCGCTGGTTATAACTCTTAAAATACTCTAAAATAGTAGATGACTTTTTGAGACATTACAAATGAGACGACAGACAAACTAATTTCCCCTTTGGGATAAATAAATTTATTCTAATTCTTAAATATATTCACAGACACAGTGGACATCAGGGTAGACCACTCTTCCAATGTATTACACCTTTTTCTATTGTCATTTTTTGTATTTTTAAAATATTCGCTGTATTTTTGCACCGTGGGCTAGAGAGGAACTTCTTTTCAAATTCCTGCATATGGCAGAAATTGACAATACACAGCTTGACTCTTGAATGTACTAGAATAGAAGATTTCCAAGAGGCGTGTTTAAATAGTTTGCTCTATTCTTTCTGGGTTTTTTTTTTCTTAATAAACGACTGAGAATAACATCACATCAAGCTGAGAGACTGTGAAATTATCTATAGTTAGAATTACTTGTATCACTTTTTTTCCACCATATTTTCATTTGGCAGGCCAAGATGTCATTTCTTTAAAAATACGAGCGAGGGAGGATATGTCACAAACATCCACCCCTAAAGAATAATAGTGGAAGATCTTTATATGCATGTTGTTAAACTTATCAGTGATTGATGCAATGAAAGCCTCCTAATTGTCTTAATCTTAATCTGAACACAATTAAATCATCATTTATATGGAGTAAAGTGACAAATGCGGTGAACTGTGAAGTCTTGTAAAAGCTGTTGAGGTTTTCCACTCTGAGTGTTACAGGATCATAGTCTACCAGCACCTCAACCATGTCACTGTCCCAGATTCACTGCTGTGTGTCTAACAGGTTGTTTTACTTCATGTAAGAATGGCTGTACAGTAAGTGCTGCTTTTGTTGGTCCCTGAAGTGACCAGTGAGTTAACACAAACATCAACTTTGATATCAGGCTCATGTTTAATCAAGCTCATATGAATATGTGCTGGTTCCAGTTCTGGTAATTCAATTTCTTTAGATCATAAATGTTGTTAGAAAAAAGGCTATTTATTTATACTTTCTGACATTTGACAAATCACTGAGTTATTCGACTGAGTCATAAGAACTAGTATATTAGCAACCTGTGAACACAGCTAATCCTGTAGCCTCCAGTACGGGACATTTTCAATCAAAAAGCCCTGAAGTCAGTGTTTTTTTTTAATTATTATTATTATTGTGCAGGCTGTTACCCAGTCTGTCTGGTCTACAGTATACACCATGTCCTATTAACTACCAGCCAGGCACACCTAACTCTTGTGTAAAGTTGGCTTTCATTCAGATTTTACCAAAATGAGTCGTGCTGTACCTGCTTCAGGGCAGAATGGAACAAAATACAACTGCAACCTACCACAGATAAAACGGTCAGGGTCCAGATCCAGACTCAAAAACTTCTTGGCGACAGTCATTAATTTTGAATATTTTAGGTGACACTCTGATTTCTCAGGACAACCTGATTAAGATTGACAATCTGGTTAAAAGAAAAAAAAAACCTCTCTGAGAGCATCAGCAGACAATGTGGGTCAATTTTAGTATCACTCTCAATTTCCTTGGAGAGTGGTTAATGGACGACTAGTGATCAACACAGTGAGGAAGGGAGGAGGAAAACAGTACAGAAATCAACGATATTAGCAGGTAGTCAAAACAAACAAGGAGCTGAGTTACACAGACGTCAAACACACTGAAAAAAACACACACATAGCAACCAAAAACTACATCACAGGGAGAAGACAACAGTCAAGGGGGACTATCATGCCTGGTGCCTTCTTAGGACTATCAACAAAATGAGGCCAGAGTTTAAACTCTATGATAAAATACAATATCCAGTTTGAGGTTCTGAACCAATAAAATGATCTGTAGATAAATACTAAATGTGTTACAGCACTGCAAATATGAAGGTATTTTTGGTGCAAAAGGTTTGTGCTTCAGTAACATGTAACTTGTAGTTGTGTACAGTGATTGTGTTTGTGTATTAGTAAATGTGAAATCCCAACTCTATGAGTTGTGTACTTGTAGATTTGCGCAAGCGGTTGTAATTATCGATTTGCATTTGTGTTTTAAAACAACACAACTACTTTCGTAAAAGCTTATTGTACATAAATGTAACATTTTTTTGCACAAGTTCACATAGAGATGTGCACATATTCAAATTTTGTCCACAACTTCACATGGTTCCAAACAGTAACACAAATATGTTTTGCACCAAATATGCTGCAACAATTGGAGCAAAAATGTGAGCGTGTAAGGGTCTAAATCTGTGACTTGTAAAAAAGGATTTGTAATTAAGAATTTGTGAATGTGTAAATGTTGTGTTGTACTCCTGGAAATAAAAAAAAAAATCAACAAATACACACACGAAAAAAAAACCAACTCATAGAGTGTGGATTACACATTTAGGGGAGACCGGGGCTTGTTGTCACACGGGTAAGTCATCACATTGCAATAATCTTTGCCACCAGAGGGCGCAACTACAAAGTGGAATACTAGTTTTCTTCCTTTACATGGTCAGGGGTCGTGTCCTGTCTGAGAAGAGGAGAGCACCTTGTGAGCTGAGTTGAGCGCCAATTAACCATTTCGCACAACCCAAGGTAGAAAAAGTGAACCTTATATATTTTAAAATAAGCTTCTTCCAGATAAAAATCCGAGCAGTGATACATGTGGACTTGTTAGACGAGAGATTAAGGCATCTGTCATACCTCAGACATTGTTCTGTTTTAAACTAACTTTGAGCTGGAGCTAGAATTAGCAAACATGGAAGTTTGGCCAACATGTCTCAGTCATTTTGGGGTTAGTTGTCACATTTTAAAACAGATTAAAATAACATTCAGAGTCTGCTTATCAGCAGTTGTCATAATTAAATTTTGACTTTATTTTTACAGAGAAAAGAGTGGTTTAAAGGAGAGGAGAAAGCGAGAAGACATGGTCAGGATTTACAAAAGAAAAACAGAACATGGCAGTGCAGTACCTGACGTGATGCTGAGGGCAGTCAGGCAGGTGATGCTAGCTAATAAATCAATCTGGAGTACAATAAAGGACTTTAATGTCAACTATTATAAAACATTCACCCCAGCTGAAATACAGAGTCAGACAGCTCTCCAAACTCCAGAGCATGTTGCATAATATTTGATGTAAACGTTTGTTCAATGACTTTTTCTAGCTCAATGATAAACGTTTTCTGTGCCTGACAAGAACAATAATTTTGTCCTTGTTTTATTACCTGCAAAATCCACTGTGACATCTTACCCCATATAGTGAGACAACTTACCCGATGGTGGGGCAACATGTCACATATTCACACTTTCTATTTGATTGCTTATAAATCTGCACTGACACAAGATACGAAAATGACATGAATACAAAATATATACCTGAGACTTTGCTCTTTTGTGCGGTACACATTTTGTTTATATATGATGTATTGATTTCAAGAAATATATGAGTGTAAAAAGTGTGACAACAAGCCCCGGTCTCCCCTACTAATACACATACACAATCACTGTACACAACTGCAAATTACATGTTACAGATGCACAAACCTTTTGCACCAAAAATACCTGCATATGCAAATCCCTCACTGTCCGAGTGGTGAATTTTGGATGTAGGTTAAATTTTGAGTGTGTTCATCTCCGGACATTAAACACACATGGGTGTGGAGGCTCAGGGGACTTGTAGGCTGCAGGTCAGGGACACCGGACCTTTCCAAACAGAAGGAGGAGCCCGAGCCCGGACAATAATACGTCCAGTCTGGAACTAACCGAAAGTGAAACTAAACCAACACCCGTTCAGTTTGGTGTTTTCACCAAATCATTGGTGCGTGGTTTCACGCCAGATTAAACAGCCTATCCACGCATGACCCACGTGCATCATGACGTTGACACACCTCTGATCATTACTCAGTATTTATGTCCTGGACTTTGGCACTTTCCCGTCACTTCAAGTGAAACTGTGTTCTTGTTCTCCTGCTACGAGTCCAAAACCTCAGACAGTGAGGCTCCGGGTCGGTCGCACACCCCTTAAGACACACGCAGAAAGAAGAAGAAGAAGAAGAAGGACTCACCGTGTTCCGATCTCCGGGGTATGTGGACTTGACGAGGATCACTGGGGGCGCCGTCATGAAGTCTGTCATCTGCGCAGCAGGGCTTGCTGTCCCTCCCAGCGGAGATCACATTTTTGCATTTCACTTCCTCTGGCAGTGCTCCTTATTAGTCTCCTTGATCCGTGTCCATTTCCATCTACACCTGAGACGAACGCGGTCAAGATTTCTCTCCACAGACACACACACACTCACTCACACACTCACTCTCACTCACACACACACACACACACACACGCCCTGCCGCCGAGGTTCACTCCTCCTCTGATGTCACTTTGTTACTCACCAGTACGTGTCAAGGCAGCTATGGACTTTTTAATCTCTCCGTTTGCAGGCACGTGTAGGCAGACTTTCGAAAGAGCCCTGGTTATGTCAAAATGCTCCAGAGGGTTGTTTTAGATTATTTAACAGCATGTTTAAAAATTAACCCCTTAACGAAGCAGGCTGATTAAGAGTGAGGGGAGGAGTGTGCAGAAGCTGTTTGGACACTGAAGTGGATCAAACTCATACAACGAGCTGCAGTAGCCTACAATAAACCCACCATGGTCTTAACTTAGATCTAGACTTTCATATACAAGAGCATAGAATGACAAAGACTTTCAAAATATCATATAAATAATATTAGAAATGATGAATGGTTATTTCACACTTACAGAAGTTATATATTCATATTTCTACTCTGAATGATTGTAAACTGATACAGCTTTAACAAATCAAATGCTTGGATGGCTTTGACACTCTGTTCACAAGATCTCAAAGGACATCAGGAAACAGTCTTTTGACATACAGATAGGGGAGAGTGGGGTAAGATGAGCCATTTTTCATATTTAGGATCACTACATCAAGTCAATCATAGTTTTGGCTCTAATTAGTGTATCTGTATATATTTCAAGATGTTGTTCATCCCTGCAAACCAACAGAATGAGTGTAACCATAACTGTCTTGATAATATAGCATGCTGAAAAAAAGTGGTCTCCTATGGTCAACTTACCCTGTGTATGGGGTAAATTGACCGTATCCCTACAACCCCCCACTCTCCACCCCAGCCCTCCCTCACCTTCTCTCTCCCTAAATAACAGTCTCTTCTTCACATTCATGTGTATTTTTATCTATTATACCCTTTTCAACTAGTGCAATAATTCTTTTATTATCGCATATAACTGCTAAAAAGCTGTTTTGTAAAGACATTTTAACATGAGAACGTCTTTAAGTGATTCAGAACATTCACAGCTGTATTTGTGAAAAGAAAAAGTAAAACATTTCAACAATCTGAACTGAAACTCTGATCCTCTCATCAGACTCCTTCACTTTATCTGTTGAGTCACTGGCTCAAATTACCCCTGAACTACTATAATGACTTTATTAGTCCTTTACGCTAAAATTGTGGACTTTTATGTTGGTTTTTGACCTCATGTTGTAGCTCATAGATACCACAATTGATGAGAAAACAAATTTAAAATGATCTTTTTTGGTCTGAACACAATTCTAATCAAACTTTTGACAGACTTAATTCACTTTCAAGAGTGAAAAATGTTTTTTTGTAAATAAATGTCTAACCCCTTCACCCATGTGCTTCTAACCTTCACAGACTCCATGAATTGATGCCCATCTCCTAAATATTTGGTCACATGATATATTTCTTCTACCATTTCCAAGCAACAGGAGGTGGCTCAACTTACCCCACTCTCCCCTAAATGAAAGTGCAGTTCATCCATGCTGTTTCATTAGACTCATGCTATCACTTGTCCAAATAAGGTCTTTGAATAGAGTATGATAAAGATTATTATCTTTAATCAAATATTTACCAGAATATAATTAAGACCACACTGCTGTTCTAACTGCATTTACAGAGTTGGCTTGTCTACAACCATGTTTTTTTCTGTGAGCACCTAGTTTTTTCTTTATTTTTCATCTGTAGATATATATATAATGTTGTTGTTTTTTAGTTTTTTTACCTTGACTGATTTATTTCAATGAATTTAAATTCTTGACTTGAGATCCCTGTGCCAACTGGATGGAAAAATAGTGTGGATGTACTCAAAGCAGTGCGGGTAAGATAGAAATCCTATTACCACTTACCACATACCTAAAGTCGACTGTGACATTGGATTCTGCAATTCTGTATTAAGCAATATAGAAAATAATGCAAAGAATGATTTTAAAACAGATCTAGGTAGAAGGAAAACCCTGGAAAAGCTTCTACAACTTATTGATTTTTATTTTGTATTATCATCATTCTTACATATGTTTATAATTTTATGTTTAATGAGAGGTCCTGTGAAACGACAGCTGGCTTTGCCTCTTGGCTTTTCTGGAAAGCAAATAAGAAGCAATCACTCAATGATTGATTCCAATTTTTGATCGGTGAACTGTTGATTTTAATAGAGATGATGAGCATTTCATTTCACTGGTTACTTTTACAGCTGGCTGCAGGTTTTGCCTAGTTTCCACAATGTGAAGTTTTCAGAAAGACCAGGGAGATATTTTATAGTCTCCACACTCAGCTTGAGTTTGTCCAACATGATTCCTGAATTCTCCCTGTTGTGTCCTAATACACTCCTGGGCTGTAACATGTGAATCTCCACTGAGGATCTCCAAGATCTGTGGCACTGCTCAGTCTCTGCCCAGACTCAGGCAACCCCGTCCACTTTTAAACCAGCCATTGAATCAGCAGCCTTTTCCACTTCCCCCTCCTCTTTCTCCTCTTCATCATCATCATCCTCTTCCTCGTCCTCCTCATAGTCATCCTCCTCATCCTCATCTTCCTCATAGTCATCATCCCCTCCGTACTGATCTTGTTGGTTTCCACCTCCAGATGCTAGGTTCTTCCAGTAAGCGTCATACCCAGATGCTCCATCATAATCGTCATCATCATCATCAACCCCAGCCTGGCGACCAAATTTCAGCGTGCGAGCTGCAAAGAACACACAGGTATTTCGTTTTTAACTACTTTGTAGTTCCAAGTTATTTCATGATCTATTAGAAAGTTCAAACCAGCTTCAGTCTAAGCCTGGCATTATATTTAAGTCTGTTTGAAGCATCTGTTTACCTTCTTTTTGAAGAAATATTTCACACCCACAGAATTTAAATATTCTATAAAAACTTCATATGGAACTTCAGTTTTTGATTGATCACACTTTTGTTAATATTTGAGGGATTGGATGCTTTAAAGCTTAGTTATATGTCATCACAAAGTGACAGGGCAGAGGATGGGAAGGAGCAGCAGTAGTAATTGTAGTCGTAGTTGTAGTAACAGTAATGTGCAAATGGCCATAGCTTTATATCCTACTTTGTGTATGTAAACATTTAATTTATCTTAAGTTTTATCATATCATTATTCTTTTCATATATATATATATATATTGCATTTTTATTTCTCACTTATTGATCATTCTTGGTTTTCTAATACTGATGCTATTAGAATCTTAATTTCCTCGTGGGAACCTTTCCAAAAGGATCAATAAAGTCTATCTAATCTACTAGTGGTCATAGTGGCTGGTCAGGAAGCAATTTAAAATCAAAGAAGTGGTTAGGTAGTAAATTTTATAGATTAAAGTCCATGTTAATAATCAGAACAGTAAGATCAATACATTACCTCATCGTATAATGTAATTAAACAGAAGGAGAAACTGTCTGAGTAGATCTTACATTGTTAGTTTCAGGACGTTTTGAGAGGGAAACTTCAAGCTGGTCAACAATAACGTGTTTTATGGGATCAAATTGAACATGGATTAAATGATGGCATCATCAAAGATGTTGCGCAGTTAGAAAAAATCCAACGAACTGTAATGACACACGTGTTGGCAGGAAATTAAAGGACGTTCGTCCCTCTTCCTTTTCCCCTTTAAATCTCCATCTCAGCAGCAGCCAACTTCCTCCAATCTGCAGATTTACGGGAAACTGCAGCTTTTTTCAGTTTGCTCTATGCTTGCTTGTGTGTGTGTGTGTGTGTGTGTGTGTGTGTGTGTGTGTGTGTGTGTGTGTGTGTGTGTGTGTGTGTGTGTGTGTGTGTGTGTGTGTGCGTGCGTGCGTGCGTGTGTGTGTGTGTGTGTGTGTGTGCACCACTCACTGGACATGCTGAGGTCTTTGGTCTCCTGGGTCTCGTGACCACACTTAGGGCAGGGTGGAGCTTTGCCTTTTTCCTGTTTGAAGACCTTACTCTTGGCATGGTCATCACAGTAACAGGCCTGAGAGAGGGCAGGGGTGAAGGAGTTCATGACATGATAATGTTAGTACCACATATTGTATCATGACACAGTTAGTTTAGTTGTACTTAGGCAGACAAGAGTGACATTCAGCAACTGTTCAGGCTTGTTTAAACAAATTCACACATGATAAATCACTGTCATCATTTTCTCTGAACTGCAGGCTCTTTTCTTCCCAATGTCGTGTCTAAATGTAGTTAGTTTAAAATCAAAGATTACAAAAATACTCTCTTCTTTTAAAGCTTGAGAGACAGCTCATTTTATGGTCTGTACAACAGCAGCAGTGCATATGTAACTGTTCGGAGCATTGGCAGTCACTTCTTTCTGTCAGAGCCTCTGTGATTTACAAACTCCAAAACAAAAGTTTGCAAACATGTACATCACATACATTTTCACATAAGACATTCTTGTAGCAATTCAGAAGTTAAACTTACAACCCAGTGGTCTTATACATGTTCTTTTTTTTGTCCATTTGCCTCTTTCTATTAGTATCTTATTTCTTCAGCCTCTTTGCTATCCATTTCCTGACCATTTGCTTAACAAGCACTGTAAGTTGTCCAGCTAAGAGGATTATGCTGTGTCAAATACTCAACCCAACTGTTTCTGTATTTATTGATGCAGAGAGCCTCATCATTCATGTCTGCAGCTTCTTGTCCTGAGTTTTCACTATGAGTATTTGTGGATTTTTTAAAAATAATATAAGTAGTAAAGTATCCACAGTTTATTTTACTCTGGCTTGTAGCACATGCCAATTCAGTATTGCCAACAAAAATGGAAGTTTTTTAGGTTACTGGGTACATATTGGTACATAAATATGTGATAAGTTTACATATAGCTAATCCTTGAACTCTAGTAACAATACAAATCCTGTAACACTTTAGACACTATGTAGACTTCTATAGGTAAAGTGCAGCCTGCCTTGCAGAGGGAGGGAAACAAAACCAACCTTTGTGCCATTTGTGCCGACCTCATTCATTCTGAGAGTCCATTTTTTTGTCTTCTTGGAGCACTTTACTAAATTTGCTGTGATTTCTTTTCTAATCATCAGCTGCAATAACACATTTTCTGCTCACCAGGAATATTTCTTGTTTTGGGTTAAGTACATGCACAGTTGAATTAAAAGAAGGACTATATAGTTTGACTTTAATCTTTTCAGTTGTGAGATGTGTTTGCAGTTGTTTACAGAGGAAACCATTGATGATGAGGACAAGATGCTCATGGACAAGATGCCCATGGGATGCATAGAAAGTATAATCATCATTGATATAGATCTGTAGAAATTCTTCTATGCACAACACCACTCCCATCTCCCAAACTGTGTATCTGACACAGCCATTATGATGATAGGACGGGTGTAGTTTATATGGAAATATTTTGTTCACTCTCGAAGCAGATAAAGACTTTTTTTAAATCTCTGCCTACCTTACAGCGCAGGCAGGAGTGTTGTCCCAGTCTATTACAGGAAATGCCTAAATTGGAAAATGAGCAAAAACAAACATCATGTTGTTTTTTTCCGCACAAATAACCCTGCAGATTTAAGTGTGTGGGATGAAGATACATTTTACTTTCTATTAACCACAAAACTGACATTGTAAAAGGAAAACTAGGTGACTCACATTTGAATGTTTCTGCCTGAAGGACTTGGCAGCTTGCCTGGTGTTCAAACTGATCATCCTCACACAAGAAGTTCTGACAAAAAGAGCAGCGGAAGATTCTCCCTCCTGTTCAAGAAGTTCACAGTCACTGAGAATGCGAAATGTGACACAGACGTAATCCTCTATTGTGTCTCTTTTAAAAAGGGGATGGGAATCTCACCATGTTCCCAAACACTGCGTTCACACTCAATACAGTCTGCATCAGTCAGTGGACACACACAGGCATGGGTGCTCAGGCATTTCCTGCCGTGGCACACCCAAGCTTCACAGAAGTCACACACCGCCCCCTAGTCACGCAGAAGAAAAGTACAAAGAAGAAAAGTTTGAATTAACATTTCACCGAAGAAACCATGTACATACAAACTGAAATAAAAATTACATGCAAAGGAGGAGGAAATCAACAAATAAAAAATAGTGTAGTTAAGAAGTGAACCAGCAGGTTATTTTAAACATTGCTCTTTCATGATAATGTCTTATCAAGCACGTGTGACACTGTTGTAACTCACCACCATGGCCATCCCAGTTGTGTGGATCCCAGGGTGTTTGATGACACAATCTGATGACTTCATGCATTTAGTTTTGCCTGACAAAACAAAACAAATGACATTCTCATTACATCAACTTTTAAAAGGATTCTATATTTATCAGCAAGAATCATTACAGGTTTTGAAGTCACTGTGTCGGGTATTTTGATGTGATTTTATGACTATTTTAAAAGGTACAGAGTGTAGAGCGGAAATTTTTTGCGACATCTTATGGTTGAATTACCTCATTCATAACACTCAAGGAGTGACAGTGGCCTTTAAGGACAAGATGCTCATGGGATGCATAGAAAGTATGATCATCTGTTACATATATGTGTAGAAATTCTTCTATGCACAACACCACTCTCTCTGGCATCCTCCAAACTGTGTATCTGACACAGCCATTTACTGAATACAAAAACCCATTTGCTTCTAGTTTATCCTCCTGGGCTATGGAAGAAAACATTTCTGAAGCTCCTATTGACACTGTCGACTGCTAAATTACTTTTTGAATTCCACCACTTGGGGGCAGCACAGCTCCTATGTTAGAAAAAGCTTACTAAAACAAAGTTCACTGCAGTTTACTCACCACACTGAGCACATACAGGCAGTTTCTGCAGGGAGTTGCAGAAGTAGCAGAAAGCTCTATTCTTCTGTTTCCTACCAGGTGACATCACAAGAACAAAAACAACTGATTGGTTGACTGGAGAAAGTTTTCCTGCAAAATCCCCCGCTATAGAACATTAACTCACCTCTGGCATTTGTCACAGTCCTGTAAAACAAACAAACAAAAAAACAACAACAACGCAATGGTTAAGAAGGGGAGCTTAAAATCAGTATTCAGATCTGTCACAGTGGAGAAATACTCTGCTAGAGATAAATTCAAAGTGTTTAGATGACAACTTCACTGCAACTGAAAAAAATATATTGTTATGCAGAGTCTATTTCAGAAAATCCTAAATTACCCTATTTTATTGTGATGAACAGTACACTGTTTTAATGGTGTATCTGGTGAGTGCAAAGTTTATCAATGGCTCTTTACATGACTGGGGAGCAAATAAATATGATAGATGGAGGAGATGGATGGAGGTGATTGGAGGGGGTCTATGCTGGAGGAACTGCGGAGAACAGCTGGCAGGTCATTTTCATGCATTTTGAGGATGTCCAGTCAATCAGTCATATTGGCAGGGGGTGACACGAACAATACAGAAGCTTTTTGGTGTTGAAATTGGCTGCTCCTTTCCAGCAGTCTATTTGGGCAAGATCGTAGCTTGCTTGCTAAAGCAAGACAGGTATCTGGATCAGAGTTCCAGTTCAGATTGTTGAAATGTGTTACTTTTTCTTTTCAAAAATACAGCTGTGAATATTCTGAATCATTTAAAGACATTCTCATGTTAAAATGTCTTTTTAAAAAAAAAGTTTTTTAACAGTTATAAGAAATAACAATTAAATGTATATATGTAAAGAAGTGACTGTTATTTAGGGAGAGAGAAGGTGAGGGGGGCTGGGGTGGAAGATGGGGGGTTGTAGGGATACGGTTCAACGTACCCGGCTCCTATGGTCAACTTAGCCCATACACGGGGTAAGTTGACCATAGGAGACCACTTTTTTTGCATGCTATATTATCAAGACAGTTATGTTTACACTTATTCTGTTGGTTTGCAGGGATGCACAACAACTTGAAATATATGCAGATACACTAGTTAGAGACAAAACTACGATTGATGAAGTGATCCGAAATATGAAAAATGGCTCATCTTACCCCACTCTCCCCTACTAAGTACTTCCTAACTTCACCCCACTGCTCGCACCAGGACATACCATGTTGAAGTTGCAGGGGTGTTTGGCCACATCAACATGTTCCCGGTTGGCTCGGCTTTGTTTCTCCCGCTCCTTACGGTTCTCGGCCTTTTTCCGGGCTCCTGTTTTCTTTTTGGGCATTTCTGCGTCGTTGGCTCTGAAAAGTTAGGGATAGATTGGCAGGTCTCCTGCAAACACAGAGGAACAACAACTTCATGTAACAAGTGATTTTAACAAGAGCCGGTTCAGGTAGCTGAGGTTTCACTGACATAGTTATTTAAAGTGTGTATTTAACAAATGTTTGACATTAAATACACACTGATTCCACTTATGAGGGCAGACTACATCTCTGACTATAGATGTGACCATCCAAAATTCAGGATCAACGTGAGTTTATGTCCGGAGCTAGCTGCTCAAGACAACAGACACAGATATTAAGACCGGAAAAGAAGCGACACAGGGTCACTAAAAGAAAACAACCTTCTGTATGTAGTTTTCCGGTTATCTGTAGTTACACGGTAGTCCGAAACGTAACATCACATTGTAATTTTCACGATACGTGGCGATTTGTATTTTTTAACCGGAATGATACGCACCCTGACAGCTTGCTGGTCCGATCCGGAAATTTGGTCGGGCTGAAACATACAACCTATTTTTCGTTCCTACTAGATAAAAAAATAAAGTGAATGTTTTAAAGCGAACCAGGGAAAGTGGAGGAAAAGAGAATACTGTAAACTAAAGCATGACACTGTGTGGCATAAGCTAGGCAAGCATAAACAACACAAACCCAGTCCAAGCGGATATACCAAAAACAATAGGCCTTCATTCTGATATGTATTATCAAATAATGTGTTGGTTTCACACAAAATAATATATCTATAAAACCCCCTCTTCTTCTTCTTCTTCTTCTTCTTCTTCTTCTTCTTCCTCTTCTTCTTCTTCTTCTTCTTCTTCTTCTTCTTCTTCTTCTTCTTCTTCTTTACGGCGGAGGGCAACCAACGTTAGAGGTGCTATATAAAAAAATAAATAAAAACTCACTTTTACAGCTTTAAGGTGATGCCGTTTTTTCTCTTTTTTTCCCTTTATCTTTTATCTCTTTTACCTCTATCTTATTTCGACTTACTGTTCTTTTAGCCTATGTTTAACTTAACCTTTTAGGCTTTTTTTGTTATTCCATTTTATCATTACTATTACCATCATTATTATTTTATTATGGTTTTATTATCATTATTAAAATCGTCTTTTTATACTTTCTATCCTGTTTCCTGCTTTCTACCCCCCTTTTTTATTACATTTCTTTTTCTTGCCTATTTTATGTTTTTATTTTGGTCTTCATGGTCTCATTTTATGTTGTAGGGTTCTGTTATTGTCTGGGTTTCTTATGACAAATTAAATTGGCTTTCATTTCAGAGGACTTGTTTGTAACTGAGCTTTTGTTTATTTATTTTTATTTCCAAGTGCTGATGTTCTGTGCTTCACGACTGTTTGTCAAAGAACTTTGTAAACTTCTGTTTTTAAAAGTGCTATAAAAAGTATTATATATATATTTTTTATTTTGATGCATGAGTTAGTTACGTTTTCAATCCCTCTGAAAGTCTATGAAGGTATTCTCAAGAGAAAAAAAAAACCTAACAACTCTCCAGGAAACATAATTCTGCCATCATATACACTAGTAAAGAAGTTAATGTTTTCGTGAACCTTCCTATTGGCAGTAATAATTTCCACGATTTATGGTAGTTGGAGTTTCTCCGCGTGTCATAGGGGGTCGGACACCCTGTCCACGCCCAGGTCACGTGCGATTGAGCGGTAAACCAATCCTGAACGAGGGCTGGAAACAGCTGACGGTGAACAACAACACTGTCCGCCGTCTCCTCCTGCAGGTGGTGGTGAGTAGAAGACTGCACGTAGCTCTCAAACTTCAGGACACCTCCTCTACTGGAGCTGGTGTCTGTCTCCGGCTAAAATGGAGATTTAACGCCCTTTTCTTCTAACCTAGACTTACAGTGAAAGGAAGGGCGAGGCGCGAGCCGTACAGTGAGTACTCGAGCTGCCCCCGGAGCTCGTGCTCCATCCCTGAACCAGCCGCACAATGGCCCCGTCCCTCATCCAAGCTTGCCGCAGTCTGGCTCTCTCGACGTGGCTGCTGTCGTTCTGTTTCGTCCACTTGCTGTGTTTGGACTTCACGGTCGCGGAGAAAGAAGAATGGTACACTGCTTTTGTGAACATCACTTACCTGGACCCCGTCACTTCGGAGGTCAGGACGGAGAAAACGGAGTGCGGGCGCTATGGCGAGCAATCCCCCAAGAAAGAAGCCAGGGGTCTGGTTCTGGTTCCGTCCGTGCTGCAGGACAGGCAGGCGTGTGACCCCAATGTGAAGTTCCCGCATGTGTCTCCCAACACCGCCTGGATAGCTTTAATAGCTGCAGGGAACTGCACATACAGAGAGAAGATCCGGAATGTCGCAAACCACAACGCCTCTGCGGTCGTCATCTACAATGTGGGCTCCAGCAGTGCCAACGACACCATCACAATGCCCCATCCAGGTAAGAGACTACACCTTTGAGGAGCTTTTTCACCGTGTCCTGTCGAGAGATGGAGGCCTGAGATATGCGCACAAATGGCACTTGAAGCCTGCCTAAGCTTCATTTGCGTTGGTTATCAGTGACCGAGATAAATGGTTTCATTCTGCCTGGTGGAGTCCCGGAGCTCCTCTGCATCTGTGTGATCAGACAAATAATCAGTCAGTTTGTTGAAGGAGAAAAACGCTCTGACTGCCTGTCTGAGGACATGAGAAGATTATCGACATCCTGTAGCAGACTGAAGGTTTCTCTCAAGTTTTCTCTGCCTTTTTCTTTCCTTCAGTGTAGTTTGACCATGACAACTTTCCCTAATTTAGCTTGTCAAACTGTGAGTTCATTTTGGTGACTGACTCCAGATTTCCATTGCAGATATCAAATACAACATTCTATATTTTTTTTATATTGAAGCACTTTAAGAAGTATAAATCATGCATTTGGAGAAAAAAAGGGAAGAAAATGGAAGTTGCAAAGTTAAATGGCTGAACAGTCAGTGACAAGTTCGGACCAACATAAATAGCATTGCTAAAAAAACGGTCATGGTTGCAGTCCTGACTGTATAGAGGAGGGTGGGGTAAGTTGACCATAGGAGACCACTTGTTTTGGCATGCTATATTATCAAGACAGTTATGTTTACACTTATTCCTTTCAGTTTGCAGGGATGCACAACATCTTGAAATATATGCAGATACACGAGTTAGAGACAAAACTAAAATTGCCTTGATGTAGTGATCCGAAATATAAAAAATGGCTCATCTTACCCCACTCTTTCCTATGTCATTGCAGCACTTTGTGTGAAGTTTCACCTGGAATTCTCCTGCTGCACTGTAACCCTGGAGACACAAATAACACTCACTGATTTATTACCGAGCAGCTAATGATGGTGAAATGATAGAGGCTTGACAAAAAAAAAGAGAACAAACACATGTTCAGAAACATAGAGGGGAAAACGTTTGTATTTTTGTTTTTTAAACTTAGAGTCCGTATTTCATGAATACAAAGTCATAATTAAAGGAAAAATAAGTGAAACAAACATGGAAGCATTTGACTTAAAATTTCTCAGACACGCTTAGACTGCAACCTCACAGTTTAACGACTCCTTTAACACAGTGGTTTTTTTTGTTGTTGTTTTTTTACTAAGGGCACTATCAAGATACGCCAAAGCAAACATTGCTTTAAAAAAAACTGACATGTGTCAATAAACCTTGTTTAAACAGCATACCTTTTGACATGAAGCATGCACAAAGTCCTGCAAACTCAGACTTCAGTTTCACCTGCAGGGTTTTTCTTGTCTTTATTTGCCCAAAGGCTGAGCAGGCTCTTACTTGAATAACAGGACAAACACTTTGCTGTTTAAACAGCCCTAAGCTCCTTTTGATCCTTTCAACAGAAAGTGAGAAAGGTCACAGGGAAAAGTATGGTTACATATTTCTGTGGCTAGTTTTTCATTGTAGCAGAAACATATGGTGCTCATAGCTGGTTTATTTACTATGAACGGTTTGTCTCTGCAGCGATTTCTTTCCTATGACTTCGAGGGGTGGTTGCAGTCAAAGTATCCCCAGTGTCTAAGACCTGGGTGTAGTTTTCCCTCAATTCCCTGTCCCCCACATTTTTTTGTTGCGCAACTTTCTTACTGAAGTCAGTCTAAACATTTAAATAGTTTATCAATAACTCCACAACTGCAATAATCCCTTTTCTTCCAAGAAAGAATATTGCGAAAATTAGACTTGACTTGAAGGAGGTCAGGAGCAGCTGTGAAAAGCAACAAATGTTTTCCACCTGATTTGTGTTTCCATTGGTGCCACGCTTGCAGCGTGGCACTAGTTTTCATAAAGGCTTGGCTGAGCAGATCATTGTACCTCTGCCAGACAGCAGCACAATGCATGAAGGCTGTTTGACAAAAGGGTCTCTACAGAAACAGATGTTCAGGGAAAAAGCATACAACACCTGGAGGCATAATGATGAAGTGATTATGAGACTTTTAGTGATTGTGAGTTATTTTTTCCTATGGAGGAAGCACCTGCCATGATATAGAAATTAATGAGCCTCAATGCAAATCCTCTTCAGCTTTTATTCAAATTTGACGACTTGTTTTGTAGGATCGTATGGGGCAGTTTCTCCATTCTGTAATTTCAGTTTGCTAATGTTGTTTACAGCTTGTGCCAAATTAAAATGTTTTGATGACGTTTTTGGTTGATATTACTGTATTTCACTGACGTTTTTGTACATGCAAAGAAGAGTAAACATCTGCAGAGAAAGATGACATGACAAAGCTAGACACTGTTGACAAAGACATTATTAACAAATAAAAGAGGCCTTTACTTTACATTTGTAATTAACCACACACAGAAGCTCCCAAATCTAGACGCTCAAGTGTTAGTGCACAAGTGTTTTTTGGATTTATTGCACATTTGCCATGTTGGACTGAAGTTTGTTGATAAAATTCAACACCTGAATGGAGGCTAGAAAGACCAAAGTGCTGAGGGACTTTGTAAACACTTAAGCATCTTCTTTCTTGATGGCAGAGGCCCATATAAAGGGAAAAGGAGATTTAATGTGTCTGCAGTGAATTTTGTTCCTCATATTGTGCAGTTCTTTCACTTTGAACAGAGTTTTCCAGAAGTTGTATTGCTTTTTCTTGATGCACAATGATTGAACACTGCATACTGATAAATGGACTCAAGTGTACAACCCTGTAGTATCTGTAGTAAAAACCTAGAAAGAACCAGGCTATTGCTTTAAACATTGTCATTAGTTACACTTAAACCCCTAAAGAGACAGAAACAGCAGTCAGGTGTACGATTAAAGCAATAGAGAAGAGCTCGGTAACAAGGAGTACAATGACAAAAATGGCTCCTAATGTGTGGACTGAATGTGCGGCTGCCAGAGAAATAATGGAGCACTCCCCTTGTCCAGAGCCAACACAGCTGGGCTGTAAAATCCACTGTTGCCAGAGCCAGAAACCTCTCATGTCCTGGCTCTATTATGTAAGGCTGAGTGGTGTCAGAGCCATGTTCAGCCTTGGACTATAAAGCCAGATCTGTGATTCTGTGTTTATCGACTCTTAAAGGTTTTCCTGCCAAGCTTCACTGAACTTTGACGCTAACTGCACTTGTACCACGCTCAGTCTCCACGATGAGCTGTATAGAATTAGAGAAAATCCTTACTTGCTGTATAACTAGGGATTAAATGAGAAGATTGACAGCACTGGATCTTCATTTCAGTACATGAAATAAGTTGTTGGAGACAGCATTAGATGAGTTTAGCTCAGTGTTTAGTCTGGAAACATGGAGGAGCAGACAGATAGCTGGCTCAAACCAAAGATCCAGAAAACATTTCTACCAGTAACCTTGGTTATTTGTTTGTTTGTTTGTTGGTTCAGTTTGTACAAAACCTAGAAGTGCAGAGATGGTTTCCTGATGCTTTCTCAGTCTCAAATGGTAGTGTGGGATATGGCAGAGACAGTTGTAGCTCAGTGGTAGAGTCAGTTGTTTCTTGATCCATAGGTTGCAGGCTCAACCACAGGTCCCATTGTCCTCATTCTGAAGTTTCTTTGGACAAGTCACTTTGAGTGAGTGGGAAAATGATAGAAGTGGAAGATACAGCATGGTATCACAATGTTTTGTCTGGTGATATATTGTACCGTCTCATTTACCAAGTATGGATTTTTCAACTTAATTGCTAATATGAGGTCAAATCTATGATAATGGAAAAATAAAATCTACTGTTTGTCCAGTCAGGTTGGCAGAGGAGACATCATAAAGCAAGAGAAAGTTAGAACAACAAATATATATGAGGTTTGCAAGATGTGCTACATGAAATTGAAATACTGCCTAAATAAGACAAATATAAAGGAAAGACAAATGCTAAGTTAGCAAAACAGTTGAAAAAATTGTATGAATCGTAATGTATTGTATCGCACTACTCAATGGATTGCAAAATTTAAAAATCACAATAATATCGTATCATGGCACAAGTATCATGATAATATCGTATCGTGGGGCCACTAGTGATTCTCACCCCAAGATAATAAATGTCGATAGTTAATTGTTGCTTAGCTAGCATCAGAGCCAAGCTAGCTGCTTTCCCTTGTTTTCAGCTATCGTAGCTCAGGTGACCTGATTGACCTACAGATATAAGAGTTCTGGTAATCCTGACGTTTAACTCTGCAGGAGTAAACTAACGTACAGTCAGTGGGTCAGACCAGGTTGGGTGTTTTTATTGTTTCCTTCCGTCCTTCTCTTTGACAAGAAGATTAGCTCCTTGTCTTGGCTACGTTGCCTGTTCAGACATTGGAGACACACAAGTACTGAATGTGAACAATTAGCTTTTAGTTATTGTTAGACAGGACCGGGCTAGTTTTCATTTTATTCCTAGTTATAGCTGAGCCAAGCTTGTGGACTGTGAACCCCAGCTAGATGTTTATTTTGGGTTGTGTCGCAACAATGAGCATTTAAGCCTTGTCCAAAAATATCGCAAAAATATCTCCCAAAATATCAAACTATTCATTTAGTTCAGGACTTTGAACCACTTTTTAAAGCTCTTAAATTTATCAGACTCTCTGTAGAATATTTTGCACAGCTGTTAGCTTTAGTTTAACATATGGTTGTTGGAAAAGTCAATTCTTCAGTGTTATCCTCTACAGCTGATCAAATCCCTGTTAATAAAATGAAATCCCAACAGCAGAAAAATTGATATTCGGTGTGCTGTTTATTCCACCGTGCCCCATATTTTAGCCAAAGGAGTGTGAGAACAGATATTTTCACAAGTTCAGCCTCGTTTCATTCCCCCTGTTTTAGAGAGAGCTATTTCTGTCCTCTCTGTCCACGTCACAGTGGACAGAGGACGGAGATAAGAGTCAGGGCTTAAGGAAATCTTACATGCCTTGTTATGCCTTTCTGTATTTCTGTTGGCTGTGGCTCTGAAACTGGCCATATGTGGGGTTTTTTTTAAGTCTACACAGGATGGAACAGTTTTGTTTATGAAAGACTTATTGTGATGAGACAGTGTGGTTTATCTTGTGTCTTTAAAGGCCTTTGTTACAACACAGTGATTTTCTTTCCACACCATATGGTCAAGCTTAATAAAGCCAGGTCAGTGTGTGTATAAGGCTACACACATTAAAGAGGAGATAAACAATATGGTAAATATTCATGTATTTAAGAAATCAGAGCTCTTGTGAGTTGTACTTGTGTCAGCGTAAAGGATTATTTTACTGCCTGAACCATCTATAGAAAAAAATTCAGAAACCCTGAAATCGATAGTTTGTTCAAATATATAGTATGTGATAGAGACATAAGCAGAAACTTATTTGAAGAAGTGGGACAGCTCATTGTCTGGCAGTCTAGCAGCATATCGCCATCTGCTTGCAGTCCAAACACAGGCCTTTGTTTCCCCCTTTGTCATTGTTTGTAGCAGAGTTTATTTCAGAAGCACCAACACACGGAAACCTTTTTGGAGTAAGAAGCAGGGATAAACGTTTTTGTTGTGAGTGAAGGTAATGTCAGGCGGTAAAAGTATTTGAACATTTCTAACATGACTATTAAATGTTATGAATGCTGCTTTTTCCTGAGTACAACTGCTTTTTTTTCTCCTCCAAAAATGTAAAACTTAGTGCAAAGATACACAAAACCTTTTTTTAGGCATTTAAAAACAGGATTAAATAAAAAAAAAAATCATGATTAAGATCATTGAAATTTCTCAAACCTGGTCACAAGCACTGTGCAGCTGTGCAGATTTTAAAACCAACTTGTTACATAAAGGGATTTATGAGCATGACTGAGTAATGCATCATAGCTTTCACCCTGAAATTGAAGCATATCAGCTGAATTCAAACCCCCTAACTCCTCTTAAAATCAGAAACACAATCTTCTCTGCCAATCTAACTTGGGCTTTGGAAAAAAATATGATTGAATATATTGGTAAATAGCTCGGTGCAGATCCTCATCAGGTCCTAAAGGCTTTGTTACAGCACTGTGCACATGGCAGAGCGCTTGCAGATGATGGCAGGTTGTATAAAGCTGCAATTTATAGTGACTGATCGAGGGATCGAAGCACCACAGGGAGTCACTGGGACTCCATGCAGCCATAAAAGAGGCGACAGAAGGAATATGATGTAACAGTTTGTCAGGCTGCTGATGCATTTCCTGGAAACAACGACAGCTGTGCAGATGAAAGAGTGGGGCCTTGTTATTCCTTCGTTGCCAGAAACTACCAAGTTGTTTCAGCTTTATGTCCCATATGTCATTTCCTTATAACAGACAAATTCAAACCAGACGTACCGAATAGAGCTTCAGCCACATGGAAACAGATACAGGCCTTATTAATAAAGTTTAAGAATCAATGAAAGCATTGATTGGGATTTGTTGTAAATCAACACTTTTTGAACCCTCCAATGTTTTTCAAACCAAGAATAAACGATGTCTGCATCAATCTTTCCTTCAACTGGCAGATGCAAACTACTACTAAAATAACTATTGAATGATGTTGTTTCTCTGTACCAGCAGATTTGGACTCATCCCACATTAAGTCAGCAAGAGCTCTAAAATAAGCAAATATCTGATAGTTTCAGCAGCACCAGAATAATCAGTGTCCTGGCCTAGACACGCAAATAGATGAGCCCCAAGCACACCAAACAGAGTCCTTTAACAATTTGACTGTGCACAAATCATATGCAAAATGCTCCTGTTAAAGGAAACAAGAACTCAATAAGTTTTTCAACAACATTAAGTGTTTCTGAGCAGCAAAAATGATGAATTCTGCTTTTATTTTTTTGTCTGCCTGTCATCATACCCTAAATTACAATTTTAGCTGAATTTCTGACATCACTTGCCAATATGGACTTAAGTATTTCAAGGGAAAGCAGAAACCCCCAGAAGAACACATAGTCTGGGTGTGTTTATCACTTAGCACCGTTCCCATGTTATGAGCCGTTTTGATTTTTGACTTAAAAGTTTAGGAAATATTGATGATCATCTGTGACAAAAAAGACAGATATAGAGTTTCAATATTGATATTCAAGAGACGCACACCATCATTTTTTTCATGGTGAATGTATTTATAGCCTTATAGACATCCTCTCACTGTGCAGGTGAGTACATCAGAAAAAGAGTTACATCTCTACCTTTCTGCAAAGAGCTGGATGTCTGTGGCTTAAGCAGCAGAAGGTGAAGCTTATCTCTCACCTCAGGGGACTGAACTTTTGAGAGGCATTAGCTGAGAGGATGAGAAGGAGCATAGTCTTAGCTAATGTTAATGCTAATTCCACAAACAAGATTTTTATAATGAAAGTCCACAGAAATCCTATTGTGAAAAGTCAGTGTTCCCCCCCCGAACAGCTTTCAGGTGCAAGAGTTGAAAGATGTTCAGTAACCGTATAAGTCACTACTGTCGACATGCACAGCATGCAGAGCAACAGAAGGCTGCCAGAGGAAGCCTCTTACATGATGAGTGAGGCTTAATTTGCTCTGCCCTGTCTAAGCTCTCAGCGGGTTTCCAGTTGTTCCTCTTTTTCTCACCTACTCCAATTTACAGCTCAATTCATTATAGGTCAGTGACGGATATTGGGAGCATGGCCTTAGTGTCTTCAAATGTGGTTTGTCGCCCAACCAACAGCTCTAAACTTTGTAGACAAGGCCAGCTATTGATAAAAATACCTATGCTGCTGTATTAGTCGATATCAGAAATTAACTTTTCCAATCTCACTTAACAAATACAAAGCTTTCTCGACAAAATATGTAATCAACACTGTCTATATTTAAAAAAAATCATCTACAAAAGACATTTTAAGATTTTAAAGAAACTCTTAACCTACCTTGATTTTTCCAAAGATGATTGTATTGTTATGAGTGTAATTTCACAGTTTAAATGGCTCCTCATGAGGTCAATACTAAATGTCTGTAAATGGTCTTAAAGTCTCAATGAGCAGCTTTGCCTTGATTTATCAACTCATGATCTAAATTGACATTCCCTGTGTTGCGCGTGTGTGTGTGTGATTGTATGGGTAGGTACAGGGGATGTTGTGGCCATCATGATCCCAGAGCCCAAAGGTCGTGAGATCGTTGCTTTGCTGGCGCAGCACATCGCAGTCACATTGCACATCACCATTGGAACCCGCAACTTGCAGAAGTATGTTAGCAGAACATCAGTGGTGTTCGTCTCCATCTCCTTCATCGTCCTCATGATCATCTCCCTCGCCTGGCTCGTCTTCTACTACATCCAGAGGTTCCGCTATGCCAACGCACGAGATCGCAACCAGGTATGAATATGCACACTGACTTGAAAACTCATTGAAACTCATACATCAAACTCTAGGAGCTGATGGGCTTCTGTTGACAGTAGAAGCACATGACAGGACATTGACAGTACTGCACTTCTGTAGGCTCATCACATGTGTTTCCTTCTGGTTTCTCTGTAAGGCTGTTAGGAGAGGCCAGAATTAGCCTGACAGCTGGATGAATCAGAGACTTAGCAAACCAGTGAACCATCAACCCTCTCAGCTTTCCTCCTTTGAGCCAACTGAGCAAATAACTGGCAATGCTATATCTTTACTACGAATGTCCACCTGTGTCTTTCTGATGACGTCTGAGACAACAATTCCCCATCTTGTCTGTTATGAAAGAAGCCAGTGTCATGACAACCATTGTCTGCAATAATGTTGATTTATGCTGTGTAAAGAATTAAGCTGCATTGAACTTGTCTGTTATTACTAATGCAGTCAGTATTTTAAAAGCATTATAGCATGAAGGTGTGCTTTATCAATATTGCATAACTTTAGCTCAGTCACACCTGTTTACTGTGTGTTCTGAATCTACCACCTGACACTTTATTAGTATTAATATTTATAGTCATGCTCTCAGAATGAATCCTCTGTCAAAGCCCAAAAACAGTACATAGGTATTTCTACTTAAATTAACATAATGGCAAGAAAAGGTGACTTTTATTTTGTTTATGGGCCGCTATTTCCTTTAAGGAATAAATTTTCAAACTTTATTGTCCCCAGGCAACCGGCTTCCTGAACACACTGCTCTGATCCTTACATCACTTTAATTTCCATCTTGAGTTACAGCTGGAAACTTCCTTTAATAATTATGGTTTTTAAATCCCAGTTTTATTGGAACTCATGTTCAGTTTGTCCCTTTCAGTTATTTTTAGATTTCAGTTTCTAGTCGTTGCCAGTCATTGACTTACTTTCCAGCTGTGAGGGTGTTTTGAGCCCCGTTTCATTTGCTTAACACACAGCAGGTGATGTCTGCTCAGTTTTGTTCATTATGTATTATTTGTTTTCTAGAGAAACAAATGTGAAAAAGTGAAACTGATGGCTCCTGAGCCCTGCTGGTACACATTCATTAGTGTCTTAAGCAACACAAATTTTAATGACTGAAGAAACAATGTGATACCAGCATACTGCTGAGATCTGACAGCCAGCTTTGTCGCTAATGTAGTTTTTTAATGTCTGCAGAGACGTCTGGGAGACGCTGCCAAAAAAGCCATCAGTAAACTTCAAGTACGCACCATAAAGAAAGGAGACAAGGTGAGTGGTTCTTTTCTACGATGCAAAGAAAGCTGATTAATTTCACAAAATACAGAAAGTGTTATCCATGTTCCGCTCCGCCGTTAATTTAAAAGGAGACGTTCATGTTCTTGAATATCCACATGACAGTTTTTCTTTCATTCATTCTGCATTTCAGGAGACAGAGTCAGAGTTTGACAACTGTGCAGTTTGCATTGAAGGTTATAAACCCAATGATGTTGTAAGGATATTACCATGCAGGTAAGGTTTGTTTATGCTTAGTCTTGATTGTAACTTTAAACTCAGTATCTCATCCTGATTTTCATATGTAGGCAAACAAAGGATAGCTTTAAATCTGCATATTTCTCTTGGCGCTGGACTTACACTCTTGTTTTAAGATGATCTGTGTGTCTTCTGTCTCCCTTTTCTGTCAGGCATCTGTTTCATAAGCACTGTGTAGATCCATGGCTACAAGACCACAGGACATGTCCAATGTGTAAAATGAACATCCTCAAAGCTTTGGGAATCCCGGTGAGCATCTTTTGATTATTCAATTTATTTTCTTTTAGTCTCATATGTTACAGTGTTACAATGTCATTTAGCAGACGCTTTTATCCAAAGCTGCATACTGTACATTTGAGAGCAAGAACAACACAAACAAAGAAACAAGATCCGTTAGTGCCACAAAGTGCTTCAAGTTCATTTGAATGCAGGTACTATCAAGTAGCATTAGAGCCTCTCAAGACATGTTTTGCATGTTTCAGCTCAGTGCAGACTGTTCAGACGAGTTTCCTCCGGACTACGAGATATCTGTCGGGGGTCCACCCACCAATGCCATCAGTGGGGCAAGCGAAATCACAGTTAACGAGAGCTCAGTGGTTCTGGATCCTACTGGGAGAGCAATAGGCCTTCAACAGCTCCATCCAGAGGCAGCACCTCAAGCAGGAGAGGAGAGCTATGTCATTGCTGGCAGTAAGTACACAAAGTTTTGACTCAAAGTTACAAAAAAAAAAACACTTCACTTATGTCAGTAACAAGAGTTTTTGAGGATATGGAGAATCCCAGGAGTCTTTGCGAGGTGAGAGCCCTTTTTGTAAGTGTTATTTAGACTGTTTATGTGGAAACCTTGTCTAGACCAGCAGCCACCTGGTTACCATTCTCCACTTCAGGTCCCTTTGGGCAATGTAGGAGCGTTATTCCTACACTTAATGAAAACACCTTTATGCTGGTACTTGGACTAACAGTTGTTAAGCATCTGCTTTCTCTCAGCACCTCGCTGTGCCAATAACTCCACATGCTTGGATCCTTTTTGTTTTCAGAGGCCTTTAAGAAGAGGTTTTATGCTTTTTTTTCAGATTTGGTACTTACTTTCTGATACCTCTTAAATAGCTCTGCATGATGTTCTGATTAAAAAAGCCTTGTGTTTCTCACTTGCTTTTCTTGTGATAGTGTATAAAAATATCATTATTTCAGTCTCCGTCTAAAACGCTTTGCTTTAGCTGCTGTCTCTTTAAGGTTGCACAACTTACACTTGGGTATATGAAAGTTTATTAATAATTTGATTATTTATTCACTTACACAATAAATTCGGCTAACCAATAATGTGTGTTGCCTGTCAGTGGTGAAAATTGAACAAATTTCATGTGTCTGGTGTAATTATCCTTCTCGGTGGTTTTTATGGCCATTCCTGCTGTTTTTTGACCACTTAGAGCTCTGGTTACTGTCAGAGCGGGGTGAATAATTAAACTTTTATTTGTGTACTTGGAGGAGCAGAGGAGAACAGTAAAGAAAAGATGAAGTGTCAGAGCACCCGGTGCCAAGTTATGCTGCTCAGCATGTCAGACTGGCTCCTACTCTACCGTCAGGAGACTAGGACCAAGGACTGACAGAAGTCCAACTCCCATTTTTCTCCCTCACTCCTGTTTCTTTCTCCCTTCAGTGCATCACTTCTCACTTCAAATATGAGGCAAAAACCAAAAAGAAAACCACCAAGACTCATTTGCTGTCGAGCTATATTACCTCGAACCGTTTCAGGCGAAGTTCAGAGAACTTGACTCTCTCAAATATTAATTAAGGTTTCCATCTGCAGAATGTTTGATTTACATTTGTGATGAGATGAAAATGTTTGCTTACTGTGTCAATAAGACGATCTGATATTTAACTTTCTATGGAGGTTCAACCTGTTTCAGCCACTGTCAAAGAAAGATGAAATGTTGCCTTTAATCAAAACAAAAGAACTTAATATTGCTGTGAATACAGTCGAGGTATAACTCAAATCCCTTATCGATGCTAAAAAAAAACAACATAGTGATAGAGAAACGGCTCACAGCATTAGAAACAACCCTAATGAACACATGAATGATGAAAAGTTCAAATAATAATGCAATCAATAGACTTGTAGTACCTATCCCATCAGTCCCATCAGCTGTTTAACCTCAAGCCCTAAAAATGCAAAGTTCAGAGAATAAACAACTTTTTGTTTAAAAAATGTCCCCAACCGTTTAAAAAAAACCCACAATTTTATTATTTTAGAGCAAAATTGCAAACACTTTACTGGCTCCAGCTCTTCAGATTAAAAGAATAGCCGATTTTCTCTGTTGTACAGAACAACAAACCAAATACACTCTGTGATTTGGACTTTTTACTTGGTCAAAAAAATATTTAAAAACTATCTGGAGAGGCTATTCTAACTAATTGTTTCATGGATGTTAATTAGCTAAATCAGCCAGATCATGTCATGTCAGTATTGGGTTCCATTTTGCTTACAGTACACATGAACAGGTTAATTTTTTGGAACTACTTGGAGCCGAAAACATAAGTTTGATATCTTTAAAATTTAAGGCAGAAATAAAACATATAATATTTTTGAAGTTCACTTCAATCTCTCAAAGCATTGAGAAAAAGCTAAAGCACAAAGACAGGTTTACTTCAGTGTGCCTCGGCTGTAGATCACTTCACCACCACAAAGACTAATGGATATATAAATCAGGTGCTATTTATTGCACGCCTTGACATTTCTGAGCTAACAGAGAGGATGTCACTGATAGCCACTTAGCAGGAGATGAACAAGCTGATCTGGCATTGATGGAGGGCCAAATGTGTTGTCTTTATCTTAACTAATGAGCACTGTCGTCTATCGGTCTTACAGAGTCAGACAGAGTTGGCTGCAGTTTGGTTCTCTGAATAAGGCCTGAATTTTTGCTGGAAAACTGGCTTTGCTTGGTAAAGTCTGATGCTTCATCCTTGCTCTCTATCTCTCTAAATGTCCTAACTCTGTGCAACTTGATGTAAGCTGAAAGAGTCACTAGTCCTTGTAGTCCACTGTTAAAAGATCTTTTCTTTGTAAAAGAGATAGACAAGGCCCACAGTTTCCTTTTCATGCTGAGAAAAGTGAACTCAAAGCTTATCTTCAGCCATCAATCAACACAAACTGACATGTCTAACTCTGCAAGGTGTTAGCAGCTACAATGGTTAACCACCCTGTGAGCCAGCACGTCATAACCCCGTTCTTATCCTGATTAAGATCAATGAAAAACACCAAGAAAATGAACTAATGCACATCTCCATCCACTGTGCTGTGGTGAATATGAAGAGTTCTGTGCAATGTTGTTATGTTGGTATGTTGTTGTGAAGACCAGTGTGTCTGTGCAGAGGAAGAGTTTTATAACAGAAGCAGACTAAAAACGGGTGAAGAACACAAAAAGGAAATATGACGTTAATATTAATTACAGGAAAGGAGCTTCCCTGAAGAAACGTATGCCCATAGACTAAATATTGTGCTTCATGGGCTAAATTCATTCCCATCCTAGTTTGGCACTTTTCCCAATAAACCAACTCCCAGCTAAGTGATTAAGAAAGAAAATAGGATGTTTTTTCACCAACTAACTGAAAATAGATCCAGATGGATGCTAACACCCTTTCCTTTTACATCAAATGGAAAACAGACACAGTGATTAGCCAGTTAAAGCTAGCTGATAGCTGGCAACTGAAGAGGTGGAAATTTTTCTTGGGAAATCAACAGAGCATCTAAAAAAGGAGAAAAAAAGGCAAAATATTCTGCTTCTATTCACCAAATGTTCAGAAACTCCCTCATAAATTTCAGCCAACTTTTAGCTAACATGTTCAAATCTATTGAAAACATGACTTAATGCTGCGCTCCTAAGCTTTCTCTGCTGCCTTGTCTTATAATGTTATAAGGATACGGTTTAATTTTACCCATGATGGCCTAACCTGAAAAATTAAGCCTTGACATTAAACAGTATCTCTGTGCCTGCACGCTATTCACTTGTCAGTTATTAAATCAACTTTCCCTGTGTCCTTAGGTGAGCACCAGCCCCCTCTCAGCAGTGACTCAGACATCTCTATCATCACTGGAGTAGAGGTAGGCATGTCTGAAGTTGACCTGTCCGTGGAGCAGAGATGTCAAGGAGGTAAATCCTGAAAAAAGAATCAATCACCAAAAAGAAAAAAAAGGAAAGAGGAGAGAAGAAGCGTCCTCCGTTGCAGGGAGCGACAACTCAGAAGACAGGCAGACGAGCGATGGAACAACACAGCACAAAAACACCACGCTCTGACTTTCTGCATTTGTGGACACGTTGCTTGCTCGTTTTTCTCGCAGTCCCACTTTTACCATTTCGTCGGTTTGACTGCCGTGGTGACCTCACAGCCAATCACAGCTCTCACTTCGCGGCGGCCCCGGTTTGACTCCACATAACATATACACACACACACAATAACTGCAGAGATGTCGTAGCCTTCACAGATCTGAGAAGGCATGATTAGCCTCTACACACTCTGGCAAATTCAACCTGCTGCTTGACACAATGTTGGCACAAAAGCCGCAGGGCCTCCTCCTGAAAACCAGTTACAGCTTTATTTGTTATGAAAATATATGCAGATTGTTTCATTTTTCTTTGGTATGAGATCACTGCCAAAATATTCCAGAAGCAAGATTAACTTATGTGGTGGAAACAAAGCACATACAAAACCTATTTCAGCTGTTTCTTTAACAGTTAGTGTGTATTTCCACCATCGTTGTTAAATACAGACTTACATGTGAGTGCCGTTTCAAAACTTGAGGTGTAGGTCTTAAAGTTCATGTGGTCATGTGACATTAAATAATCCAAGTATGGATGCACACAGTATGCTGTAATTTCTAAATATATCTGTTCCTTGTAATGTTTTGTGGAACCCTTATATACGACTTTATAACGACTGAATATTCCTGCTGTAGGGAGCAAACAAACACACACTCACAGTCGATATTCCTGTCTTCACATTTGACAATCGTAGCTTAAAACAAGCAGTTCAAAGTGATGTCACCCACTGCCCTGATGAAACTGCTGCTGATTTACAAGTTATTACTCCCTGCCATCTGTCTGAAGGTAGTCGTTTGTATCTATGTAAACACTGCTGCTAAGTACAGCTGGAAGTAGCAGATGTACTAGATTCAGGTGGTGTGCACACTCTGTTGACAGCACTTGTTAAACCAGCCAATATTGATATGTCAGCAAGTCTCTGTGCCAAGATTATAAGTAGTATTTTAAACCTGGTTATTGTCTTTCATATCCACTGATTGTCTTAGCTGTCAAACAGGCTGAGTTTTCTCGTGATATGAAATAAAAGAAATATGATTAAAAGGGACTAATTTGGATGAAGAGGGGGAGGTTTTTACTTGAGAGCATGGGATTTTTTTATGGCATGAAGAGCCTAAAGCATGATGTTTACAGATCTGGAATAATTGAGAAGTTTTGTTTGGATACATCCAACACTAAGCCGGCTAGTTTTGAAAAATGACATGTAAATTCTTGTGTTTTCTGTGTGTAGATTCACACACAAAAACACACAGCACATAAGGAAGACGGTTTATTTTTTAGTATGTAGTCAGAAAACAACAAGAGCTTCAATTTAAGCTAAGAAATGAGTTTGAGTTTATGCTGACAGACATAGAGGCTTCAAGAGTTAATAAGTCTATGCTGACAGATGTGTGGTACACTACACTGACAGGTAAATTCTGCAGCTCCTTTCTGCCACTTGTTTGGCTGTGTGACCCGGAGATCAAATGTCTTTAGACTGATAAGATGGCGTTGTTTTAGAGGGCAGCTTTTCTGAAAGAAATCTGTAAACCACTCTCTCAGGACCAAAAAATTTACAGGCACAGTAAGCAACAATGTCAGCAATTACCTTTAAACTGCAGCTTAAGTAACTAGGATTTTTTTCAGAAAGGGAAAAGGACCAGAAACTAAGCTAAAAGGGAGAAAATATCTGATTTAAGTTTGTATCTTGTTTACATAGACTGTAATAAACATGGATGTGGTTTCATGTTGTGCATGCTGAAACAGGCAAAGAAGTGGAGCTGAAGCAGGTCACACAGCCACGACTATCCACCTGTCAGTCAAATCAGCCAAACCTCTAATCAAGCACTGTTTATACGTGCAAAACCCTTAGCCTAAATATTATCAGAATTGATGCTTATTTAGAAATAAAAATCTAAATTTAAAAAGTCATGAATCGAAGACCAAGCTACTGAGACCAAAACTGATTTTGTACCAGGCTGTAAACATGTTTAATTCTGCTGTCAAAAATACCATTTTAACACGGCACATGCTCGGTATTTCAAACACCAGAGGTCACTGAAAGGTGGTCTGTTGGTTTACCTCTCAATTCCTCTAAAATAAGACAGGAATAAGTTTTCTATATATTTCCATGAAGCTGTTGTTTCTACCACTCTGAATACCATTCTTGAAAAGCACCAGCCCTTTTTAAACTACCGACAGTAAACCAGCACATTCAGGTGGCTCAACCTAAACCTTCCTTTGAATAACAACAAAAGTTACCAAATGGTGTTTTTTTAAACAGATTTTACTTTCAGTGTGACAATACTGCAAGTTGAGTTGCTAATTCACAAAGTCCTGTCAGTTTGAGATAGACTTTGAAACTGAGCCGGCTTAGAGTGGATGTAGTCTCAGACTCCAAATGTTAAAGCTGACTGTTAATTTAAGTCCTCTTAACAATTGTTACCTTCTTTTTTGTAGCTATGTTGTAGTCCTTTTTGTCACTTTTTAAAAACGTCAATCATTTCTTCTTTAAAAAGACTCAGTGGGATCTAAACCTCAGCTGGATCTGGTTCTTCTCACATTCCTGTCAACTTGCACACTGATTGAGCACAGACTCACTGACTCAGTCCATGGAGCCAGTGGAATTTTTACTGATGTTTTTTGTTAAATTTCCAGTCATGGTTTCCATGATGTCCTGTGCCACCTGGGACTCCCGTTATATAACACCCACATGCACACACTCCCTTGCTTGAGTCAATCATTGAAGAATCACTGAATGTAGAGGGAAATGTTTCAAGCTGTTGCTTTTCGGAGGGATTTGTTGTAACTGTTTCTGTCTCGAAGTGTTTTGTGTTCTTGCCTGTAGCAATTTGACATCCAAAGACAAAACTTCCTAGATAAATCTAACTAGCTTACAGAAAGGGAAAAAGCTTTCACATTACCTCACTTTATATGAAAATTTTCACACATACAGACCAGTTCTAACCCAGCATTTCAACATGCCTGAAATGTGTGGGAGTATTATGAAAGCACTCATGAATGTATATTTTCATAATGCTACTATTCTTTAGTTTACCTCTAGTTCTCCATCATTACATGGATATATAAGAAGATGATTGTAGTTCTTGCCAGCATGTTATATAGACACAGATACTGAAGTCTCAGCCAGCCTAATCTGAACCTTTCAACCTCCTGTATATTAAATCAACTCGCTTACATACATCACCATCATCTGCAAAAGCATCATTTATTTCTCTCTTGTTAATGTCAGTCATTAAGTCCTTCTTACTTTTCCATGCACACACAAACAAACACATATACTCACACACACACCCAAGCTCTGTCTCCAGCCAAGCATTTGTTTGGTTAACATAGCAACAAGAAACAGGACAGCACATCTTTTTTTCAAGTGCCAGATTAATCGTTCACTGTTTATGTAGAGGTGGATGAAGGCCTTCTTTTTACAGTGTAACTTTAAAATGATATGGTTGAGCTTTAAGGTCAGTCATAGGATTTGCGTATTGTTTTGATTTTTGTTGCTTTTTTTCTCTTTTTTTTTTTTTTTGCTCTCTTGAAGGACAAATCAGAAATTATATAAGACATGAAGTCATTGTACCAAAGCATAACATTATTAATCTGTTTTCAACAACTTTTCTGGAACTGAATACTGAAACTTGTGCTCATTTGGCAGGTAAAGACCTTAAAGTTTCTTGGCAACTTTTAGGTCCTGTGAGATTTTATCTGATCAACAGAAAACTGTTAATGGGAAACAGTCCCTTGGAAAAGATTACAGGAATTTTTAAAAAGTATAAATTAAATTGACCACACCTGCGAAAAATCTACCCATTTACCATAAATAATTTCTTATTGGAATAAACTTTGCTTTATCCCTTATGAAGTTGTTATAAGAAGATTTGAATGGTACTCATGCCATTATTTTGGTGTGATCTTGTTTATTTTTCATTGTTTTACAAATCCTCTCTGTCAAATCCCACACTTATTTTTTCTGAAATGATGGACCTGTTAGAAGAAATGTGGCTCAGCATATCTTTTTGTTTTTTCAATTTTATCAAGACTATTAGTTATTTTTTCTCATTTTGTTCTCTCTGTCGCATGTGTTTTGTCCTTTTATGCGTAAACTCTTCTATCCTGCACTTTAACCCTCCATTGAATGGGGAGCAGCTTTACTGAACGACTTGAGAAAGTCTCTTTGTATGTACAGCTTTTGAGAAAGAGGGCTACAGTACTGAACTCGGCACATGGCTCAGTTGTTGCTTATTTTATAATGTTGTGATCTTTTGTCTGTACTATTGTGTACATGTGGGATGAGGGTGGGCTATCGATATATTGTACACTATACCCAGCAGATACAACAGCAATGCTATTTTACAGTATAAAAACTGATATGTATGATAAATACCGTGTCTGTTCCCTGTTTGTACTTGGATGTATGTGTGCTATTATGAATCCAGTGAAATTCAGGATAAATTTGAATCAGATTTTTTTTTAATGAGATGCATACAGAATGACATGGTTTGCCTGGTGGTTCCTATCATCATTACGGGTTTTAAATTAAAAAATGTGTTAGGTGAAATGCTGATAGTAGGTAGACAAACTAAAGATTGAGCAAATAGGTATAAGGCAACTGTGTTTTTTATGCTTACAGGAACTTAGTTGTAGAATGAAACTGTTTTTTCAATCAGAGTAAATGAAAGTGAAACATGAAAATTCAAGATTTGTTTATTTGTCATGTGCATGTTAAACAAGGTCAACAATGCAATGAAATGCCCTGGATGAGAGGACTGCTTGACTCAAAGGAGTACAGATAAAAACAAACAAAAAGAACTTAGAGGAATACAATAAAATAAGGATGCAAAAAAAGAAAATATTAAAGGTGAATAAAAGTAAAAGAGAAATATTTACAAAGGGCAATTTTTACAAAGGTGCTGAGTGTGAGTGTATGAAATGGAGGATGAGTCGGTGGGATAAATGAGGTAAATTGCCATATTGCACATGATAAATAATGGTGTACAAGTTGCTGTATTGCACATGGTATTGCACATCACAGATAATATTGCACAGTTAAGGGGGTTATTGCACAGAGTAATGTCCGGTGGTACTTTCAGGAGTGAAGTATACGAACAGGTAGTAAACAAGAGGTAAGTGAACAAGGCAAGATAAAGAGTGATCACTTTGACACTTAGTGGATAAAAAATAAAGTCACACTGACTGTACAGGGCTGGTTATTTCATTAGCAGCATTATCATTATTAACTTATGCTCATATTGAGTTTTTTAAAATGTGTTATTGACCGTCATTCTGTCTGTACCAGGCTCTGCATCTTATTTCATCTGTCTTGCATGGCCCCATCTTTATGGCTCAGCAATGTAAGCTTTTTATTCCTTATATTTTTATACATGTAACACTTAAGCACTATTTACCTTAGTATAGCTCTTTTTATCCCTTATTTTTAAAATGTAAAACTTAAGCACTATTTACCTTAGTATAGCTCTTTTTATTCCTTATTTTTAAAATGTAAAACTTAAGCACTATTTACCTTAGTATAGCTCTTTTTATCCCTTATTTTTAAAATGTAAAACTTAAGCACTATTTACCTTAGTATAGCTCTTTTAAATACATATTTACCTGTGCCCGAGTACACAGGTAAATGTTACGCGTGTCCTACTCGGTAGAGGGCAGCGATGCGTCCTGTTAAAGTGGAGCTGCAAAAACCGTAAAAGAAGAAAGATGAACGGATGGCAGGATTTTTTTTTTTTTTTTTTTTGTAGGATGGTAGGGGAAGGTCCCGCCCTCTTTCGCCTCTGATTGGCTGGAAGTGCTAGGCTCCGATTGGTTATTCCTTATGGCTGTTAAACTTCATCGTCTGTCTGGTTAGGGTAAGGATTAGGGTAGGGTAAGGATTAGGTTTAGGGTTAGGGTAAGGGTATTCAGAAGTGCGATAATGTTCTGTTCGACGTACAGAGCCGACAGCCCGCGCTCGGTTTGAGCGTGTGATGACGTTTCACAGCCAATCAGAGACGAAGGAGGGCGGGACCTTCCCCTACCATCCTTCGGAAAAAAAATATCGCGAACGGGAAAGGATGATGCCATAAATTAATGTTAAAATGCAATCTTTTATTCTGTGTCATGGGTCGTCGTGAAGAGCTCAGTGAGTTTCAGAGGGGGACTATCGTGGGCTGTCACCTGTGTAAAAAGTCAGTCCGGGAGATCTCTGCTCTGTTAAACTTGCCTCGGTCCACTGTCAGCGCAGTGATTCTCAAGTGGAAACGTGGAGGAATAACCACGGCTCTGCCCCGGAGCGGCAGACCGCACAAGCTGAGGGAGGAGGACCGTCAAGTGTTGGAGAGAGTAGCGCTGGAAAACTGTCTGCCCTCGGTTGAAGCTATCGCCACCGAGTTCCAGGCCGCCTCTGGGGCCAAGGTGAGCCCCAGGACAGTCCGCAGAGAGCTGAGAGAGATGGGCTTCCGCGGCCGAGTGTCCACCTACAACAAGACGAGAGGTTAGTCCGGCGGCAGGTGTTTCGGTTTAAAGAGTGACCATGCCAGTTGACCAGGTCACACCTGCATCGAGCACCATGAGCTACAGTTTAGATAGAGAGTTTAAGGGGAGTGTCCACCTCTCTGAACCACTCCACACCTGTATGTTAATGCATGACATTGTTTTCCAAACGGTGTGAAACTGTCACGACACGCCCCCGCCTCCTGCTACTGCAGTGTTTAGGTCTCACCAATGGGAATGAGCTCTATTTAGACATTACTGCTACCCTTAGTACCTGGCCCCAGAGTTTCTCTGTGTGTCCTGGCAACTATCTGTCAGTTTTTCATTATCTAACCTGAAAAGTTTAATCGACATTATCACTCACATTGTATTTCAGTGAGTAAGACAGACCCACTGTGTATCTCTATTTTAGCTGCATAATGAAAACCTAATGTACAAGTGTGCTACTGTTTTAAGTTCAGAAGATCAGGAGACAATTTAGTCATAACTTTTTATGTTAAAAAGTCAGTTAAAAGTTGCAGCTTTGATTTGCAATCAGTCGACACGTAGCACTCGGATTATACAAGCCTTGGTTGATCTGCATTTAGTGGCAGCTTTGCAAAAAAGTACATTTTGAAATATAAACCATAAACTAGGTCACGTAACTAATTTATCAGATAATGCAAGGCCTGTCTTTTCTGAATAATGGACTGTGGTTGTGCCAATAAATGAACATGCGTTCTGTCAATTAAATTATAAAACTCACTGACATGCAGCGAACTTGGGACCTTGCCTGACTGATAATCCAGCTTTGTTGGTTATTATTTGTAAAAATCCATAAATATTGTGGAAAAGTCTGAATCCTTTAACCTGGGCCCAGTCTGAGCTCCTCACATGAGTCAGTCATTTCTGCAGCTGCTTTCACACAAAGCCATCTTTATAGATTGTATTCGATCTCTCAGAACTGCATTTCTGTTTCAAGTGGAACAATGTATTTCCATCTAGAGCTTTTAGAGGTTTTAATCAGCAACCTTTGCACAGTCTTAATATCATGCTGAAATATTTAGTCCTATTATTTAAAAAATCAAGCAAATGTGTGTGGCAACAATCAGGTCAGACACAGACTGAGAGAACTGGTTCTCTGTGGAGACGAGTTTGTGCAAAGTTGCTGTGACATGATTACCCAAATGAGATTTTTACCCAGCAGATTTAGGTTGTCCTGAATTGTATCATGTTTGGATACTGTGTATAGTTTTGAATAAGTTATCACTTACAATAATTTCTCATGCTTTAAACAGACGCCCAATAAATACCATTTATATCTATGCAACTTTGAGTTAACCATTTATATAGAGTGGATAAAAGGTTGGGATTCAATATGTAATGCTAAATCCACCATAAACTCAGATTATTGTAACACTATTTATCTTTCTATTCGTAGGTGCAGAGAAAGCAGAGAGGGAGCAGGCACCCCTGAATCAAGATAAGGCCAAGGTTGATGTTTCCCATCTGGACCTGCGCGTTGGTCGTGTAATCTCAGCTCTGCAGTTTGCAGACGCAGATGACCTGCACATGCTGCAGGTTGATGCTGGAGAGGCTTCACAAAGGACAGTGGTCAGCAAACTTGCCGAGCACATACCTCTGGACCAGGTACAGAGTCAGATTTATGTGATAAAATGTGTTGTGGGATTTCTCTATTTATTATTTTTTGAAAGTTTATTTGAGCTTGTTGGACAGACAATGACAGTCAACACCTTGCCTATCTCTGTTGGCTCTTGGAGTAAAGCAGAGCAGTTGCTCTGTCGTCTAACTTTCAGTCTGTGTTTACATGTAATGGCGTTTATGGCTTTAGATTTAAATAAGCAAAACTTTCTCAGGGACTTAGTTCTCTTATACCTGTTGGTTTGAGTTTTCTTCATGTTAATTTTTATCCATCTGAAATGAGAAAAAATGTTCTGATTCTGTTTTTTAGGGCACATAAGCTGTAAAGTTGTATTCCATCTTCTGTCTTTGGTGCAGATGCAGAACCGTATGGTGGTACTGCTGTGTAACCTAAAGCCAGCAATGATGAGAGGAGTGCTGTCCCAGGCGGCGATCATGTGTGCCCACTCAACAGAAAAAGTGGAAGTCCTCGATCCTCCAAGTGGGGCTGTGCCCGGGGACAGAGTTGTTTTCCAGGGCTTTCCAGGTAATCGCAACCCATCACATCTTTCTTGAAAAAAGGGAGAAAAAACAACTTTTTCTAGCCTGCAAGACAATGTAAATATTTTAGTAGTTTTAACAAGCAACTCATCAATAAATCTCACCAAATGGGACCCGCTAGAAAAAGTGAAATTTCATCAATCTTTATTGCTTCACCACCAATCCATGACAAGTGTAATCTCAAGATGTTCTCCATAAAGAGAAGGTCTCGATTATACTCTATTCAAAAATTATTTGCTAAGACAATATAATGATAGGATGTCCTCTTAACATACAGAAACCTGGAGCAGAACTAGACTTATTTTTAACAGCCGTCTGCCGTTACTGTACTGGGATCAAGCAGCAACCTCGGGTCTTCAGAAACATAGCCGGTGCAGGAGTGCTAAAAAACTGCTGTTCCTTTAGTTCCAACTTGAGGCTGGTTGTAAAAATATGGTGAGATAATGACGGTCAGATTGATATTATTTGTTGAAACTGCTGGACTCAGGCAGGTCTACAGTAGCAGGCTGTCTGTAGCAAAAAACAAGAGAGTTTGGGGACTCCCAAAGAGAACTATGGTTAGCCACTCTTACAGGACACGGAGGTTTAAAGTAGGGCTGGGTGATAAAATGATAACGATATATATCGAAAATTAATTTCCCTCAATATCAATTAAAACATGGTCAATATGCTTTTTGATACTCGGCATTCTGCCATGTTTCGGTAGACTATACAAATAGCCAATGAAGAGGGGAGTTGCTCCGGGTCTGCTTCACACTGAACCAATCGTGCTGAATTAGAACCAAGTAGCAAACAACTGCATAGTAGCAGACTGCAACTACATGCAACCATAGCTAACAACACGTGACGCAGACAGCACTGACGGTTGAATACAGCCGACCATTCACTCCACTTTCTCTAGTGCAAATGTTGAAGAGACACAAAGACCTCACAGGTGCAATAGCACTGTTAAATTTCATTTTTTATTTCATGATATATATCGATGTCGACCGCTATGAAAAAGATGTATTATGATAAACTTCCTTCCATATCGCCCAGCCCTACTTTAAAGTGAATAAACCTCTATTCACTGCAATTCTGCAACAAAGTTTGGAAAAAGTTCTTTCTTGTTGAAAAGTTCACAAAGCAAGTTCAATCAAAAAGACCTTGTTGAAAGATTTGAAGCTCTTACTGTGAGTTTGGCGTCATTGCCAAACATCACTGATCTCTTGTGCATATCCCTGCATCCACTTTCAATAATCTCCCTCATAGAAAGCACCCTTTCAGGAGATCAGAGGTTTTCCTGTTCGAAGTATTATTATGCAAGCACATAGGCAATAATAGTCTAAGAGGCATAAATCATGCATTACACATGGATGAGTCGAGAACAAGAAGTTTTTCTGTAATGTATAAATCTGGTTTATTGATTGCAGGTAAACCCGACAGGGAGCTGGACCCTGAACGGAAAGTGTGGGAGCAGATTCAGATGGACTTATACACAAACCACCAGTGTGTTGCAACATACAAAGGAGCTGCCTTTGAGGTCATCAGCAAAGGAGTGTGTAGAGCCCAGACTTTGAGTAACACAGAAATCAAGTGAACTCGCAAAGCTGTGAGAAAGATCTCAGAGTTGATCCTTGCAGTGAGACTAAACCCAAAGTGTTATGGAGAGTCTCCACAGAGGAATAAAGGAAGCAGAATCAGGCCTGTGGTTTTGGAAAGACATGACCAGCAGTCACATGGGTGTCATGTTTGACCGGCCTCATAGTTCTGAACTCTAAACCAAGCAAGGTGAAGAGTATGTTGCCCTCTGTTGGACAAACTTGAACACTATTGTCACATTTTGAATATGAAAATCTGACATTTCCCTCTGTGATCAGAGGAGGGCACTACAGTGAGTGTAATAGTCCACAGTACATGTGAGTTTGTTGAAGAGGGATACACAACACACCCTCACAGCAAACAAGGTGAACAGAAAATGGAAGTCTTCACAGAAACTTTCTTTGGTTTGGGGTATTTTGGCAAAATGAAAATGACACCAGAGAAATCATTTCTATAGAACAGTGAAGGAAACTCCAAGGTGCAAAAGCCCCGTTGCAAAAACAGGACTGAGTGGTTTTACTTTCTTCAGGGAGAGGGAATAAAGTAGGAAATTAGAGAAATTTACCAGTTCTCTGAGCTCCTTTAGTTTAAGTCTCTTTACAGTAAGTGGGATTGCAACAGTATGAGAACTTCCTGGCACAATTCCCATCTCAGAAAATATTAGGGTCCTATCGAATACTGTATTGCTCAGTTATTGTTATTTTCAGGTCAAATGTCCTTGTAAGTAAAGTGACAGGATGGTCTGTCAGTGTAAGAATCATTTCAATGTCGTTTCTTCAAACGTGATATCTAAAGCAGTAAAGTCATTTGTAAGAAACATTAATATCAGAAAACGTGTGTACTTGTTAAGACAATGCCCTAGTTTTGAAACACTGTTATGACAAAACAAGTTTACCACTGCAACCAAAATCAGGGCAGTCGGTCACCCTTCAATCAACTGCATAAATTCATGCAAATACTTCCATGATCTAGAGCAGTGTCATATCAGAAACTTCCCTTTTTCAGCCTCAAGGACTGAATATTAAAAACATACTTTTGAAAATAAACTCAGATGTATTTTGTTTCTACAGTATGTGTCTGTGTGTGATTTAAACCAGTGAATGGACAGTGTTACTCTGTTCTCAGACACTCAAAGACGAGTTTACTTAATCTTCAGGTTTTGGTTCACGTCAGCCTTCTTCATCGTCTCCAATAAGCATATTCATTATAAAATGGACAGAGGAATCCATTTGCAACAAACTGCTTTCGTGTCATACTCCAAATATTTACCAAAAATAAAGGAGAACAAACAAACACAAAGAAGCTCTTCTTCCTGTATTTTAAAGGAAGAACTGAGAAAGCGCATGTAAAGAAAGGGGATGTGATTCAGGAACTCTGATACAGAAGGGCTTGTCCGACAAGTCGCAGTGGTGTTGTTGACAGGGTTATAAACCTTTTTGTGAGAAAGAGTTTTTCACTCATTACAGTCTGAACAAAGTGTGGAATATGCTGACTTTAATTATTCATATTTATTGTTGGGAATATGCTCAAATTTGAATTTAGTTTTCCATAAAATATGTTTGAAGTTCAATACACTGGTGTTTCCGTGACATTTTCACTCATCTTGACATTTGAAACACAAACAATCCCACAGATTTGGTGAAGAGATGGTGAGTCTGGTGTGTGTTGTTTGCTTTATTAGTAACCATGTCTGTGCTTCAGTTTGCCATTATGAAAGCTGATACACCCCGGTTACTATATCATAATCAAATGTAGAAAGTTATTTATCACATGGGGCAGATGCAACCAGTAAATTCAGATTACAATGGTCTCTTGAAGCGAATGTGTAACAAAAACTATGAAGTCATGAAAGTTGCTTTTGTAAAAACCCCAGACCCACCAAAATAGACAAAGGTGCTTTTCATCTCTTACCACAGTGAGCACTGACAAATACTAAAGCCTGACCTGAATAGAATATATTTAATTTTAAAAGGTTAAAAGTGTTGATATGAATGTCTATCACCCCCCACACCCACCATAAATAAAGTCTACTCATGTAGAAACCCCAGAGGAAACCACACGAGTCTGTGCAGGTACTGTAACGGTGCCTCACCCATTTCTGGCCGTGCATCTGCAGCAACATTTCATATATGGAGGGGGGAGCTTTGTATGTTTGTATCCTGTAGACTCGGTGCGGTTCGTTAGAGGGGAAAGTTTAAACAACCGCTGAAAGCAAGTTTCAGTCGAGCTGAGTCAAATTATAAATAAAAACTGGCTCCCCTTCGTCCCGCATCCTGTTTTTGAGAAGGCATGAACTGCAGGAAACCCAACAGAAACCCTCCTCCACAGCTGTGACAGAGGCTCACTGTGTTTGAGTCGTCTATCTTTTTTTTTTCTCGCTTTATTACTTCTCTTGTACAATGATTAATTGTGCATACCCAGTTACAAATCCCCCAGCATATGCAAAGCAGAAGTGGGTCCAGACTTTTTTGACTGAGATGCCCAAACTGGGACATGGTCTTTGGCAGGAGCAGCATGTAATACTATGTTTGTCAAAAATCACAACTTAAAGCATTAATTAGAGGAAATATGCCAAATTAAAATGCAAAGAAAACTATAAGCAGTGATGATTATTTGAACATAGGAGAATCCTAAGTCCGACAAGACAAAAAATATCACAGTTTAGGATTCAGGAGGGGCCATGACCTCACCTGTCCATCTGTCCCTGCCACAGAGTCCCATCTCAGATCCATTTGGCTATAACTTGTGATCCACAACAAAAATGTTCAATGTTTCTTTTAAATATTTGTGATTTTGCCCTGAATACAAAACAGTAACAACTGGTCAATTCCCAGAATCTGTTGGGCCTTGTGTTACTTTTTCTGCATGGAGACTACAAAGGTTCACTACATTGTGTTTCTGTAAAGTGGAAGTGGGTTTTTTGTTTGCACTGCTATAGGGTTACTTTAAAGTTCCCAGCAAGGAACTGATGCATCGATAGTTCAGCAGAGTGGTTCCCAACCTGAGGCCAGGTTTCTCTATAGGGGGGCACAAGGGTTTGTCTGCCTCAGAATGACTAAAATCCTGATAATACACTGGCTAGATGATGTGTAATGAATTAACTTTCCTCATCAGAGAACATTAAAATAGTTTATTTTTGACAGCAGTACATCACTCTTTTTCTGTAAGGGTCTTAGTAGAGCCTTCTACAGTAAAGCAGAGGTGCTCCAAGGAAAGGGGGTCTGAGACCACTGGTGTAGCATATGTTAGGGATGACCACCTTTGCCTTGGAAGTCACGGCAAAATAAGCTTTCCCAAGAAATGTTGTGGCAAGAAACGGATCAAGTCAACTCTCAAGAGAACGTCAGGAAAGAAAAATCAGAAGATGAAAAACAAGGAGCCACAGGACACAGACTCCTCAGATGCTGATGAGAACTTCTGTATTGTTTGCATGGAACACTTTAATTACTCAAAGCCAAATGAAGGCTGGGTTCGATGTATGGCCTGTAGTCTGTGGGCCCATGAAGCCTGCACTCCAGGAGTGCCATACATCTGGCACGATTGTGACTCTGACAGTGACTGACAACTTGGGATTCACATACACATGCACACACACACATACATACACTGCTGTTCAGTTGTTGAAGTCATGGCACATTTTGTTCCGTTTTATTATGATGTTCAAATGTTAGTGTAAGACCTGTAGGCCACTGGACCCATAAGGTCAGCATATGCAAAGGAAGGTGAGAAGGTGGAGAAAGGTGGAGGAAGGTAGAGAATATCCTAAAGAACATGGATCACCCACTTCACAACACCTTGATGGACCAAAGGGCCAATGGTGGTGGACGGCTCCTCTCTCTTCGCTGCAGGACAGAAAGATTCAGAAGATCTTTTGTACCAACAGCCATTACACTTTATAACTCTTGTGTAAATAGTAGATAACTGTTAGAGACATGTCAAGAGAGACAACAGACAATTTAATTTCCCTTCAGGGATCAATAAAGTTCTTTTTATTCTTATTCTTATAAGGCCCACACTCTAGGAGTGCCATAGAAATTGTCTACAATATCTCTTGTCACCACTGTGAGTGACGATGCTACACACACACACACACACATACACACACGTAGCCTACTTGTATTCAGTTGGTGCATATTTGCACATTTTGTTCAGTTATGGTATGTTCAGTTGTCAGTCACTTCTATGACTGACAGTAACTAACATATAGGCTCAAACAAACAAACACACACATACACACACACACACACACACCAGTTATGTTAAAATGTTGTTAAAGTGTTAAATAAAAAGCTTTTAATCAATAAAGTTTTGTCTTTATCCTGATTTTATAATGTTACATATCACTCCAGGGTATGTTACAACTAACCCTGACTATGGGGTGAATTGTAATGATTCACTGCTTGTGTTTGAGACTAAATTATGCGTTGTCTGTTTGTGTTGCAGGGGTAACTGCTACAGCCTTTCATAGCAGACACACATGATACCTAGTTGGTATCACAGTTTGATGCATTGGCTTCAAAGAGCTCTAAGATACAGACAGAAATGTCAAAAATGTCGCAACCATCCCCGGTCTCCCCTACTCAAACAGGACAGATGAACCTCTGTTCAATCGCCGTGGATCGGTTTGATAATGTTCATATTAATTCATTACCTCCTCGTGTGTCTCCACCTCCCGTACACTGACGTCGCGCGGTGGTTAGCCCGTGACGCGCTCACGGCTGTATTTTGCGTGCGGTGTCAGCGGCGGCGCTGCAGCTCAGGAGAAGAAGGAGGCGGAGGAGGAGAGCAGTCCTATTGTCGGGTTTACAGTTACAGTATCGCCTCACTGCTTCACAATCTACACGGACATTTCAGCTCAGAGAGCGCACGGACAAGTCACAGCTGGTTTGGCTTGATTGTTTGGCGTTTTTCTCCTCGAACAGCATCGCAAACCGAGACACTGACAGGATCGCACCTGCTACGGATCATGAACAACAAAGCCTGATCCAGCACGGCGCGGTGCGGCATCAAACCCGAGCCAGGCTGCCAACGAAAGATCGAAGAGAAACACACATTAGAAAACCTCCGTGCTGCACACAGGGAGGCTGGTGTTGCAAGAAAAAGGTGTCTGTGCACGGATTTTGCTGTTGGACCTCCATATTGCAGGCCGATCAGAGACAAATCGTGTCCTGTAGGTTTTAATTATAGCAACGCTTACATGCGCGTCTGACTTTCTTTGGCTCGGGTATCCAAAAGTAGGCGATATTTGAAGGGTGGAGGAGGCGGAGAATACCAGGCCTCCACTGGGGTTTTAATAATTGAATAACCCCCTCCAGGTCTGATCAGGCTGATGGTCGCCGTCTGCAGTCCTGTGTGTTCAATGTTCCCTTAAAATTGTCGAGAAATATGTGGGTCAGTCCCGAAGATGTGTTACTGGCGGGCGCCTTATGGATCACCGAGAGAGCAAATCCATATTTCATCCTTCAGAAACGGAAAGGCCACGGGGACGGAGGAGGAGGACTGGCAGGTGAGTCTGATTACTCAGCTGTCATGGATCAGTCCTTAAAATGTCGATATTTCCTCTTCAGTTGAGAGTTTAAAAGGGTAACAGCTGATGAAGAAGTCAGCTGGGGTTTAGTGTTGCTGTTGTTGGACATCAGAAAACACATGGACGGATGGGTGATGATCACATGACCTATCAGCTGCTACAGGTGGCCTTTCACCTCAATGTGCCTGTTAGGAAAGATCAGCTGAAACCCTCTGATTTTCTTACTTACTCATTTCTTCAAACAGCCTGTACTTAAGAATAAATGTGCTGAAACCAAGTCCACTGTGTACCCTCTGATCTTGTAATTCCTCCTGAAATCTGATCATATTTATTGTACACTGTTGTGATCAGACTTTTCCTGCTGCAAGCGGACATTAGCTCCCAACACTGTTGAGTTCGAGCTGGGTCTTTTGTGCAGATGTTAATGGCCGTGGAGTCCCAACAACAGTGCGTCTGTTTGACAACCAACCAGAGAGACTTGGTCTGTTTGCTTGCTCATGCTGAATCATTCCCCGTCTTCCTTCCTTCCTTCACTATCTCTTACTCCTCCCTCCTGCTTATTCCAGCCAAAATGGGTCAAGCAGCAGCAGGAGGAAGATGATGAAGATGAAGAAGAAGAAGAGGAGGAGGACAGGAGGAGGGGGGCAGGTTATGAAGATGTAGGGCTGAGGTTTACACTTTAACAACCTGCAATCCTGGTCTCGACATCTCCGACAGTATGTTGAGATATGGCTCATTTTCAGACCTGGATTTATGTGGATGCAGTTAAAATGTGTAACTAAAGGGTTTACAATATGACCATGAGCAGGATCCAGCTTCTCCGCACTGCTGCTGTGTTAAAATAGTGAACCGCACAGTGAACCTGGGACTTCTAAGTCCCCTGGTGGTCACAGGCAGGCTGACCTCTCTTGGCTAGTTGGTTGTGGGTCATACCTTTACAGCTGTTAATGCTAGACATGTCACATGTGCAGGAAACATATAGAATCTGGACTATTTAATGGCACAGTTTTGGCCTTGATACAGATGTGATTGACCAGTGCAGTTGATCGGCGCATTTATCTCACTTACAGGAACCAAACCTTCTAGTTTTATGTCATGATATCACAATGAGATACTTCAGTGTTTTTCTGTAAACCGTCTGTTTTTGCCTTTCTGGGGTAAGGAAAGCTTTATGGAAACAGCTGATAGTGGCTGATGTGGTGAGGATTCAGCAGGTGTAATTGTGCATATGCATCATCAGGTGGGCTATCAGGGTGCTCCATTACTTTTTTAAGAGGCTCAATGAGAGTTGGCATGTGGATGCATTATGCATGTAAAAAAACATAAACCGAATTTTATCTACTTTTTGTCATTTTAAATAAAAATGACTGATTGTAAAGTTAGTCCCCAACTCACTGCTTTCTGTGAAGATTAGATCAGAAAACCTAAAATGAAAACATGAAACAAATGAAGTTGTGTAAGAAGACAATTCAGCTAATTTGATTAATTTCAACTGTCAGAGTCTCAGTTCAGTGCTGCAAAATCTCAAGTCTGATCTAATCAAGTCTGACTAATAATCTAAAGATACGATAAGATTCAAACTTGACAGGAATCCAAGTACAAAACTCTGGTAGCAAATCCAGATGATAACATTAAGGATTAGACACTTTTTGACATGAATAATTTAAACCGAGAACCAAACCATCTCTTACCCGGCTAACACAAAGAGTGCTGAGTGCCGCCAGGCGATGATGTCATTCTTATGTAAATGCTGAGATTGCTGACTAGTCCTGTGTGCCAGTTGGCATCGAGCACCCAGGGACCCTGGCATTGTCCACCAGCTCTTCTTGCAGGGTAGGGAAAGAAAACCATGAGCAGAGCCTGGAAAGAGAGAGAGAGCTGTGTACTGAGCTGAACACAGATCTGCATTTCTGACCCTGCAGGACCCAAGCTCTGCCGTCAGAACTCATGGGGTTTGATTCAAAGACAGCAGATTTTTGTTTCCCTCCATACAATTCTGGTTGATTTCAGAAACATGAAGAGAGGTTGAGAGTTTGTGGAATTGCTCTTAAGAAAAACTGAGAAATTCCACATCTTGAGATAGTCAATCATCTCATTATCTTGTGTTTTGTGGTCTAGAACTTAGAGAAATGTGGTCATAAGATATCTCCCAAGCATCAATGAAATCCCTGAGTCTGTCAAACTGAGAATATGTGGTCTCCGAATTCAACTTCAGTTTAATACTGAGAAGGAAATGTCAACTGAGTATAGAAGGTGTAGATATTTTCTGTATCTGTGAAAACGACTAACAGAAAATGTTAATGTTTTGACTTAATTTTAAAGGGAATGACGTGAAAGCAGAATGAAGTTTGTGTTTAACGTGAATGAAAATGTGAAATGTGTCTGACCTGCACCAAGGCTGATAAGAGTACTACACTATGGAGGATTCTGTTTGCATATCTACCTGCTCATTGTAGACTATCCCTTTGTGTTACTTCCTCTAAAAGGAATGTTATTTGTTTTTATACTCAAAGGCTTGTAGAACAATGATGATGCTCTATTTATAGTGTTTTGATTAGTTGAATATATAAAATATGTGCAGAGAATAGCAATAAACTGTCTGGTGGGATTTAAAGGCACCCCTCTAGGTTTAAAACCAGTAATAGTCCGAGTATTAAATCAGAGTGACAAGGTTTTTTTTAAGTGTAGTGCATGTGTAAACAACACTATCAGGTGTCACAAGGTCAGGAAAAACCTGTCGGATTGTTTGAACAACCTCAAGACAACACAATCTCATAAAACCACAATTTGACCTACAAGAAGATTTGAAGTAGGTCAAACTGCAGTGTAGTAGTTTACTTCCTCACTCGAGTGGTTTAATACAATTTACATGATACAGTAAACCTACGAGGCGCTCAGCTTTTGACACTCATTTATAGTGTTATTTAATAGAGTTTGCATGTGCAGAGACAGCAGGAGAGACGGTTCAAAAGAAGTCTCTCTGTCTTTGTTGTCTATAAGTGGACACAGTGATGGTGTCATCAGAGAGGAAACAGAATCAGGCTGTAAATAAACTTAGAGTCAGGCTGTAAATGACATCAGAATCAGGCTGTAAATAAACTCAGAATCAGGCTGTAAATAAACTTAGAGTCAGGCTGTAAATGACATCAGAATCAGGCTGTTAGTAAACTCAGAATCAGGCTGTAAATAAACTCAGAATCAGGCTGTAAATAAACTCAGAATCAGGCTGTAAATAAACTCAGAATCAGGCTGTAAATAAACTCAGAATCAGGCTGTAAATAAACTCAGAATCAGGCTGTTAATGACATCAGAATCAGGCTGTTAATGACATCAGAATCAGGCTGTTAGTAAACTCAGGATCAGGCTGTAAATAAACTCAAAATCAGGCTGTAAATAAACTCAGAATCAGGATGTAAATGACATCAGAATCAGGCTGTTTTTAAACTCAAAATCAGGCTGTTTTTAGACTCAGAATCAGACTAAATAAATTCAGAATCAGGCTGTAAATAAACTCAGAATCAGGCTGTACATAACGTTAGAATCAGACTGTAAATACACTCAGATTCAGGCTGTTGCACAGTTTTAAACAGTGGCGCCTACAGAATTAGACAATGCAACAACTTGAATCATTGTTAAACACCATATTTCACAATCTCCTTTATTACCAAACAATGTGCAGCTGAAAATGGGTCAGAGCAGCAAATGCTGACCACTTATAGGTTATCCGGTTATCTCAAACTTTATGACATGTTTGACCTCTCTAGGTGTGGAGATGTGGAGAAATGATGAACATACATTTGGTTTCATACATGGAGGCAGTGACTCTTGCATGTAATGATTGAGGATCACTCAGGTTTCTGTTATTGGATACAGTATTGATTTAAGTCTGGGGGAGATTTTAGTCTCCCTGGTGTGTTCAGTGCAAACATCCCCCACCGACATCCAGCCCTTCTTTCTTCAGAAAGAGGATGTAAACAAGAGGAAAATTTTCCCCTTATAGCTATTTGTTTTTTGTTCTTCCTCTGAGTAAATGTTAAAAAGTAACACATGCATATCTAAACCACCTAAGGGCAGGTGCTGAGTGGAGCGAAAGTATAACCACAGTAAAGAGAAGAAAACAGTGTACGAGCTCTTGTCTTCTATCTCTTCCTCTAAATGAAAACACCAACGTTTCAGGAAAGGTGATTTGTTTTGCTCCGACAATAGCGAGCTCTCATTGGCTTCTTGTTTCTCAGAAAAGAGGCACAAAGCGTCACGTGATTTTATCACTTGTTCTTTTTAGAGGGAGAGTGTTTTCCAGCACCCAGAAATAACAAGTGGAACGGTACACCCATTACAGTGTCTGTTGTCTTTGCCCTGTCGGCTCTACACCCACTCTCTCAGGAAAGTATTGGTATAAATGCAGAGGTGTGTGGTGGAAAAAGCAGTCACATGGACTGTTGGGACTTGCTTGTACATAAACAAACAGAGTCAAGTTTAATCCGTATTAGCAAAGTGTTTTCTTTCTTTATGTCACTCTCTTGGTTCTCACATATGCAAGTCTGACTGGTTAAGGAAAAGGGTGGATGTCAAGTGGTCTTAAGTTGTCAGTGGTCTCCTTTCTTCTATGTAACCAGTTTCCTACACTAAACCTCAGCTCACACCTCTCGGGTTGCGCATTTAACATCCAGGTTTTCTGCGTTTTATAAAAATCCCCAAGACTCGAGGAATGATGTGTACTTGTGCTGTGAGAACATCACTTTGGAAATTCCCCTTTTTAGGATGAAAATACACTGAAAAGGCATCACTGAGGTCAACGCCTGACTAACACTTCAACCTTTAAACCCATCGATTCTCTTTGTCAAAGGGGAAGTTGTCTTCACATTAACAACAGTTGTTTGTTTCTCACAAAGGGATGAAACCGAGGTGTTAGTTTCAGTGTGATTGAACCCCCTCACACCCCCCACGTACACACAAACACACAAACACACACACATGCAGTGATAGAGACTTCTGTTTTATTGACTCCTGCTGCCCTGATGATTGGCTTAAAAACATGGACGTTTTAGATGTCTGTGCATTATTGGCCTCACGAAAAGTTAATGTTCGACATAATAAAATCATGTGAGTCTTGGACACACTGTGTTAACTACCTTTCTGTTGAGGTGCTTTATTTTTGCAAAGAGAGGTTTACAGAGGGAAACAGGCTAAGGAGGAAGAGAAAAAGGAGTGGACTAATGAAAGCGAGGAGTAAGAGATCGTAACCATAGTCTGGAGTCTTTGGGAAATCTATGCTGCAGGTCTAAACCACAAAGATGCACCTGTTTTATTGCATCTCTTATCATGTTTTCATATAAAACAGAGAAACATTTCAGCTTCCCTCACTTGTCTCCTCTCTCCCCCTCCTCCCCTCGCTCTTTGCTCGCTGTGACTCATCCAGTGTTTGCCCTGATGAGCTGCAGAACAAAAATAACCTGTCTCTCTTGTGGTGGTTCGACGTATACAGTCTCCACAGCAAGGACAGTATGCAGTCACTGACAGCACTGCAAGTGTTTTGAATCAGACATCCAAAAGGCATACGGCAGGTTTCTAAACTGCTTATAATTGTAGTAGCTACCACTTTTCTAATCAGCCACTCTTCGCAAAAGGTTTTGAAGGTTTAAACTGCTCCAAGATCAGTTATAAGCCATTATTAGGGAACTGCTTTTCGGGGTTTACAGGATGTGAAAATCTTACTGGAGTTGGAGTCATTGACAACCAGGAGTCATGTCATGAATCAAAGGTTGTTTTTCAGTCATTATTTTGGGCCTTTTGAGTGTTTATTGAGAGGACCGGACAGTTAATAGACTCAGGATTAATGGACGGCAGAGGAGGAAATGGCAGTAAAAAGCCACAGGATTGTCGCCTCTATACCGGAGAAACAGGTTTTGTCCTAAAGTCTAAACCAATGCCCAAAATGTGTTGATTCTTATCATAAATGATAGAAAATAATATGTATATATATGTGGTATGTTGTCTTTGGAGGAAAGTAATATCCAAAAAAGATTGTAGTGTTTTTGTTTTTGATACCCCAAGATTTATAGAGCTGGTTCTCTTTTATACAGCTGATCATCTTATACCCCCAATGTCTCTACAGTAGCCCAGAGAGGACAAACCATCTAATTGCTTGATAGTGGGCCAATATTTTAAGTGTCATGTCAGTCTTTTTTATATTGTAAAAGGAGTATTTTTTTTACATTTGGTAGGAATCAATAGACTTATGATGAGATGCCAACAAACTGTTTCTTAAAACTCTCCATGAAGGACTGCAGACATTAAACTGTACCTCTGAGTGTTGTCTGGGTTCATCATGGACAATAACTATGTCTCCAAAAATTTTCAGTATGAAAAAATCAATAAAAATGATTTCATGGAGATTTTATTTTGAGTTAAACCAGCAGATTTTTGACCCCCAAGCTGTGATCAAATATTGTATTGCATCTTAGATAATCAACATCTCAGTTTTTTGTTTGTACTGTGCACGGTGTCTGGATAACGTGTTCCTCCTTTGGCCTGATTTTTAGCGTAAACACATTATGCGAGGGCCACTGCTCTTGCAGATCAGTGAAAAATACAACATGTTTTATCACCTCACCCACCTGCTCAGGAGTATCATTAAACTAATTACTAATTAAATGTCCAACATCAGGTTTCCCTATAATGAAACTCTGTCATCAGTTTAACCTTCATGGCTCTTTCTTGTTTTATCACAGCGGCTCATTTGTGCTCCTCCTCAGCTGATTTTTCTCTTTGATCACCTCTTCAGCTCCATCCGTAGTTTAAGATGCTTTCAGGGCCTTCAAATATCAAAATCCCATTTAGTGATCATGTCCACAATAACAAGATAATCCTCATAAAACAGCCTCACATGGAGTAATACATATGCAGATCAGCTATGCAAATGGTAAACAAAAGCTTTAATGTGGAGCAGCGGGATGCTTTTCTGATGTTTAAATCTTGGACCACGAGACCTTGTGGGTTCCCTCTGTGCCTCAGCATGACAAAACACTCTGAAAGTATTAATGTATTTGATTTGTTAAGCAACTCACATGGTTATTTATGGTTGTTACAAATCTGTAAGGGCTTTTGTTTCACAGCTGAGCAAATTTATAAGTTAACATTTGTCATGAGTTAAATTCGGGGTGTAAAGTTTGTATTGTTTTTGGAGCAACGCTGTAAGCTCTTTATTTATGCTTTCTTGAAATCAGAAGTTTTTCCTCTTCCAAGTGTTTAAAGATCTCAGAGTTTATTTGTGTATTTGGGCTTTTGCAGGTTTGCTGGTTGGGACCCTGGACGTGGTCTTGGACTCCAGTGCTCGTGTGGCCCCTTACAGGATCCTGTACCAGACCCCAGACTCTTTAGTTTACTGGACCATTGCCCATGGTATGTGCACTTTAAGTCTTGGTTATTAAACATATATTTAGATGGAGGGAAAGTAATAGCAGGGGATATTTATCTGCACTTCCAGGCTGTTCATGCATGAGTTATCGCAGTGTTAAACCCTTCTGTGTTTTTACCCCCTGCACTCCCCTCCCTATTACACAACACGCAACCTTCATCATCCTCTCATGTTGGCTGCTGGATGCCAAGCATTACACCATGCTCCAGTGATTTTAAAGGGAACATGTGCAGAAATCAGTGCTCGAGCGATGGTTGTTGAGTTTTTCACCTTGATGGAGCTTCTCTGTGGTCTACTGGTGTGTGACAGACTTAGCATATTCTGCATACACAGAGCTTAACTCTCCATTTTTTCCAGTTACACTGCTTTGTAGACATTCTGCGAAAGTAAATCATGCATATTAACAGCCTCTCTGCAGAGTGATTAGGAGCAGCACTCTCTCTTTCATTTTGTCACTGAATATGAAATGATCCAAGCTGTGTGTTAGAAGAAGCTTTGACGCTTTCAACACACAGCCAGAGCTGCGAACAGTAACACCCACTTTCATTCTGGGATTCATTTTTAATTGCTGATTATTCCTCAAATAATCTCTTTTTAGTATTTAAATGTATGTGGACAGAAAGTTTGGCATACTGTTAAAGTTTTGCACTAAAAATGCATGAGGGATTCGGCTTATAGTTTGTGACATGAAAACAGTGGATCATTGCATTTCAAATGCCTGCAAAAGTGAATTCATGGCACGTAGTCTTGAAAAGTTTGTTGATTTTCAAAGATGTTCAATAAACTGCACAACAAACAGGGGTAAGAAGAGATGCAAGAGTTCTGCTTGGAGAGGATTTCAAACACAGAGACTGTTGAGGTTGAATTCAAAGGGAAATGTTCACATAGGTTTTGTACAGAGGTTTCAAGAAGTGCGACTGTGTCTGTTAAAAAAAAGGGTTTTGTCGCCCTGGAGTGTCACTTGAGTCAGCATTTGCTGGGTTTGAAGATGTCAGTCTTGACAGTCCAGAGTGAAGCTGACCTGGAACAAACAAAACAAAAGGGTTCATTGCTCAAGAAGTGATGTGTTCTTATAAGCTCAAAGAAAAATATGCAGCAATAGAAACACAATTTCAAGTCTCAGTCCTTAATTTAAAGCCTGACTCTTTGTGGTTTCTATCTAACTTTTGCCTTTCTAAAATATGCTCGTTAATTTTTATACACACACATGTGCTGCCGTGCTTTAAAGTGTGTTTTGGCATCTGTTCTGTTGTAGTTTCGAATGTCAAATTAAACATATCTAGTCCCCTGTCAAAGATGTTTGTTCACTGTGTGAAAGAGTTGAATTTAGCCGTTGTATTCCTATATTTTTTCCTCTCTGAAATGGAGGCCTACAAAATACAAACTTGGCATTTCTGAAATGGCAAATTGATCCCCTCCTCCTCCCCCTCTCCACCCCTCCCAGTGCTTAAATCCTCAGCACAGAGATAGCAGCAAAGTGGAGCACTCTGGCAGACACAGCTAATTCAGTGTATGTGCACTCACTGGAGGCTGTGTGCAGCACTGTTGAGGGATAATGGTCCACGGAGGCAGCCATTACTGCAACCAATTTCTCCTCTGGCCAGGGAAAAATCCTCTTATAACCCTCCTGGTTACAGAATTACATTGGGCATATCTGTGTTTCAGTTAAAACATAAAATCAAACAAATATATGTAATTTTACTCTCTGCTCTTGACAATTTGGCATTATGTGCCTATTATTCAGTTAAAGAGGATCTGGAGAGTCACAGTTTAAAATATAAACTCATTCAAATCCTCATCATGAGCTTTAGTTTCCATGACTTTAACATAACTTTTGCCTAATCTACTAATCAGTCTTTTTGGTGCATTGACTTACTCGACTCTGTCTTTTGCAGGAACCTCTCGTAAAGAAATCACAGAGCACTGGGAGTGGCTGGAACACAACCTGCTGCAGACACTCTCCATCTTTGAGAATGAGAATGATATCACAACCTTTGTCAAAGGAAAAGTTCAGGTGACTTTGTCTCGTTGTCTCTAATAAATATTATAGTTTGACTCTTGGGCTTCAAGCTCAAAGTGATGTTTCATGGTTGTGTAGTATTTGTTCCAGCATGAGAATGGATTATAGAGAATGTGAACCACACTTGAAGTTGTGTAAATTATTTGCTGTGCCCATGGCTTTTTAATTCGTCATGCTTGTCGTTTAACAACCAGCAAGTAGATCAAGTGATAAATTTATCCTTAGCATTTGCAATATTAATATAGTTATGGTTCACATTCAGTCTGACAAAAACTCATCCTACAGACTTTTGACAGTCAAATATATCATTTATTGGGAATATTCAACAAAAATATCTAAGATGGGAAATTATTTAAAAAATGGGCTGGCTAATTAAAACTGTTAATGTTGTCGCTGATGATCTAGTTTGTTTGTGTTTACTTTATAAAGGACTCAATATGTCTGCAGTTACATTCAGAAGAGTCAGATAAAAACACAAAGGTTCACGATTTGTCTGAATAGTTCTCACTTAAATTTTGCCCATTTACTCCTGGCAGTGTAAAGCCATCATATGATTTTCACTTCCAAACATCAGTCCCAGTCCCATTATCCAGTTCAGCTCACTGACTCATACTTCTTGTCTGTTTCCGTTTTCCTCAGGGCATCATCGCCGAGTACAACAAGAATCACGATATCAAAGAAGACGACGATACCGACAAGTTCAAGGAGGCCAGCGCAAAGTTTCGTAAGCTGTTTGGGATGCCGGAGGAGGAGAAGCTGGTTAACTATTACTCCTGCAGCTACTGGAAGGGCAAAGTGCCACGGCAGGGCTGGCTTTACCTCAGCATCAACCACCTCTGCTTCTACTCCTACCTACTGGGAAAAGAAGGTTCGACATACAGCTGGTCTAAACACACACAGTCAGTTGTACGACTACTGTCTATCCCTCCACCTCAAAGTTTTGTCTCTTTACTTTGATTTCATTTTTGCAGTTTAGTAACTTTTAGTACAAACTTTTTACACGTTTTACTTCTTCACAAAAACGATCTTTGACCGCTCAAGATTTCAGATTTACTTGATTAAGAAAATATATTGAAAAGATGAAGTGCTGTCCAATATCAAACCTCTGCTCTCCACCCCTCAGTAAATTATGTAAACATATAATTGTATAATATTCTTCAAAGCCTATCCTGAAAGACCACTGATTAGCTTATCCTTTCAGTGCTGACGTCTCTGTCTCAATCTCTTTCTGGATTGGCAGTAAAACTGGTGGTGCGTTGGGCAGATATCACCCAGCTGGAGAAGAGCGCCACCCTCCTGCTGCCAGACGTGATCAAAGTGAGCACCCGGGTCACCGAGCACGTCTTCTCCGTCTTCCTCAACATCAATGAGACGTTCAAGCTGGCCGAGCAGCTGGCTAACATCGCCATGCGCCAACTGCTGGACAACAAAGGCTTTGAGCAGGACCGCTCGCTGCCCAAGCTGAAGAAGAAGTCTCCGAAGAAGGTGTCAGCTCTCAAGAGGTGAGGAAGAAGAGATACAGAGTATTAACATTTACTCACAAATGAACGTTAAATGGTTTTTAGGCACATTTATAAGATTAAAGTTAATTGATCAGTATAGATGTGTGATTGTTGGTAGAGCTGTTGTTCAGACCCTTCAGCACTATAAGTGAAAGTCTAAAAATGGAATCCCAGTTTACTAAAACACATTTAGTATATTGTTAAGAAATAAAAAGAGGTGTTGTTTTGGCTGTATCTGGTGTCCGCAAGCTTGTTGAGATTTAATGATATCCAATTTTGCATGGTCGGCATGTTTTCTAAAAGTATGACTGTGTTTCTCTACAGTGTTTTATTTAATCATTCAGTCTGAAGGGCTTTTAATAGTTGCTCTTGCATAAAACATAATGTTCTTTAACAGAAGCCTCATTGTCATCCATGCAAATTTAAATTAAAAAGAAGCATTCATACAGAGTTAAAACCAGAGTTACTTCTACAGGCAGTATTTTCCTTACATAAGTCTTGATATTTTGATGCCGGAATTGTGTTAAAATCCAAACAACAAGCTGTTAGGTCATATCTTAACATACTTCTGCTTTTTCTGTAGGGATCTGGATGCGAGAGCCAAGAGTGAGCGTTACCGAGCGCTCTTTCGTCTACCCAAAGATGAAAAACTGGATGGGCACACAGACTGCACTCTGTGGACCCCCTTTAACAAGATGCACATCCTGGGTCAGATGTTTGTCTCCACCAACTATATCTGCTTCACAAGCAAGGAAGAGACACTGTGTAGCCTAATCATCCCGTTACGTGAGGTCAGTTGTTCTGTCTTCACTTTTGAGTCCGGTTATTAACAGCTTTGGAGATTGCAGGTTGTGAAAAAATAAGCGCTATGACCAAAATCTGTGGTGTTTCAACGCAAACTAGCTATTACTAACAAAATGCTGGAAATCAACATAGCACTGTCTGCTCGAGACCAACCAGTCAACTGGACAGGGAGTTACAATGACAAACAATTAAAGCTAATTTGAACAGCTGACACTATATGGCATTAAGTTTTGAAATTTGTTGTTAGATTGTGTAGCATCTTCTGTTGCAAATCAGTTCACATAAGGATCAGTTCACATGAGGATTTACAATATTAGCAAATTAGCATTAGCAGTGTCAGTTAGCTCACGTACAATAAGTCCAGATGGGTTTGGGTTAGGGTTCGTCAATGTAGAAAATATTCACTTAATACTAAATATTAGTTTGGTCTGAAATCATAACTTTAAGGATATGGCGTATTTGCTGTTACTGTGTTTTCGTGGTAGCTAAGGGTTTCCATTTGTTCTTCCAGGTCACTATTGTGGAGAAGGCAGACAGCTCCAATGTGCTGCCCAGCCCACTCTCTATCAGTACCAAGAACCGTATGACCTTCCTTTTTGCAAACCTGAAAGACCGAGACTTCCTGGTCCAGAGGATTTCTGACTTTCTGCAGCAGACCAGCTCCAAGATCTACCTGGAGAGGGAACTCACTGGGAGCCTAAATAGCTCAGACGATGAGGTAAAAAACTTGTTTTGATGCTGGCACATCCAGAGAACTGTAGAAACTAATGCATGTACTCATAGACAGTAGGGGTTATAGTAACTATTTAGAAACTTTTTATTTGCACATCTCCTCCAGGTTTATTCCCAGCATGGATCCCTGCTCTCTAGCAGCCCACAGCACAGCCTGGGCTCAGAAAGCGAGCGTACGTTTAACCTCAACGACAGCAGCGTTCCTACCGCCAGACAGGCCCTCATGACCATGTGGCGCAGCCGCTCCCCTGAGGAGTTCAATCCAAAGCTGGTGAGTTTCACCCCCTTTTATTTAGTAAATATTAAAGCATTTAATCTTGTCAAGCATGGTCAAGAAGGCTTGTCTTATGTAAATACGTATAAAACCCTTATTTATTCAGCCTCAGTCGAAGGCTTTTCGAAATCTCGGACATTTCTGCTTGCCTTCCCATAATTGGTAATTTTACAGCGCTATACTGTATGGAAATTAAGCTGCATGAAGGATTACAACTAACAACAACTTAGCAGGACTCTTTTGTGCAAGACTGTGTATGATTAAAGCATAACATTTTTTTAGCCTCAATTTAATAGGAGAGTCGCCCTGTATTAGTTTGTATTAGTCGTGCTTTCTTCAAGAAATTAGTCTATTAATAAGTATATAAGCCCAAACAGCAGTTGTGGAACAGTCAAAGCACAATTGTATCATAAAAAGTTGCTGGTTTTCTGCCGAAGCTCCTTTGTCTCAGATATTGTTTTCCCTCTTTGCTCAGGCAAAGGAGTTCCTGAAAGAGCAGGCATGGAAGAACCACTTTGCAGAGTATGGGCAGGGAGTGTGTATGTACCGCACAGAGAAAACCAAGGAGCTGGTCCTCAAGGGGATTCCTGAGAGCATGAGAGGAGAGCTGTGGCTGCTCTTCTCCGGTGAGTAAATGTTCAGGGAGGCCTCAAGTAGACGCACAAACAGACTGTGAATGATTCATCGTCATATACACTGAATGAATGAGAAACCACACCCTGTATTTTACGTGATCACCTTTAATCATAGCGTCACATGATTTTTTACCACCCTGTTCACCCTGTAAAGATATGATGTAAGGAGCCAGTGTAAGACATGAATACTAAAAGTACCTGTTTATCATTTTATCATTATGTTATCATTAAACAAAGTTAAAGACTTAAAAAAAAATGTTGGTAAGACTTTCTATGAACCCACATCTTATAATAAACATGTATTTATCCTTATAAATGCCTCTATAAGGCTTTATAACAACATCTTATGAGTGATACAGGCATTTATAACAGCTTATAGTTGTGTCTATGACGTGTGATATTCGGCTCACTTGACGGAGGCGGTGTCTCCGATCTTTGTCATACTTGTGAAAGAGTTGATTCCTGGTACCCATATGATTTAGTATACCTTTCTATTCACCTGAATTTCTCCTGTCTTTCTCAAGCTATCCTATTAAATGAAGACTAAAAGACCCCCCCACCCAAAAAAAGTGTGTGCAACTATATTAATCAATACGACTCAACTTATTTTTGACGTCTTAAGTAAGTGGGTTGCTTAAAATTAGAGGCAGTGATCTCAGCTAACTGCGTACAAAACCCTTAAAACCACAGTGTACACAGTGTGATCCATGTGTGCGAAGCACTACATTCAAACTCAACAATTAAACAGACTGACGTAGACACAACTCGTGGTTTGACAACATGCTCTTTAGTCAGGTATGCACTCGCTCCAGACTTTCCTGTTTGCAGGCCTGGTCATGTGTTACGCACCACTTTTACTCATTCTCACCTGAGTAACTCTGGATCACAAACAGCCTCACACATTCTCTTCCCCTTGACCCATTTTTCTTACCTTACCTGCTCTTTCTCAAACAAATTTTACTGATCTCCTGCAAGAAAAATATTGACATAGTTTGTTTTTTAAGCTTTTTAACTAGAGGCTGCTTGCTACAATGCACTCTTCTGACATGGGATTGTCTGTTTTATATGTAAAGATGTCAAAATACCCCTAGATAAGAAAATGACAGCAACTCTTGTTGACACAGAAACTGGTGTCTGTCTTATTTCTCTTTGACTGTAATTTTAGGGTTGATTCAGAAAAATCTCCCAAATTTTTCTGTAGTTACTTCTTTATTTGGCTCTTTTAAACTACATAAAGACGCTACTTTCTCTCTATATCTCTGTATATCCATTCAGCTATTAGCCTTTTGGGATTAATTATTTAGTGCCTTTATTTTTGATGTTTCCTTTTGAATAAATCTTGACAATGAGTGTAGTATTTGGTATTTTGGTTATTTAGAGTTTTAATATTTGTTTTACAGGAGCGATCAACGAGATGGCCACCCACCCTGGATACTACGAGGATCTGGTGGAGAAGTCGATGGGTAAATACAACCTGGCCACAGAGGAGATCGAGCGAGACCTCCACCGCTCCCTCCCTGAGCACCCGGCCTTTCAGAACGAGATGGGCATTGCTGCCCTCCGCAGGGTCCTGACAGCGTACGCGTTCAGAAACCCCAACATTGGATACTGTCAGGTACACACACTCACACAGACACACACTTTTGTTCCGCACTGACAGAGACCTTTAGGCTTTGGCGTTACTTGAATTCTAATCCTCTGTGTCTCGACACCACAGGCTATGAATATTGTGACCTCTGTGTTGCTGCTCTACTCCAAAGAGGAGGAGGCGTTTTGGCTGCTTGTGGCGCTCTGTGAGAGGATGCTGCCAGACTACTACAACACAAGGGTCGTAGGTCGGTATATGTTTGTTTTCTTTCTATTTTACATGTTTTTGACTGACAGGTTTTCACTTTACCTTAATGTTCTTTTTTCCTTTCTTTAGGGGCCCTTGTGGATCAGGGTGTGTTTGAGGAGCTCGCCCGTGAATATGTCCCTCAGCTGTACGACTGCATGCAGGACCTGGGCGTCATCTCCACCATCTCCCTGTCCTGGTTCCTTACCCTCTTCCTGTCTGTCATGCCATTTGAGAGCGCTGTGGTGGTGGTGGACTGTTTCTTCTATGATGGCATCAAGGTCATTTTTCAGCTGGCGCTCTCTGTGCTGCACGCCAACATCCACCAGCTGCTGGGATGCAAGGATGATGGAGAGGCCATGACTGTACTGGGCAGGTAAGCAGAGACTGAGGAGACGAAACATCAAGTACTTGTTTTTACTGTCTGATTACAAATGTAACATAACCTCAGAGATTGCCGACCTACATAACGATACTGTAAAAAGGTATTAAAGGGATATTCCAGCGAAAAATTAATTAACAGTACATATAGGGTCCTAGCCACAGCACCAGCCACCAAACATCTTTTCAACTTTGCCTTATTTCTTTAGCAAAGAGACTGAACAAAACTCACCTACTCTCTTCCAGCAGCCGCTTGTTTGTAGCAAGACCTCAGGCGAGTCCATTACAGACTACAGTGGGGTGCCGCAGCTCATGGAAGAACATTTCTGATCATTTCTTTATCATTTCCTTGAAGTAATAATCACCATATTAATCAATTTGCACTGCAGACGCGGTAGTTCTTCTGCCTTAGCGTCTCGGTCTGATTGCATTTCTATGAGGAAATGATCATAAATGTTCTTCCTTGAGCTGCGTCACCCCGCTGTAGTCCGTAATTGACTGGCCTGAGGTCTCACTACTAACAAGCGGCTGCTGGAAGAGAGTAGGTGAGTTGTGTTTAGTCTCTTTGCTAAAGAAATCAGGCAACGCTAAAAAGATGTTTGGTGGCTAGTACTATGGCTGGGACCCTATATGTACTGTTGATGAAGTTAGGTGCTGTTCTGAGCATTATTTGTGGCTATAGAGTGGCGTTTTGGTTAAGGTTTGTTTATGGCTCCTCAAACCGCTGTGTATTGCTATCCTGCGGTCGTTACTAAAGTTTGTATAACTAGAGAAGCAAGCGCCTAGCAACATTCATCTCTCGAGGGGGTGTCTAACTCGGTGTGTCTGACCCTAAATTGATTTTACGCCGGATTATCCCTTTAATGAGCTATTCTGATATCTCTGTCCTGTAGGTACTTGGACAGTGTGACTAACAAGGACAGCACCCTCCCTCCAATCCCCCACCTGCACTCCTTGCTGACAGACAACGGAGAACCACATCCAGAGGTTGACATCTTCAAACTGATTCGCAGCTCGTATGAGGTATTTAAGTTTGATGATAAATCAATGTGTGTTTTTTGTTTTGTTTTCTTCTTATTTTTCTTCTTTTTTATTTTTCGACAGTCATGGTTACAGCGACACGCAGGGACATGCTGAAAAAGCTTCACAATTGAGTTTTGTTCACATTTGATCCACACTCTCACTTTCTTTAAAAACAGATACATGAGTGTGTGACGCCTCAATCACGCTGTGTTTGTGAACCCATTCATTCAATTTGTAATGTGTGTGCTTTCAGTGAAAAGAAATTTTTTAGTCCATAATCTAGGATCTGGATACGGACTAAATCTAACGGTTATCGTCTCACTGGGCGCCCTGCTGTCTGCTCATGATCATGCTATTAAATACAGGCACTCTTTTTGTTTAAACTGCGTGAAGAGACTTTCCACCTCGATTTGGAACTTTTATATCTTCCTGTTTTTTCCCCTTTTTTTACGTCAGAAATTTGGATCGATCCGTGCAGATGTGATTGAACAGATGCGTTTCAAGCAGAGACTGAGGGTCATCCAGACCATTGAGGATACAACCAAACGCAACGTGGTAAAGACCCGCCTTGTAACTTTTATATTACAAAGAGTAGCTTTACATTTGATAAAAACAAAGAAATAAGAATAAGCATTACAACGGTTCAAGTCCTGGACAGAGATAATAGAAGGAAAAAAGGTTGTTACTCTGTTAATCATGGTAATTCATGTTCATATAAATAGACCGGTACAACTAAATCCTTAGCTATAAGAAAGGATTTTTACTTCATCATCAAGCTTGAATACAAATATAAGAACTTTATTGATCCCCAATTGGAAATTTAACTGTCTGGAGTCTCATGTCATCATGATATGAGATAAAAAAAAAAGGTTTTAGTCAAGATGCTTGTTTTCTTTTATCAGTTCTCAAATTTTGTGACAGTCCTTTTTTGTGTACTCCTTAGACAAACAGACTTAATCTCTTTTTTGAAATATGGCCATGACATCTGTAAAGTTAAACAGGAAGAACTTGGGATATAATGAAATGCTATTGTGAATAATTGTGGATAGATTTACTGTAATTTGTCTCCAAAATATTTGAGAGTAGGGCATTTCCTTTTCATATGAAAGAACAGGCTGTCTCCTTATTAGTGCTGACACAAACCCCTACTGTCCAAATGCACAAGTTTGTGTTTTCCTACTTACTTTGTTTGTGTCAAGTTAAATATCCTGAATAATACAAACTGATGTCCAATATTGGACATTTAAAATCCTGTAGATTTGATTGTTTGTATTTTCCACCAGCTTACACTTATTTAAAAGGAAAAGTTGGTTAATTTTCAAGAAAGTACAGACATTTTATCCATCTGTGTTTACAACAAAGTTGTTGCCATACCCTGTCATGAATATAACAGCAAAGAAACAACATAGCATTCTGACTTTACAAGGCTGCTGGTTCCTCGAGCTTCATAACCAAACAAGCAGAATTTCTTTGTAATTTAAGGTGTTTAATTTTAAGTCTTCTATTTAAACTGACTAATTATGTCCCGTTCCAGGTCAGAACAATTGTAACAGAGACCGCCTTCAGTATTGATGAGCTGGAGGAACTCTATGTGCTCTTCAAGGTGAGTTACAGCTCCAGCTGACTGCCTGCTGAACCAAAGATGAAGTATAATCAGGAAATCAGTCATTTCTTCTACACACAGTGAATAAATAATACTCGATGAGGTCTCACTTAAGTGCCTTAACTTTCCTCTAGCGTGAGCTTTTCTTGTGCTGTTGGCATTAATAAACACATGGTAAAGATTTATTTTCCACTTTAATGGCTTTAATTTGTCCCTAATGATTCAGATTATTCAAGATAGAGTTGCTCTCTTATTGTTACTGTGTGCTGTATTTAATACAATTGGGTACAGCTATGCAAAGTGTGATTGTTAATTAGTTAAGACACTTTTATTCCTGGAATTTGAGAGGAAACTGAGAGGAGAAATAAACTCCAGCTGGTCAGTCTTTTTTTATAATGAAGTACTATTGATTTGCATTTAGTGTTTCACAGTGGTCCTTCCTGTCTCTTCTCCTCAGGCAGAGCACCTGACCAGCTGTTACTGGGGTGGCAGCAGTAACCCCACAGAGCGGCACGACCCCAGTCTGCCTTATCTGGAGCAGTACCGCATCGACGTGGAGCAGTTCAAAGGCCTCTTTAACCTGCTGTTCCCCTGGGCTAACGGAGCCCACTCAGACCCTCTGGCCCTACGCCTCTTCCGCCTGCTTGACCAAAACGGAGATGCCCTCATCAACTTCAGAGAGTTCATCAATGGCCTGGGTGAGCAAAGTAACACTACTCTAGCAACTAATGGTTGCAGCAAAGTTCTGTACCTAAAGATCGATGCCTAATGCTGCTGTGGTTTCACTGGAAGTAGCTCAGATTCGTCCAGTCTCTAAAGCGTGCTGTCATGTGCAGGGGTCCTGTGTCATGGAGACCTGACTGAGAAGCTGAAACTCCTCTACAAGATGCATGTGTTACCTGGTAAGTCTGAAATCCATCCAAAGTCTTTAAATAGAAGCAGAAGATTTATTTTTACAGCAGTAAAACAAACTGTAGGGGAGAGTGAGTCAAGTTTGAGCGCTTTGTCTGCCTTCACAGAGTTAATCTCTTCCTCAGGATTACATTCATCATTCATAAAACGTTTTAAACTACTTACTGTATATGAGATTCAGTCTTTAACTTAATTGATACTTAGGCTTGACATTTATTAATATTTAGGCAAGCTGAACAATGTTCACATTATTTCACTGCCAGCATTTGTATAAAAGGTTTTTATGAGACCTAATTCTTCTGTGGAAGGTCCTTCTCTAAAATTGACTTTATGGCCATAATTTTTAACGAGGTTACAAATTTAAACATAAAACCGTGAAAAGTGGCTCACATGATGCTCCTCAAAAATGGATTTTTAACACAGTCTTGATTCCTTTTCTCCCAGAAATCACCCATGAACAGGAGGAGCCTGACTCTGCCTTTGAGGCCACTCAATACTTCTTTGAAGACATCACTCCAGAAACATCCATCGGTAAGTGTGTTCATCAACACCCACTGTTTAAAGTGTGTTACATTATAGCTGCACCTGCAAAGAGGTTTAGAGACTCTACCATAATTAAGAGTTTAAAATTGCGACTAAAATTGTGAATCTTTATGCAGTGATTACAAGCACCAAAAAATATAAGATTATTCCTGATGTGAAAATACTTGTTGTGTGTCGGTTATCATGTTATGTTCACAATGATGATAGAAATCATATTTCTCCAGTAGAGGAAAAGTTTTGTGGTATTTCGCACTGTCACCACTTCATTTACTGCATTCGTTCAGCTTTTTAGTGTTCAGTGTTTTACATTGAGCACTGCTACATGATTCATCTGCTGTGCTGATAATCCAGATGATGAAAAGAGCAGAAATATGGCTATATACAATCCAACTCGTGTTTTATGGGCTTGCCATGTAAACTGCAGGGCTCATTGTGGACACTGGTTTCAGTCTGCAGTGTCCACACTGTCAGTGGTAGAAGAAAAGTAAATTCTTTGATAAAGCTGTTGTGTTGGGTTCCAATTAGATCGCACAGGTGTTCATAATGTGATGGCGGATGTGTTTAAGTGTCTTTAGCTCTAGAGGGTGCAACCAAAAGCCACTGATATTTGACTTCACTCCCTCTCCTTTCTCTCAGGAAATGACTCAAAGTGCAGAAGTGAGAGGGACGATGGCTTTGTCAGAGTTACATTCAAGACTGAAAAAGGTGAGCATTACAGCAGAGGACAAATAAGTCAACATGTAAAGAACTAACAGATTCCTATCTACTTTGTGTTTTTTATCACATCACTTCATTTGATATTTCAAGTGTGCAATTGTCTTCAAACTCCTGGAAAAATCCTTTTTGATGTTTCTTATATGTTCTCTGTTTACCTTGCAGTGAAGAAACTGAACACTCCTGAATATCGCCATTACCTGAAGCTGTGGAACCAGGAGTCAAAACCTAAACTAGAAAACATGAAGGACCTCCCAAAGCTCAATCAGGTACAGTATTGAATAGAGAGTGCTTCATCAGATCAGCTGTTACAGTAAGGTGGAACTGACCTCTTTATCTTTTGTCCAACAGAGCCAGTTCATTGAGCTTTGTAAGACCCTGTACAGCATGTTCAGCGAGGATGCAGCAGAACAGGAGCTCTATCACGCCACAGCCACAGTCACCAGTCTGCTGCTGGAGATGGGAGAGGTGGGGAAGCTATTCTCCTCCTCCTATTGCAGAAAGGATCACAATATGGAGGGGAAACCAGAGACAAGCATGTGCAGGGGAGACGCTGCAGATCTCAAAACCACCCAAGAGGCCATGTCTGGCAACACTTTCGCCCCCACAGGTCTTGAGAACAAGCCGAGCCTGTGCGACGAGTCAAAAGGGGATGAGCAGCTGCCGCCTATGCAAGACATCAAACTGGAGGATTCATCCCCAAAAGACACGGGCACGTCCTCCGCGATGCTCATCTCAGATGATGAAACCAAAGATGACACCTCGATGTCGTCGTACTCGGTGCTGAGCGCAGGCTCCCATGAGCTGGATGAGAAACTGCAGTGTGAGGACATTGCAGATGACACAGTGTTGGTGCGCAGTGAGGACGCCCCAAATGAGGAGAGAAGTAGCCGACCCTGTGGCGGTGAATCCCAGGACCAAGGTCTCCCTCACAGCACCAGCATTGACAAAGACTGGGCCATCACATTTGAGCAGTTCCTGGCCTCCGTGCTTACTGAACAAGCCTTGGTGCATTATTTTGAAAAGCCCGTAGATGTGGCAGCTCGGGTAACAAACGCCAAGAATGTGCGCAAAGTTGGGCGCCCCCTGCTGTCCACAAGTGACTATGAGATCTCACTCTCTGGCTGAGGCCTTTTTAACTGAGATTTACACAAAGACTTTGCTATTTCAAAGGGAAATGTTAATATCGAAGTTATTGGTGTGAAAACGTCCATGAGTTTTAGAAGAGAATGAAGGTAAATATAAAAAGTGTGTGTATGATAGTTGAATGAATGTGACCAAAAACTGCTCTTAGCGATGTATTTTACCAGATGTGAAAGACTTTTATTATAACAATCACTAGATTCTGTCCAGCTAAGAGGGAACAGAACATGAATATTAAGGTTTGCTCCGATGAAATTCAGTGTGAACATGTAGTAGCTGTACTCTATAAGACATTATGCCTAGGTGGTAATATTGTAATCTTTAGCTCTCTTAGGATACATAGATGTAAATGTCCACAGATACAGAACAAACTGAGATATTGATCGTCTGTGTACAGTCACCAAACATGAAACCTGGTCAGGCTCCTGTTTTCTTACATTACCATTCCATTTGCTGTTAATGTTTCTTTTTATTTTGTTTGTCTCTGAAAAACTACCCAAAAATCACAAAACAAAGCTGTGAAAATTCAATTACAAGGTGGATTTTCATGTTACAGTGTATAAACTATTCTCTCTCACACACACTTTGACTTCCTCAACATTCACTTGCCAAAAATAATGTTCAGAAAAATGGTACCTGTGTAGTTTTCTCTTGGTAATATTTATGAATGGAAACTCACAAAAAAAGTCAAAATAATGGAGACAAAGTTTAACTTTATCCAGAGAAACCTGATGGTCAAATCCGATGGAAGTTAAGAGTGATTACACTAAACAGTACTGTTAAATAAAAAGTCTGCACTTTATGTTTACAGAATAATGGGATTCACTAACCTGTTTGCTTGCCATCTATTGTTGTCAGCACTCCAAACTAAAATGTCTGCCTTTTTTTTATATTTGACATGTTTTCATCCTTTTGCTCGGTGCGTTTTTACACTGCTGTTTTAAATGTGAATATTTTTATTTTTCGATGTCCAGGCGTTGTGTCTCTGGATTTGGATGCATTGTGTGTATCACTCCATCTAATTAAAGTAACAGTATGATTGATTCAACACTGCACAGTACAACACCTCAGGCCTGTTTCATTGTGTTCACCAGACCATGTGCCATTATACAACCAACTACACTGAGGGTTACTGCCACCTGGTGGAAGATCATTGACCACTTCAGCAGAATACAAATACTGTATATAAGCACATTATTCTCTATTCCTCTGAGATATTTTTAGAGAACTAATAAAGTCACTTTGAATTAAGTCACATATTTTAACTGCGATGACAGCTGGATATGCACCGTAATTAAGTGACAGTGACCGTCCTTTTCATTCAAGCGTTTTACTTAAATTCATGTAACATATACATTTCAATTTCACAGTTTCACTAAATTTACTGAAGATTAACTCGGAAAAAAGGTAATCTGAGATTTAATTACCATGTTAAAAAAATAACTTTTCCACTCAAAGATGATTATTATAATTGGTAAATGAAAGTCCAAAAAATTCAAAAGCACTTTGCTGACAGCTGCTCTCCTGTAACATAATGAGCTCTATTACTTACAGTTTCTCATGTGTAATAGTTACATCTGTACCCTGTGACAAGGTGTTTTCACACTTAACAGTAAAGATGAGTAACTATTCTGGATATTTCCTCTGCCAATCACAGGATAAATTTAAAGAATGAATACATTACAAACAACTGGAAATGGATTAAGAGGCCCAAACACTTGCATCACTCTCATCTGATCCTGTTCAAGTATTTTTATAACATCTTTAGAGACTGGGAAAAACATGGCAAGTATGAGCAGCTATCACCAAGCAGGCTGTGTGTTGTGATGTGGAGCAGGAACATTTGTATCATTAGTAACAGCTTCACCTATCTTGTTTGATCATCCGAATGCATAAAGCTCTCACAGGGTAACAGGGCCCCTCTTTCAACACATTGGGGATGTGGCTCAGGTTGACCAATCATCAGAAAGCAATTTCAGGTAAAGTAGGACTTTCTGAGTATCGAGACAACAATTCTCAGACAAATGTCAAAGTTTATCCAGTGAAGTGATTTATCTATCACCAAACAGATAGAGTTTAACTGAAGGATAAAAACTTTCAGTTTATTTACATGTGAGGTTTTATCAGTTGTACTAAATATGGATTTTTCAGTTTTGAATTCTTGCAGTGATTGATAACATTTATGGGGAGAAATATTTTCCTTCAAAGAAATATTGTTATTGCATTCGCATAATAGTCATTATACAGATTATGTACCTATGTATTAAGCATACATAGCTTAAAGATCTTTGCAGTCTTATGGCACAGTCCTGGAGTAAATGTTTAACTAAAATGGGCACAGTGTTCTGTTGTTATTCTAACTATTTTCAAAGTACTGGCACCACATTTTAGACAATACTCAATAACTGGGATGAGAGAATATTGGTATATTAGTATTTATTGTTTCATCTGTTCGCCTGTTTAAATGTTTGCTGAATGGCAGCTGAGTGTTACAGGAATAAAATTTGTTTTTTGTTTTTTTTTTTTTTTTCTTTTTGAAATCTGGTCTACCAAATTATCTGTCCTGTTTGAGAAACTGTTTATGTTAGATTTAGGATAAGGTATTATAAAACAGGTCCCACTACTTCCAAACTGCTGAAAGGCCAAACAAAGTGTGATGCAAAGCTCTTATCTGCTCCACACTGAACTTCAGTCACTCGCTCACGTCACTACACCCCACTCCCTCCCCCTATAACCCCCAAACCAATGATTTTGTGATAAGACCTGTATCACAGAAAAAGAAAAAAAAGCTATTAAGAAAACAGAATTGAAGAACAAGATATAACAGTTTTTTAAATGCACTATTTAGCACATTATAAATGATATAATAACACTTGAACTAAAGTGAAGGAGCAGCCTGGAGTGATGATTGGTTGTTACTCCTGCTTATAAGATGCACACACTCTCTGTGGTTCCTGTTTTCATTGGCTGAGAGCACAGACGGGTCATCTGATGGTGCTTTATTATGACTGCTGTACAGTGCAGACACCAGGTCTAATGGTATAAATAATAACTTCATATTAACAAAATGAGGAGACAGCTCGAAACCCCTCTTACTGCTCTGGATGTAAACATAGCTGTACAGCATGCAAGAATGATTTGTGCAGGAATAATAATGACATTTATGAATATGAATGGAAGTCTAGGGTCCTTGAAATAAAACAGCATAATTTAGATAAAAGGTAGGAGTTTGAAAGCGCTGGATTGGACAGTAAAAATGATTGTTTTTCTGAAAGGTGCCTGCACACTAAGCTAAATTGAACATTGACTCCCTGACAGGCGGTGGACTTTGATTTGACCCGTGCGTAGAGGAGCACACAGTAACGCCTCTCTTTGGATGTCATAAAGAAAAGCCAGCCAGCGGATATATAAACACTGAGCTAAAGATGCATCTTTCCTTTCTGTGAAGTGGGTCCCTTTATGGATTATAATTTGGCCAATCAGATTCTGCCTGAAGACAGACACCTGAGAACCAACACGGAGCTCTAAATTTAATCAAACAATGTAAGTATGTATGATAGTACGCTCATAAAAGATTACCTCTTTCACTTATCTTTCACCATAAAAGATGAATTACAGGAACAGCATGTGCACTCAATGTTTATATGCTGGTTTCATTTGGTTGTACCTGTCTGTGTTTTGGTGTCTGCATTCTTGTAATCTCAGTATTAGGAGTCATGGTGGGACTAAAACCCTCAGATGTCCCCCCTCCCCTGGGGGTGAAGATGGCAAGCGCTGGACTTGCCGCCTGTATAGCTGATATTGTCACATTTCCTTTGGACACAGCCAAAGTCAGACTCCAGGTATCTGCTCAGAAACACAAAAGACATCAGTGATTATAGTCTTCATCTTGTCACCCATGTTTTCTGAACATGCACAATAATATCTATGCTGCTACACTTAAATATTAAACTTCACACGTGGAGCTTAGAATGACCTAGAATGACCCAATATTAAGTTTTCTTCCTAAAGCTGGCTTGAGTTTGAATGTAATCTGTGACCCCAGATTCAGGGAGAGAAGACAGCAGTGGGGGGAATCCGGTACAAAGGGGTGTTTGGGACCATCAGCACCATGATACGAACAGAGGGGCCCCGGTCTCTGTACAATGGGCTGGTAGCAGGGCTCCAGAGACAAATGTGCTTCGCTTCAGTCAGAATTGGTCTCTACGACAATGTGAAAAACTTCTACACTGGTGGAAAAGACAGTAAGTGTTGACCAACAAAGTACATGCAAAGGTATTTTATTAATTACACCTTTAATTCTACTATTTATTCCATAAACCATCAACATAGAAATAACTCTGAATAAAATCAGCTTCAGGGAGCTTGTACCTAAAGCCCCTAAATCCCCAGTTTGTCTCAGGAGGACTATCAGATCTTCAATCTTTACAGCCTTAAATCAGATAACAAAAACGGCCTTTCAGGACACCACTGGAGTTACCTAGGACTGTCAGAGGGGTCACTGTAGCTGTGTGATGAATACAGATAATTACAAACACCACTATTGGGTTACATTCTTACAAAATATAATGCTAAGGGACCAGAGTTTCAGACGATGAGTTCTCTATTGAGTTTGGAAGGCAGTGCTACTGATACCTACCCCAATAATTGAGACTCAGTTTCTTAAAATAACTCAAACCAGCTGAACATTTTATGTCAATCACATCTGATACTTTAATCATGAGCTTCAGCTTTTTAAAGCACAAACGAGAAGTCCAATTTCTCTGCTCTAGTTCTTAAGAGATGTGGTTTCCATACCACTTGAACTGTAGACAGTGAAGTTGTATTTTATTGTTGTGAATGATTATGAGCACTTACTTGTATTCCACCTCTAATGCATCTTTTTGTTCCTCAGACCCAAATGTGCTCATTCGAATCCTAGCTGGTTGCACCACAGGCGCCATGGCCGTGTCCTTTGCACAACCTACTGATGTGGTCAAGGTTCGATTCCAAGCCCAGATGAACCTCGATGGTGTTGCCCGTCGCTACAGCGGCACTATGCAGGCATACAAACATATCTTTCAGAACGAGGGATTACGTGGACTCTGGAAAGGTACAATTTAGGAGGCCAAAAATCTGACTTATAGTTAATTTTTTCAGAGTTTTAATGGCCTCTTGTGTTTCCTTTAGGCACACTTCCGAACATCACAAGAAACGCACTTGTTAACTGCACAGAGCTGGTCACATACGACCTGATCAAGGAGGCCATCCTGAGACACAATCTGATGTCAGGTGAGAGGGAGTGCTTCACATTTGTGTGGATTGCGCACACACACACACTATGCCATCCCCGGGGACATCTGATTGGGTAGAAACCCACACACCCTCTCAGCCTTTTCAACTCCAGCACAGCTGATAACAGCACCCAGAACATGTTGTATCTTCCTCTCATAGTGCTGTAAATATAGTGGTTAATACGCCATTTATCTCAATCATTTATATTGCCCTATTCAGGAGGTTATACAATCTGCTGACATGACTTTCTATACTCCTCGACTCAGAGCAAAGGCCCTTTGGCTCCCCTTTGATTAAACTAACATACTTTGTTTTTACCTGCAGATAATCTGCCGTGCCATTTTGTGTCTGCATTCGGAGCCGGCTTTGTTACCACAGTGATCGCTTCCCCAGTAGATGTGGTGAAAACCAGATACATGAACTCACCACCAGGCCAGTACAAGAGTGCGATAAATTGTGCATGGACTATGATGACCAAAGAGGGGCCAACTGCTTTCTACAAAGGGTAAAGTCTCCTTCTCTGGCCCCAGAGTGCACACATTTGTTTTAGGGCGTTTGTACTGTAGGCCATGAGATGAAATGTTGAAACAATGACTCCTGTAGCTTTCAATCTTGACTACAAATGACATTCCTTTGTTTCTTTCAGATTTGTCCCTTCGTTTCTGAGGTTGGGATCGTGGAACATAGTGATGTTTGTCACATTTGAACAAATCAAGAGAGCAATGATGGTCACAAAAAAGAAGTTGGAGGCAAACTGAGATGATGGCTGAGACACTTGAACTACCACTGAAAACACCAACTGAACATCAAATAATGTCTTAGTTTTACTCTTTTTGTCCACTTGTGACAGAGAAGAAAATCCTTTGTTGAAAAAGGACTACTGGACAATCTGTCGTCTTGTACTTGATGTTTGAAAAACATGCAGCTTTATATTTGTATTTATAATTATAAATACATCCCATATTTAATGGGATTGAATGGTGCAAACATGAGAAAGTGTTAACCTCTGCCATATGCCCAGGGCAGCTTAAATAGGCGCACCTTTATGTGAGACACAATACTGCTGACCAGATTAACATGTAAAACAAACCCCTAAATATATCTGACTTGTTATACAGACTCTGTGCTTGATTTTAACCTGTAGCACCACCACAACACCAAACACATTTTCAAAACATCAAATTGTGTTTTTATCAACTTTGAGTGTTAATCATTACATACCTTCCTCAAAGGCAAATCACCACATAAAAGAACAGTAGAAAGGTACTTTTTGGACATATACATTTAAGAAAATAGAGGCAAACATCACCTATATTACACAATACAGATGACACCAGAGGAAACGTATTAAAACATGCACACACAGGGATTTTTCCTTAGCACAACAACTGTGAGAACACAAAGTTCTAGTACAAAAAAAGACAGCAAAATGGAAGTAAGTTCACCATTTCAGTTACTGTCTTTTACAACATTTATTTGGCTGTGTTGTTAGTGAAAGTGCGTTAACCCTTACCACAGAGAGAACATACATCCTCCTGCAGCAGCTCTGTTGTCACCTCAGCAATGGCTAATCAAATAAGGAAAAGGTCATTTTGAGGTATAAGCTGTTTGTTTGTGCTGTGTTCTGAAAACATTTAACTATCACTGTGACAGGATGACAAAGGCAGGACCAAAGAATCAAAAGCAACAACAAAAAAGGGGCAAAATCCAGAGGTCTTTCTTTCCTCCAGTTTTTAAGGGATATTAATGCTTCAGTCTGCTTTCAGTCTTCTGACCTTTTATTTCATGAAATAACACCGGGGTCCATAAAGAGGTCAGGGAACACTTTGGATTAATGTTAGTTTTTAGAGCAGACAGTCAGTGTGAGGGATACATCTGGCTCCTGTAGATGTGTCTTGACTATGTTGTGGAACTTTTCTCTGTACTGGTTGAAATGCATGATGCTTTCTGGTTCTTCTGCCACCCAGAATTTATCAAATTCATATGCCAGATAGCCTGTAAGAAAAGAAAGCCATAATGAGAAGAGAAATAAAATCCCATATTACTTATAGGTTTGATTCAAAAAGATGTTGCAGGGTTGGAAGAAAAGGTTACCCACAGTAGAGCTGATGAAAGTCTTTGAGCTCAGGCGCGCCCTGTACTGTGTTGTAGAAATGGGGTTTCAAAGCACCGCTCTTCATGAGGCTGTAGGCCATCTCTGTCAAGTTGATCCCAACAATGGCATAAGAATACCTGTAAAGGAATAAACATAATGCAAATGCCAAAAGTGATGTTTTAAATACAGAGCGGGCCCAATATCCTCAATCCAGTTTTGGCAATAGCATGTTATTATGCAGTAACTTGAAGAAACACAAACTAACTCTTGTGTGTCTCTTACCCCAGTTTGGGATGGTTTGCATGTGACAACACCTGACGGGCCTCCTCTGTGTAGTTATCGCTGAAAAAACTGTAAAAGAACAAAATCCTTTCAGTATGGTCATCTTAAAAACAAAATGATACCTTCTCAAAGTAGAGAATATCAGAGGTGTTTGTTTGGTGCCAAACAAGTATACACGTGTTTCGCTGACTATGGATTTCCTTGTCAGTTTGGGACTGCATTTTTAGGCTCACATTGACTCACAGCTGGGAAATCTGTTTGGTTTCCTTATCTAGCAATCCACATTTGCCCTGTCTCACTCTTTTCACGTGTGCTTGTAGTCCTTTTTATTGGTGTAACTGAATTTTTGTGACTGATTTATGGCAGAGGTAATTCGTCATAAATCAAATATTGAAGAATATTCATGAGTAGTGTCAGAATACACTGCACTAAACTATTTGTAAGAAATCATTTTTACTCATCAGTAACTCACACAAGGTTGATTAGCCCCAGCATGCCCATTCCTCTGAAGTCAGTTTTTGGGTCATCTCCTTGGAAACCAATATCTCCCCACTGTTTGGTGATCCTGGACTCCAGCTTGACGTTGGGCATCAACAGATCCCAGAGCTGAGGACATGATAAATCCTAAAGTTACACACTTTAACTACTTCTTCACTTAACTACTGGTCAAATGATGAACACGCACCTTCAACAGCATGACCTCATGCTCATGGTTCTCAGAGTCAAAAACTTCCTTTCTCAGCTCTTCTACTGACACAAAAAGGCTGCTGTAGCCTGTGATCTGTAACAAACATGTATGTAGGTTCTCCTTAAACCTGGAAAAGAAAAAGAAAAAAACTATTTATAATCTATTTGTAGATTAAAACATTCTTGAATATGACTTGTTGTCAGACAAAATGTTACTGTACAGCGGGTCTTTCTGGGGTTTGATGCTCTTTTCTTCCATTATCCGATCCACACATGGTTCTAATTTGTTCTTGTCGGCGTCTACTGCTCCTCTCAAAACCTGAGCGATTGAGAGAGGAAAAAAAAAAACACATAAGAGAAGTCAGAGCAAAGGCATGGCAGCAAGATACTAAAAACAATCTTAGCTGTATAATAATGAACTATTTCAAAGTCATCCTCAGACACTATGAACAAAGATGACCAAGCACTTTAGAAAAAAAAAAAAACTTATCAAGCTACAATCACAAGCTTGGCAAGTGAACCACAAGATAAGGACTGATAAAGAGGAGACTGAGCGGATTTATCCTCGATGGAGTTCACACATACAAGAGATAACAAACTGATCTGCTGCAAAGCAGGGGTTGTTTCCTATTTACTCCTCTGTGAACCTGCATACCCTCACATTTACTGTACTTACAATTGATCTGGTTTCTGTCACATTTGCTGCGATGAGATTATTATCCTGATCAAATAAAGGAATGACAACATCTAAACCAAGTTACTATAGTTATTTATCTTATATGTCCTGCCCTTAAGACTCTTTCAGGAGGAAAGGATGCAGCTGGTTTTTGGTTGTATGGATGTCTGTGTTTGTTTGTATGGGATTGTTCTGTGTAATACAGAATATTGTATATATCATTTCCTCTTCTCTGTGTGCTCTTGTGTTTTCATATTGTCTTTGCAGGGATCAAGTTTATGTGTAGTTCCGCATTTGCAGTTAACTTGTAGTTCATTTTCTTACCTTGCTCTTTGATGACCTGAGAGAGTATTCTGTAAAACAAAATGAGAGGCAGGTTATTACAATGACAAAGATATCAGTTAAGCAGGAGGGAAGACAATACCGGGCATGATTCAACTCACCTGCTTTTGATGTCCTTGTTACCCCAGGTTTGCATCCAGAGCATATCCTCTGCAGCTCACATTTGCCTGTTACCTGCCGGACGAGCCACTTCAGCCAGTACCTCAGGAATGATGTGTAGACATACTGCCAGATATACCCCAGCATCTTCTACATCATGGGCAAAGGAAAAACAAAGGAGCGATGGATGAGAATGTAGCGTGGAAATTACTGTAGCTAAGTTGGGTGTCAGTAATGGATGGTACTGCATCAAGGATGACCTGCGCCACTTTGATTATCATTTTATGGAGTGAGACATGTTGATAAAAATAAGCTCATCAAACAACAAAGTGGACGCCAGCATGTAAAGCCAAAATATATCTGGACATTTATTGAAGTTTTCTGTGATATTAATCTACAGTTCTCTATTTGTTTTGTCTTACTATGAAATTAGTCTCTACATCTTAAAACACAAAGACACAAGGACCTCACAGATGAAGTAGCTTATTGTATTGCAAAAGTAATGCTACCAATTAACACTGTAACATTTCATTAAAAGTAACAGGGTACATTTAAGATTGAAAAGTGATTTTTTTATATCATATGTATCAATATCGACTGATATGAAAAGAAATATTTCATGATAAACTTTTTCCCATATCGTCCAGCCTTAAATGTAACACACTCCAATTTAACACAACCCACACCTCATATGAAGCGCAAACACAAAGGAAAATTGCTGTTGTATTGAATTGCATTAGACTGCTCAGGTGTTTATGACGTTATAGTTGAGTACTCGGTATATTGCTTTAAAATTTAAACATTGGATAATTAGGTTAGTTTTCTTTGCTGCAGGTGATTTGTATTTTTATTGTACAATCACTTCTTGCACCTCTACTTTCCATCTCAGACAAACGAGACTCTTCGCACTATCGATGAACTGAGGACTGAAACACTAGAGCAGACTATCTGTGTCACTACAGCAATGACCACCGTCTGGAGCAGTTTCTGCCGCTTTCCGTGCCTCAAAACTGTCTCAAAACTTGAAAATGAATTCATTACTTGTCCATAATTGGGCAAATATTAACGTAACGTGGACAACTAACATGTGGAATATGACTAAGCAGGGAAGAGCCAAAACAATAGCACTGTGGGACCTAGCTTCCGTGCTAGTGCTATTCTCAGACAATTGGGACGACCCAGTTGATGTCTGATAGGTAAATGTTCACTGTGTGAGGGCTGCTTTCGCCAAACTTCTAACCTTGTAATGTTAATGTTATCAAATCATTCGTGAGGAGAGTTTTACTGTAACATACTCACATCGCTAACTAAAACCAAAACTCACATATGACAATAAACCGGTTAAGACAACAGGTTGTCAGTGTATCTACCAAACTGTTAGCAAGCTATGTTAACACAGTGAACGTTACATCGCAAGCGCTGATACACCGGGCGTATTTAAGAGGATCGAGAAACGGGATTACTCTTACCGCTCTGCAGCAAGTATACTGATGTTTGGAAATGTTAAAAACACCCAAACTTGGCTTCACATACGTGCCAACAACAGCCGTGTGGTACTGTTAGCAACGCTTCTCTTGACAACGGTCTAGCTCCGAGGCGTTCAGGGTCCTACTAGACACACGGTCGTTACAATATCGGTGATTTGCGATATCTGGTAAACTCTGAATTAGGCCGTATAAGTGACAAATAATTCAGCGCTGCCAGGTGACTCCGATAATCCCACTTGGATAATCGTACAAAGTGTATCATTAATTTTTATTGTTTACAGTCAAAACAAAAGAAAAAAGTTAAGGTTTCTTGAATTGATATAACTGATTTACTTGATGTACCTGAATGCAACACACGCCAACCTGTCATTGCTATGTCCTCCACGCCCCTGCAGCGCCACCGGCTGTCCAAACCGCGTCTACATTGCAAAGACTTGGCTGCAAGGCTTCAGAAAACTGTAGAAGTTCTGCAAATGATTGGCTAGATGTAAGATTTATAATAGTTAAGTATAAATACTGCTTTGTAACAGACAATAACATTCGTTTGTAGACGGACATCATGGCACTGAGATTAAAATGTTATGAATCTGCCTTTACCAATCTCACCACAAGATGGTACCAGATCCACAACATGGCCATTGTGTTTCTATAAATCTCTGTTCAAGCCTATTTTTAGTCTTGTTAAATTTATTTCTATTTCTATTTTTCCTTTAAGATTCTAATGTTCTGTGAATGTCATGAACTTGTGGTTTCACACTTTACCTTCAGAGAGTCTAACAAAGAGTCACGGACCATCCATGCCTCTTCATGATCAAATTATATTTTTTGTTCAATTATATTTTTCGTTAAATCATTTTTCTGGATTATCCCTCTTTACCCCAGAGTCAAAGTCTGGTAAACAAACAGTGTGTGCAGCCTGCCCTGTGTTTCTCGCCAATTCTGCACGGGACTGTAATTAAGTCTAGTCTACCTCCTCACCTAATCAGTCCCTGTGGGCTTTTAAAGGCAGGAGGTCTATTCCTCACAATTACTACATTCCAGGAGGAGCTCCTGTCTCAGACCCTGGCTGTGTTTAAAAAATGAATCCCCAAGGTAAATTCTCAGATTATAATAACAGTTCAAAGATCAGTCAGGGCCAATGTGAGAGGGAGTCTATGATAATGATGCTGAATCAGTTGTGAAAAAAAAAACCTGAAGGTCATTGGCACTCACAACAGCACAAGGTATGTCAAATTACCAATTAAAATCCACAGAGAGGTGTCAACCTGTGATGAAGGTTGACATTATTGACATGATGACCTAAAAAACACAATTGTAAGAAAAAAATATGAGTGCAGGCTTCATCAGGCTTGCCTATTATGCAAAACACGTTTTTTAACCAATGAATATGTTAACACTCTAACCACGTTGTGTGCGGGGGAACTCTTTTCTTTTTAGGAACTATTCCTGACACCAGCAGCACCAACGTTAAGATCTGTGCTGTGCAGGATAATCCTCCCTTTTGTATGAGTGCAAAGTATTTCTGACCAAAACAATAAGACCTTAAAATAAATAGCGTTTTTTCCTGTACAACATCCCCTATGAGATTACTCTGATCCTGAGCCACTGTAGCTCTCAGAATCTGCTTTCTGTGATTACTTTTGTTTTTAGGAGAACATTTTCAGTGGTACCTGATAAAATTTACTTCTCACATCTGCAGGACTAATCCCCTGTTGTTCTGGAATAAGCTAGACATACTTCGATACGTTATTTTTTAGAGTTTTCAATTTTTAGTAAGTTTATTCACTAGACTGCGAGAAATGTTCATAGAAGCTGAAAGCAGAACATCTCTTCTCTGGCTCCCTGGATCTTTAGGAAGGAGATTTTTTTTCTTCTAATTTCATGTCAAACCAACTCACAGTTAAACTAAATTGTTCTCCTTTTGTGCTTCACTGTATGCTAAGAATCTCTGCTGTCTGCGACCCCTCATATTTATCAAATTACTTATCTGGCATGTTAGGACATGCCTCTGTTCTGTGACCTATAATAATTATTAAACACAGTGAGAAAATGTTCTGGTTTCCCACTATTCTGCAGCATTCATGACATGTTTGACACTTAATGCCATTTTTTTTGCCAGTTTGTGAGTACATTATTTTACGGGTATAGGCCTATATTTTTTAAATTTAGAATAGTCCATGGACAATGGTATTATAAAGAATTTTGCATATAACAATGCCTGATAACACCACACCACTGACAGAAAAGAATTGGCATACCATGATCAAGAAATGCTGATTAGGGGAGACCGGGGCTTGTTGTCACATGGGTAAGTTGTTACATTGCAAATATCTATGCCACCAGAGGGCGTAACTAAAAAGTGGAATTCTAGTTTTCTTCCTTTACATGGTCAGGGGTCGTGTCCTATCTGAGAAGAGAAGATGAGCGCCAATTAACCATTTCACACACCCCAAAGTAAAAAATAATTACTTCACATATTTCAAAATAAGCTTCTTCCAGATAAAAATCCTAGCAGTGATACACGTGGACTTGTAAGAGGAGAGATTAAGACATCCTGTCATACCTCAGTCATTGTTCTGTTTTACGCTAACTTTAAACTAGAGCTAGGATTAGCAAACATGGAAGTTTGGCCATCATGTCTCGGTCATTTTGGGGTTAGTTGTCACATGTTTAAAAGGGATTAAAATGAACATAAAGAGTCTGCTTATCAGCAGTTGTCAGATTTAAATTTTGACTTTACTTTTACAGAGAAAAGAGTGGTTTAAAGGAGAGGAGAAAATAAGAAGACATGGTCAGGATATACAAAAGAAAAACTGAACGTGGCAGTGCAGTACCTGACATGATACTGAGGGCAGTCAGACAGGTGACCCTAGCTAATAAATCAATCTGGACTAAAATAAAGGACTTTAATGTCAACTACCATACCTTGACTCTGTACTGTAAAACATTCACCCCAGCTGAAATACAGTCAGACAGATCTCCAAACTCCAGAGCATGTTGCATAATATCTTATGTTCATGTTTGTTCAACGACTTTTTCTAGCTAAATGATAAACATTTTTCCATGAAAGTGAACATCAAAGTCAGTTATAGAAAAAGGAGAACAACAATAATATTGTCCTTGTTTATTAGCTGCAAAATCCTCTGTGACATCTTACCCCATGTAGTGAGACAACTTACGCGATGGTGGGGCAACATGTCGCATGTTCACACTCTCTATTTGATTGCTTATAAATCTGCACTGACACAAGATATGAAAATGACATGAATACAAAATATATACCTGAGACTTTGGTTTTTGTGTGGTGCATATTTTGCTTACAAGTGACGTACTGATTTCAAGAAATATATAAGAGTGTAAAAAGTGTGACAACAAGCCCCGGTCTCCCCTACTAATCTGGACCCAAGCTTCTTTAAAATGAACTAAAACGACAAAAACACTTTGGCATTCTTTTTGGAAATCATGGACACAATAGTAACATCCAGTCTTACAAGGAGAAGGACCACTATGCTTGTTATCTGTGAAGTTTACGAACCAGCATCCCCAATAGTATGGAGATGTATGAGTGCCTATGTCATGGGTTACACACTTCTGAAAAGGCACCATGAAAGCTGACTTTAGGATACATTTCATCAATGTAACACTGACTTTTTTTAACATCTGCTAAACTTTTCATGGACCCAAGCAGTGATCTTTACTCATCCTTTCAGTATCAGTACAAATACAGGCTTTCTTACCGCAGACACATAGATAGTTACGCCAGAATCACAAGTAATCAATGTTTAAGAGTGACGCTCCTGCGGCTGATGCTGCTGCCCCCATCTTCCTCCTCCTCTCTTCCATCCATCCATTCATTCATCCATTCACCCGTTTTACTCTGCCGCTGCACCACGCTGCCTGCACGCCGGTCCCGTTCAGTCTTGGGTTGAACATACACTAACATGAGAGGTCCATTTTACTTAAGGTCCACTTTTTTCCCTGACATGAGTTGACGTCAGAAAAGCCCCCAAAGGCTACATCCTTCGCTCGGACGGTGGTGACTCATTGCGCACGATCAGTCGGGCAGTCTGTCTGTCAGGTCGCTTGAATTTTTGCGCTTTTCCGCGGAGGATCGATACCAATAACAAGACCCTGATTCTGGTGGAAGGCGTGGCTTTTGTGTCACCAACACACGGCTGATTTTCCATATCCAATTCCAGGGTTTTGCCTCATCTCGCTGACACGGACGCGCAAACGGCACCAAAAGGTGTGGGACAAAAAGCGTCTCTGAAGGTAAGCCTCCCTGCTTTTTTCATTACTCTTTTCTTTCTTTGTTCCACATCATGAGTTTTTCCGCAAGGTCAAATGGAACCAGCACATATCACAGTGGGGTGTTAGGGTGGTACGGAACTGCAAATCCAGAACATGCCATACACATCTGAAATTGGCCCGGATAGGTCGTGTGCAGCACTATAATGTAGGCTATGCAATGTTTGCCGATGTGCATGAATCTACATCCTGCATGTATTCGGAGTGTTCCTAAACTGCTGGGGGCTAAAAGCCTAGACGCAGGGGTGTTCTGATCCGTGAATATGTAATTACAGTCAGGATATGTTTGCCATAAATATTTGCGCTTTGATAGCAGACACGCAGATGCACTGTGGGAGAACACAAACAGGCTACACCTGTCCATGACCCAAAACAGAAGCCTACTCTTCTGTTTTATTTCATTCACACCTCAAAATTACACTCATAGGTTGTTTACAGAGCATTTAGAGAAAGGTTACTCCTCATTCTTGAGTAAACCAAGCAAATATGACCTGATCAGTTAATCTCCCATGGTTGTCCCTCCCAAACAGGAGCACTGTGCAGACTTGTGATGATGCTTGTTGTTGTGAGAGGAGGGAATAACCCAAAAGAAAAGGCTGGTTACAACCTCAGCACAATTAAGATGAGTTTTACATCATGCAGAATGGTTTGCCATCAGTTAAACAGTGAATAAAATGGTCAACTTGCTCCCTGGGGATCACTTGAGTATCATTATAAGGTTCTTTATCCCCTCTGTGATGAAGCTTGATTTCTTGTACGAATGAAGTCTTGATCACAGATCAGTTCGTTTGACTCAGAAGGATCAGATATTTCAGACGTCTGCTGACTGTTGCACAGTAGACGCAGACTTGGCCCAGATGCTTGCACATTTTAGGGGACTGACAGATCTGATCAGGCTGAGGATGAAGACAAACAGAAAATGAAATTGTGGGTCAGTAGGTAGAATCTAAACAAGATGAATAAGAGGACCAGAGAGCATCTGTATACACACACTGCTTGTGTTTTACTCATCGTGCTAGAAGAGGATTTTATAGTTGCAGGGTAATTCATCATTGTGTTAGACAATGTTAAAGAATCATTGATCGTCACTTTGCTATAAAGTACAGATGCATAACATGGATTCTTTCCCCTTGCAGATATAATTCCTTAAGGCTGATAACTACATCATAACAGATAAATTCACATTTAAATCTGCACAGGTGCTCTTGAGCACATACTGGAGAACACTAAGTGCAAATCCTGCTCATGTCGTCCTCCAAAGATGTAAAACTGTACACACTCTCAACTGCATGTTGACACTGTGTACCTTTTTAGGACTGACTGGCATATAAGATCAATTATCAGCTTGATTTTTATCCTGCCTGCTGTCTTTAAAGTAATAAATATAAGAATTAATTATCCAGTATAGCTGTAATGATAGTCATAGGGGTTAGCTCCTTGTTAGCAATGAGAAGTTGAGTCTATATCGCTCTTGTTATGTCTCTGACTATTAAACGCTTAATATTTCTAGTATTTATTAAGACTCATAAGACTCAAAATAGACAAGTTTGCATATTTACTGTGAAGCAGAAGCCAGAAAAGATTATCTTTTCAGACTAAAACTCCTCAGAATGTGGGACATATTACATAAAATGTATTCATAAGCACTTTCATTTTACATACCCCAAAGACTGAGGGCTACACTCTGCTCATACTGTATTTCCAAGTTTGTTCACTGTGCTTTATTTTACTGTGACGCAGCAATTTTGCTTATGCCTTTGGGATGATCCTCTGTTATTTCTTATCTTTTCTATTTTTGTACAGTCAAATTTAAGAGTCTGAATTCGTATTTAATGAATTTGATAACTTCCTTAAAGCTCCTATGAGGAGTTTTAAGCTGGTTACAAAACAGACTAGAATTAACAAAAAGGTATCTTTATGAACTCAAAAAGCAAATAAGACCATGAAGAAGAAAAGCAGTTATTCCTTTGTAATTATTTTGACTGTCCAAAACCACTGGCAGGGGGTAGGTGTAAGACTAATTGATGATAGACTTTTTTTAAAATTACTGGCAAATAGCAGGATGTTAAAAAAAACAATAAGTTCTCATCTACAAGACAAAATTGGCAAAAAATAAAAAAAAACCTCTGTCCACAAGGATTGCTATGATCAACAGTAATTGAAAGTTCAAAACTGCAGCTTTAATGGACATGTATAAAATACTCCATTTAAGAAATAACCATTTTTCTAGAATGATCAATGTACCACAAAGTGCATCTTTCTGTGGCCTCTTTTCATGAACAAGTTTAAAAGACCATCAAAGGCAGACATCCACAAAAAACTAACCCACAATCAGCATCACAGCACAAAGAGCAGCTTTATTGAAGAGGCATACTCTCACACAATCCCCATGACTCTGATTTGTACCCGGTGAATTTGATATTATGATTGTTTGTTATGATTGATTGGGTCTTGTATTTGTGAATCACATTAATCTGAATTACAAGGAGAGGCCAAATTGGCTAAATTCAGGTCATTGATTGTTTAAGTGCTTTGCTTTTATTCAAACATTGATTATTTAATGAATTTGAATGAGGTCGGTCAAAGACAAAGAAAGTGGTAATTTACATAATGCTCATCCAGACCTGGACTTCTATGTAAGTCCAGCTTGATTGTTTCTATGTAAATCAGAATTAAGTTAAGGAATAGTAAAGCTAAAAAAAATCATTGACCAATCTAAGTTTATTTATTTTCCTCTTTTAGGAAACTGCCAAAACTGGGGCTGATATTGTTCATCTTTTCCATCTTGGGATTGTGAGAATATTTACTGACTGAAACGGTGAATCCAGCATGGGAACTAATCCAAAAAGGACAGTGACAGTCCAGATGGTGCCTCAGCTGGCTGTGGTGGACACGCTGGGCAATAAGGAGCCAAATGCCAACTGGACTAAAGAGCCCAACCACAAACTGTCTCAGGTTTGTCCAAAACCCGCCCTCACATCTCCTGACCCCAAACAGGATAATTCCCCTCTCACTGCTTCTCCTACTAACACCATTAAAACAACCTCTTTGGAGGATGAACCAGTTTGCAGCACTGTGTCAGACAGACCTGTAACAAATAATGGAAACAAATCAGAACCAGAGTCTGTGAAAGGTGGAGGCAGACAGACACCCGACCCGTCTCTGGGTGTGGGGGACACAGGAAGCGACCAGAGGGATTCTAATGCCAACATGAAAATGTTTAGCCCGGCCGTTGAGGAGGATATCTGTAAGGCTGCTGTGTCGTCTGCTCTTTCAGCGTCAAAGGTCGAAATGCAGACCAATGACTGCAGAATTAAAGAGGCAAGTGGAGCAGAAGAAGAGAGATGTGTACAAATGCCATCCTCGGCTAAGGATGGCGTACAAGAGGACACTACAAAACATGTTTCTATGGGTAATAAAAATCTAAAAAATGCCTTTGAGGTTAAGCACAATGCAGCAGAACCCCAACAGGATCTAACAGAGAGTATTACTGCTCCAAAAAACAAAGACTCTGCTGTACCACAGACACCTAAAGAGCCAGATCATACAGGTATCTGTTCAAAAAGCTTGGTCAGTCCACAGCAGACTTCTAAACCGGAACAAAACAAAGAAACATCGGTGGCTCCTCAACAAAGCCCCACTAAACCACTATCAAAGAACAAAGATGCAGAAGCTGGATTTACAAATAAGAGTTCGTCTTCAACGCACCCAGAGAAGGTTTTAACCCTGGAAAAGAAACCTCAAATCCCTTCAGAAAAACATCAGCCTGCGTCCTCGCTGACACCCCCCTCCCCTGCTCCACCCCAGGCCACAAAAATCATGGAGGCACACAAGCAGGTGGCCGAGGTCACCATCCAGACTGGCACAGCTGTATGTGAAGAACAACAGCAGCAGTCCTGTAAGGAGTACAGAGAGGCCTCCACAATGACCTCATCTCTGACGTCCACTCCAGTCAAGCTTCGCCATGATATAGAGGTTCAAGCCGTGGTGAACACATGCAGCAAGAGTGTGGCCACAAGTCCGAGCTTGCTACCCTTTGCTGTGACTTGCAGGCAGAGTGGTGGGGCGAAGGAAGAAGCGCAGAGCCTGGCTGTGGTTTACAATGTAGACACAAATGTGGGACTACAGCAAATGAACATCAGTAGTCTATTAGCAACTACTGATCCCAGGTCTGAGAGACTCACTGTCAAGGCAGAGATGTGCCCCAACCAGAATGCAAGTGTGGTGTTTAACTCAGACGCTTCATCTGACAGGAGGCTGGGAGCAAAGCCTAAAGACCCAGGGCTGGCTCTCTGCAACACTCAGCCTGTTTATCAAATTAACATTGAACACAAGGAGCAAGGACAGACAGGTACCTCCCAGAATAAAGCTTCTGCAGTGAAAACAGTCGGAGCTGAAGCTCCCTCTCTCGTAGCAGGGAGTCCCCCTGAGACAACCGGCGCTATCAAGTCTGGATCTGCTGACAGCAACAATGCTGCGCTGTCTCAGGCTGCTGTTTCAACCAAACCCAACCAATCCCTGCCAACAACAACAACAGCAACAAATGCAACATCAAAGTCAGCGTTGACTAAAAATAAAGCTGGAGGCCCTGACGAAAAGGATAAAGATGGAGCTAAAGCCCAGACGTCGAAGCAGAAGGTAGAGCCACAGAGAGAGGAAGAAGAGGATGACCAGTCAGCAAAGGAGAAAGCAAAAAGCGTCCATGATGTTGTCTGGGATGAACAAGGGATGACATGGGAGGTCTACGGGGCCTCTGTGGACCCAGAGTCCCTTGGTTTTGCCATTCAGAGCCACCTGCAGTGCAAAATCAAGGAGCAAGAGAGGAAACTGATAGCCCAGACCTCCTTCAGGAAATCAGTATCTGGGGTCGCCTCACCGCAGAAAGGCCGGAAGAACAAAAGGAGGCAGCACAACATTTTCAGGTCAATGCTGCAAAATGTCAGACGGCCCAACTGCTGTGCACGCCCCCCTCCATCCTCCGTCCTCGAGTAGCATGGGCACATACAGTATGTAAACTATGTCAGACTCGTTCCCTTTTTTTCCTTTAGGTCAAAATGTTTGTCCTCCCTCCTTTCCACCCTGTCAAGACTGCGATGCCAAGTTAATGGGGCGGCAATCCCTGTAAGTAAGTATACTGGAGTGTTGTAGCATAAAGAGTTAAATATGTGTGATGTTTGTGATCAAAGAAGGTAGAAAATAGATATGAAATGAATAACTTATTTTCTAGAGATAGATATTATAAACAGAGAGAGAAAAGAATTTTTAACTATCAGAGGCAATAATAGTGAAACGCATGTATATTAGTTACAAAGGCAGGTGTATGAATTTAAAACAAACCCAAAACTCTGCAGAAAAAGACTTATCACGGGTTGACATCTTATTTACTGTCAGAATATTTGTGCTCATATATCAAGCCAACATCTTATTTAATTTGGTGCATTTGGTATATGTTTTTGAGGTGTTTTTTGGGAAATATATTTATAAGATTGCTGTTCTTTTATTTTGATGCACCTTTGGTGAGTAATTATCTTGTGCAAAAAAGAGACTGTATGCATACAAGCGCTGTTTAATCTCTGTTCTACCTTGGTTTTCTATTAAAACAAAGAAAAAACTATGTCCAGCTCTACATATTCATTTATCCCACATGCCAGCACGTGTCAGCTCTGATCATTGTGATATGCAGGAATTGAAGTTCATAAAAGTGAATAGAACAGGGTGAAAGGGAGCATTCATCAATATGTGTGCATGTTTCAGCGCACATGACAGGGGATGTGAGAGCAGCAGGATATATCAGCTCAGTCCACAGGGGAAGTCACCGAGGGACAGACAGAGGGTGAAGGTACAGAAGGTTGTGGTGTGCAGAGAGTAAATGAGATGGTGTCTGAGATTGTGGAGTTTCTTCCAGGTCAAAAGCTGGTTAGTTCCCATATATTTACATCTGAATGATATTCAGGTGAACACATTAGGTCAACAACTGAGCATAGATCGAGCATTTCAATAATTGAATCCATGCTTTTACATTGATCTACCAGATTGCATTGTGTAGTTATGTGTGATCAGGGAAATCAGGGATAAGAAAGTATTGTCAGCCAGAGAGAGTAAAAAAAAACAGACCTGCTCTTTAGGATATGTTTCTGTATTGCTTTTTTAATCAGTTAAATGAGTTACTGCAGTATTTGATAGATTGTGCTCAATTTGGTCTGTTTTCAGTGTTTTTTCACGACAGTAAATGTACTTTAAAGGATTTACACCTGAGTGCTAAAGGGCTCTGAAGCAAACATCATTGGCAGGACTGATAGCTGGTCATTCATCCAAATAAGACTCGTATGTCGTTTGTTTAATCCAATGTGAGAATACCAAGACTTTCCAAACGATAGAGAGGACACACTTATTCTTGATTTTAAAAATAGAACTTACTTGGACTAATTTATGTTTTAAAATTTTTCATGCTTTTAACAGGATTTAAGAAGCATGAAAAGTCTTGGCAGGGGCGAAGTAAACTCTGAAAGTGTATTTGAGGCATTTCAAATAAATCAATCTGCAACACCCTCCCTACTAATCTGGGCTAAATTCGCAGTTATTTTGACAATAGATTTACTTCAGGGTCAGAGTTTTAAGCAACCATCAGCCTCTTAGTCTGAGAATTCTTCACTACTCCTTGAATAAATGTGTGTTTTGACACTTTATTTGTCAAAGAAAGTCATGAGGGATTTAGTGGCTCTTGAAAAACATAATCTAAGATCCCAATTTAATGTTAGTCGTGGCTTTAAACAATGTGTGAACATGTAGAAAAAGATCAATCGGCAAGTAAATCAACAATCAAAAGGATTGATGGAGTAACCCTGAATTCAATACTTTATGGTCAAAGCATGTAAATCAATATAACGTCAGAGAAGGACTGTGTGTTCATCAATAAGAGTTTTATGTAAATCGTGCTTGATAATGATCCTATCCTTTCACTTCCATCCCACAACAATAATTTAAATAACATGGTTATAGCCCTTTAATAAAGAAACCTTTTTTTCTAACACTTTGATTTATGTAAAACACAGAAAAACAATTCTAGAGAACCGCTCTTCCATGGTGAACACTTCCCTTCAGAGTGAATTTACCATCCTGACGGGTTTAACACTGATTTCAGGCGACTGCTGTTATTGTCTTAACAAGCGTGTCACTTCCTGTTAGCGTCAGGAAGTGATAGCCTCTGTGGAAGTCCTCTATAAATGTAGTCACTGCATTATGAAGTGTCACAACCTGTAGAGAGGGAGACAGACTGAGGGGGCTAATCCTAATGCCTTGTTAGGATCCTCTGGAATCAGACAGTCTCTCCTCCATCCTATCTGCACAGATTTGTATAAAAAGGTAAGCTTGTTCCTGAAGGGAGTCATCTTTTATGGAGTCCTCTTTTACTCCACAGAGCTGATGGAAAGGTGTCAGGCTGACATCACTAATCTGTTCGGATATATTAAAACCCAAATTCATCCTCAGGTGGGCTTAATTCTCTCTCCAGCTGAGGTCATCTTCTCCTCTCCACATCACCTCGGTCCACTCCCGTCGGCCTGGTCACCAGCCTTGATTCTGATTCTTTCCCCCTTGCTTTAATTAGCTGTGTTTCAATTTTTAATAACCCCCCTACTCGCTGTCTTGCTACGCCTGGTTCATATTTGGAAGTGCAGATTGGATTTGGCCACAGGCGGTGGTTAGCATAGAGCGAGATTTATGCCAATGACAAGGAACATGGAGAGGGATTTCAAAGGCACATGGACAAATACCACCCACTGCTACACTTACCAGAGGACAGCATTGAACTGACTGTTAATATTCAGCTCATTTGCGTGTGCTCCATGCCCTCCATGCATATTTTAATTGAAACATGCCAAATCTGTAAAACTCCATACTCTTACACGGTAAAAGATATCCTGCAATGAAGAAAACTGAATATGGTGCACTCTGGCCATAAATCTTTGAGAGGGAATGTTTTTGCATGTTGTGCTCATATTTCATCCAACAATATTTGTCTGTCTGTATACACTGAAGTCTTTACTACTCGAAAGAATAAGGCTGGTGTCATAGAACAGCTAATCTAAGAGCTGCATCCTTCAAGGTGGCACAAAGGATTTATACTTTATAGCCTGTGTAGACTATCGAGGCTGAACAACAATGAGATAGTCTGGTTTACAGAGGAGTTCCTGTTTGCATCACTAAACGTTACCCTTTTGTCAGTCAGGTAGCTGGCTGGCAAACTACCTTACATAAGTAGTCTCATTCAACTTATCCTACTATTTCAGAAATAATTGGACATTGTCAAGCCCAGATTTGCATTTTGTTAACATTTACAGTATGTTATGAACCAAATGAAATACTCACATTTAAGGGTACAATAGTTTGTTGCTTGAGAGTCCACAAGCTCATCTGAATTTGCGTGCAATGAATCTTTATAAAGAAATGAACCTGCTGCATCCTTTATAGCCCAGAAAAGAAGGATACATTTGAACTCTCTACATTTTACTCTCAAAAAAGATACAAACTGTTCTTCCTTTACCTTCCTCCTGTGTTAGCTTTTGCTATGCACCCACCATATAAAGGGTTGGTTTCGACCCGTGTCTTAAATCAGCTGTAAATTACACTAAAAACAATTCTCTATCATCCAATTTGGTTCTCATCTCTAGGTTACCTTGTTAGGCTTCATTATCCATGAATATATTGCTTATTATATTTTTTGTTGTGGTCCTCTGGGCCTTTCTTTGTCAGTATACCCCTCATACAGACATCTATACTGAATTGATCTCACATGTCTGGACATGTCCAACGTTGTTTTTTGAGTAGGGAAAAACATGGCAAAATGAGAATTTCAGAAATCTCACACGATTGGAAGAGGATCTGACTGTCAGTGTGGAGCCTAACAGTGCAATTATGATTTTAGTTTTTGCTCTAATTATTAGATATTAATCCAACTGGGTCAACAGCGACCTTAACACAACAAGTGCCATAATTTTTGGTATGGTATAAATGGTTAGGTGTCAGTCTCGCAGCCGAACAAACAGCTCTGATTTATAATTTACACTTCAAATATTCTCAATGTATAATACACTTGTCTGTCAAAAGTCAGCAGGATGTCAAAAATCACTGCATGAGCGTGTAGAAGACAAAGTAAGCAAAGACTGCCATCACCACAGGGGGGCGCCAAAAGTGACACAAATTAAGAGTTTCTTACAAGAGCTTTAAATCACCAAATTAATGGAGAAAAATACCCATTAACTTTTAGGTGGTAAACTAAATGACAACAGCAGCCAAACATTGGTTAGTTTAGTGCAGCATGTAAACCAGAAACAGAGCAGCTGTGAATCATCTTTGGACACTTGGTCCTTGTTTTGATTTGTTCCAATAAATCCTGTTTCCTCTGGTTTCTAGTCTTTAAACCAAGATAACCCTAACTCACCTACCATTCTTATCTTTGCTACTTTCAAACACATTAGTCTCCCCTGAAGACGTATCTATCTCAGGTGTAAAATGGGCAAGTAATAGGAATTTTCCTACAGGGATACTATTAATGTAGTACATCAGGAGCATAATTATTTCGTAATTTCAGAGCTGAAATGAAGATGAAAGTGGAATCTGGTGTGCTCCCTAGCAGCTTCTGCTCATCATTAATACTCTATTGGATTTTTTCTCCATATGCAAAAACTAGTAGCCATAATAAATATGCATTCACACAGGCTTTGTTTCTGTTTTGTACTTCACATTCATATTGTGTTAAAGATAGTAATATATAACTTATAACAATGTGCTGCTGAAAACACTGGTGACATATCTTTCAGCCTGACGGGGACAGCTCAGCATTAACACGCAGCTTGAGAGCAAAATAATAATCTCTCAAGTGTTACCATTTAACAAGGAAACTCCTGGGCTGTGTCAGAAGCTAAAATTAAAGACCGATAGTCCGTGCAAGGAAGCAGGAGCCCCCTATGAGTGCCTGAGGGCCTCCCCTGACTCATGCTGAGATGTTGAAACTAATGGAGCTGGTCCTACAGGCAAACAGGGAAACCGTGGTGCGTGGGGTGAAAACAATGTTTTATTGTGTGGTGAAATATTTTCAGTATATTATTACTCAATCAGACAATCACTTTCTTTTTCTTTCTTTTTTGTCTAGCCCTAACTTAGTCCCTCTTGAACACCACTTCAGATTTGTGCGTGTGTGTGTTTTTCCTAAACATTTCAAAGCGTAAACAACCACCATGAGCACCCTGGAAATTGCAATGTTGGATAAGGGAGAGGAATTCAGGGAAGCAGTGGTAGCAGAAACATTTTTGAGCTATAATTGAAGTCTCACAGATAAGTTGCCTGTCCTGGCATTGGGATTTGAGATCTGCTTGCAGTGACCCAGTTAGCGCCATAAACGCTATTGGCTTCCTCAGCACATATAGGAGTCCTTATAGAAGCCCTGCAGATACTACAGCAAATGTAGAAAAGCCTTAACAATAATCCAAACCATTATCAGAGTAGTGTATCCATTATTCAAAGATCATTTGTGACACATTAAATACATCATCTTTTATCATGGGAGTGAGTGTTAATTGCTATTTACAGATCATTTTTGGAGATTATGAAATGGGTAATTAGCAGTGGCTTGTGATCATAGCCTTGTCATTTAATTCTCTAAAACTCATGCTTCAAAACTGCTCTGGAGATTTGACTGGTTGAAGCTTAGCCTGTTTGAAATTTGCACCGTTTCTGAGCAGATTTCCTCCTCTGTGTTTATCCCTGTGCCTCCCACTTCAACTCTTGCTCCCCATTTTCTCTCCAAGCCTCAATTTTTCTCTGTCCCAGACGCCCCTTTCTCTCTTTGTGGATAATTTCATAATGAAGCATCCAAAGCCAGTAACAGAGAGGTGATTAAAGCTACTATTGGCCTCCAGTCTGCTGCACAGTCCTCATAAAACGGTCTGCTGCTGCTGCTGCTCCTCGTCCATATTCATCCTTGCATTGTATCAGCCAGATAACTGGAAGTGAGGCTCTTCCTCCTGATGGCCGCCCTGTTCCCGGTGGAATATGTGGCCTACATTTGTTTGTGGTGCAGTGTTGGGTTATGTGAGTGTGTTCCTTTATCAAACGATTACGGTTTTCTGCAGTGTACCCCCTTTTGTTTCCTCGAACATTCACTGCTTTGTGGCCCTCTATCTGCCTGGCTTTTCTCTTTTTTCCTCATTTGTGGATGTTTCCTGCATCATTTTAGTGCCCATTATTGATTGCTCACAAGCACATGCCCTATAACCTCCATTTCAAACCATACATGTGAAAAAGATGCACGTTTGAAACAAGTACACTCCCGTGCACATAATACACACAGATATACACAAAGGTCACCTTTCCTCTCTTCATTAGAGACTGCTTTATTACGGCTGACAGATGTGCCCATAAATCATAGGTCCCCTGGTGGAGCGAGAAGATACAAAACAAACTGAACACTGATAAAGGTGGGACACAGTGACAAAGGGAAGGGAGAAAGATACGGAGGTACAGAGAGATCAACAGTGACAGATGAAGACATACAAACATGTAGTAGCATACTGCAGCTATTCTGTGTCAAAAACACAATTCTACTGTCCAGAGGAAAAACATATCTGCTAAAAGAGGGGTTTTGTCTTCTGTGTCCCTGTGAAGTGATAAGCAGTTTTCTGTTACATTAATGCCTGTTGATGATGACAAAATGGAGGGAAATTCTTTCTCTTAAAAGGTATAATGAAGTATTTTGAGTTAAGATATGGACAGATTTCTGTTTCTGACTCAAAAATACTCAAAGTGTATCCAGAACATAAACCCAACCCTGACACCCTGACGTCTCCTTTTTGTGCTACAAGGCCTGGGCAACTCTTCAATATGTGGCTTCGAAATGACTTTAATCCTCTTTGGTTAACTAGAAACTGAAATGAACCTTATCGGTCTGTGAAAGAAGTTCTTCAGGTACACACAACAGTTTGAACACCAAATTACTTGAACATCTGAGTGCTAGACGAAATTTTTGATAAAAAAAGAAACATTAAAACTATTATCTTATTGTAACTCCACTAGTTATACTTCTGTTCCTATTTGAGGAAAGGATTTACATTTCTAAAAGCATACATTTTGACAAGATGCTATAAAGTCACAGCTTTTGGGTAATGATCTGTGGATTATCTCTGTTAGCTAGGAAGTGGCTGGATGATATCACGTGTGCTACAGTGCTACATGATACCAAAAAAAAGCCTCAAATTCATGCTAACTGTGAGCTTTGTTTATTGACCATGCCGCTGATTGGTTGAATGTTCTTGAAAGCTGTCAACTCATTCATCAAAACTGCAGTTTTTTATGAACTGAAGACTAACAAAGCTACAGCTGATATTAGCATTCATGAGTAAAGATGTAATGTTTTGTGTTTTTTAAATGTTTTTACACGATAAACAAAAGTCACTTACAAATTAATGTTTAGATCCTTTAAGTCTTTATATTTAGTCCCAAATCTACTGATGAAGTTTTTGTCAATGAAGACAGAAATAAAAGTTATTATCATTGTGTTGTATTTTCTATTATTTTTATTTTATTTGATTGTATCAATTCCTACAGAATTGCTTTGATTTTATTTTTGAAATGATTATTTCAAGTGTGCATCAGTCTGGTTTGAAAGTAGTTTGAAACAGAAATTGTACTGTCATCTATTTAGGAGGTACTTTGAATCTCTTACTTGTGATTGAAATAAACAACCCCAAGGACATCAAGTCAGTCTCTTTAATTATTACTATGGTCCTCACAATCTCTGCTCAAGGCCTTCAACTGATTTAAATCTGTTGACTATCATTTATTATTTCAAGATGGCAGTGCTTTATGAAGGAGCTTAAAATGTAACGTATGAGTCACTAGCGGTGCAGCAAATGAATTTGCAGCTTATTATCGAGAAAATGCTTATTTTTCTCAACTGTAGCAAACACGGGAAACAAAAAAGCATAGCTTTCAAATTCTGAACTACAGCATGATTAAAAAAAATTGAAACAACTTTAGATACTATTCTGTTCCATTATTTCAAAGTCCTCCTTATCCTAGATGAAGGCTAGAGTTCAGGGACTGAATGTGTGAGTTATCATGCTATTGAGAATATGTGGTGTCATATTTTGGGCCTTTTACTTTGTATTTTACTCAGTTATCTTCTGGACAAATGATACCCTGATGACCTTTTGATTGGGACACCAGCCATATCAATACTCCTTAACTTGTTATGATACTAAATGACTTATTGCTCGTCCAGCTTACACATGCTTGAATGCTGTAATCACACATTTGAAGGAGCTCAAGGTTCATCCCTCACACTGCACATATATCCTGGCCATGCCTGTGTTGGCAATAAGCAGGTAACCTGCTGGGCGACGCACAGCACGGGGGGAACCTGATTACAGCAAGAAAATGGATGTGGAAAAGGGTCGTCGTGGGTCCAAGGGTTTGAGCACTCTGGAAAAGTGTCTGATTTTTCTCTTTCTGGCCATGACAGGCACCTGCATCGGCCTGGTGGTTGTCTACTTTGTTGACAAAGATGACTCCACCACAAACGTCGAGGGTGAGTGCAGAAATTGTGTTCATGTGCTTAAAATACCAACATGTTCCTGAAGTAAATTACTTTGTTGAATTTTTTTAATAAATTATCTTTATACGCTTACTTTTTGAGGGTAGGGTTCATATTCAGATACCATTAAAAATCATCTTAAATGGCCAGACATGACATGTATACTGTAAAAGGCAACGACATTTTAGTATTATATGGCTCCATATTTTCAGAAAGCACTGAAGTGTTTTTTTATCCCACAAGTTCAGAGGCATCTCCTTGTATTAAGACAGAGTACAGCAGCTGTGAGGGACTGAAACAAGCAGCTACAGTGAAAAATATTGCTGGAAATATTGAGTGAGAGTTTCCTGAGGCAACCGCTTCAGTGTCTGAGCGATATTGCAAAGCAAAATTTGTCTACCCAGAATTGCAGTCATCTTTGATTGATGAAAAATACCGCTATATTGTTCCACTCATACTCACTGCACAAAACATGAACTAGATGACAAATGATCTAATGAATCAAAGTCCAATGTTGCACTTAGGAGGACAGGCCAATACACAGAACCAAAAAGAAGGAAAGATTGTCTAAAGTGTGCTTTTGCAAAATCAGCTCTGACATTAACATTTTAATTTTTATACTGTCCAATATGTCTGCATAAAATTTGAGTTCTTCCAAATGTCATTTATATTTTACAAAATGTTGATCAAAGCTGTAAGGCTGCTGTTGTCAGACATGCTGGTGGTGGTCAACAACTTTGGATATTTGGATAGATATTCACGGCCCCTGAGGATGATCACTAAAGACTCCTCTGGATTACTGCCAGTTACTGATGATAATTAAGAATTAAATTATTACATTTTGGGAATAAAGCTGTAAAAAGCTACATGCAGGGGTGTCAGCATGAGGGACAGAGGTGTCTGAGTCCTGAGTCTGCAGGGCCCTGATTGTAGAGAAACCCCAAAGGGATAAATCTCTCAATCTCTGATTTCTTTCTATATAAATGTACTATTTTAAAAACTACATATTGCGTACAAATAATGGAAAAATGAAAACTGTATCATTACTTCAACATACAGCTGCCGCCTATACAGTAATTTACATGATAATAATGTGTCATCCTGAGTTGTGTTTACAATACGAGGAGGACAACAGATGAAAGCTATTATGCTAATTCCTTCATATTTATATTGATGTGTACTACAGAAATGCTGATTGATGTGCACTGTCCTTATAATAATCGTCAAATAAATAAATCTGTATTACTCTTTCCCTTCCATTATTCCTCCTCTATATCTGTTTTCTTTAGCATTCAATAACCCATGATTTTATTCATGTTTAAAGCAGGAAATCACACTTCAGAAGAGAGAGAGAGAGAGGGAGAGAGAGGGAGAGATAGAGAGAGAGAGGGGAGGGGGTGAAAAATTCATGCTGCCTTGTTTTCTTTAGAAACTGAAGAGGGTGATTTGTTTGTGAGTGCATCAGAGGAGTAAAGTGGTTAAACCTTTATCAGTCTGAGCGAATTGCTTTTAGCATCAAACGTAATCAGAGTCTGCACCTGTCTTTAGGATAAGTACCTGATAGCAGTGATGAGCTTTACTCCAATGTTATTTATTCTCACATTATTCCAGTTTTTGTGTCCTCGTTAATGTAACAAATGGAAAAAGCAGTCTGTCTTTATGGAAAAGCACATTAAAAGGATCATTGCCCCCCAAAATGAGTGGGTGACATAACAGAGAAACATCACAATTATGTTGATAGGTATGTGTTGCGTAATGATAAACGACGTCCAGTTATCTTATTGGTAGATACAGCTGCACTCTGAGCTGAGAAACACAAGCTGCTGCTGCCACAAGAGAGGATAGCCTGTCGCTACTGTGGATGATGACATACTGTATAATCAATGCTGTTGCCAGGGATTCATCATTGATTTTAATTTTCACTGCAGACACCATATGCTGAATTTTAGTGCTCTGGATTTAACAGTGCTAATACTCCAACTTAACCGGCATTATAGAATTTCTGTACTTACATTTGCAGTCCCCCAAGGATAAATCCTACTATTGTTAAACACTTAATGACAGAGATAGCAGGTCAGGTGTTCTGGGAAAATATCTCCCTCTATGAGGCTGTTACCTGTTGCCTCTCACCTAGATGCCCTTATTATACCTGTGTACTTATATGATGTCATCAAGGTAGGTTAGGATTTTTACATCCTTCGCATAAAGATTGGTAATGCCTTCGTCATCTGCTCTAAACTCACATTTATGATGCTTATTAGCAACGCCTAGAAAGTCGGCATGTCAAACTGTGAGGAAATATACAGCTGAGTGTGAAGGACACCTCACCACAACACAAAACTTGATATTTTAGCACTTTTGCTCAACAGGGTCAGAAATACCAGTATTCTGAATCATTTGTGCATGAAACTGGGTCTGTTATAAAGACAGGCAGCTCATGCTTGGCTCTCTAACTACAGTTAGATCTCAGCTGGAGTTTAAATGAACAAAACGATCCATTTCCCAAATTTTAATGCAGATCGCTGGCTGCTCTTTCAGTATTATCCTATATATGCTATCTTGTTTGCCTACATATACATTTTTTGTATTCTTTTATCCAAATTAAATTTGAATAATAGAAACAATGCAGTAAAATGAAAGTCTAAATTATGGTACAAGCAAGCTATTTTAAATTCCCTATATACAATGTGGCCTTCAGCTCAGCAAATTTAGGAGATGACACTGGTGGCGGTGTTTGTTCCTTTTTTTCTTCATGTGCAGCTCTATTAACCATAACTTTAAGTGGCTGTGAAGAATGTGTGTCCTTTATATAAAACAAATTTGGTTTCTGAAGTAGTCAAGCTCCACTAATCTAAAAAAACAGCTGTTTTGGTCTTGGCTCTTTAAGTTTGCATTGCAGGTACACTTCGCCAAAATGGTGAGGAATACTTGTTTCCTGAAACATTTTGTGTGACGTCATATGAATGTGGTTACAGAGTTTGGGGGTTATGGGCTTTTAGCAGTGATTGACTAGAGATTAATGTTATTATCGTGTAGTTTATTCAATTGCTAACAAGTATACGCACGATCACAAATTTCTAAATGTTTTTCTTTGACAATCCTAGGGCCGGATTCTGGCTGTGGTAGTCCTCAGGAGCTGTCCGGAGAGTCCGGCACGTTCACCAGTGCTCACTATCCCAGCCACTATGACAATGGCAGGAGCTGCAGCTGGCACATCACTGTGGATCCTGATAAGGTGACACAGATACGCGTCATGGCTCACTTTCAACCCCAAAAGAGCATTTTTTGTGTAGTCTATTGCTGTCAACAGTGTAGTAAACAATAAGAAGATATATATGAAACAGGCTTTGACTTCTTTTGTTACCACCAGTGTTGTTAATAAAAAGAAAGTACAGTGAGTTGTACATACGAGACATAAAAAGGTAGAGTCTGCCAATAAGCAAACGCTGTCCTGTAATGGTCTGAAATAATTCTCCAGATTCAAGGCATCCTTGTTTTTTTTTTCTTTTGCATGAGGATACTGATGAAAACACTTCTCTGACGTCTCGATTTCACACAGGGTCTTTTAAGTTGTTCCTGCTTGGTGTCTAATGAGCAGAGTTTGTCACGTAACTGTTGGGGGAACTGTTTTATGTAAGGCCAAGCAGTGGGGGACAGCTGGGATTATTGCAGCAGCAGCAGCTTCTTGGACAGATGGCTGCCTTGTCTCCTCCGTTCTCCTCCCAGCTCTCTTCTCCACACCCACGAAGAAAAGAAACTGTACTTTTTTCTCTGTGTTAGCATGGCTGCCTCCCTGCCTGTCTTTATCTTTCTTTTAGTATCTTTGAACTCACATGGAGAAACACACACTTCCTACTACAGCCGTACATCACGCACAGACAGGATTGCACATACTCTCGCGTTTGCACATGCGTACACTTTCTATTGGACTTCCCTGCCAGCAGCTCTCCCCTCTTATCAGCTTTTCAGTTTTATAGAGGAAAATAAAGATGTAACCCCCTTTATTTTCTTCTGCAGGTGATCCATCTGTGGTTTGAGGACTTTGCTTTGGAGGAAACCCAGCTCTGCACAGGAGACTTGATCACACTGAGAGACTCCCTTGGCACCATTGGTTGGTTCAAGGTTTATTTGATTTCTTAAGATCAATAAATATAAATACTTAGATCTATTTAGATTCGATACATCACTCTTTCAGTTTGCAGTGGCAGCTTTGATGCCCTGTCCAAATCAGTCCATCCATCCATGGACAGACACGGCTAGAGTGCCAGACAGCTCTGCTGGTCCACTGCACACTGCTCTACTTACAGAAACACACTCTTATCCACTAGTTCCCAAACCAGACCACAGAGTTTAAAGTGGTGCACTTGGTTCCCAGTTTTCTTGATCTCTATTTGTTGTTGTCTCTTAATTATTTACAGGCAATTAAACCCTTGGGCTAGCCAGACTAGGCCACACATTGACAAAGGGGGTCACATTTGTAAGACCAGAGAAAATGTAACAAAACTTAAATGTAAGACACAGCCCTGGGCCAGAATACACTAAATGATTCACTGGGACATATAAATGCAATTTTAAAAAACTTAAAATATATTGAAGAGTGAAAAAGTCATTTTCACTAATGCTTTAACAGTACACAGACATAAAAGTATTATGGGAACACATATTATCACAAATACATGCTGAGTATTTTATTATACTGTAATCTTCATCAAAAGGAGAATGATTGATTTGTTTGTCCTTGCATCACTTCACAGGGTTGGTTTGTTTGATTCAGTGGTCACTCTGTACTTCTTTGTGCTCTGTTGAATGTGTTTGTGATTATTTTGCATTTCTTTGTGGTTGTTTCAGGTCTTTTGTAATTTTTTGCACGACTGGTTGGTCTACATCTCTCTGTGATCTTTCATTCTGCATACTCTGTTGTTTTGTAGCTCTTTGTGTTCATTTTTTTCGCTACATTTTTTATTTCTTTGTGTGATATTTGATTTGATTTGTTAACTCTGTGCATTCTTACAATGATGTAATTTTTACAGTCTCTAAATGAACCCTAAAATATATATATTGTTTTACCTGCAGGTAAATACTGTGGCTACACTAAACCAAAGCCAGTGGTGTCACTTACAAACCACCTGACAGTGTACTTTGATGCCAATGACAGAATAACAGACCAAGGATTCAAGGCTCATTACAGAGCTGTGGCTCCAACCCTCGCACCAGGTAAAAAAAAAAAAAACAAAGATGAGTGGAAATCCATTTCAGAAAGAAAATTGCCTCGACTCTGGTGTAATGCTGGATGTGTGTCTTACATTGACCTAGAAAGTAAATGCTATAGTAATGGGTACAGGTTGAAGAGAGGGATAGGTGAAGGGAAATGAATATGGGGTGTGAGGGTAGGGTTGGTTTATTGTGGGCATAGGTGAGGTGTATGTGAAACTCAAGTGCCCTTCATCCCTCCTCACAGAAATAGCCGGAGCCGGTGGCTTTCTCCAAGGTGACCAGGGAGATCTGATGACCCCTGGGCAGAACTATGAAAATGGAGCACTGTACCAGGTATCCTCACACACAGGAGTTGCACACTGAACAAGCTGTTTGCAGCTATTTTAATACACAGTTCCTGTAATCTTTAACTTAAGCTTTGATTTTTGTTCCTTTAATGAAAGTGCTCTAGTTAAACCACTGTATGCTACCTACCAGCACCAAGGCTAAGAAATTATCAATCTATTACAAATTAGCCAAAAGGAAATTACCCTCTTGGCGTAAATAATGGTGAGGGAATCAGTCTTACTCTCTCCTCTACTAAAAATACAGCTACACAGAATTATGGTTTAGCTCAGGAAGAAGACTAAGTGCCACATATTAAGAGACAAAAGTTCTCACTGCACAGGTCACAGGATCACTTCCCAGTTCTGGTGATCTTCCTTCTCTTTCCATCTAACCTTTCCTGTCACTCTCAAGCTGTCCTAACAAATATAGGCAACAGACCCAGCCATAATCTTTGAAAAAGAACTTAACTTACTTATATCTTTACAAAATAATATTTTGATCATATTAATAACTTTATTTTATCATAATACAAACAATGACGTGTGGATAAAACTGGTTTGACAGGTGTTTCTTTAATACGTTTAAGAGCAATTACCTGTGAAAGCTCAAAGCCAACATCACTGGTTGTTGCAACTAAATAAAAGCCAATATTTACAATTATGCAGCTAAAGTAGGCAAGCTTGATTTGTTCTCTCATCCAGTCATTATTGCATCGAAACAAAGTTGTGATAGCGGCTGTATATTTAAGTTGTTTTACTCTGATGCCACTTTGTACACTGAGCCAAGCCAAAACCCTCAATGTTCCAGCTTTACGCCTGAAAAAATGCAGCTGAAATTGCCTTTCGGAAGAGGCTAAGAAAATCACTACCTTTTAAAATCTTCGAATTTCTGCAGATAAAAGTTTATTTCCTGCTCCAAAGTTATGTGTAAAAATGACACAGCACTTTTTGAAAATGAGCCCATCAGTTTCAGTGCGGTCACGTGTGCAATGCTCAGCTCGAAATGTTATTACTTTGTTTATATTCAATCTGGGCCTTATTAAGGGTGCGGCAAGAAGCAGTGTAGTTACAAGCTGCTGTCTCCTATGGCACATATGTTTGCTAATTAAATCTGATATTGATGACTCAAGAGGGTCCCTTTTAAATACAGAAATGCCTGAGTTACAGAGCCGTTAGATTTTATATTCATGAAGACTTAAAGTTATTGCACATAAGCCTCAATCAAATAGTAAAAGAACATGTTCTGACTACCAACTCATACCTTATGATGTGGTTTTTGCACAGTATGTCTTTGTATGGATGAGCACATCATCCAAAACAAGCCTACAAACTTCATATCAGAGCCCTTTTAGCTTTTAGCCACATGAACTTTATTTATAGTCAGGGTTGTGATTAATGCATCTAATTAAATCAAAGTCAGTTCTGATGTTGAGGTTTGGATGCTGGGTTATGATGTGGAGTCAAATGTTGTTATTTGCCTGTCATAGTGATTTCATCCAGCTGATTTGTTTGCAGACCACCACCTGTCTAAACAGGAGCAGAATCACAGATAAAATGAGAAAAATATGTCAAAATGCAGCTGTGACATGACATTAAGAAGTAGTGATGCAGAGAGCAGTTTGCTGCATCAGTGTTTTTTTTTCTTAAATGTGTTTTTTTTTCCTCCTATGCTGGATTAGTGGAGGATCATGGTCCCTGAGGGGGAGAGAGTTCGCCTGACGTTTACCTCCTTTGACCTGGTCCCTGAGGTCTGTGGGGATTTTGTTCAGGTCTACAATGGTGACAAGGCTGGGTCTCCTTCACTAGGTAACCATGACATGAACCATGACCATGAATTCACATTGAGAAAAACTAAGAGGTGATTTGTGTGTTTAAGGCAAATGACAATTTTCACACATCATCAAAGTTTACATTGAAGCAGGATCAGTGATTGTAGAGAAAAAGGACAAGCTACAATTTCAGAATAAACTGTGAGCTTTGTTCACTGTTATCAATGTCAAGTGTGTGAGTCCATGAATAATACATGAGCTCAATTAAAAGTTTGTCAAGTTGTGAAGAGAGCAGATTCTGCTGGCTATTTGAACTTGATGAGATTCGGTCAATCTGCGCACTGTGCGAAGAGTGATTGTTTAGCACTGAGCCTATTGCCAAACATATTATCTGAAATCTCAGAGCTGTTGTGTTCATTAATTTTTCATGCCTCTGTAATTACTAATCAATTTATATCACTGACTGTAACTCACTAAAGGAAAGTTCTGTGGCGGGATGATGCCAAAGCCAGTGGAGTCCACCAGCAACACTATGGTGGTCCGCTTCAAGTCAGACAACACTAGGACCTCAACAGGATTCAAGGCCAAGTTCACAAAGTCCAGCCTTCCACCTGTTGTTATTCCAACTACCACAGCAAAACCCACGACAGCAAAACCCACAACGGTCAAACCTACAACAACTGTAAAACCCAATTCCACAACAGAGCCCGTCCCTGAAACCACGCCAACTGGTGGTAAGAGTTCTTTCCAACTTCACTTCTATCTATGTCATTGAATTTTCCTTCAAGATATAAAAATAGTTTGAAAAGGCTCATATTCATCTTTAAATATCTGCCAGGAGGGTCAACGTTTTCATCGATTACATGATCACAATTTAGGCTTGGCTGTCTTGATGCTTCTTGAGTCTGTTCACAAACAAGCAAACAACAGTAAGTAAATACAATTCATGGGGATACATGAATTTAGATTACATGAAGAAACAGAGCAGCTATCTTGAGCATAAATATAGAAATAAAACATCCAATATACTGCATTAGTATGCCTCACTGCCAGTTAAAAGCATCAACACTAAATATTAGCTTCTCAAACCCTCATTTTTTTTTGGCTGACTTTATATTATTATTCTGCGTTCCAGTTACCTCAGAAGTCAGATGTCAGAGCTGGGAATGACGTTACACCCAAGTTGACAACATTCAAGTAAACAAGTCGGAAAATCACGATGAACGCCTACTGTTAGCCGTTGTTAGCTGTCTTTAGCCGTTGGTGGTTGCTGATAGCTATACCAGTTGTAGGATCGTCCAAATTTCCGAGTCAGGGATCCAACCTAAGTGGTGCTTTCCGGAGGAATTTCCGACTCTGAGCTCTGAGATCCCAGCTTCCGAGTACAACTATAACGCAGCATTAATCAGTTAACAAACTGTTTTCACTTATCTCTTGAAAGCTAAAGCTGATGCACAATAAGGCCATTATTCATGTAATTATGTAGTCTACTAGAGTGAGAGGTTTTCAACCTTTACACAACTGTGATACCTCCTTGTACAGTTTTCCCCACACAAACCAAACACTTCCCTAATGAGCTAGAAAGAATAAACCAAGTTGCTCTGTGTGTGGGAGGGGGAGATTCCCCTTGAGGTTTATTTATTCATCACTGTGTTAAAGCTATTGGCCGACAGACCAGTTCTCTCCAGTGGCCAATTAAGGTACTACATAATGAGCCTGTTCATGGCATACATTTGTGTATGCTATGTGTTCCTGATCCAGTTTTCCTTCAATTAACATAATCAAGTGTGAAAATGATAAATTAGTGTTTACACTACTTTCTCTACTGTTGGACAGGGACTGGGGATACAGTGATCATTCAGGGCCGTAAAGGTGTGATCCAGTCCTCGGGTTACCCAAACTCATATCCTGCTCATCTGAAGAGCTCCTGGAAGATTTCTGTGGCTAAAGGGTTCCTGATTAAACTGCAGATCACAGACATGGCCATCACAGGAGAGACTGGACAGTGTAAAGAGGACAAACTGATCATCTCAGATCGCTACAGCACACTGGGTGAGCTGAAGTTAAATAACTTATCCTTCATACTGACTGCTTTATTTATTATTTTGACTTTGGTCTTAAATTCTGCAAGTTGGGACAATGTACAAATGTGCGCCTTGTCATTCTTTATCAGCTGATTCTGCTTTTTCAGACATGTCTTTTTTGTGGAGCCTGGAAAAGCATCCATTCTTGGGTTGTATGGTAGGGGTGGGAATCACTAGCGGCCCCACGATACGATATTATCGCAATATTTGGGCCACGTATGATATTATTGCAATTTTTTAACATTTTGCAATACAGTGAGCATTGCAATACAGTATATTACAATTCATACATTTTTTTTAAACTGTTTAGCTAATTTAGCATTTGGCTTTCTTTTATGTTTGTCTTATTTACACAGTATTTTATTTTCATGTAGCACTTCTTGCAAACCTTATATATATTTTTGTTGTACTAACTTTCTCTATGATGTCCCCTCTGCCAACCTCCTTCGACAAACGGTTGATTTAATTTTTCCATTATCATAGATTCGACTTCATATTAGCAATTAATTTGAAAAATCGATACTTGGTAAATGAGACAATACGATATATCACCGATATATCACCAATATATCACAATACTGTGCTGTATCAATTTTTTCTCCCACCCCTAGTGTATATGACAAAACAGAAAAATATTCAAATTTAAGTGGCCAACAAACAAGAAAAACACAGCAAACCAGCGAGCATTTGATATCCATATGCTTAGATTACAACCGGTCAATAAAATGTGGACTGTGACTTTGTTTTTGGACTCATAGCTCCTGGAGTATAATGTTCTTACAGCTCAGTATCTTTCCCCTGCTGTAAAACATTCGATTAGGATCTTCTTTGCAGAGGCCCAGCAAACTATAAATTACCTCTCCTTATTATTCACTTCAGTGGCTGCAGTGAGGCTGATACAGCTTTATCTGTTGCTGAGTTCTCAAGGACTACGGCCCTGAGGTACAAACATACACACGCAGAGAAAAGAAGAGTGCGTGTGGATGGTAAAATCTGTTATTTCAGGGGAATGTGAAAAATTAGAAACAGACCTGAGCAGCTGAGGGGGTTTGATTTTTAAGAACGATGAGGGCGGAAAAGCCTCAACATGCTCATTGGACAGTTAACTTGTAAAAAAAAGAGAATAGTCTTTAAGAAGAAAAAAAATATTGATAACAATTGATGACATTCTCAGAATACAGTTAAACCACAATAACAGGTCCATGGTACAGACAGTGATTCGCATTATACCTTTTGAATCCTTTGTATCTGACCACAGAACTTGGCTCTGGGTCTTTGGTTTTATCCTCTTAGACGCCTCTTGTTATCTTTTGAGCTGTTACGGAAGTTGTAAACTTCCCTTTTGATTAGGTGGATTTTGCCCCTGTATCACGTAGGATGATGCAGCGTTTGAACATCCATTTGTCGCCTTTTCTCCTCTCTCATTTCTTGACTCTGGGAAACCAAAATGTGTCAACCCTGCCATTTTTGCTGAGGCAGGTACTAGCAGAGCACAGAGGATGATGGGCATGCATGGGATAATGGTCCCTTGTAGTCTGCACTCATCTCCACTCCAACACTATGTGGCTGGAACAAAACTTCACTTCTGCCCAGTGGACACATCATTTGAATACCATGAGACATCTGCTCCTCTTTGAACACCTTTTTGAGCTATCTTTGACTAAAATCAAGCCATACTAAGCCATACTATGTGTCTGCAAGCTTACCAGCTCCTGCTATCCTTAGTGTTGGAGCATCATTGAAAAAAACACTGTTAATGCTTTCAGTGATATGGTATTGGGTGGCTGATGAAGTCTTGCTGTCAGGCAGCAAAGTCACCTCCATTTGCCAGAGTTGTCAGCATCCCCATCCATCAAACACCGACACAGTCTGCCTCACACAAACACACAACAACTTACACCGCACATAGCTTACATCATTCTGTGCTCCTACCTGGTTATGCTGCCTTATTTTGACCAATCATGTGGTTTCTCTTTTTCTATTGACCTCCATCTATTCCCTCTTTCCCTTTTCCCTCTCTCTCTCTCTCTCCTCCTCAGGCACACACTGTGGCTACATCCTCCCCCCTGTGGTGGTCAGCGCCACTGACACATTATCTGTCACCTTCCAGTCCGACAGTCGCCTCACAGACAGAGGTTTCTCCGCCAAGTGGGAGGCTGTGTATCCAGAGGATATCACAGGTACCAAGGACACAAACACACATGCACCCAATGCACGGGTGAGCACACTGCACACACGCACACACAGGAACACATCCACACCTGAGACACAGACACACACGGCTCACACAGCTGAAGCAGCTCAACACCTCATTAGGATAAACCATAAACTTCTCGCTCCTCTCCCACATATTTTAACGCAGTGAACACATTGCATAAGCAGTGTGAACTCTGTTGAAGCACAGGGCAGAGTACAGTGAGAAGCATAAAAAGGTGAGATAAAACTCCTCTATCTTTTTCTTTATAACTCTTATCAGGCGTGGAGAGAAAAGAAGAACCCCCCTGCAGTTCAGGCTAAAGTGTTCTGCTTGAGATCATGCTTTCTCTGAAATCAAAATACAAACTGTTTCGCAAGCAATTCCAGAAACTCCAGGATGAAACTGTCAAACGATATGACTGCATTTCATGTTATTATAAAGTGTGTCTTTTACAGAATGAATAATCTTTTCTTGCTAGCTATGACACTAAGTTTATTATTTCACCTGCAAATCCAGGGAATCTTAACAATTTAAAAAATACAGTACATTTGAATGTTACTCAGTTAACACCATAGACTGTATATACTATGGACAACTTGGTTCCGCCTTCCGCCAGTATACGGATTTGAAGTCGAAAAGCTCTTGGTAAAATTTTTCCTTTTCCTTAAACCAACATTGTGCAGTAGCATTGTACGCATTCGGCAGGAGAGTCGCTGAGAGTCGCTGTGATGACACTCGGCTCAAACAGCGAATTCCCCGAGTGAGCTATGCAATCTTCGTACGCCAATAGGCTGTATCAAGTGTCAGTCATAGAAAACATGAACCCCCTAATAACTTTTAAAAACTGTACAGGAAAAAGAGGACTTGAGCACAAACCAGTCTTACAATAACTACATGTCAACACCGCAACCAGGGGGGAGAAAAATGTATGTTCAGAGTAATAATTTTCAAAAGTTTGTCCACAGCCCCATAGGGATTGCTGGAAGAGGTGGGATTAATGACCTATACTGCAGCCCGTCACCAGGGTGTGCTGTTCTCGGAGTGGCTTCACCCGGCAAGGAAGCAGACGCTGTCCATTCTATATACAGTCTAGGGTTACACATTATCATGTTATGCTTGATTTTAATAGTTTATTCTCTCCGTTGTTGTCATGCTCATGTACAAACTTGCTTCCATGTTACATCAGTTTCAGCTATTTAATGTCCCTCGTCCTGTTTCAGAGGTCCAGGGCTGCGGCTTTTCTTCCAAAGAGGAAACAGGAGTTATAAAGTCTCTCAACTGGCCAATGAACTACAAGGCTAACACCGAGTGCATGTGGAACATCGCTGGGCCTGTCGGGAAAAAAATCACACTTAAGTTCACCCACTTTGATCTGGAGGCCAAAGACTTCCTGACATCTAAATGTTTCGATAATATTGTGGTGTATGACATCGATGGTGAGACCAATGAGCAGATTCAAAAGCATGGTAGGTGTGTTTTTGGAGCCAAATCAAAACCATCTACTTATTACTGACCTCATTTGAATCCTTATTCTTTGATCTTTTATCTGTGCAATTACAGCCTCTTCATCACATTATTTCATGTATAAAAATTGTTCTTCGGTTGCATTCTAGGCCCTTTCTGTGGGACTAAGCTGCCCTCTACCATCCAGACAAAAGGCAACAGGCTGGTGATTCGTTTCCACACTGACCTGTTCACTGAGGCCAAAGGCTTCAGGGCTTACTGGACAACAGACACAAGCCTGCCTGCTCCTACAGAGCCCCCTACTCAGCCAAACCCCTGGGATGACGTCCCAATAGGTGAAGCATAAATTGAACCTGCCTGTGGTGTCACAAAGACAATGAAAGCTAGAAAAAGCTGTAATTCTTGTTAGACACCTTTTGCACTATATCCAACAATCTAACAAACCAATGAGCCCACAGCATATACACACTGTACACAGCTTTTTAACTTTCAATGCTCTCTTCTTTATGTTTTAAGTTACTAATATTCACACGTAGCAGGTAGCACTTCTCAGTGCAAAACCTCCAATAAGCTGGCTGAACTGAGCATCTGAGTCCTGCCTCAGTGTTGATCTATTCATGCTTACTCCCATCATTACAGCTCCTCCACACCCCTCTTCCTTGTCTGCACCCAGATGTGCTGTAAAACAAGGTGATATGGTGTGTTAGCAATTGTGCTGAAAACACATCGAAAAGTGGCCAAGTGCTACACTTTTCTTCCTGGCTGGCTGTCACCCGATCCTCATTCTTCAGCGGTCGATGAGCCCCAGGTGGCCCAAGCTCCTGCCAAGCCAATTGCTGAAATAGAGTTTTATAGATGGACCCTCTGCCTCTGGGTAATTTTCCACCAGGGCTGTGACTAGACTGTACGCTGGACGAAGAAGAGGAGAGGAGTGATAGAAGGATAAATCTACTAGCATAATTTATTGTCAGCTTCTTGGATGATCAGTAGAAAGTCATGGGTACAAATGTTGGGATGTCAAGAAGTCTGGCCTGAAAATTGGGATTTTTGTTCGCAGTTGGAGCGAATAGGTTTGCATGAGGATACAATAAAAACAAGGGGATTAGTAAAAGCCAAAAACATGGGGTTATTGTCCACAGCCAGCAGTGTCCACCTTGTATTATTGGGACATTATTTTAAAAAATACAAATGAGAGCATCAGAGCCTTTGATTTAAAGCCAAAGACACAGGCTTATCTGTTTGCTGCAGATATGTTCTGTATATCCAGGCTTTGTTTAAACACACACACACAAACCAAAAAAACAAATCCGCACATGCACAGACTGCCAAAAACAGGGTAGATTACAATGGTTTCTTTTTTTCTGCTAGATTGGCCCAGTACATGTGGGAAACCAGCAATTCCCCCCTCTGTTATGTCTCGCATTGTTAATGGAGAGCCAGCCAAGCCGCACTCCTGGCCCTGGCAAGTGTCCATGCAGGTGAGAGACTCGGCTGGGAAATATAGAGCATTCACACAACTCATAGCACAACATCTCATCAGTTTCAAAAGTATTCGTTAAAACCGGTATGATCTGTTCATAACACAGTAATGAGAGGTGTACACCATTAGTTGTTTGTATATCTCATATAAACTGATTAACTGTCTACATTAGGTACACTTCGAGAATTCACAGCCTGTACAGCGTGTATGTCTATATCTATGTCAATATTCATGCAAGTACCTCTAGTAAGTTTTTGTCGTTTTTGTTGGTTTCTTTTCAGGTTTGGCCGGACAGTCGGCCAGAGCCTGAATTCTTCCACACATGTGGTGGCACTCTAATCCACAAGAACTGGGTGCTTACAGCAGCCCACTGCTTTATTAGGTAAAAATCTGTTTTATTAAAATCTATACACAACAGAACAAAAGCATAGAAGTTATCAAGTTAAAGCGGACAAAAATAATCACTTTCTATGACGCTAAATCAAGCCATCCTGAATCCAAACACCATTAAATTCCCAAAAGTTTTTACTTAACTTTCTAGAAGCCTTCTTGTGTAATCTCAGAGGGCAGTTATTGGTGTCTTTTACCTCAGGCTTGTTACAATGCATGAGCAATACCTTGTTAGAGATGGCTCAACGCCTTGGCTAATGGTCTACAGTCTCCCAAGGAAAGAGATGCTGGTGCACTATGTAGCCTGTGTGCTATATAGTATTCTGTGCTGCGCCAAGATGTGGGAACACGTAGCTGCTTAAATGCTGTGCATGCATGGTACAATTTTTCCCTTTTCTGTAATAGCAGAAACCCCACAGTAGAAAGAGATTTTGCTGGATAGTCCTATCAGTTAATGTATATAGGGCTTTGGCAGGGATATTTATGCCTATGTGGGACTGTTATTAACTCAGCTGCTGATTTATCTCCCCAGATATGCTGATGAGCTGCAGCGTTGGCGCATGTGTCTGGGAAAACACAACCTGACCTACACAGAGCCTAGTGAGCAATGCTTTGGTGTTACTGGTATCTATCGCCATGAAGGCTTCAAGTATCCCACAGTGCCCACGGTTGAGTTTGACATTGCCCTGGTCAGACTGGACGGAGAGGTGATACCGAGTGATCAGGTCTCCTATGCCTGCCTTCCCTCAGAAGAAGAGGTCCTACCAGGGGGCAAGAAGTGCTACGCCACCGGCTGGGGAGATGAGACTGGTACAAGACATGCAGTTCATAGACTTAATAGTTTGTCATTCAAGTGTAGTCACATATTTTTACCGATTGTCTGAGTCACTGATACAGCACAGAACACTTGACTCTGATGGATCATAGTTGCATAGTTCATGTGCCCTCTGCTGGTCTAGATGTGCAAATGCATCCTGAGTCTATGCTTCTCAGTGGGCAGTCTAACATTTTCATGATAACTAGAGATCATTTGTTTTATTTCCAGGTGATTCAATGAATGCAAAAGTAGCAGAAGCCCTTAACCAGGTCGCTTTGCCTGTTGTGCCGTTTGACACCTGCAAGAGAATGGACTGGTGGTGGTTCCAGGTCAAGACCTCTATGATCTGCTGTGGTTACACGCTGCCTGATGAGCTCAAGTCTGTCTGTCAGGTAAGAAAAGCAAAAAAACAAAGACATCCTCAAAAGTGCAGAGGTAGCACAGCAGCAGTTTTATACCTAAACTATCCTCACCATAAGGATTTTGCCTTTGTAGCTTCGCAGTGATGGTATTTAATAACATGCCTGAAATCATTTTTGTTGACACTCTGGACCTCAACAGGGAGATTCAGGTGGTCCTCTGGTGTGCCAGGATACTCTTGGTGGTCCTTGGGAAGTTCATGGTATTACCAGCTTTGGCCCCATTGGATGCATAATGAATAAGAAGCCCTCAGTGTTCACCCGCTCCTCTGCCTACATCCCCTGGATCCAAAATGTCATCCGCAGGGACATCTACAATCAGCACAGTATGAATCCAGCTGCTCTTTGTTGACCTTTTTTATCCAAAAGCTAAATACGGCAATGAGGCAGGTTTCTGACTGTTTTTAACCCTCTGTCCTGTCTTTATAGCATCTGGCTGTGGAGGGCCAAAAGACCTGAATGGTACAGAAGGCACAGTGTCCTCCATGGGTTTCCCAGGCAGCTATAGCAACAAAGCCAGCTGTCAGTGGAACATTCAGGTGCCCGACGGCAAACTAGTCCACCTCCGTTTCCACAATTTCTCCCTGGAGGAGAGCCAGATGTGCCTCAATGACAAAGTTGTTCTCAGAGACAGTCTGGGAAGTCTAGGTTTGTAAACGTCTGCTTTCTTTTTCCCTATGGCAGAAAATTTAATTGCAAAGTCATCTATTGGTGTTATTACTCTGCTTTATGCTGAGTATGTATGAGTACCATGTATGTGTCAAAACACATACAGCCATTACTGCAGTATGTGTGAATAACATGTCACAGTTAAGTCCTACTTATATAACTTAAATGCAACTGCTTGTTAAAATCTAGAGTTGTTTTTTGTTGTTGTTTTTTTTACCTGGCTTGCATTTGAACTAATTTCACAATTTCTTCATCTTTATGTAATCCAATCAGCGAAACAAAACAAGAGATACTTGAAATTAAAACATAAAAGGTATATCAAGAAAAAATTCTGTACAGTTTATCAAAAACACAGGATAAAAATAGCAATAAAAAGATCAGAGCTGTGAGCAGTAATTCAGAAAAAAAAACCCTAATACCAGTTTCTATACTCTGACATGTAGGGCTGAGATATGGTTTTCTCCCCATTTTATTCTTCTACGATTTCTTGGATGCCGATTCAATTTAAATTGCGATTCTACGATATTGTCAATTTTCTCAATTTGTAGTCCGCATTTTTAACACCAGTGAAACAGTTAAATGATTATGATTGTCCACTGACTATTCCAGGAACCATATTTCCCCCCAAAATACACATAACATGCAAGTCAGTTCTTAAGATTTTTTTCTCCCACCCCTACTGACATGATGCTTTAGCTAAAGCTACTTTAGGCTTTGCTGTAGTACAGAAGTGCTTGAAGCTTCATGGTACCATCAACATAATTTAAAACTGTAGCACGATCATGCACAGCAGCCAAGGTGTTGTTATCATAGTTACCTTATATATCTTGGGCTCAGTGAAGAAACCCATCATACCGATATTTATGCCCTACTGATAAACTACATAATCTACTACATAGACATTAATGATCAGCATAACCCATAGCATTCATCAGACCCAGAAAACGCCAATACTTCCTACTCAGCCATTAATCCCCTAACATTCCATTCAACCTCAAACAAGAAGATATTCTTAAGCCAAACCTACTTATAAGCCAAACCCTATGATTGCAATGTGTTAAAATCATGGTACAACAGTATTTTATTCAGGACTGTAGATGTCTATATTAAATCTTATGGGAATTAACCAATTAGTCAATGCACAAGAGTCCAGTCGGTGGTAATCAGGAGTCAGCTGACCCTCCTCCATTATCATGTCTCTTTCAGGCCAACACTGCAGCCATGTCCTGCCTAAAGACCTGGTGAGCAATGGGAACAGCCTTCACATCAGCTTCTCTTCCAATGATAGGGTGGTGGACACAGGCTTCACTGCAAGCTGGAAGGCAGTAGATCCCTTGGAGGGTGAGACAATGTCACTGACAATAAACTAAGGTTATAGCCTTCAGGCAAAGCAAGTGTAAATATTTTTTTTCCTTTTTCATTTACTCTTTCTCTCTCATATCTACACTCACAGCTCCGTGTGGAGGAAGTTTCAGCAGTAGTCAGGGTGAAATCGTCTCTCCAAACTGGCCCAAGGACTATCAATCTGATTCAGTGTGCACATGGCGTATCGCTGTTCCTTCAGCCAAAACTGTCCAAGTAACCTTCACTCACTTTGAGCTGCAGGCTGTAAACATGTTAGGGAACTGTGTGGATTACGTAGAGATTTTCAACGGACAAACCATGACATCATTAGGTTGGTTTTTGGATTAAAACAAATTTTGTTTCTGTTTTCAGAATTTTCCCCTCTAAACTCTCTTTCCTGCTTGTTCCTGTAGGTCGATTCTGCGGCTTTGCCCCTCCAACCCCCATCAGTGTGTCTGGCAACTCAGTGGTCATCCGATTTCTCAGTAATGGAAACAATCAACAGGCAGGATTTCGTGGTTACTGGACCAATGATGCTGATGTTATCCCAACATTACCTCCCCCTTCTCCAAATCCATGGGACAATATCACTATCAGTGAGTGCAGGCTCATTTTAACTTCTTAGCAGAGGTCTGATTTTCAAAACTTAACATGAATTAACTTTTCTGAGGTGAAATAATCTTTAGGGGATATGTGATTTATTGCACATTTTTCTCTTTCCAGACTGGCCTGTAAATTGCGGAAACCCAGAAGTGAAACCCAACACACGTGCCACAAGGGTGGTTAATGGGGAAGAAGCCACTCCCCATTCCTGGCCCTGGCAAGTCTCCATGCAGGTCAGCTCCTCTTTTTCTATGCACCACATTCACAATAACAAGTGCTTTAACTAAAAAAGATAAAACAAATTGCACCTTTCTTCCCCAGGCTTCACCAATGTCCCCAATACCTTACATGCATGGATGTGGAGGTTCTTTGATTCATGAGGAATGGATCTTAACTGCTGCTCACTGTTTCATGTTGTAAGTTACAGTTAAAGTATGAATCATTTTGAAAAGTCACCGTCCTCTTGGCTGTAATATTTTTGTTGCAACAATCAAATGATGAAGTGAAAGCACAGGGAAAACCATTACATATATTCGAGCTCTTCTTGACTGTTCAGTGATTTCTATTTAGTGTTGGCTCATTGTTAACAGTTCACCAGCACAGTGTCGTGTGTACACTTTTAAGCTAAATTAGATCTCGTAACTGACTGTTAACTACCCATTATATCACCCAGCTGACAAATTTGGCTGCTACCACTTACTCATCTATGCTAAATCTGAGCAAAGAGACAAAAAGAAGCAGAGGCAAATGCAAAATATAAAACCCATCCTTGTCGCACTGCAGAATAAAAGCCTGAATACCTTCTCCAGATTTCGTTCCCAGGGTGTTGACACACATAAAAAAAAAGGTTTAAAAAGAGTGAAAATCTTGATTGTGGCCAAACATGGCCTGAAGTTCATGTTATCATTGATGTGCTGTGCTGTTTGATATGTTAATCTCCTGCCCTAACATACAAAAAACAGGCATTAAAACAAGACAGCTTTAAGAGACACTAAGTTCATAAATCTTGATTCCCAGCATGCAGCACAAGAACGTGAATATAATATTGGGTTCTAATCTTTGCCTTTAAACTTCCTGTTTTCTAGCCCGCTGAACAAACCCTCCTACTGGCGAATGTGTTTGGGAAAGCACCACATGAATTCCTCCATGGACGTTCCCTCAGCAGAGGAATGCTATAAGGTGGATGGAATCATCCGCCATGAAGGGTTTGTCTATGAGCAAGATAAAACCGACATCACCAATGACATAGCACTGGTGCATTTGGCCGTGCCTGTCAATATGACGAGAGAGATCAGCCCCATCTGTCTGCCTAAAGCCGGGGCAGTGATGCCTGCTGGGACACCCTGCTTCGTCACTGGGTGGGGAGATGAGAAAGGTAGAGAAAAGCTAACTACAGTTGTTTATATAAGAGGTTTACATTGAAAATATTCACATGGTCGGCATTTTCCCCTAGTTTTACACTCAGGGTTAAAAGCTAAAGTACTAGCATTGTTATAGCCAGGATTAAGGTCTTACAGAAAGAAGAAATCTGAACATATCTTTCCATCATTTCTTGATTTATTAACAACTACAACCACAACGATAAAACTAAGGAGACATCTTGATGTGCAAAAAATAAAAGTAATCCGAAAGCCATTTTGCTTGTTAGACACCTACAGCTAGCTAAAACTTCTTTACCTTAAGTTTGACAACATTGTATACATTACAGGCCGGCCAGGTTTCAGAAAATGACAAGGGTGAGACTTAAGCGCTATGATGTGTTCGGCCACTGAAAAATTTGGCCTTTTTTAACGTTGATTTATACCTTAAGTCTGATGTCCTCACCTCCATGCCAGCTGCTCTCCCTGCGCTGTGGCCTCCTAACGCTAGTCTGCTAGTCTTAACCTACCGTCCATCTTCAGGAGAGCGGGAGAACGTTAAGTGGGTTTTAAATGTTGCTGCTGTTGTGTGTGAGAGATAGTTAGGGATGCCAAGACCCGACTTACGTTGCCTCTAATTGGTTTATATTGCGTGGTGCTTTCCGTGGTTGGTTAGCACTGATGGATTGGTCTGGGATTTGTTATCTCTGTCAGTCAATCAGAGTTACTCAAGCTACAGCAAGTCAAGGTTATTATCATGAAAAAAATAAATACAGAGTATTGAATGGGGAACTATAAGCATGAGAAATGTCAAGTGTGGCGTGTGCTATGAGCATGGGTCAAATAGCGTGACTGTCGCACTCAAAGCGTGACACTTGGCAGCTCTGATATTAGAGTTTAACCAGCTGCTAGCAAACATTTGTGAGCTAGGGATTCATTACTTTGGATCTCTTTGCATGAAGTGATGTAGCTTTCTAACACTACTGGTGAATTTGAGTCAAAATGTGCATTCTGTGTCTATGGCCTACTACTTTGACAGAAATCTTTATTTTTTGGTTTCTATTTTAGGTAACCTGTTCCCAAAAGTGTCTGAGAAACTCAACCAAGCAGCCCTCCCTGTTGTTGACTTTGAGACCTGCAGTAAACCTGCATACTGGTGGGACACCCTCAGGCCCTCCATGATCTGTGCTGGCTATGAGTCTCCAGATGAGCTGAAGTCAGCCTGCCAGGTAAAAGGGACACATTCAGAACAAACTGATAAGGTGGATATATTTGTGATGATATTGGTTGGTTCCTCTCTAAGTGTTTTTCAGTCCTTGTTGTGCAAGTGTAATTGCCTCTCTTGATTGGGCTCTCTGTTGCGTAATTCCCTCAAAACTTTTTTGTTCGTGATCAGTCAGCCTTGATTACAGATGGTTGCCTGCATTCTGCCATAATTGGACACAAGAACACAGGAGCTTTATTTGTTGTCAGAAGGAGTGTCGGCACAAAGACACATACAAAATTTCTCTCCCTCAAAAACCACACTTATTTAAAAAAAAAAAAAAAAAAGGTGACCTATACAAAATCCATGCTGCAGAGATGATTTATGGTGGCTGTCAAAATCAAGTGATTAATAATGCATCTTCCTCCCTGTACAGTGAACCTTTGGTAATATCCTTCTCTTGCTTATCACAGGGTGACTCAGGAGGACCTTTTGCCTGTGCAGCAGGAGGATCTAAGACAAGCTGGGAGGTACACGGTATTGTCAGCTTTGGACCACAGGGCTGCATTAAAGACAAGAAACCTTCAGTGTTCACCCGTGTCTCGGCATTTAATGACTGGATTGAAGACAACATCAAGAAGTTTATTCATGAGAGCGTCAAGACTAACTAATATGAATTACAATGTTTACTGTTAAAATTAAGATCAAAGTATTATGGTCTTACATTTAGGGTTGCTCTCTACTAAAGTATTTACTGACTGATACTTGGAAGCAATAGGATCGGGAGAAACAGTGTCTGAAAACCTTTTTACTCTGTACTGTATTTAATTTTTCATCCATGTTGAACTTAAACAAGTTGGGCATACCAAATTTTTTAAGAAAAACGTTTTTAAAATTAAGCAAAAACTTTCATGTCAAGCAGACTGAAACTTTAAATGTACTCTGTTTCCTGATATGAAGGCAGCAGTGCCTTTTGTCAATCATAAAAATGTTTGATTTTGTGCTGGTTATTTGGAATAAAAAGTCAAAAGTCATGAAACAAGTGCTGAATCTTTGGTAGACATTCCATACATGGTTACATTTGCTCCTGTTGGATTACTTTTTATATAATAGCAGCAACAGGAATCTTATTTATCTTCAGTTCACAGAGCTCAGAGGCTTCCTCCTCTTTTTCCCCCTCATTGGCAGGCAGATGAGTCCTGCAGGCACAGATTTAAAGTTTGGGGCTTTAACTCTTTAATCACATGACCACGTCATTCAGCCAATGGGAGTGCTCGGCTCAGATTTCAGCCTAAGAGGAGAGAGGGGAAGAGAGAGGGAGGAAGAAAAGTGGCAAGCACCACTCTGTGTTCATGGTATGATCAGCATACAGGCTGCCAGCTCTGACAGAACTTCTTTAAACTCTCTCCTTGAGCGGATTATCTTTGTTTGTTTGCTTTTTGAGAGAACTTGGATGGCACTTTTTAAAATGAGAGGGATTCCCAACACTGGGGAGTGTCCAAGAGTTTGTCCTGAAACAGAGTGAGGAAGAGAAGAGGAGGGAGGACAGCAGCAGTTTTTTCCTCTCATCTTTGCCTCTGCAGCCTTTTTTCTGTAGAAGAATGGGGGCAGGAGCTCTGACCATCTGTGTGAGTAGAAACTACAAAGGCTGAGCTGGCTCACAGATTTCTCATTCAACCTGTGATTAAGGGCTAAAGAATGTGTAATGGGACAGTGCCGTTCAGTGTCTGCATGTTTTTGTGAAAGATCTATGTGTTGACTTGTTTGAGAGACTTCAAACTTCAAGAAGAGACAAATGTCTTCTCTCTCTCTTTCTTCGCTCTGCTCGATAAATGCACTTAACAAACAACTACAGGGTTCAAGACGCTTTCACATACAGCCAAAACAGAGACAGCAGATTCCTTGTTAGATAGCTCAACATTAACTCTATCATCCCCTTGTACCGGTCAAGTATGTAAGGAAAGAAAAGGGATGAATACACATGCCGGCAACTGTCATATTTTCCTAGCAACTCTCCCGCCTCAATGAGGTCACTTTTAGCAAACCCCCACAATGAAAAAAGGAGTCTTTGGAGAAACCGGTTAACTCTTACAGCCACTTTTTGGTGATCCCTTCGAACCACATGTCTGTAAGAGTAGTTTCCTTGTCTTGAACAGCTGCTGCTTGGAGTGCCGGGGTTGCTTTTGCTACCAGTTGCTTTCCTGGCCACCCACATAGGAACAGGGGCATAGAGGAGGGAGGGGAGAGGGGAGAGAGGAGGAGGGCCAGGAAAGAAGAGGCACATGCTTGGGCTTGCTATCCTCTTAGAGAGGAAGTCAGAAAGAAAAATAAAGATGGCTTTGCCAATTTTGAGTTGATATGTGTGAGACCCTTTTTAAAAGAAGTGTGGACTCACTTGAACAGCAGTTGTGATTTTAATAGTTTCTCAAGTTCACACTTGAAAAATGATCTTATCAAGAGAAGTAGAGAGAAAATCATTAACTTGTAAGTCTCTCAGCAGTCAGTGACAAAAGCTTTTTGTCACTGTCAGAAGTTGAAGTGTGAAAGTATATTAAGGATGGGGGAGGGGATGTTGGGAAGAGGATTGTTACGCTAATTACAGCTGACTGTCCTGGTAAACAATAGAGGTCAATGGGTACCATGAGGAAGTTTTCTCATCTCAAGGCACAACTTCCCAAAATCCAAGCTGTTGACTTGTTAACTCTTGAAAGGGAGTGGTGCTATGTCACAGGGAGAAGTGCAGTATTTACAGGGTTACTTTTACAACAACGAAGAGACAAAAGTCTGTGTTTGCAAGGAGACCTGCTAACAACCACACTTCTTACCGTTATTACAGCCACACTCTGTAGTGAAGGTGGGAATACAGATTACATCTGTTGTCTGAAAGGTGGTCTTCACATCATCAAATTCTTGGTCCTTTCTTTAAAATCTACAAAGTGAAAACTTAAAAGGAACTTCTTGCTTTAACTCTTTCCTTGTCCTTGCACCAATACTTACAGAATCTGAATGTTTTAGTGTATATTAGGAGCCCTGGGATTCACTTCACCGCACTAGAAACCTCTATGAAAATGGCCTTTAGTAAGCTAGTATGATATTTTTTGTTGTGCAGTCCAGGCTACACTTATGTATGCTATGTCCTGTGAAGTCCTTATATGGTAGACTACTTCAGGCTAAACTGGAACTCAACATCCGGAACTTGAACACAATCTTTTTTTTTTATTTGTGTCTCAACATTACAAGCTGAATGTCATCTCTTTCTATGATGTGTAACTTTCCACACCTAGTGCATGAGCCTACAGATGACAATAAGCTAAGAAGTATCTGCTGACCACTTTTAGCTGTTCTTTTTTAATTAGAATCAGATCACTGTGATCAGCAAGACCTCACACTGCACCCTCCTGTACATGGCTAACAGTGTCTGTCAGCTCCATGAACAAAGAAAAAGACAGAGACTAATCTTTCAGAAACTATCTTTCTTCCTGCTAATACAATGATTGAAGTCAGTGTCTCATGTTCAATATAAAACTTTTCATTCTGCTGTTTTAAAGCCTTATTTTTGGATTGTCATTAACAACATACATCCAGTCCCTTGATCACCAGTCGTCACATGGACAAATGTGATGCTGATGAAACATAAACAAGCACAAAGAAACTGTAGGAAACAGGGCAGGGCATGCTGCTACTGACACAGAGCTAGGGATTGCCACTGCCCTTAAAGACATGAAACTTGACTAGGACTTACATAAAAGGATTTCTGCTTGATGTCTGGTCTCAAATGGGATTTGTTGACATGATTCGTACTAACATGCCTTTAATATTGTTCCTGTTACAGTATGAGTGATTCACCTGGAGGAGCCTGAATAGGGAAAAAATGACAGCTAGATATCACTTGTAACAGAGTAACTCGTATAGTTAAGTAAAAAAATGAGTTACTTTGGTGAAGTTGTTTTTTCGATAGTGTCTGCCTGCCCGTCTGTCTGTTTGATAGTAAAGACAGATTTAAGGGACATCTGCTCAGTAATGCCTATCACAGTCAGACTTAGCTTAGACCAGCTTAGCTCTTTAACACTTGCTGGAGTCTACTGGAGCCAATCTGCAGGCCACTGCTCTATTAACACTGTGACCCATAAACAGTTTTACCCACCATAGACGTAACACCATCAACATGAACCTGTACATTATACAAAAACAGTTAAATTTTTTCATAAAGCCAGTTTTATTATTCCCTAACATGGAGAAATATCAGACCAAAAGCTCTGCATGCATTACAGGAGTGTCTTATTCAACCCCTGACTAAATCAGTTATCAATTCTGTTTCTACTATTGTGCAAAAACAACAAGAAATTGATTTATTTCTTGTTTGCTCCATCAGCAGACATCCTTTTCATCACAAAAGTTCTTACCTGCAACATCAAAACAGTCTAATTATTTCACAGCTGCCACGCAGGCAGGACACAGTCAAGATGAGACATGACAACCTTTAGAGGCTGTAAGGTACCAACAGGCACCATCATGTCATGCATCAGGCAGAAATATCTTTAATGCGTCAGTCAAACAGTAGTGGATATTAAAACACTGCCTGTACAAGTTCCTCAAAAGGATGTTGTATTTACCCAGCCAGAGCATCTGCCAGGGTAAAGATCTGCCTCTTTAGCCATCTCTGCACCATCTGTGAGGTGGGCTTTAATCAGCTGATCAGACTGTGGCACATGGCTGTACCCATTCTGTCTACAGCAATTGTCCACATAGGGAAGAAACTCAGCAGTTCCTCCTCTTTCACACTCCCTTTTAGCTCCACATGGTAAACCTTCTGTGTCCCTATGGCAGAATCATAACTATGGGCCTCTCTTGTGGGTCACTACACTTGTTTGAAGCAGTGAACTCTGAAACTATAACATACCATGTGATGCAGACGCAGCTATGACAACCAGATGAAAACTTCAGTCTTCATTTAGAGGGAAAATCCTGCCCGTGGTTTGTGTGTTTTCTCTTAATTGCTCTTTGTACTGCCTCCATGAAGACATCGATGCATTATGCTGAGATTAAATGAGGCAAATTAATCAGTTATCTTCCCCTCTATGAACTATGCTAGCTTGTTGAAGATAGATTTCTGTGTACTCACAATGTTTACTCTCAGAAAAAGACAGTTGGTGGGTTTGTTTTACAGTCTGTGTGTCAGAGATAGAAACAGCATAAGGAACTGTTTGCCAGGACAAGTTATCAGATAAGGAATGCTGGACGGTTGGTGGATTCGCACACAAGATAAATGCTCATTGGGTTTAAGGTGGCAGAGACAGCAAAGGTGGACCATAACTGAGCTAAATATAAAAAGCATCTGCAGGTATTGGACGCGCTTTCTGATCGACGTGGTTTCAGTTGCGATCATTTGAAACAGCTGGTGATCCTCATGAACTGCTTTTGTAACTTCATTTCTAGCAGAAAGCTACAAAACTACTCTAGAAACAAAAATTCAAGTGCAGAGGGTGTCAAAGATGAGGACACAATTTTAGTCTTGGTTACAGACGAAACTACTTTTTCTTAAAGCATTGTACAACATGAATGAACTGCAGGGGATCGGAGAATTCTGTAATTCTGGTTTGTTTATCACGTAGTTAGATATACAGTATACTGTTTTAATAGATCTAAATGCTTGAAAAAGTACATACACTATACAAGTATTGTGAGGAGGGCTGTTACAGATATTGAATAAATTATTTAAATGACCCTTTTCCATGTAGAATATCTAGAATTGTGTGGAAAGTTGATAGATTAAACAGGCTTGTTCAAGTTATTCATGGATTTTCTCCAATAACACTGATTTGTTTCATCTCATTATCTCTAAAGGCTGCCTCTTTTACCACATACAGTCCTAGTTACACACAGAGCAAAGTGTGTCCTTTTCTGTGTCTGATCTTTCACAAGTAGTCAACAGCAGCATGTTTTATAAAGGCACTTAAATAACACAACTTATGTTAAGAATTTTTTCTCCTGGTATTCTGGTATCAGAACAGCAGATCTGCGTGTGAAAAAGGGTGGTTCACAATGATGTAGCACTTAGCAACAATATAAAACTAAGAATGTGAAAATCAGCAGCAACCAGCTGAACATGAGTTTTGAACGGTGGTATGAGAATGTTCTTAAGTAACACAAGGCATCGATCCTCAGCCACTCATGTCATTAACAGGGGAGATGTCCTGGGAAGCCTCTATTGATCGAGCATGTGTCAGGTTCTGCAGGTTAGTAGAAGCAACAGACACGAGAGGAATAAGAGATAATCGGAATTTGGTTTCAATGATACTTGGGAGGCTGAATATACACTAGAAAATGCTGTTTGGGTATCTTTATGTTTGGAAACATCTACAGAAGTATCTTTGCATTTACCTAAATACAGAATTTTTAAAGTGCAGTTGATAATGTTTTTCTGCCCAAAAATAGTTTTCTGTTGTCAATAGCTAAAAGGGAATCTGTACTGTTAAAAAATGAAACCAGGATTATTCTGCAGCAAGTTGTAACTCACTTTTTTCTGAAACCTACCCAGCAACAGTGGTCAAAATATACTTTAGAGAATAATTTTTATATTGATCATAGAGCCATCATTATTAACTTCATTTTGTTTCTTAATTAGCAACATATTCCCTAAGGAGCCTAAAAAGGTAGCTAGCAGTGCAAACAACTTTGCAGATCATGTTTTTTACATATGTTACAATAAACTCCACTTCATCAAGCTGCTATAATAAAAATGCTGTTTATGCAGCGATGTTTGCAATACTTTTACCTTAATCGGAAAATTGATACATTATCTTACATCTATTTTTACTTGGAGAAAGTAAAGCATACAATCTTTTCACAAAGAGAAGAGTAGGTTTTAAAGACCAGTGCTTGGATTTTTTTTTTACTAGAAGTTAATAAATTTCCTTCATAGAATCATGTGTTTGTTTAAATTGCCCCCCAGTTAAACTCTAAACATTAACTGTTCAAATTCATAATCATATTTGCCACCCTGATCCCTGTACGTGTATGCTTATTTGTCCAGGGATGTGTGTGTCTCTGGCAGTACTTTGAACCAAAGGTGTTGCATGGTAACTTGGTCTTTGTCGTAGCAACCCATGCACGGCCACCCCTCCACTTCCTCTTCCTTACAGCACACTCTGTGCTCCAGGCATATGGCTGCAGGAGGTTTGCTTTCATGGACTCACCACCGACACCACCACACATACCTTTTTAGTCTTGGTATCCGCAGTAGCCTTGCTCCAGTAGAAAAGATGGCCCCATGGTGTCTTAACTGATGCTACAGCCCTTTGCACCTAGTGGCTGACTCCTGCTCTCTGCATCTCTCCCTGCAGCACAACAAGACAGCAGTGCAGGTTAAGGAAGACATGAAGAAGATGGTTCAGATACCTTTACTGCGACCCAGACCAGTTGAAGCAAAGCACACCAAGCTGTTTGGAGCAACCCTGTCTGAGCTGCAGGAGATGGGTCTGATGGAGGATGATGTACCCCTGGTGTTGAGGAGGATGGTGGAGTACCTCACAGAGCATGGTGAGTGAAATACACCCAAATTCAACAGGCAGAGAAAAAATTAGTCTTGATCAATCAGTTCTTTAGGATTATGTCTTTTTTTTCTGTTGTAATAATTGTTAGTCCAGTTCTGATTTTCACTTTTCCTCTGTATGAATAACATCAATTTGAGGAGTATTGACAGCTGTTTTTCCTGATAATGGCAAAATATTAAGAGTCTGAAGAACATCCAGTTTTAGTAACCATTTTGGATTTGCTTAGAAGAAAAGAACAGTTGAATTTTAAAGGCTATAATAAATATCACCATCATAGTTTATGTTAAGCTTCTAAAGACTCACTGAAACAAACTAATTCCTTAAAATTTGAGCTTATAAGCATTAAAAGGACAAATGACATGTACTTCAAATATCAGTTAATTATGACTTCTGTGTTTACTGATGTATTCAAGAGATGTTTAAGTTTCACCATCAAGTGAGGAAGTTGCAGAAACAAGACTTGTTTGAGTTTTGTATTCCACCCGAGTAAACTTGTGATGAAATGCAGACTCTTTTCCACATCTTGTAGTAGCATTTTTCCTTTTTAAATTCTTAACGAAACAAGCACATTATCATCATAGTTATTATTATCAGTAACTACTCCAACACTGGAATCCACTCTATTCGCATTCATTCCAAATGATCCCAAACCACTCTCTGTTCACTTAATTAAACCCCAAATACAATAGCTCCTCACATATATTTAACAGAGAACAATACATGAACTTACACTGATATGGTCCTTTGTGATATGTACCTAAATAAATTTGCTGTACTTCTGCGGAATGACCACTAGATGTCAGTGTAAGTAAAAGGAGCTTTAATTACCATGGCCGATACCAGAGCAAACTCACCGTGGCTCCTAAAATAACTACTTGTGCGGTATTGTACGACCAAGATTTATGTTTGGACTTCTTTTATAGGGATGACTGCATATAGTCTGTAATTTGGTCCATAAGTGAACTTAAATGAACTTTGTCAAGGCAACAAATGACCTCACATGATATCCCATCCGGAACAAAAAAGCTCTTGCCCCCTCACAAAGAAATTTTGGGTCAGCAAAATCTGTGCCAGTTGAGTGCCCAGTAAGCACTAAAATATATATTTTAAAAGCTTCATGAATTTGCCCTTTAGGTCGTTTCCTTAAAAAGAAAAAGGTTAAGGTAACATGGCTCAGGATAAAGACTTGTCCAATGTGATTTAAACACAGAAAGCAACAAAACATTTCATAAAAGTTTCCCGTTTTAGGCAACAGAGTTTTTGGTCTCCTTTGTCTGATGCTGGCCAGATCTGAAAAGTGTGGATAATCTGTGACAGGTTTGAGGAATTGGACCTTTATTTTGCCAAAACCTCTTGACTCAGACGAATCCACGAGTGGTAACTTTACCGTCTTTGCAGTTAAAATGGAAAATGTACACATGATGCACAAACCACTGGCAAACAGGTATTTCAATTACCAATAGACAAAGATAAAAGAAAACGTTTAAAGAATCATAAAAAACACTCAATAAATTGATTCATTTGGGGGTAAAAGTTGATAAAACTTGTGACTTTTTGGTGATTCGCTGGCACAAGATACTCAAAATAATTCCAGAACAACTTCAACAAATCAAGGTGAGGAGCTGAAAGCCTGGCCAGATGAGCATGAATGTTTTCTTGAATGAGAAATAGGATGTTAATGGCGTACAAATTTTTAACTATACATTTAAAATAAGCGATAAGCAGGTGCCAATTTCTGAGTTTAGGCGCTGCTGGGCGGTGACCATAGATTGTATCAAATTAGCCCGTTAAGTGTTAGCTAAACGATCTCGGTGAATTACCGTGAAATCCTGTTGGTTACACGTGGAAGTACATCTTCTCGTTTCCAAAGTTTGTGGAAATTCCCAGCATCCAGTAAACCTCAAGTAAACTTGCATGACCTGTGTCTGTCAGCAGCTGTTAACCGACGGTGAGACTGAAGTGAAGCTAATGGTAGCTAAAAGACGCTCGCGATAAGTTAGCTTCATGCTTAACTTCGGTAGTTTATGCTAGCTGTAGTTAGGTAGCTAGCTAAGTCATTTAAATTGAGATTTACACCCCCGAAGGCTTAGTCCGATACAAGCAAACACGTCTACATCTTTATAAAGGGATAATGAAATGTCTTGACTAAAAGCATGCGATACTTCTTTTATTTCTGTTGGTGTCAATGTTGGTTGCTGATTTTGTCCTGCACATAATTTATGTATGGAGTGTTTTCTTTAAAAAAAAACAGTAACCTGCCCTCGTTTTACAGTCAAATGTATAATTTACTTTGAACTTTTGCGTTTGTTTTAAAGGCTGTTCTAGAGTCTCATTACTTGTCTGGTCCGACATCTTGGTTACAGACATTATTATAATGGCATTATCAGAGCTATCACTTTTGCTGCCATTGGTCTTGTTTGCTCCTTAACCCTACAACACTATCGCTAAAATTAGTAACACCATCACTATCGCCGGGTGATTTTTACCCGAAATAATATAGCTACCCAAGGAAAAGTACTTGTCATGAAAATAGAACAACACATGACAAATTAAAGTAGTTTTCTTTTATTTTTAACTGTGCAATGTACAAAGGGAGGGAAAAAAGTGCCATGAGGGGACCATGTAAAAACGCAACAAAATAACTGAAATTAGGCATTCATGAACAAAAAAAATCCTTAAAAAAATATAGATAGAAACTTTAAACTTAGTTTCTTTTCCACCCATTCCTGGGTCATGTGAGTCTTCCCTGGTGAAGAAGACTGGGTTTTTGATACAATAACAGCTGCAGGAGAGGGAACCAAAATATGGCAGATTTTAAGTGAGTAAAAATGACCAGCTGACTAAAATATTTCTTATCACCATATGAATTCCCTTAAGATCACTACATTGTGATAGTTATTCATAACCAGTGCGCTAAATAAAGATAGCATGCAAATTCCAGGACCACTCTTATTTACCTTATTCGTCTACATGCAGCTATCAAATCCACCCAAACCCACTTACCCTCTGTCACTATTGCCGGGTAAAAATCACTAGAACACGTGCCTGTAGGAAAAAGCAGGTTTTGGATCAGGGAAATAAATATGCCTTCAAAGATGTCAAAGGCAATGCTGAAGCTACCCAGGGACCCATAATATTCAGACAAACACAACAGAATGAAAATCACGTAAACATGTTTGGTCAGGTGAAAATCACCCGGCAATAGTGTTTTAGGGTTAAGTTTTTCAGACACACCAGTCTGTTTCATAATTAACTATACTTTCCACAGAGGCTCCAGACACATTCAATTAAAGCCTCTGTGAGGACCCCTCTGTACAGTTGAATTCAGCACCCCCTGTGGACATAGTGCTACTTGTACTCTCTTTTCTGTTCTACTTCAGCTCATATTAAATTTCAGGAAAACTTCTTTACTGCTCACACATATACCCCCCTAATGCAAGGATATCACCTGTCAAGATGAGGTTGCACGGGTGGAGTCTCAGGAGTTCGATGACAGCAACAGATAGATTCTGTTTTAGTCACACTGTGCAATGTTTACAATCTTAATTTAGATTAAAACTGCCCAACAGAAGAGAGAAAAATATCATACTGGACAGAGGAAGAGGGCGTAAGGCATACCGTTCAATGTTATTTTTTTATCCCTTTAAGCCTCTTCCTGTCTCAAAACTGTGTCATATTGAATACCAGTCATTGCTATTTATAACCTGAAAACATTAATGTATAGCACAAACTGACTGCCCCAGTTATTGATATGTGCCATAGCAGCATTCATCAACCGAGGAGCGAAACCAGACAGCTCACTGGCTAAACGTCATGATAAACATCAACATCACCTGCCTACCCGCACCCCTCACCGCTACTTGAAGTGGGGAGAGCAGTGCTGTGTTTGAACTCACCTGGACTTCACCCAGAAATGATACTAGGGTCCTAGAAAATCCCCCCCCCCCAAGACCTGTAGTGTTCATATCAAATTTGATAGAATTTAAACATGAGTTTTGATATTTGTCAAAAATGTATCAATCCCAAAATCACAAGTATTGGGACAAGAAAAGACTGGCATGTAGTAACATCAGTACTTTTACACAGTTTATAGTGTTTTGTTGTTTTTCTTCAGGATTGCATCAGGAAGGTCTGTTCAGGGTGAACGGGAATGTGCGTGCTGTTGAGGCCCTGAGACAGCGACTGGAAAGCGGAGAAAGAGTGGACCTACTTTCTGAATCGGACTCATGCACAGTGGCCAGCTTACTCAAACGTTACCTTCGAGACTTGCCAGAGGGTTTGGTGGACTCTCCAGTCCAACAGGCGCTCATAAATCTCTACCAAGGTAGGAAAAAGAAGTTTCTATTTGAAACATCACAGATTTGCTGTCCAAATTCCATCTTTAGTGTTTATCTTTGACAGCTGTGTGTGTGGTTTTCCAAAAGATATATTCCTGGGTTTAATATGTTTCCAAGCATCAGACGAGACTTGTCAACTTCCCAAATCCAGGATATGACACTGACACCCTCATAAGTGTAGTGAATATTTAGGTCATGACCCTGATTGAGTGATAACCACAGCTATCTTTGGGTGCTGAAACACACTGTAAGTATCGCAGTCATTGGCACCAGGCAAAAGCATAAAAAAGGCACCGCTGAGTCCTGTGTATGCTGATGAAAGAGAGACAGAGAGACTGGAAAGTGGCAGTGCTCATAATTCTAGCTTAAATCTGGAAGGGCATGAAAGGTAATTTTAGTTGTTTGGCTGGTGAAGTGTCCATAGGCACTTTATACTCTTCTCCATCACTTGTTTTAATCTGTATAATAAGAGGGAGAGTGCACATCTTGGCAGCAGTATGAGCTTTTTCTTCACAGATTCCATGAATATTGGCCAGTTTTCAGGGCCTCTGGCCAAATACTGCATTAAAAATGAGTTTTTTCGCACATGCTGTTAAAATGATTTTGGTTACTTTGATAAATTGGTTGTTTGTTTTTGCCACTGGATAGTTCCTCTACAAAATGAATAGAAACATGCTAAAGAGGTAGGCCCAGAAATAAAGTCACTGTAAACGAGTTAACAACGGCTACATGTCACACAACGTTACTAAGACACAAGTGGGAAGAACCATTGGTTTGACTAGCATATCATCCTTTAAAGGCTGTCTATCAAATTGAGTATCCAGTTACTATTTTGGCCATACAGGATTTGAGTGGAAACACAAAAAGTTCTTGATAAAATCAGCCATTTTGAGCATCCCATAAACCCTGCTGAGTTCTTATGAATACATGTATTTCTAATTGTACTTTACTTTTGGTTTTTGTGTGTTTTTTGATCATCAACCAGTTCACTCGTATTTATATATTTTTTTGTGATTTTTGTATTTTTTTTTTGTAACAGAGGGCAAATATGAACTTTGTGGTTTTGAAACAATAGTCCATTTTAGTCATTTACTATTGGTATTGGTAAATGCATGTGATAGGACTGCACGATGTATCAATAGAACATCACAACTGCAATACACACATGTGCAATGGCCAGACGACAGGAGGTGGGATATCAGTCATTTAACCTGAAGACATCATCATGTCACTGCTCCCTCATTGTCCCGTGTTAATCCATGATAAACATGTTCCTGAAGTTACTTCCATTCACCAGAAAGAAGAAAGGAGAAAAGGTTTTCACTATGCACTAACCTGTAAAATATTCACCAGCTTTTCAAAGGCAGCTCTCTTAGTTCCCCCACCTCACACATGTACTTAAGTACTCAACAACCTAGTGCTAACAGGTACGCAAAATTTCTGAACTTACTTAGCAGCGACAAGAGCAGTTGTGATCCTTATAAGCTGTTGTTTCCTGTCTCAATGTAGTCCCCTAGACAGACCTGCACACCTGCCAAACGTCATACACTCTCACGTAGACTTACACACGCACATAGTTTGCGTCACTCATTCATTCTGGATTAGTAGTTACATCCGTTTATCCAACTCTGACCCAATTATGTATCCCAAGTAATAGCATCAACATATTTTCGGGCTCTTTGCTCTAATGCTCACACATTACTCATTAAATGGACTCAGTATTTGATGTAACAGAGAGCAGGAGGATGGAGCTATCACTTCAGCTCCACCTCCAACTAACTTGGCTTTCACCATTGAACTATTTCAGTGTGGCTGCCTGAACACCAGAGCACCTATCAACTTTAACACAAAAACTTTTGAGACAAAAGTTAGTGTATAAAACTGAACCACTGACCTGTTCCATATCATGTTGTGTTTTTCAGAGTGTGGCGATGATGTGTCTTACTCAGATATGAGAGACATGCTCCAGCAGCTCCCAGATGTTCATCTCAGCCTCCTCCGCTACCTCTGCCACTTCCTCACCCTGGTCGAATGCAGTCACAAGGAAAACCGGATGACTGCCCTCAACCTTGCCACTGTGTTTGGACCCAGTGTCTTTCAGTGAGTCAAACTTACAGTCTGACAAATCTGTCTTACCCCATAGTTCACGCAGAGGGTGTTCCCATTCAATATTCTCAACACTGAATGCAGCACATGAGCTTTATCAGTGTACACAGTCGTTGCCCAAACAAATCCACAGAGGTGAATTTTGTTTTGACTCTGTATCAGTCAAACAGACCGTGCGTAACACTGTTCGGTTGACAGGTCTCAGTTTGAAAAGTAGATTAGGTGGAAAGTTTATGTACCTTCATGCATTACATGAACAACAACTTTGCTCTAAATGTTTAACCATAAAAATGTTGTAAGTAATGTGCTTAGTTAATAAGGTGTATATGCAAGGGATAGTTCCCATTACCACGTGTAGCTCATCAAGGCAAAACCAGCAATTATTTCAAGTGTTGTTTCTATTAACTTGATGAATGTGTAATCAATACATATAATATCAACTCCCTGTAAAGCTTTCTTTTTTAAATACCAGGCTTTTTGTTGTGTAATAATAATCCACAATGTTTAAAAGATTATCTTGTGTAGGTGCTATTTGCTGCAGAACAAGCTGTGTATATGCAAGAAATAAGACCTTTTTTCACCCTATTAATTACAGACTTGAGATTTTTCTATTTATTAATAGTCTAGAAATACAATTATCTTTTTCTTTGCTGGCTTTTTGCTTTCTCTCTCTCCTCCTTTCCCCCTCCCCTTCTTCTCTTTCTTTCCCTCTTCATAAACCTTGTGGCCAGCAGGAGGTGCTATAGCACATATAGTGAAGATTAAATCATTACTCTGTAAATCTGTTGCATGGCTCTTAAATGCTTCCTTACATTTTGTAAGAGCCATTTTTGTTATCGGTCTGTTATTCTTAGACAGAGCTGACTTCATACTGATTTCCTCTTTGGTTTAAGAATGAAATTAAGATTTGTATGTACCTACATGAACATCTTTAATTAGACAATTCAGAATTTGACATTGCATTGACCAAATGTCATACAATATAGGCCAGGCCAACACAGGAAATGAAAAATATGAAGTCAGTGTCATATGACAAGTGAGAAACACTTGATGTTCATGGGTTCTTTCATGTTTTATTAAAAATAAATGATGCATCATTGGCTGCTCATCAGTCTATTTATGATGTGTTTACTGGGCAGTGAGTTTTAAAATCACCCTCTTACATATATAACCAGAGCTGCTGTCCTCAAAACTTTGGCATGTCCAGTGAGACACAGATGTGTTAACCAGGGGGACCTTGCCTGGTGAAAAGATCAGATCTCACTGGGCACAACAGTGAAGAAGAAACTTCCCTGGATACTGTGTCACACTGTACAGCGTGTTCTCTGTATGTATAAATGTGTGTGTGTGTGTGTGTGTGTGTGTGTGTGTGTGTGTGTGTGTGTGTGTGTGTGTGTGTGTGTGTGTGTGTGTGTGTGTGTGTGTGTGTGTGTGTGCGGGTGCGTGTTTGTTGATGTTATATAATTAGGCCAACAGCCTAGTGTACATCTCAAAACAGCTGGCATCAGACTCAAATTTACTGAAACAGCTGCTGCCTGTTTTGTAAATCAAGTCACCCTACTGATGCCATGTATATTTAATATCAATGTCAATGTTGAATTTGATCAGATGGAGTCCCCGGATGAAACCTGATTAATTTTTAAATCCATGTTCTACAGTGTGGGTCCTTGTTTCGAGGCATTGAAGGACCAAAATATCTGTAACAAGATCATGGTGAAGCTCATCCAGAACTACAGCAATATATTTGAAACGGACCGAGATGGAGAGAGCGGCCCAGAAGAGCAGTCCACCCTCATCGTAGTCAAGGTGTGGTAAACAGATCACCAGATGCTGATGTTTATTTGACAAGTTCTGTGTTTTTAGCCAACATTATGAAGTGCAGCTGGTATCAAACTGTCACATGTTGTGCCCATGCATTTTAAACGATTGACTTCCCCTCAGTGAACTCAGCCTCTGCCCATCCACGATAGCTTTGCATAACACCCAACTAAAATTGATTAAACTATTGATTTTATATACCAGCCTCGCCAGGAAGAGTCCTCCACAGGTGGCTGCTCTTGAGACTCTGCTTGTTGATTTATACTTGCTGCTTGGATGGCTGACGTTGTTATCGATTAGCTGGTTTGTCTGGTCTGCTGATTCTCCGGCAGCATCTGCCTGAGGAAAATATAGCTGCAAGACCTGAACCTGACCAGCACAGCAAACCACCGGTTCCACAGTCATTTAAGACAAGATCTTTTAGACTTGGATCAAACTTCATGTATTTCTCAAGATGCTTGGGAGATTGCAGGGCTAGTTTTGAGTTAGAAAATTCTTTTTCGGCTCAGTTTCTTTTTAGAAGTGATATTTTAAAATAAGAGAAAAACTCCTCAGGCCTTAGTTTATACTATCAGAAGTCTTCAGCCTCCTTACATTTTTCTTATGTACGTAAGAAGGTCTTATGTAATAGACATAAGTTTAAAGAAATTTAGGACACTTTGGTTTTATAGAAAAAAAATTAGATCAGAATTTCAGAGTTTATTATATAGATATTTCTTATTGCCAAAATAGTCAATAATTTTGATAGACAGATTCTCACAACTTACTAAAAGATGAAAACTGCTTTCAGCTTTGTATCAAAAGATTTTTTTAGATACCAGTAGATTATTTTGAAATTATTAATGTAGTAAGATGTAAGTATGCTTAAAGATATTTTATATCCTTATGTCAGCTGATTAAATTTTATAACTTGTGACTGTTCTCTCACACACAAAAAAAACAGATTAATCCAGGGATGAATTATTGATTTCTATTTTTTTATGTACTTTATGAAATTCATTTAAAATGCTTAAAGTACACATTTTGTGCCTGTAAGGTATCCTTGAATGAAGATTTTTAAAAAAAAACTAAATTAAAAAAAAATTTAAAACAAAAGTCATTGATATGACCTTCGTGTCTTTCCTGCAGCAGCCCTTTAAAAAATGTTGCATAGTTGTGCACAGGCAGAGAAAGGTAAATTAGAAGAGTGTATTTAATGCTGCAACAGCTGGGGCATGAGAACCTTCTGAAGAGACATGAACAAACTTTGACAGAATTCCACTGTTGGAAAGTCATCCCCCAACACATGACTGATGGCTTTGGTATTGAAACGTGACATAGGCCATCTGATGCCACTGCGTTGAGACCTGGAAATGACTGCTTGAATTTATGTGGCCAGGTCCCAATGTGACACTATGCTTATCATGCAAAAACAAAGAGGCAGAGAGGATAATCGTTTTATAGATGATAGTAATCATCTAAAAATTTAGGCCTAGTTGCAGTTAAATTAAACCCCAGAAAACTTTTTTTTACGTCATTTGCAGTCACTGTGCTGTGTTGTAAATTTCTATAAGGCACAGCCACATGAGACCCTGCTGACCTATGGGAAACCCCTCAGTCAGAATCAGATCTTCTTACAGCAACACACGAACACACACTCACACACACACATACACATGTGTACAGACATGCACAGCACGCCGAGGCCCCTCGCCTCCTGACCTTACTCTCAATGCCTTTGAACACAGCACACATGATCACCGGTGTTGCCTTTTGCTTTGGTGACAGAATGCTGATGAGCCCATCAGTGCACCTAAGTGTTTAAGTGTTTTAGGATGTCCACCAAGAACTCACAGTAGAACTGTAAAAAAATGACTTCCTGGTTGTATATTTCATTGCCACTGTTTATATAAAGCACCAAGTAAAATTACCTTTCTCTCTTCTTTTGTCCTCTTTCTGGTCCCAGGAGGCCAGCGTGTCATGTGCAGAAACAAACACATCACCCAGCCTCCCTGATGGAAACACACTGACACCAGTTCCCAGGATTAAGGTACGTGCTCGGCTTCACAGCAGCACCCAAACGTGCATGTGTGCTTTTTTATGTGTTTACTCCTCTGTCCTGAAAATCTTCGTGCTGTTTATGAAATTCCCAGGTCAAACTTCCATGAACTCTACAAACTCCCTTACATAGTTCTTTTTAACACCAACCATGTGACCTGTGTGACGTGATTAAAACAACATAGGCATGTTTTGGAAAAGCTGTTTTCCAACTCCAAAGCCATTTCTGCCTACGTCTGTGCAGGTTTCTGTAAGCTTTCAAGATATTTCCAATGTCAGCTGACCTGTGTTTACTGTCTGTATTGGTAATTAGGTCACACAGTGTGAATATATAGTGACCTTTTTAATAATATAGATCTGACATTACTCATAAGCTATCATTTAGTATCAGCAGTGTGATTAAAAATAGCATTGTTTATTTCACTGGAACCCTACTATGGTCGTGCATGCATTTATAAAGGATTGCTGTTAAGAGTATGAGCTGCTTTCATTGATAGATTTTAACCATTCACAATCTATGTGGTTCAAAAAACTGTAACTTCAACATAAAAATGTATCGTTTGCATATCCTCAGGATAACTCACCACAAAGTGATGAACCTCTGAACCAATCCTCCACGACCACCCCAAACACAAGGCAGAGGAAACAGAAGGTATAGAAAGTCACAATTTTTACTGTGATTAATGAGGTAGTATATTAGTAGAAAACTGTTCTTGAAAAACTCTTGAAAGCAAAAAGCTGCTCTTGTTCGAACATTTTTGTTTCATTATTAATACAGTCTAAAGATTTCTCACCCTCTGGATTTAATGATAACTTTGCTTCCTTATCAGCAGTACAGCCTTGGCACTCATTAGATCATGGTCATCACTCAGACTGCCTGTGATGCCTGTGGCCTCGCAGCTCAGTCACATGATGTGATTTGATAAAGGCAATCCACTGCAGGAAACAACAACAACACACTTATTTGCAATGCGAGACAAACACAGGCTCTGGCATGCAGATCTGACTGTGCTGTGGTATTATTACAGAACAACCCTGCAGCCACAGAGGCTGCATTTGGTCATGAATTCAACCACATTAATATTGTTTGTGCACATGAAATAATAATAAAATTTTGGGTTATTTTATCAAAATCAAAAGGAGGGCTTTATCGATTGAGTTTATTTCTAACTCAGTTTTAAAGCCAGTTACTCTGATTTAATCACGTTTATACATGTTTGCTCATCTTTGAAAACAAGGATTGACCAAAATGACCTGCAAATACTTGTCTGAAAGGACATATTAAGACTTGTTTTATTGTAGAGATTAGGAAATGCTGACTGGAAGCAAGATAAGATCAGCGGAGCAAAACAAAAATCTCTGCTGATGTCGGTGTTTGCCTCTTCCTGTAAACTTTAGAAAGATGTCTGCACTTGCAGAAACGATAATGTCTCTAAAGCTTAAGGCTTTTTTTCAAACTTTGCAAAGTGAGTCAAATTAGTCAGTTCATCCACTCACCATTATGGGTGGCAATCTACAGGATGTAAATGCAATTTAGATAAAAGATATGAATTGTCTTTCAGGGGGTTTTATTGGAGGAAATCATGAAACAGTGTAATCAAAAGTCAACATCAATTTAATTTGGTGATAAGAATCAATAAACAAAACAACTGACACAGTAACCAGGAATCTGGATTTACAGAAATTCACCTGCTGATAAGTCACTGATGGTTCCTTATGCCACAAGGAAACAAGATGTATAAATTGTCAATAAACTGTGGTCTTTACACTAATGTTGTGATTAACTGTCACAGAATGACAATTATATTTATGTGGTAGGTAGGAGAAAACATTGTCAGTATATGATGAAAAATAATCCAACAAAGCTACAACTCGAACTATATAAACTGGGCAGAAACTGAGTGTTCAGTTGAAACAAACTGTGGATTGCAGAGCAGTGACCTGTGGAGTTATTTGCTGTAATTTATCAAGATTATATATGAAGGCTGCTGTTGAAGAGGTCTTGAAACTCCAAACTCCAAACATTTTTTAAACTGTTGATATCTTTTTGCCAAAGCTCTGACCAACATATCCCACAAATTCCCTCACTTCCTGATAAAATTACATGCATTTGACTAAAGTTACTCGCTCAGATATCTCAAGTGGGTCATTCGGACTATAAATATCAAACTTTTTTGGCTTTATTTCCCAAACACTGCTGGAGAACTTCCCCTATAAAAATAGTTCCCTTATCAGTCAACACAAACTTGGCTTCCATTTTTGTTGCTTTTATAAACACACGATGATGAATCCTTGCGAACACGTCATAATCAGGCCTATTTGACACCTAGGCAGAGGTAAACTTTGACCTACAGAATTAACTAGTCTCGTGCGGAGTTTAGCTGTGAGAGGGAGGCCGACAAACAAACACACCCACACATGCTCCGATTAGAATGTCATAAACACGTCTGTGGTAGCTGTGTGACTTATGATGCAGTCGTTAAAAGCATGAACATGCAGCCAAATAAAAAACTTTTCTTCCAGATCTCTTCCATGATCTGGAAAGCAGGTGGAATCCTAACATTGGTCTGTCAGGCTTTTTTGCTGTGGCCTATTTAGCTCCTACTTGTTCTGTTTCAGTACTTTCTTACGCATAGGCAGAAACTGAGACTCAGGAATGGAGGCAGCTCGAGGAGTTGGTGTTTAACACTATTGAAACCGACTGTAGTTTGATCTTTTGCTATGCTTGTTTGTTTCCATTTCGGTGTCTGTTATTCACGGTTCAGCATATCTATGGTCACACTGTGCCATTTAGGTCATTAATTAGTGTGTTCTAGTGTGGGACGACATACACAAAAGGACTAGTTAAGTTTTGAGATTTTACAGTTTTCATAATTTTGCTCTGTGTAAATTATTAGAAGAATTATATTTCAAATACAGCCAGCAAGTGCTTGAGATAGAGTTCATTTGGCTCAGTGGCTAGCTCTAACATAAGGAAACATTTCTGAATAACACAATTTTTCATCTTGTTTTCTTAATTCACTTCTCATAGTGTTTCAGTGTCAGTGTAAAGCCAATGAACCATCTCAAATAACATCACCAGAACAAAAGTCTCAACCAAAGATCAAGCTGAGTAACATTTTCTTCATCTGTGGTTTAAACTACAAATTTAGCTTGATCATTCACAAAGCCTGAAGGGCAAAATCCATATCTACTCCAGCTTAAGTATATAATGGCCAATTATGTCCCCAAAGAGTCACCCATTAAGTGCAACCATGACTAAATGGAGGCAGCATTGATAGATTTCCAAACCACCCGATGAATTAAGCCCTCAATGACATGGTCTGCTGATAATTAACTACCAAAGAAAGCTTTTAATTCTACTGAGCCACTTTTTAGCATTGTTATTTTTAACCATTATCAATACAAGAGCGGATGGTTTCAGGTCCCATGCAGACTCTTTTCTCCACAGTTAGTGTTAAAAAAGCAGCAAGTGTATGGATCCTCTCCATATGCACTGACAGAGAGCCCTCTGACACATTCTTGAACACACCTCGCAGGCGTCCTTGGCCAAAACTCCATTTAAATGCAGAGGAGTGTTGTTCACAGTGACACTGTAATAAGGTTAAGGTTTTTCCTCTACACTACAGTCTGCGGTTAACACTGTTTATACGCTCCCAGGGTCAGAGTGGTAAAACAAACATCAGTCTAACCTTACAGTTTTACAAGCTAACCTTTTTTCCTCCCCCCATCTTTACTGTTTCTTTTAATGCTCCACACTTCTCCTCAGCAGATCTTTAAAAGTATATACAGTATTTGGTAACTTGAGTGTCTGCTCAGTGTGTTTCTCTCTCCGTGTTGGGCTGAGTGAGCTTGATTGGGCACATATGGTATCTGTTGTGTATCATTTATCTCTTGTACTATCTCAGGTTTCCCATCACGAGACTCACCTGCTGCTGGCTCCTCTCCCTCTCTCTTTCTCTCTGTAAAGCAGGTGAAGAAAGGGAAGAGTGACAGCATGGCTCAAGTTGTTCCTCAGCCTTGTCACTCTGACGGGTTGCCCCATGTAAAAACCCAGCAGATACCAGTGGTTTCACCCCTGACCTTGGAGCAGAGGAGCCTCAGTCCAGACCCAATGGAGACAGCTTCCCATGCACTGGCTTGCAAAGACTCACCATCCACCACACTACACCTGGGCCACCCAAGTGTCACCCCCTCGAGCTGCATAGAGCCTCTCAGCAGGTGAGTGTGTCCTGTCTCAGAGCATGCAGCAACATCTGAGGAATTTGGAAATACAGGATAATCCTCGCAAGATGCTTACTTTTTTTTCCTGGAAAAACAAATCATAAAGATGTCAAAGAATATAAATGGACCACCTGACTGTAGGCAGCAGTTAAACTTTGAGTTATTGATCACATTAAAAAATGTGAAGTGTAATGTAGAGTCAGGAAATATCACTTTAGTGCTTCATGTGCACGATATGTATGCTTAAATTTCGTATTCCTTATGCCTGTCTTAATAATTAGCTGAAGTCCGTTAATAAGTAAAAAGAAATGAATGGAGCATTGTCACAAATTTTTCAGTTACTTCTGCAGTTTTACGATCTTAGTGTTATCTCTAAACATGAGGCTATACGACCACTGGCAGATAAATCTTATGGCTGTGCAACACAACAAAGCACCGTATGCACAACCTTCAAACTCACAATAGGCTCTATTTTCCTTAGTTAATTTCCCTTGCTGAAACCTATGGGTGATTATATTGGTGTTAAACAGGTTATGCCCTCTGTTTGTATATGTGATGTGCTTTCAGTCGAGGGTGAAGAATCTTGAGTGTCTGACAGCGCTCAGGGATCTAAGGCCTGAGTCTTGTGGCAATGAGCTCCTGGCATGCAAACAAGCCTATTATAAGAAGTTGAAACTTGAACCACCTGGTGTCAAGTGTTCCTCAGTCCTGGAATAGCAGGGCTACAGCTGTGTCTGTTGTTGGGGCTCTTGCTGCTTTGCTTGAGGGTTCGGGCTAGCTTTTACCTCGGCTGTGGTCACACCTGCATTGCTTTTGGAAACTAAACTTTGTATTTTTTCAGTTGACTGATTTTTTCCTCATACATTTTTCAGATAACTTTATAAAAGCCACAATAAAAGTGATGGAATCATTGGAGAAACTACGGCTTATGAGATGTATGATGTTGATAGATGTGAAAGGATGACCCTGTTCTGACTGCTAATACAGCCGGACATACTGCTGACCTTTAAGTGTGACATTAATCAGAGTTTCAAACACTGTCAGCACCAGATCCTTTAACACATTACATAAAGTTTATAGCGACACCCACACATTGGCGTGCCCTCTTACATACACTTAGAAACTGCCTGCATATCGATTAGATAATACATACTATTTACTCATTTATAATGTAAATATGTAGTAGGAAAGGTTTTTGGATTAATTTTTATCCTGGAAAATTTATTTTCAACTTAAACTTGACAATTATTTTTTTTACATATAGAAAATCAAACTCAAACTTTTAAAATGTTTGTTTTTTTTTGGCTTATTTACCCCTGAGATATTAAAAAATTATATATTTGCAGTCTAAATTTTTTTTTTAGATGAATCAGGTCAACCATTGGCTTTTCATAGAACAGATGTCCCTATCCCCGCGAAGAAGTGATTGTAATATTTCCAAGGTATCTAAAGCTTTCCTCACCATGTGCAAGTGTCAGTAAATCTCCTGCTGGGTATCTCCCACACCCTTAAAACTCCTGTGCCAGGTGGCATCGGGTGACTGGTGTACAGACGGTATGACGGGGCAGTCCAGTTAAGTGCGTCAGCAGCATGAACTCCCTGGTATTTACTCATAAACACCTGCAGTTTGTAAAAGAGAAGTCATCAATCATGGATGCAAGAAGACTTGATAGAGTTTTTGTTTATGTTGACAAATCTAAAACTTTGAGCCTTCAAAAGGTTTAAAGACAAAGCTTTTGTTTGATAAAGGGAGTTTGGGTGTCTATTAAGAAAGGTTTCAGATTTGAGTAGCTTGTGGTTTTGACTCATGACCCGCAGCAAATGCATGACTTGCTGTGATTTGAAAATTTTCCATGAGTGAATCCCACTGTGTTTTCATATCTGTGTCCGCGCTCATGCCTGTTTGTCAGCTTGCTCTCACTTTCCATGGGTATGTGTCATACAAGCCTGTGTCAGCACAGAGCAGCATACACACCAGAACAGCCATGTACATCTAAATTAAACTTAACTTTTCATTTTACTTAAATGTTAGGTGTGATGGAATCCAGTTAAAATGTTTTTGGGTTTTTGTTTAAGTGTCGTACATGACATCAAGTAGTTCGGACTCGTGTCTGCACCTTGTTGGTGATGAAGAAGCAACTTAGAGAATTATCTGATGACATATAGCACATACTCCCCTCATTCTTGGAGCTGCCCCTGTCCTGAGTCTTCTGGTCACTTAAATTCACTCACTCTTAACTCAGCATGTAAACTTTCTTCATCCGATAAAAGTGTGAAATGATTGAGTACGCTACAGCGCTGTTACCTGTACCTGAAATATGACACCAGCCTCACTCCCTACACAGGCCACACGGGCCAACATAGCAGCACCATGTGAACTTATCTTGCCTTCTGCGTTGCGTAGTTGCTCATAGGTGATGCATGCTGGCTTTTGTGTGTAGTTGCCATGGTTCACTGAAACTTGTGATGTAACCATTGAATTTCTTAGAAGCCCATTGGAAATTGGTAGAAGTGAGGAACTTTGCAGTGTGGTGTGAGAGCAGGCTCCCTGCGGGTATATTGGTATTGTTGGTTGCCTGTCAGGAAGTCTCATCCATCACCCTGAGAGGACCACTGGCAAGACTAGACTGGTTTTCTTGCATTTCTGATCTTAGAGCTTAATTTTCAGTACTTATGCAGGACAGAGATCAATAATTTAACTAAAATCAACCACATCGCTTGACTGCATTTTCAGAAACAATCAACCATCCTCTGGTGATTGATCCTCTGGGGACAATGGCGAGTATTTCTCCGGATGTGTAGCTGTTCGAGTCAAAACCATTAAAATGAACTGCTCAGTGTTATATATGAGACTCTTTACCATTTGGGGGCCTGAAGCCTCCTGAAGAAAAGGCCATAAATCTTACAGATGATGTTTTAGATGTTTAAAGTTGAGGTCAGTGATCGATGAAGATGTATGTGAGAGCTAGAAACACAAATAATACATGAGTTGTATTTTTTCTTAATACCTCAGCTTGCTGCCTTAAACATGTTGGTATTTCTTTGCTAAACCGCCCCTTTCTTCCAATAACTTCAGCATACAAAACATTGCTGAGCTGGAATTACCTGACAAATACTTAAGGTCATGACCACCTACACTTAGGCACTGCGGTATTCCAAAAATGTTCAGTATTAGTCCAAAGGATGACTAATTGTAGGTTTGGGGGCTGTGAGTGACTTTCAGTCTTAGGAAAGGAAGTGAGACGCACGAGGACACATATTCCTGATCCTCCTCAACTTTTCTCTTGAATATTAAGACACGTAAGCTCTGAAACTGAACTCCCTAATCAAACAGTTTGAGAGAGTTTTGAACTTTCATTTTGCCCTGAAGTGTGTGTGTGTGATTTTGGACAATGTAACAAAAGGAAAGGGGGAGGCAGAAGGACTCTGCCAAAAAAGATTGGACTCACACTTGTGGTATTACAGAGCGTCTGCATAGTCAGACCTCCTTTGTCCACCTGTTTTAAATATTGTTAAAAAGTGGAGCATGTCAATGTTGACCAACTTGTCATTGGTAGTTTTCCATCTGTCCTGAAGGGATCAGGACTTTTCTGAGCACCCCTACAAAGCTTGTCCTTATCCCCTCAGTAAGGTAGTGGGTAAGCAGGATTTCCGCTTTCTCAATTCACGGCAGCAGTGACGGCACACATTATTTTAATACGCTTGCCAGACTGTGTAACACCAGTTAAGACGTTTTGGGGAGAAAAACATTCACTCCTGAGGCTCTCACAGAGTTTGGAAGTGTTTGTGGTAAGTTACACCTGCACCTACATTGAGGCAAACCGTTGTACAGTTCCTGTACATAATGTCATGGGAGAAGACTTTGAAGTTCAGTGAACTTTGACCCATTTTGTTTCTTGCTTGACTTGAAACCTAAACCCTTTGTTTTGAACACGTTGATGTGCTACCCAAAGTGGTTTGTCCTCCCCTTCACAGCCCCTTACTGTAAGCCCCATGAATGCACGTCACGTACCAAAACACACCTGAGAACCAAACATGCACTCAGTGTTCCTCTCAGCAACAACTCCTGTTTTCAGGTTTTAGAACATTTGAGGCTTGACATATACAATGGCTACAAACAAACTGGGTCTTCATTGACACAGCCAGCAATACGAGCTCATTTGAGAAGGTGCAGACATGTTTTTTTATTGTTCCTTTAAAAGTACACAAAGGAGATTTTCTGCACTGCTTTATTGAGACTATTTTTGACTCCCTCTGTACTTTAAACACACTTCTGTGAGTGAGAACTACATTGAATTTCAATCTTTTACCACATATTCACTTCATATTCACTGATGGAATAGATATTTTATCACTCACATTTTTAATTGTCCTTAAAGTTAACTTGTAATAAAAATTGCTGAAGTAACTGTTTTATCACATTAAAAAAAGTCAGATTTATCAATGAATATTGATTGATTTTCACCAGTACACTGGTGGATTAGTCAAGTAGTTTTTCAGCACCCTCATCACTAATCCATTATTAAAACTGTGATAGAGAGTAAACACAAAGCCCTAAAAAATCTTGTCATTTTCTATATGATAAACACTAAGTTTACCCTGTTGAGTGCTGTACCTGTTGTCAACATTTTGAATTTGACCTTTTGTCCAAATCCTTTTTGTTACATAATTTCAAGTCCAGAACACCTGTAGAGTTCATTTAGTTTGGGTGAGTGGTCGTCTTTCAAAGTCTAAAGAGGATTTGTCACCCCTTTCACAAGGTATACAACTCTCACAGCATGAGGTCTGTTTGAGTGCAGTGGTATCCTCAGTACCGCCACAGACGGTACAGAGATTCTGCATAAAATAAGCAAAATGGGCTTTATAGACTGTGTCTTAAGATCAATCTTGATGTCATAGTAGGTTTTCTGTGAATTTCAAACACGTAATTTGGGGCTTAAAATGCAGTTGATAGGATTTCTAATGTGTGAATAAAGGCACTGTAGGGAGTTTTTAAAAGGTTAAGGAACAGACTGAAACCGATACTTATGCCTCTTTATAACCTTCAAAAGCAAAATGTGATCACACAACAAGGCTGCAAATTTATCTGCTTGCAGCCTAATATTACCGGTGTAGTAGAAGTGGCAGGTAACGTCGGAGCTGTTCAGCTCTTGGACACTAATGTCTTCAGGGGCATGATGAAAGTTAATATCATGTTCAGCTTTCTTACGAGCATTGCAGTCCACTAATGCACATGCTTTTTCCACGATTTTCCTCTCTATTTCTCTGAGTCTGGCCTGCATAGTGAGGCTCGATGGGCGGAGCTTGTATTTGCTATGTGGGAAATCTCACTATGTCTGAACCTGCCATTTGGGTCTGCCAGAGATTCATAGCGATTTGAATGAAGAAATACTCAGAAATGCAATTTCACACTTACTTTTCTCATGAAATGTCCCTTAGCGTCAGAAAAATGCCTTATGAACATGTGAAAAACAAGAAAAACATGATTTCATTAATGAAAGCACAAAGGAAGGCTTCATGTCAGAAGAAATTTATCATCCCCATTTTAGCTAACCTTGATTTAACAATACTGTATTTATTAACGGGTCCTTTTGGGTTCAGTTTTGTTGTTTTTCTTCCTGCTTTGATTTAAGAGAAGATAAATTCAGTATTTCAGCTTTGCTAGGCAAACAAGAAGGGGTGATTACGAAATTTTCAACTCAGTAAGTGCCAGGATATGAAAATGTTAAGCAAGCAGCATTCAGCGCCGACACCAAGTTCCTCTAAATGTTGGATAATTTCATCATGAGCTGCTGGCATGCAGCCAGTGGCAGTAGACAGCCTATATTCTAGAGCAGCACACATTTCTCTCCTGGTTCATAATAATTACCAGAGACAAGTCCCACAAAGGCACTGATCTGTAGCTCTGCATGGCTATTATTCTGCAGACAAAAGCCAGCCTTATGCTCCTATTTTCAGCACCAGTGACATGTAGCAATGGGTGGGTGTGTGAGGAGGGGTGGGGGTTAATGTTTTTATGCCATAGTGCTTCACATAACCACATCCTACAAGCTAATTAATAACAGTACTTTTTTGTTTATTTCAGCTCTCAAGAAGAGGAAGACAGGCCAATATCTCCTTTCTATATGAGGTAGGCCTCCTTTCTTTGAGTTTGAAAGTTTTCAGGTTACCATGTTGTTTTGGAGTGGAGGTGTGGGGGAAGTGGCTGTGTGCTGCTTTAGTGCATTATCATCGGAAACAATGGAATCACCAGTTAGAGGGAAAGCGGGGCGGCGTGCACATGCAACAGTTTGCTCATCACTGTTCGGTTATTGTGGCAGAGGCAGCCGCAGCACATGTTTCTGATAAGACCCTGAAGGAAAAACATGACCAGATAAAGAGAGAAATAACTGGATCAAACATTACACATTTAACGTGGGAACATTGAACTGCCATGCGAAAATCGGACAACAACAATATGTGTTCACTAGTAACAGTGGCAGACACATTATTGATTAATTTGTTATCACAAGAAAACGAACTTTGTTATATCAAGATAACTAGATAATTAGTCGTTATCATGAAATAACAGTGCATTAAAAAAGAAAAATCCATGGCTGTTCTCGTCTTCCATAGTAAATTTCCCTCCATCCAGTTACCTTCTTTTTTCTTACAAAACGTAAACATGCTGTTGGTGCTCATACAAATAAACAACAACAAAACAATATTGTTAAAGCAAAAATCCCTGTGTAGTTAAATAAAAATGCATGGATACAATTTATAGCTAATGTCTTGAACTTACATGTTCAAGTGGTAATGTTTCCTTGTAGCCAAACTACACATCCTCATGGCCAGTGGTTAATCATTAGTCCTGCCATCCTTTCCCATTTAGCTCTTATGGTTTGTTGACTTAAAGCATATAAAATGCAGCAGTTTGTCTAGACAGTGTAAACGGCTTCTTCCTCCATTTATTATTATGACTTGACACGTTTTTGTTGGGGTTCTGTCCGCTGATATGACCATAAAGCTGTTATGGCTGAGGGGGCTGTCTGTGTGATGAAGTCTTTTCAATGCTTTTTCTCCCAAAACAGTTTTGTACAGACAAGGACCAAAGTCTCTCATGACAAGGCCTTCAGAGCTTACTGAAAAATACATTTAAATACTTTTTTTAATGTATACCTGCTGTGAAAAAAAGAAAGAAATGCTAGCCAGGCATTAAAACGTTCTTCAGATTTCTGTGGTCCAAATAAATCTTGAAGCCAAAATATAAGGTCTTTATATAAACAACAAATAAAACAACTTGAGTATTAACTCTCACTCAAGTATTTTGCCCTTTATAACCAATGAAACACAAAACTTTACTGCCCATGATAGAAAGGTCAGAGGAGTCGCACATTAAGCCAAGTTGGTCATTAATAGAGTCAGTTATATGTACAGTATCTATAGAACTGAATACCTGACTATAACATATGTGTTTTACTGGGGGAATGTAATCTCGTTGTATTTGTTGCATAATCTTTGCTTTAAGTGCACTTCCTGAGTAAAATGGAGATAGTGGTTTACTAAAGTACACCCTGATTCATAAAACCTTTTAAAGCACTCCATAAGTCTCTATAATGCATTTAAAAACCTGTACACCCAAAGTATGCATACATGTAAGTTTGACCGTAAAGTACCCAATGCTGATGTTTGAAGTGAAGTTGATTGAAACTATAGAGCTTATTCTCAGCATCATGTCACCAGAGGAAAAGTCAGTTTAGGTCTCATGTTTTGGGGACCACAAACTTCTATCATTGCCATCATCAGAAGTTGTGTGAGCACATATTCTTCCTATGTGGGGATTTGATCAGTATCTTTGTTTTCTGTTCACATCATTTCAGTGAATCTTGGAATATTGGTTGAGCTGAACAGGGTAATAAATGTGGATGTGATGTTTGACACGTCTGTACACTGAATGATTAATCGGTAAACAGGAAAAATGACTCACAGCTTTAATAATATTACAATCATAATCTGCTGCACTAATTTGTCTCACTCTAATTTGACTAGACTGATCACTGTTGACACTTTGTCTCTGCCTTCTCCCTCTCATTTCCTTATCTTGCTCACACTCAGCGGTGATGACTAACTCCATTGCCTACTTGCACTTTGTCACATACACACACATATGCATCACAGACCTTTCCTATCTCTGCTGAAGTCTGCTTGCATTCTTTTTCGTACTGAGACGCTTAACCTCATCAACACAATCATTAATGATAATAAATCATTATATTTTTATTCTCCATGAGTTGTCCAAAGACTATGAGGGTTCTTGCTAAAATCTGACGGTGGTGTAACACTGGATTACCTGAATGGACGCCCCAGGGTACACAATGTAGGGAATTTAACCGGTATAAGCTTAAGCCTTGGAAGCTTTGGAGTTGTTTCCTCTTGTTGTTTTGTGCCTTACTGAACTCTACAGAAACATTATTTTGGTCTTCCCATTTTTCAGCCCTTTCTTTCTTGCTTAAAGGTCCCAAATAACCCCAATTATATAATGCCTTAAGCCCTTTTAAATCAAAGAATTGTATTGCCAGCTCTCTACAATTCACTGTCAGTGCAACAATGATAGATCAATAATTTGATTTAAATTATTAGAAAAAGAAATGACTGAAATAAGTTTATCCATCGGACGAAAGAGACTAAAAAGCAGTGATTATCTGGGAGTTGAATTCTGACCACACTCAACCTCACTAACAACCGTTTGTGAGGTTATGAAGAGTCTACACAAAAGATGATAAGTGTTCATGACTGGACACTGTATGAGAAGAATTGACAACTGACACTTATGACAGTTCATAAGTTTAAATGTAGAGGTGTTTGTGGTTGAGAAACAACAAGAAAGGCAAGTTAAGTGACCATCAAACCTATAACCCTTTGCTGTGAGGGATGCTGCCTTCAGGAAAGGAAATACTAAGACTCCAAGTTGATATGTGGCACAGAGGAAGAAAGTCAAACTGAGAAGAATCTCAATGGTTTCACTGACCTTTGAAATTCTCTGGATAAGGCCTAGTCCTGCATCTAACGCACAGCAGCCTCTGTGCCATGATGACAAAATATAACAGTCCTGACAGGGTGCTAACACCAAGTGCACAGATAAGCCTCAGGATTCTTTCTCTAATAACCCAGTCCCGTCTCCCCCCTTTAAAGCTTCTCAGATGAAGCACTCATTGCTTGGTAACTATGCTAAATTCATCCCCTGGTCGTGGTCATGGTCTGCCCCCCCTGTGCAATCAAGCATATGCTGAAACACCAACCATGCTGATAATCAACACGGCCAAAGGACAACACCGTGCTGAAGGAGCAATGGACTTCTTTATTGTACATGACAGCATTTAGCAGATTATTTTCACACACTGGCACTCAGAGACTTGAAAAGACCTAAACTTCCCTATCAAGTATAGCATCTTCAATACAATTCTCAGTTCTTTCTCCAGTTTGAAGAAAGGCTGTGTGAAGAGGCAGGAGTATGGTCTGACAGAATAACTGGTAGTTTTCTGTACTTCTATTCTTCAGGGTTAAAACTGGATAGTGTAATACAAAAGGAACTCACACAACCTTTTTGTGGCAAAACCACTAGCTGGTCTCTTTTCTCGAACTTTTGAGTGGGACTGGTGTAGTATCTAACAATTTTAGTATCTTCCTGTTGAAGAAAGGATCGCAGGCTTAGCTCCCTTCTATTACTCGGTTGGAGATACCCATGTAGTGTTTCTGATGCAAGAATCCAACACTCTTGCTTTATGGCCTCTTTGACAGTGGTTAATGACTCCAAGTGTCCCCATTGGACACAAGGCAACAATCCCATCTCATTGCTGAAGTAGTGTAAAGTCTTTTTTATCCACCAGTGATATTACATCCTCTGGTAAAATACCAAACGGTCACACTTTTTCTACACTGAGTGCCAACCTGAACTTTATTTGGGATCATGGTCACGGCAACGAGGTATTTAATTTCTTCTTCCAAGCAGGCGTGCTCAGCTGTTTATTTCATTAACGGTCTAAATGTAAGCGCCGACTTCACATTAAGGACTGACAGACTGTAGATACGGGCATGGACAGAGTTTTGTTTTTTTCTGGATGTCATCAAAACGAACCAGATTCCAGTAAACCATATTAGGACATAAGCAGGGATGAGGATCATCAGATAAACATTGCTTTATTTTAATTGGTCACAAGCCAAAAAGGGTTTGGCGCTACCACCACCATCATAAACCATGACAGTATCAGTGCTAAAATTAAAACCACAGAGCATGGCACACTGGATTTGATATGCCACTAGCATTTCTCAAGGGATCATAGCCACCTTACCCTGGCACAGTTAAGTAGTCCACCCCTCTCATCACCTCCATATCTAATGCAGCTGCAGCACAAAGGACAGCCCTTGACAGATGAGGACACATCCAGAAACTACTGTCATATTCCAGGCCTGAATGTGTCCACTTCACACCTTTGACATCTTCTGGCTTTATGGTCTAAGGTTAAGTTAACATAAGTAAGCCATTAAACTATTTCATGTTGTTTTAACCTGTTGCGTTCAGAGCCAAGTCTATTATTAGTTAGAGGTGGGGTAATATTTTTCCTGTCTTGCTCAAGACGATGGAACAATTAGGTCACCTTAACTGACATCACCCTGAGTGCTCTGCTTGTGTGAAATATTTCTCTAAATAAATAAAACTGAAATGACACTGATGAATCATTCTTGTAATAACAGAAATATTGTTTGGCAAGTCTATCTACTAACCGATAATAAAAAAAACATGTGATGTTTACAACCTCATGTCTATGACTTGATCTTGTTAAACCCATAACAATAATCATGGTCTGATTGTCCCCTTTTGGTTTATTATCCCAGCCTGCGGCTTAGTAATGTCAGAGCTATCGGACACAGGTCACCTTCACTGTGTACAGTCACTCCATCTTTTTTTAATCAGTGCATCATTTGAGCATCTTCCCGGCTGTGCTTGTACTGTCAATACCACTGTTTATGGAAGATTTTTTCAGGTCATCCCTAAACATGGTGAGCTAGCTGAGCTGCAAGATAAACAGACATGACGTAGTGCAGGTGGTGAAAGGTCTTCTTAGGAAAGGAAAGTGAAGACTTGGGGAACTTTTTATAAAAAGAAAATGAATTCTGATTAATATTGTTTTGTCTTGATTGAAATTAGGTTCCCATTTTTTCTTTGCCTTTGACTCTTATTTGGATAAAAATCCCTTAGAAAACACAATTAATTTATGGTCCTCATTGCCATAAAAGAATCCCTGACTTGGATGCATGAGTTAATTCTTCCATAGGTAGAGATCTTCAGTTTAAAAGAAGCAGAAATCACAAGCTTTATCCAGTTTAGTCCAGATCTAAATATGATGAATCACTTTTATTCATTCATTAATGATTACATTAGCAGTTACAGACTTTTATTTGTGGTATGACACCTTTCACTTTCAATTCCTCTTGACATGTTCTAACAAAAAAAAAAGAGAGAGAGAGCAGGAAAATAAGGAAAAAGAAAGAAACTGCCCCATATAATGGTGCTGACAAGATGTCCTATTGTTAGACTTCCTGGTAGTCATAGAAGCTGGCCACTATGCTCTCAGAAGACCTACTTATGCTCTGACCAGCCCAGCTGGAGTTAACAGTCACTCATGCACACTAGATGCCTTGATCACCTAGGGCAAGACCCAGAGCCCGGGGGATTTTTAGCGTTGCTCAGTGACCTGTTGTGACCACCTGTTTCTGGGGCATTAACTCACCTTTCCCTCTTGTTTTTCTTGCAGTAAACACCTCTCTCTTGTCCACTGCAAACCAGACGCTGCAAAGTAAGTGGACTCTATTACTGTCACAATAATATGCCATGTTACATAGCAAGTACTCTTGGAGCAACCTGTTTTTATGTAAGATACTTTTTCTCATTAAAATATTTTATAGAACAATAAAGTTGCAAATTTCTGACCAATGCCACTCTGTGTTTTTTTTTCTTTAAGTTTTCTGAACAGGACGATTCATTCAACCGTGGAGCAGCACCTCTTCGGTGTAAACACTCTTTGGGATCAAAGTTCAGAAGACTGTGAGTTGACCTCATGCCCACCGTCTCTAAGATTGACACCAACCGCCCGACAGAGACGTCGACACCAAAGGGAGCAACAAGAGGAGGGGCTGAGACGCAAAGAAAGAAACAGGTACAGTTGGTCTGCCATCATCCTGTCATTGGACGTTGATGGTACCAGCATGAAGACAGATGCAGTTCGTCTTTGGCTGCCTTACAAAACAGTCCAGCAACAACCCTCTGGCTACTATCACCTCATTTTTGCCAATATAGGTATCTGTCCTTGTAGCACTCTTAAGACAAGTCGATAAATGAAGGGTGTTTATTTTGCATGGCAGTGCCTTAAAGGGGCCAATGTTGATATATACACAGTATATGTACATCCCATTGTTTATGTTAAGCAACTTTTCATTTGTGTTAAGTTGATGTTAGTGGCATGTGTTGTATTCATATTCCTCTAATGTTTCTCTACACTGACCCCACAGAGAAACTCTTTGGTTATTATGCCCTGTGCAAAACCTCTTGGTTGCAAAAAGTGAATGTGATTATTAAATAGTGTGGTGACAAGTTAACAGAATAATCTTGTAGTTATAATCAAGATAAAGTTTGAACTTTTAAAAGAGTTTCCCAGTTAACTCATCCCCTCAGAACCACAGAATTACGCAACAAGTTGTCGCTCTCTTATTCACTGAGCCGGGGCATTAGATGGTCCACAATGCAAATATACAAATGAATTTGTAAAAGAAGCAGATTTTCACCAAAACTCCACAGGTAGGATTGAATAGTTGGAAACATTAGGAAATAATTATTGGAGTAGATTCACTTCAGGAAGGGCGTCATCTTAAAGGGATATTCCGGCATAAAATTAATTAAGGGTCAAACACACCTTAACACCGCGTTAGACACCCTGTCAAGAGATGAATGGTTCCGACCGCTTGCTTCTCTAGTTATACCAACTTTAGTAACGACCGCACGATAGCAATACATAGCAGTCTGAGGAGCCATAAACAAACCTCAACCAAAACGCCACTCTATAGCCACAAATCATGCGGTCGTTACTAAAGTTGGTATAACTAGAGAAGCAACAGGTTGGCAAAATTTATCTGTCGAGGGGGTGTCGAACTCGGTGTTATGGTGTGTTTGAGCCTTAATTAATTTTACTCCGGAATATCCCTTAAAGCCTTTGCCCAGAATTAATACTATTGCAAATTTAGAAATACGGCAGATGATTAATCCTCGTTGAATGGCATCCCATTGGCTGACCTTTCTCACGTTAACAATATACAAAATAGTCTTTCTCTGCTGGTATGGCACAGTAAAGATGGCATTCATTACTAAACCCTGACCTTAGTTCCTCCATGCGGAACCACTACCTCCAGTTGGTGCTTTGGTGACAGTAAACAACCACAAGCTTTCATTCTGTTTGAAAGCTGCTCCACTGAGGCACAGTACAGTCATAACAAGTGGAGTCATTGCAGTGAGAAGCTAATCTTTGTTGATAGAGAGTCTGTTAGATCAGTGACACATGGATTAGAGGAGTGCATTAGTCCAAAGACTGCAGAAAATGTCAGTAAGAGCGTGGACAGTAAATAGACAGTAAATAGAATTAGTACCAAAGCTAAACAGCTCATTAGCTTCAGGAGAAGATATAAGGAAATGAGCTATCAGGATGCCCTTGGCATTTACATTCTTGAAACATTTCAGCCAATGTCAAACTGATAAAGACAAACCAGAGTGTGCAACACTGACAGCAGGATCGAAAACAGATGACTTATTTCTTCTCTGCTTTCCTTTCTGCCCGAGTACAGAGCTGTATCCATCAGAGCAGACACCAACAAGGAGAACATACCATCAAGCAGTGGAAGCAGCTCAGTCAGTGTGAGGGAGGACACAGGCCTGAACATGAACTCCCAGGGAGGTCAGAGTGGTCATGCCGAGCGAGCCCCCAAACCAAGGAAGAAACACAGCCCAACGCTGGTGCAGCTTATTGACAACCAGGATGCCCACACGGTGAGTCATCGCCGTTTATCCTTGTGATTTCTCACCAGCTTGGTAGAGTCTGTCCTACTTTTCTCCGTGATTTGATTTTATTTACTGCTCCTTCCTCTACTTTATTATCTCTCCCACTAAAACAGATCAGTTGCAGATGCATGTCTGTCAGTAGATTACCATAAGAAAGCAAGTTTTTTGTCGTTGTTGTTTGTTGCAGTGTCTCATCCACTTTAGGTTGCAGTAAATTCTCCAGTCTTTGCCATTGTTATGAGCCAGAAATGTCTTTTCAACAGTTCATGGGGATATTTTGCAAGCTGCAATTGCACAAAACTGATTGTATCTCGGTTTCTGCATCATCATCATCACCTCGCGTTGTGTTACAAATTAATCAGTTTATCGAAGTAACTTGATATTTTTTTATTTGCTGTCTCTTGATTTAAAGGAAAAACATAGAGTTAAATCTCGTTATTTTTTCTTTAACCAGCTTCAGTCAAATAAAAAATAGAATTTTTATTTTGACCAAAATATGTCTCAGCACTTGGTATTACTTCTGGTCAACACTGAGTGCTGACAATAAATGCTCACTGGAATTAGTGAATTGGTCTGCTTTTTTTTATTAAATTAAAGACAAGAATTAAGTTCATCATGCCGTCCATTTGCAGTACATGCTATTTGGACAAAGTTATCAAGACGAGACAGTTTCATAAATCAGCTGATAAAGACGTGTTTTGATAGAAAAGCAGGCTTGTTTTTGTGTTCAGGTTAAGGTACCAAAATCACATTTCTATATTGTAGATTTAAAGGACGAGTCTGAGTCCTCAGAAAGTCTACGGGCAGGAGAACAAAAACACCAACTTCAAAACTGAAGCTCCTCTAATGTAAAGATTTGGTGCTTTAGTTCGCGCATCATTGAGTCATCATGAGTAACGGTGACAGCTGTAATTGAAGAGTGTGTGAAAGCAATCGAAACCTCAACCAGAACATAGCGTAAAGTTTACTGTGTCTTTATAGTAACACTATCTAGAAAGTACACACTCTTCTTACACGACTGCAGCAAGAAGTGAAGTTGTTATTCACACTTTCTAATGTAAAGTTCAGCTGTCGCTCTGAATCGATGACTACTGTGTTACACTCGTACGTATATGATAGGCGGCAGAATCGTGATGAGCGGGGCAAATGTTGTGCTGAGTGGCTGACACAGAGGTTTGATGATGTGAGGAAACACTGAGGGGTATCAGGGGGCCTAAATCACTCTAGTGTTTTTGAAGGGCAGTAACACAGTATATATATATATATACATATATTTTCTTTCTAGTTGATGTTTTACTTGCTGATTTTTTATTATTTGTAGCCATAAAATCATCATATAGGGGGTTTAAAGGTTTGGTTTTGAGTAGAATACTTGAACAACTATTAGATTTTAATAGATTTTAATTCCCCCTGTGTTTATTAGCTCTGCTTATATAACATTTGTATTTATCTTTTTTTTTTTTCAGTTTAAGGAATGTGTTGAGAGACCAGGGTCAAACCACATGGAGACATTTCAGAAAGGGTAAGCTCCTAAAACCTCAACTTGATCCCCAAAAGATTAAAAACAAATTCAGTCCACATGGTGAATTTCCTTTTCTCTCCAACTTTACCCTCTCTAACAAACAGCAGAGTCAAAGTATGTGGTACTTGTTTGTTTTCCGCGCTGATAAGCTACTGACTGTTTGGCGTACTGAGATGTTTATAACACACACTGTACCTGACAGATGAAGACAAAGCAAAGAGAGGCCTGTGTGTCGATCTGAACTGTGTGGGGTTTTCACAGCTTTCAGACTAAAGCTGGAGAACGTCTAATCCTGCTGTCTTGCATTTATGCATCATGAACTCATGTGGTCAGTCAGGGCTTCTCTGCTAAACTGGTTTCTCTCTCTCTCTCTGATTTTTAAGGAATGACATTTCAAGAAAAGATTGCCTCACCTCTCCTCCTCCTCCTCCTCCACCTCAGGTATGTTCAAATTCATATTTCCTTCACCGCAAGTCTCTCGCTCTCTTGTCTGTGTGGTTTCACTGTACGCTTCAGCTTTCCTCTTTACTTCTCTCACATTGTTAAAGAATGCTCTGCTATGCTTGTACCACAGTACAAAAATAGAGCGCCAGATTTCAGGGAGATGGATTTGGAAAAAAAAAGGATAGACTGAATATTTAATCTCAGGGTTGGTTTGGTACCGACTGAAATGTGTTAGCAGAGCCAAGCCAAGCTCCAAAAGATTGAAACTTTACTCTGGACAACCTCATGAGTATTTTACAATTGTAAATAGACCTCTTTTTTAATGAAATTTTATTTGTATTCTTTTGATAATGAAACATAAATCATTCACATTGTTTTGTGAAAGTTTTATGCTACGAGTGCTCTGTCATAGGTCACAAAAAGGGAATCAGGAACTAGTAAAATGAAACTAAAGAATTAAATCATGTAGTGTGAAATGTTTTGAAAAATTAACACTAGACTGGACACACCAGTCTGGTCTCTAACTCATGAGTGCTTGGTAACATGTTCAGAGATAAGTTGAACAGAAACTCCTCTGTAATTCCACTGTAACTTAAAATATTACTTTTATTTGATTAAAACGGGTTATCCTCCTGTTATTTTTACGTTAGTTTACAGTCAGCGGATAAAATCACTGTGGACTGCATGCACCTTTGATTGTGTTCCTATGGCTGTGTGCAGAAGGAAAAAAAGTCACCTTCTCCATCTGCTTGCTTCCAGTTTTATTCTGGACCGGCACCAAAGCTCAGAATCATGCACCAATATGGTGAATCTCTTTCTAAGCAGACCAGATGGATTTCTGTGGCAGCTCAGGCTACAGCTCTGCACCTCCACAAACACCACACTGTGCCACACTGAGCTACCATCTGGAGTCGGCGTGCAGCCACAACCTCTCTGCTGTTCAGTAAAGCCCTGGTTACAACTGCAGAGCCACGCAGACATGATAACCTCTTCACCTGCAGTGGATTTCTTCACGTTTGTTAAATCCATGAGGCTTAACCTCTTTTTACCTGCCGTCAGTCTGATACATGCAGTATCTGGGTGCTGTGGCAGAGATGCACCTTTCCCTCTTTAATTTTACTGCAAATTTGATATAATCCATTTAGTTTCAGGTAACAAAATGGTAACAAGTGAGGACAAATACACTCTAACACCTACATTAGACTCACAATCCCTTAATTTCAATGTTGCATATCTTCATCTGTGTCTTGTTTTAGCGTCAGTATCTGAAAATCATTTGCACGTGACTCCTCCTTCAGAACATCTTGTGCCTCCACTTAAGACATTAGATAGAAGGAAGTGACAGTTGTTTACAGCATTCACTCGTCAATCAGATAGACCATAAGTAATAACTGCAGATCAAGTGTTTTTGTCAAATTTAGCCGATACTTTGACGTTAGCTCAGAGAAACAGTGATGGTTGCAGAAGCAGCAGCGTCCAGTGTACTCGACACGTGTATTTGTGGCGTGCTTAGGCTAACTTCCAACAACAGTCCCTCTGTGGGCTTTGATACTTTGATGAGTGACTTTTTTTTTCATAATAGTAATGTGCATGCATGTATGTGTGTGTATGTGCGTGCACGCCTGTGTGTGTGAGTGACTGTGGTTTAGATTGAGTAAGTGTGCAGAGAGCTCTGCCACACGAAGATTGTGAGGCAAAAGAAAACAAAGCTATCAGTCAGCGAGCTTATGTCAGACCAAATCCTCTACGCTTTGTGTGTGTGTGTGTGTGTGTGCGTGTTGCCGTGTGTATTTGTGTATTCAAGATAGTGTTCTTGTCTGTGTGCAAATTCAGCAAAAATGCCCTCAAAATTCCAAATTGTGTTTGTTTGTACACTGTTTGTAAGCCCCCTAAAACACAGCGTAATCATTGTCGAGGGCGACCCTCCCCTCAAAACACAAACACACACATAGTAGCTCTGTGTATACCCCCTCCTTTGTACCAGCTGGACCTCACATGATGATGTAATCATGGTTTGAGTGTGTTTGACCGAACACAGTGGCTGATGTTCAGCAGTGTATGTGCGTGCATGTGTGTGTGTGAGTGTGCGCGTGCGTCTACATTTGATTTAAATGCGAACACAGCGGGATCACTGTAACATCTGTGCTCTTGCTAATCCCCTGTGTTCTGCTCAGAGCATCTTAAAGTGGAGGAACATTGTACTCTCCACAGTGATTCCCTCTGGAACTGACTCTGCCTGGGAGTATTGATTGCAGATCGATCGAAGTGGCATAAACTAATCATCTAGTCTTTTATCAAACTGCTTTTAGTGATTGAATTTGCATATAAAAGTCTCTGATGACAAAAGTGCAGCTTGATGAAGAGGAAACTTTTCATAGCTGATGAGGTGTAGTCTAGCTGCTTGTCTCCCCCAGCATCTTTACCTCGGAGACTCTGGATTACATAAGATTCACCCTGCAGACCCTTCTGTTTGAAGCTTAATGAGTCCATACTTTAATCGCATGATTAGCATCAGCTGCGCTGCTTACACTTCACAAGAGGACACACAAAGTCGGGCAATTAACTTAGACCAAGTATAAAGTGGAGAACACACAAGCTGCTAATGAACAACAGACAAGTTTAACCAAGATCAAAATCTTCCAGGTGATTATAAGTGAGTTCACAACAAAGGGCTCTTTTACATAATGAACAACAATGTGCAACGCTATCAGTATGAACTGTTCTTAATTTATTCCAAAGAGGGAGTCGGTTCATTACATAGGAACTATGAAACTTTTTAATGACGTTAAAACACAGAGACATTTTTGACTTTTCATGTAAGGAGACGCACAGGTGTGAGCGGTAAAGATAAGGAATTCTAAGTTGTATCTGCCTACATTAGTTTCTGGGTAATGTTCATTTTTGTTAAAGGGATATTTCGGCATAAAATTAAGTTAGGGTCAAACACACCGCAACACCGAGTTAGACACCCCGTCAAGAGATGAATGTTGCTGACCGCTTGCTTCTCTAGTAAATAATGCTCAGAACAGCACCTAACTTCATCAACAGTACATATAGGGTCCCAGCCATAGCACTAGCCACCAAACATCTTTTTAACTTTGCCTAATTTCTTTAGCAAAGAGACTAAACACAACTCACCTACTCTCTTCCAGCAGCCGCTTGTGTGTACAGAGACCACCACGCAAGTCTATTGACTGCAGCGGGGTGACGCAGCTCAAGGAAGAACATTTATGATCATTACTTCATGAAAATGCAATCAGACCGAGACGCTCAGGCAGAAGAACTACTGCGTCTGCAATCCAAAATAATTAATATGATGATTATTACTTCAAGGAAATGATAAAGTAAAGATCATAAATGTTCCTCCCTGAGCTGCTAAAAAGATATTTGGTGGCCAGTACTATGGCTGGGACCCTATATGTACTGTTGGTGAAGTTAGGTGCTGTTCTGACCATTATTTGCGGCTATAGAGTGGCATTTTGGTTGAGCATGTGGCTCTCTGTATTGCTATCGTTATTAAAGTTGGTATAACTAGAGAAGTAAGCGGTCAGCAACATTTATCTCTCAACGGGGTATCTAACTCTGTGTTACGGTGTGTTTGACCCTAACTTAGTTTTACGCTGGAATATCCCTTTAAGAGGCTCTGGGATGTCTGACCATGACACACTATGACTGATTCCAGCATTTATTATTTATTATACACATTCATATGTCATGTTGTGGGCCCACAGTGACACGGTAGACCTCTGCTCTGTATTCTCATTATTTTGTGTGCCTTGTTTTAAGGTGGTACATCCGGGTTTGATTGACAGATGGTTTGATTATTTTCGCCCTGGATCTTGGAGTTGATATTACTGGATGTGCCATTGCCTTGAATGTTATTAAAAGGCATGAGTTGGGATGTGTGATAATAAAGCCTTGGCCGTGCTGGTGCAGTATGTACTGGGGGGGAGGGGGAGGTTCTGGGCTCCACAACAGTGACGGTAAGGACGACTTGAGGGAAATTTCCGCTTGTAGTTATGACGGTCAGCACATTCTCCAGTCGTGAACACTTCTGTAAATCCTCCTTGATTCACATCATATCAAGTATACTTCCCACAGAACAGCTGAAGAGACTCGATTAGTCCTTGTTTTCTGGACTTGAGCACATGAACACAAATAGAGAAATGCACCTGAGACTAATTACGCTGTTCCAGTGTAATCTCACATAAACCTGCCAACAAAAACAACTCAGTATGATGAACAAAAAGCACAAAACAAGGGACTGTTGTAACTAGATTCGAGTGTACCCCTTCCTGTAAACCGTCTGTGGCATTTATGAGGTTTAGGTGCAGTGTGTCTTGATCTGTTTCACCTAAAAATAGCTTGGTCCCACGCCCAGACAGAGGAAATGGGACCCCACAGGCTTAGTGCTATGTGATCCAGGGGCACGCTCTACATGAATGACCAGCCAGGTATGCTTTCTCACCAAATTGTTCACATGACAGTAGAGTACAATTGCACAGCTTTGACTGTGGAAAAGCACTGAGTAGTTGAGGAAAGTTTGGGACAGGAAAGGGAGAGGGGGAACCTGATGGTGGATGTTGAACAGATTTGGGGAATTAAAAAAGATTGGAGCTTTTTGTAAATATCTTTGCTATGAGCTGCAAGTTCGTCTACAGAGAGACAGACTTAAGAGAAAGGAAAAAAATCACCCAGTCAGCCTACGTGTGCTCGCTCACAATCTGTGTGTGCTTTTTCTTGTCCTCACCACCCCTCCCTTCTGTTCTTACTGCTGTGAAACAAACAAGTCCAGAGCGGAGTTGGGGTGGGGAAGATATGCATGTCAGGAAGGAGAGAAAGCAAACCGGACTACTGTGAGAGAGAAGGGAGAGAAAACAAGGGAGAGAAGAAGGAGGGAGGGGTGAGGGATTCCAGTGGGTGAAAGACAAGGCGGAGCCTATCCGCTCCAGCTCTATCGCACACAGCCAGGGGCTTATGGGCGGATGTTTTGGCCGCAGAAGCAGCCAATGGGACGCCGGGATCAGCCCCCTCTGCAAGGGCGGGGCCAGTCTGAGGGAGTGTGTGGCTCAACTTAAAGAGTGTGTCCACAGGCTGCCCACTGTCGTTGAGCACTCTTTTCTTTTCTCTCATGGTTGTGCAGACGCTGAGGATGAAGATCCAGGAGTCACCCATCACTTGTGACATAGGGAGGGTCAGCAGCAGTGGAGAGGTGCGAGGTTCGGACCCTGACTGCGAGAAGACGAGCTGTGAGGATGTGCCCAGACTGGACCTGACAGCACTAACTGAGGACAACAACTGGGGAGGTGAGTTTACGGGCCAGCACACTGTTGTTTTTCATGCTTTCATTTGAACCCACACATGCAGATCCTCCTTTTAAATGGGTTCAATGCTTTCTGGAATACACACTTTTTAGACAAACAAGCCCAGACAACACACTCTCTGCGCCCATCTACGCACATGAACGTCTGGGTAGCAGCTGCACACCTTCTGCTTCCTCCTCCTCCTCCTCCTCCTCCCCTCGTGTAGCTCCTTCTGCTTCCCCTGTGGGATTTAATAGTAAAAGATCCTCTTAAGTTCTCTAGCCACCTATATCTGGAGGGGAAACACACACTGAGGAGACGTTGTTTGTGCAGCTCACGAGATAAGGCAGTACTGCAGTTGAATAAGACCACATGGGAACCTTGTTGTGTGACTCTCTCTCTCTCTCTAGAGAAAACATGTGAAATGTGCTTTGCTGTTGTTTAAAGAGCAAACCATATGTTTTTATCATGGTTTATCAGTCACTTGGCAAAGCCTGGCGCTGGATTTGCTCCGAGGCTCAGCTGCTGCTGAAATTCCCAGTGAAAATCAATCATTAAAGGGAAGGTCTAATGGTGACAACAGTGGAGCAGCCAACCAACTGTAGAAAAACTTGGCTGGGGTTTGGATAGTTTATTGACCGTGGTTGAAATGGTAACACTCGTGCCCTATTTTATAAGTGTCAGTTTACCCTGTCTCTCCAGGAATGGTGAAGAGGCGTCCACGCACATGCACTCAAGGGCAGCTCTGCACAACATCAAAATTTTGAAATAGTATGCCTTGTTATTTTATTGATGCAGTCTTATCAAGTACAATTTCAATGCAATGTTTGCAGAAATAGTCACGAGTGGTGCTCTATTCACGTGTCTCTCCCTCCTCCTGTTTGCTTTTGGACCAGTGTGAGTTTATAATTAAAGTGTTTGTTTATGCAGGGTTGGCGTTTGGTTAGGAAAGGATATGGCGCACAGCCGCCGTGCACTGTGATTGTTTTGCTGGAGTGTTGCGACACAGCAGAGATGGGTGGAGGTTTTGGTATTGAGCAGTGAAAGTTGAGTGTTCAGCTCTACTGTAAACTGGAATGATAACCAACAGGTTTGTACCTCCAGTTGAATACGGTTAAAGGACTTGTTGTGGCGTGTAACTTCACCGTAACACTGCGAACTTAACTCCCCCCTCCACCAGCCGTACAGTTTCCTGCTCAGTCAGGCAGCCAGTGGAAAACTGTTCCATGTAATAAATCTATCAGTTTCAACCCACTCAAGTTTGGAGCATTTGCAGAATATTGCATGTTTTGTGGGGCTCTCTAGTGGCCAAGAGTGATACATAAAAAAAATCATGTTGTTTTTGTTTCTTTGCACGGTTTAATCCACGAGTACAGATATCTCAAGTAGTTGGATAATGCGGCTGATAAAACTTAACTTGCACAGAGAAGAATCTCTGTGCAGCAGAAATAAAGAGCAATCATAAAAGCACGATTGTTGCTCAAATATCAGGAACAGTGACAAGGGTTGATGTCAAGCTCTTAATCCTAAATTGCCTCTGGGAGCTGTAGCGCTATTGTCTCTGCGGTGTTTCAGATTGTGTGTACGTAATTAAAGTACTATTTGCTAAACAGAGGATGTAACAGGGTGTGTATTGTACAGTCTGCCCAGGAAATTCAGAGCCCAGGTGGCTGATTACAAACACAGAGACAGTTTGTGTTTTTTTTTTATCACTTGGCCAGTGTTTTAATCCTGGCTTCTCTCCTCTTCGTTAAACCTCCCTCCTGTACATTTTGTCCTAAATTCATAACTGAGCTCATGGCTGCACGAACGCCACAGGGAGGCTGGCTGATGATTGGCTCTGACAGGCCGCTCATACATACAGTATCTCCTTGAGATAGGACACACATCAGATCCTGTGAAGCACAAACGCCAGCAGAGCTTGTTAAGTACAAACTACTGTTGTGTGAATGTGCACTGAGTTGAACTTGAGTGTTTCTTCTGTGCAGCATGTTTATTCTCCACAGAGCTACAGAAGGATTTATATTGTAGCTAGACTGTTCCAAGATAAATAAGCAGTTAATAAAGCAGCATAAAGGTTATAAATACTGTCAGGAGGATATGTGCACACTGTACAAGAGGTGTGAGACTGGACAAACGCGCTCGTTGATGGATGAGGGCATTAGGCAATGGCGCGGGACCTTTGTCCCAGCACAGTTTGTGCCAGCGCCTGTCATGGTGACCCCATATTTCCCGCTGATCTGTCCTGAGCTATGTGATGGCAGTGTTGGGAAGAGATGGTTCACAAGTTAAGGGAAGCTCAAGGCGATGCTCGTTATTTTTATCTTACATTTCTCTTACTTTTGTTTCAAAGTTTCTGTTTCTTCATCTTTTCCTTCTTCCTTCTCTTCTTTCTTGTCATCTTATAGATTCTCCGTTCTTTAGCGCACCCTTCCTAGATTTCAAAAGCTTTTTTCAACAAAGTTTTTGCGATGGTAAGTGTAATGCTATATCACATCATCACTGTGCTGTGCTGCTAACTACGTGTCTGAGAGAAAGAAAGAAAGAGAGGAAAGGCTGTGTGAATGACCTTTCTCCCTGCATGGTAACATGCTTGAGTGATCTGTAACATTGTGGCTGAGCATTGCACACACAACAACCTTTAGCCAAATAGCAAACTGGCATGTTTTTTGTTTCATTAGTCCACTTAATCCTGGACCATCGGCAAGCAGGTTGATTTAAGGGATTAATTTCAAATGCCATGGTCGGAGCCTGGCTGGCCAGCTCCACCACACCGCACTTAGAGCAAGATAATAGAGCTGAAGGGAAGACGCTCACCTGCTGCTGAGAGCGAGCTCTAACATGCCAAAGGGAGGCTGCTTGATAAACTGCACGTACCTAAAAGCTCAGGGAGTCCTCTGGGACAAGAGCTGGAATCTGAGCTACGTCTCCTCTCCTATGCACAAACTCACCCCGGCGAAGAAAAATACGCATGTACAGTCGTAAACTGGGCATGCCTATTTTCCTATTTTCTCTGGCGATTCCTGACACCTTGAATATTTACACAGACGGTTGGTCTCCTTCACGGATTGTTTTCACTACCTTCATCTCTTCTCCCCGTGTAACAGCTCCTCTGTGAATTTCTATAGCCTCCCGACACTTGATGCCGTCTTTCTTCCTGTTTCCCTGAAATCTGCATAGTTTTTCCTTCTGAGTGGCATGTTTTCACACAGCTCTTACTTTAACATTGAGCTCTTTAGACACCCCTGTACAGCCTCTCCCTCTCTCACGTGCTTGGACAGACAGCGAGCAGGTTTATCTCTCACAATGCAGAGTGGAAACTTTAACGCGACTCGCTTCACTGTTGGTCTCAGCGGGGGTCGCGCCCTGACATTATCCCATTGAGAGGCAGGCATTATTAATAGCCTGGAATTGTCAGAAGTATCTGCATGCCTCTTTGCTCTGGACATAATTATTGCCAGAGTGGAGACTGTAACCACCAGGGGACACACATGGGGTGGGGGGGTCAGAGAAACATCTGCAACTGTGGAGCCCCCAGAGGAAGATTTCTGGGTTTTTTTTAGTCCACTAGAGAAAAGATTCATCAGACTTTAACAGAGAGGATTTTTGGTGTCCTTTACTTAAACAAAATGTAAATAAAGGACACACATTTGGGTGATGTAATGTATGTTTTTTTCCCAACATTTTTAGAGAAATCAGTTTGAAAATCATCCGAGGAACAAATCAGTGACTGCAGCTAAAATATAAAAAAAGAGTCTGTACTTTAAAATAATAAGCTTCTGAATTTGGGTTTGTAAGAATAACTTCATAAGTGTGATTAAGGCTGTGAAAGGATTCTGACTCAATAAGCAGATTTGATATTGGATTAAGCTCCACCTGTAGATGAGACCATGTTTTATCCTGTTATTCTGTAGCTGCGTGGCTCTTTGGAATGTCATGGTGACTCTGTTGTCTCTGTTAAGACACGTGACGTGTTTGTCTGCTGACCAGCATGCGACACATTTCCACGCAACAAAATCCCCTGACACACCTGTCCCTGTGACACATCTCAACTTTTCTTTGACTGCAGGAAAAGCCAAGTGTCGTTTTAACCCGAACTTTCTTTGTATGTGTTTTTTCCTCAGAGCCCGTGCCTGCGTACTCACTGCAGAGGGAGAGCATGGACCGAGAAGAAGCCCGCCTCTCCCCGCACGCCGGAGGACGCCTCATTCGCCAGCTGCTGGAGGAGGATAGCGACCCGATGCTGTCCCCTCGCTTCCACGCCTACGGGCATTGCCAGCAGTACCTGGACGACACTGAAGTGCCTCCATCACCACCAAACTCGCACTCATTTGTCAGGTAAGAGTTTGACACAAATGTGTTTGTAGAGGTGTTAGGAAGGAGCTCTCTTTGTTATTAAGAACATTGTGTGTCCTTACAGCCGCCGGAGGAGTTCATCTCTGGGCTCGTGTGACGATGAGAAAGAAGAGTTGACGTCCGCCCAGCTCACAAAGAGGATCCACATACTGAAGAAGAAGATCCACAGGTTTGAGGAGAGGTTTGAAGAGGAGCGCAAATACAGAGTAAGTACAGACAACTTTAACTATAAAGACACAAACTTACTTTTAAAGACGTTTTTCAAGACCGTTAAGATTTTCATAACCGTCCAAAGAAACTCAGAAGAATTGACTGTTTAAAAGGATGTAAACAGGTTGACTGTTCTTGTTTCATCACACTTGTTAGGAGATCTGTTTTAATGTATTGCTTCTTTTTTTTTAATTAGCCTTCTCACAGCGATAAAGCTGGAAATCCAGAAGTGCTGAGGTGGATGAACGAACTGGCCAAGCTTCGTAAAGACCTAAAAGGTGAGACACTAACATGAAAACCACACCTAGGCCTTTAATGCCTTTTGTATACAAACTTTTATGATACTTCTATCAACTCAATATGATCAACAAATTACTAAAAAAACACCTGAATGCAGTCTGATAAATGATGAAAACGTCCTCTTGTGGGTTTCCAAAAACACCTAATGTCTTTAACAAGATAAATAAATATATTTTTTTAATTTTAAGTACATTTTGATATTTTTGGTTTTCAGTAGTAAGTGAAATAAACATTTCAGCTCCAAAAAAATTTGAATTTTCTGGCCATCATTTGTGGTTTGAGGCATTAACGGGTTAAAATACAACTGATAAACCCTGCAACAGATAAACCAAATTCAAAATTTCTACGATCTGTGCAGAGCACAAGCTTTTGAAGTCTGAGGAGGATCTGCCACCTCTGACCCGCCAGCGCAGCAACACTCTCCCGAAAAGCTTCGGCTCTCAGCTGGAGAAGAAGCCGCAGCAGGAGAAAGTGCCAAAGCCGTCAGTGGAGAGCAGTCTGGAGACGATTCAGAAGAAGCTGCAAGAGAAGAGGGAGGAAGTGAACCGTCCTGAAGACATCAAGGTAAAACCAGGAATCTGTCCCACACAAACAAAGAAGAACAAATCAATCATAAACACACATATAAACTGCATCAATACTGAAGCTGATTATCTGATTGTTTTGACTCTTTCTCATTGCCCTCTCTGGACAGGATATGACACGGGAGCAGATCGGAGCTGAGAAAGTGGCTCTGCAGAAAGCTCTTCTTTACTACGAGAGCATCCACGGTCGACCAGTAAGTCTTCCTCCTGCTCCTCCTCATCAAATTAACACATACATGAAGTCTGAACCCAGAAACTTACACTCTGATCCCCTGTCAGTCATGTTGGTCTAAACGAGGAAAATCCTGTTAGCTTTTGGATTGTGACCCAGATTTCAAGTGAAGGGTAAATAATGTCTGTTCCAGGGAGGTCTGTCAGCTTGAAATCCAGAGACAGATGCTTTCGTTATGTTTTCAGTTTTTTTAGTATGTGTTTTTTATTTATGAGGGGGCATTTTTTATAACAGATATTTAAAAACAATTGTGAAAAACCTTTTCCCTTAAAAAAAACAGACTCCTGTGTTTTACTTGAAACAAAATCCAGCTACAGGATAATCCTGTATTTATCCATTTTCGTATTTCAAGATATCAGGAGGTAGAGTTGACCTCTCTGTCACCCCCGTCTTTCCTCATGCTGCCTTTTTCTGCGGTTCGTGGTTAATGATCTTCACGCTCTAGAGGAGTTGTTGTGGGCCGGACTGGGTTAGCTGTCATTCCATGTTTTTGTCAGTGCTGTAGTGAGTCAGCCTGCAGGGAGACAGAGGAATGAAGGTAGAAGTTAACGCTGCTAACGTGAGGAATTTTCCTGCTTTCTCTTTTAGGTCACCAAGAGTGAGAGGCAAATCATGAAACCACTGTACGACAGATACCGCCTGGTGAAGCAGATCCTGATCAGAGCCTCCACCATCCCCGTCATTGTAAGTCCCCGCATCTTAACCTTTGTTTTTATTTCCCTCTACAGCTGTCCTCTTTGACGAACGCATAGCAGAGGTCACCGCGGTATCAGATTGGTGCAGACACTTAATCCTCAGCTCATGTCGGCTCTAGAGCCTGCTGTGGGAAACAGTGCGGTGGCAGCCGTGCCACAGACGTGTGATCCACCTTTTGGGGCTCTAAGTCCAGCTTTAGCAGCTAAGTGAGTTCATGGGTCATAAGAGGAGCTAACGGGTGGCAGATTGAACTCACAGGAAATGACATCAATCACAGCTGAGTGCAGCACGGGGTCAGAAACTTAAGATATAGAAATGAAAGGACTAGTCTCTTGAACAGAAATAAAAATTCAATCAGTTCATACTTCTTTGTTGCGTAAAATGGTCATCTCTTTAGCTCCCTATTAGCATGTGTATTCAACACTTCCATTATGTAATATATGATCTGCATTATGTATATGTTATATAAGGCAGCTCTAATCCCCATGATGCGAATTGGAATGAATCCCTCCAGTAGTAATGCAGCGGTATTTTTGTGGAATTACATGGAAAGAACATCTGAAAATTAAGTATCAGCAGACCTCGAGTTTTCAGCTTTCCATTTTGAAACATTAAAAAGAAAACTCCTCATCTATTGATTACATTCAGGACTGAGACTTTGTCCTCTGAACCAGACCAGGAGACCCATACCAGGCAGGAATCCACATGGCAATTGCTGTGGTGTTGTTTGGGTGCAAGGATTCCACCCGATTAAAATTAACCATCAGCTTTGGGTCATATTTGTAGTGCAGTCTGTGCATACTAGAGACGAACAGCTTTGTCCCACAAAATCAGTGTCATTTGGACGTCTAGATCTGAACGAGGTGGTTTAAGGTGGCGACATTAAGGCTAAGTCTGGTAAATACTTGAAGATCGACTGGTGCACTTCTCTTTGCCTTGCTGTAAACTCCACAGTGAGCGTGTTAGCGTGGTTAACGCGTCCTTCTTAACCATCACCACAGGGTTCTCCCTCCAGCAAGCGCAGAGGTCCCCTCCTTCAGCCTATCATTGAGGGCGAAACAGCGCTCTTCTTTGATGACATCAAGGTGAAGAGCTGCAACTGCTGCTGCTGCTGCAACCGCTGCTGCTGCTGCATAATCATTTGACAGCTTCTCCAACCCCTCCCCCACCCCCCGTTTAACTACCATTTACCCCTCTAATGAACCTGATTGCTACCTGTTGATTGGCTGGTTGCCTGTTGAGTAGCAGCCTGGATCTGTTGTATCTTCATTGATGTGTGATGATTATTGATCTAAATGTATGAGCAGTCTGTATTGTTTTAGAGGATAATTCTGGTTTATAACAACTTGGGTTCCTCTTTGTAAACACTCTGGGGACTTTTCCTCTCCAGTAAAAATATTAATGTACTTCTTAAGTGTTTTTGGGGTCAAGTAACACACAAAAAAGCCAGATTTGTGAGACATACAGACAGACAAAATTAGAATTAACCTCCCTGCTTTTAAATCTTACTAAAGAGAGAACATTTATCATCATTTATAACATTTAAATAAACAAAAAAAGCTACTCTTTCAGTAGTTGCTGACTACAATCAATGATAGATGATTGTCAAAGCGACCAACAAACCCCAAAGTTGTAACCACCAGAATGATCCTGATTGAAAGAGTGTTTTTAAGACAAACTGTGATCAGACTAATGAGTTTGCTCGGTGCATTTTGCTGGATGTTCAGTGTTTCTTTGGTTCTGGACTGACATGAAGTTTGCTCCTCTCGGTGGTCTTGTGTGTCTTCTAGTTGACCTCCTTCTTTTTGTACTAATGGGTTAACTCGTGAATCACAAACAGGGACGTGAATGTAACATGATCATTTATGACCATTGATGACTAACACTGCACGATCATCTCACACAGCAGTGTCTGAGCCTGGAGATCAGCCAACAGCATTGTCTTTTTTTCTGACAGCGCAGAAGAGTGACCGCGGTGTTTTTTTCTTCTTCTTCTGCAGGAGGAGGAGGATGGCTCGGAGGACGATGGAGAAACGAAGAACCAGTTCATGGTGACTGTGCGGCCTGAAATCAGCGTACTCGGCTTCCTGGACCACATGGATGAGGAAGTAGACGGTTTCATTTCACCCGTGGATGAACTTTCACCCTCTAAAAACACAACGGACATGAGGCTGTCTAACCTGCATGCTGCTACCATGTAAGTCAGAATAAGAGACAGAAAACAGATTATATTCAAACTAATAGAGGTTACATGCATATTATGCTTAGAGGTACATGCATATTATTATTTTAAGGTACTTTTTACATCTACCTCCCAGCACCATATCTAATATGTTGTATTCCTTTGTTAAAAGTTTGAGTTAGCTGTTTATTCTGATCCACATTTTCTGAAAAAAAAAAAAAGACTTAAAAATAATAAACATATATTTTATACCATATTTTGACACCAAACTATAGAAAACAGTGTTTAGTTGTACCTCTGTACTGATGTGTTTGAACTTTAATCATGACCATCAAATGAACCCTTGTTGTTTGGGTGTTGAATGCCATAGATTTAGATAGAATTACCTTTTTGATCCTAAACAATACTGTTCAAGGGGCCCTAAATACTTCCTTCCCACCACTGTAATAAACCTCAAGCTGATATAATTACTCTAACATGAAGCATGTTAAGTATTTGTTCTCGCTGTCTTACAGGCAGGAACTTGTGGAGCAGCTCCAGGAGACCCGTGAGGAGAAGAAGAGACTTCGCAAGAACCTGAAGGAGTTTGAGGACCAGTTCTTCAGACAAAATGGAAGGTAAAACACAGATTACATAAGAGAAATAGAGGGGGGAACGTGAAATGGGTTTTCCACCCCTGAACCAGCCTCAGTGACCGCATGTTTGTTGCCTTGTTTCCATAGGAACGTGCAAAAGGAAGACCGCTCCCCGCTGGCAGTGGAGTACAGTGAATACAAGCATGTTAAAGCCAAACTGCGGCTCCTGGAAGTCCTCATCAGCAAAAGAGACTCCTCCAAGTTTATCTAAGAATAAATGAAAAAAGACTTTTCATAGGACTGGTGCTGAGTTTTTTGGAGAAATCATCAGAATTTCCCTCCCTGTTACCATCAACGCCAGCTTGACCTCACCTTCAAGAGAGGATTTTGATTTTCTCCAGACTTGAGCAAAGACGCACATGAATAACCCGAATCACTTTTCGCTTTTACTACTTCTAATTTATTTCTGTCCTTTTTGAATGTTATTATCAGAACAGAAGTTATTTTCTCACACTTTACCTGTAGAAGTCTTAAAAACACACCTTGTAAGTAAACTAATAGTGTGAAATTACTGAAATTTTTGAAGAAGGATTTTGTGATCAAAATTTATGTGTATTTTTGTAAGGAAGATGTTACTATTTGTATAACTTCTGTCAGCTTAACAGTATTGACTAAACAAATAGCTTTGTTTATTTCAGCTCTGACCATTATAAAATGTCTGAAATATTCTAATATTGCTTCTATAGAAGTTAAACTACATTTGTGCTCACTTAAAAAGTGTTTTCTAGTTATCATACAACCCAAAGACACCGAGTAAAAACAGCAAACCAAAATATTCACCATCATATTCAACTTTTCAGCTTATTTTCCTGATCACTGGTACTTTGAGGCATTTACTTTATATTTAGTGCTTTTTTTTCTCCCATGTACTCCATGTGAAATAAGCTATTTCTTGTTGAAATCACTGGTATGTTTGTACTCACTGATAAAAATCAATGACTTTAGTGAGACTACTCTGGATGACGGGGACGCTCTGAGCTTCCTTCCTGTCCTCTCTAGAAGCTTGTCTTTGTTTTCTCTGTTGTAAATACGGATCAATGTGTATGTTTACATTTCTGTGAGCGAGTATGTATCCCTTTCTTTCTCCAAAATGGATGATTATCAGTGTGTATTTCGTTCTTACTGAATGTAAACACTGGCAAGGCTTAATGAATTTTGAGTGTGTACATTTTAGTACATAAATTGTTATTGTATTTGTATTTTGTATATACTATGAATGAAATCATATTTTTACGGAGCTTTTGGGCTTGATGGATTTCTTTGTGTGGCACAAATTAATACACAAACTTCATCAGACAACTATCCAGATTAACTTCTCAGCACCACAATGACACACTTTACATGGTATTGATTTATTTAAAAAGTTGCCTAGAACAGAGAGATATGTGTAGATTTCAGACAAATATGCAAATCACTTTTCCTGTAGCACATTAAAAGGTGCAAAAAGTCGAGGGCTGCACAAACCTTTGCATAGGACTAAACTTTGCAGGAAAAATCTGTTTTAATCAGACAAAATCTGACTGAATATGTAGAATGTGTGTACATGCAGTATCGCACCCAGCAAGAGGACAAACCATCTTAAGAAATCTCCCCTCAGAGTCCAGTGTATAAGACCTTTCAAAGAATAGCACAATGATCTCATTTACAATACTGGGCTGTTATTGCTAAATGGATGAGTCTGTGTGACCTGCTACTCAGGACACTTATACTTTCTGTCACAACTGTCTGAAATATAGAAAAATATAGATATATGCAGGACCATTTCACACAACTCACACAGATGCACAACCTATTTAAACATCATTCTGGATCGGAGGGTTTAACTGTAGGAATAAATACAGCATAACGTTTTTGTATAAGTTTTGAGACAAGTGACACAGATATAGTTCACAGTCCACAATGTGTAATATGCACTTCAAATATTAAACTGCCCCAAACCTTCAAAATTTCAATACCTGCAACTTCAGCTAGTCACAATTGTTATAATTATGAGGACCAATAATTTAGTATGAAATGACATATAGGGACAGATCTGTTAGATTTCTTACTTCCGGTTGATGAATATCCAGTTTGAGCTAGCAGCGAGTTAGCTTAGCCTAGCTAAACAACTGGAAAGGCTAGTTTTGCACCGCAGCTTCAACCCTTTTAAGCCTTTAATATTAACAGTCCGCCTTGTAATTATTCTCCTTTTTTAGCTGTAAATGTGTCAAAAAATATCTTTTGTGTGAAATCTTTTGCCCCTTTTTTTCAGGATAAATTCAACTTTCAAAATCTCTCAAGAATTATACATTTTTACGTATTATATATATTTAACGTTCGCCGACTAGCAGCACGAAAGCTCTGTAATTAAAACACGAGACCTTTTTATTTTTAACGTATTAAATGTGGATGAAACGGACCACAAGCTACCTATCTGATTCTGTCACCTCTATATGCATTAAAATCATAGACTGTCCATATACAGTCTATGGTTAAAATTAGGTATCATTTCATATTTGAATTTCAGGGCCAATACTAACAGTAGGCTAATTATTACAAGTTCATAAATGATATTTGGAGCCGATATGTATTTAGTCATGTTAAATGTTGCTAATTGGAATATTACAAACTCAGACTGTGCTGTACCCAGGCTAGAAGGAGAGACAGTTGTGATTGAGAACAGACCTGGGGTAAAGACACACAGCAGAGCCAAAGTAGTACACTGTTTAAATAATGTCCTACTTGTATATGCCATTTCACCAGTGAAACACAGCTGCAGATATCCAACCAAACACTGAGTACTGGCCCTGAAAACTGGTTGATGCTGATCAAAATTACCTAAAGTTGGGCATGGAGCACCAAACAGCGCTTTTGGTGTATTGTGATTACTCCATCCTTTGTTGCCACTTGAATCAGCTAAGCTGGCCATTATCAACACTTTTCCAGTCATGAAGCAAGGCTAAACTATTCTGCTAATGCATTAAATCTATGGGTCAGTCAGATCATCCAGCCAGCTCTTGATCAGAAAATAATCATCATCATTCGACGTCTCTTGAGGTTTCACATCTCTTTGCTTTCACTCAAAAACATGCACACACAAAACAACTACCAAAACTTAGAAAGTCAGCTCATCATGTAGGTTTTGCTGTAGAAGGCAACACTGTTGAATGCAGGTTCAAGACAAAGTCAGCTGTTGTATTATTACAGCCAGAAAAGGAAAGAGGGATGCAAATAATATTCACCACATTTTATCCTGCACACCTCTGCCTGGTTCTCCGCTATGGTCTTTAAGATCAGACAGAGGACATGCTGGTGTCCAGATTAAAAAGGATCAGCAGGACAAACACTCCCCAAGATTATATTCAAAGAGCTATTTACATACATATATACACACTATTTATTTTGTCAAAATAGAACCACTCTATTTAATAAATTAAAAGTAACAAAAACTGATATATTGTTTCAAAGTAACAACTAATTCATTAACGGTGAAAAATAGAATTTAAGGAGCTAAATATAAAATACACAGCTGTGTAAAATAACAGGAAGGGAAATAAGACAAAAAAAAAATTAAGAATGCAAACACCTAAATGTGGAATTTTTTCAACCTTCTCAGGCTTTCTAACAGAGGTCCCAACATTATCCAATTCCAGATGGTCATGTTTCTGTATAACAGAGATTAATAATATCAAACAAATATTCATACAGAAGCCTTTAAAAAATTTTCAAGTGCTCTTAAGAGGTTAAGAAACATAGCCCAAAACAATTAAAACAATGATACTCTGCATTTACATAGACCTTTCAGATTTAAGATTCTCAACAATCCTGTAAGAGTATATAGAGAGAGCAACCTTTCCCCATTACACTCCTTTGACACTGACATGGTGGTGTATTGCTGTTAAAGTGCATTAAAACTGCTGCAGATCTCCCCCCTCAGACCAGGCTGAAGCCCTCATACTGCTCCACAGCCTGAGTGAGGCGGCGGCGCAGGATGTCTTTGGTCTGATAGCAGGGCATGTCCAGCAGGTTGTAGCAGGTGTGGGCCACCGGCAGGTAGTGCTCCTCAGCTGTGGTGGACTGGATGACAATGCGCAGGCTCTCCATGCCATGGATGGGGATACGATCGCTGCCAGTCAGGAACACTACGATCACAGGGGGGGACAATTTTCTCATTGACAATAAAGCAGAGTATGCTTCACTATTATGTGACCCACAAGTTTGAATGCTTACGTAAGAACTGCTTCTTCTTCTCTAGAGGGAACTCATGGAAAACCTCCCAGAACAGTCGAACTGTCGGATGAGTGGCCGTGAATTCCCCTTTGTAAACAGCGTTCTGTCAGACAGGAGATGTATCAATGAAAACCTTGTCCTTGTTTTTCACCTAAAATTCACCTGTTTATACTGTCAATATGAAGTTTGCACAAAGTTTTCATATATTCAGTTAAATCTCTAAACATCATCTTAAAGATGTGGGGATGTGGGGATGTTTAAGCCCCACACTGACCTTCTCCATCTCCTCCCAGTTGTAGTTGTTGTTACCGACCACCATGGCCATCAGCTCAGATGGCTGAAACAGCGACAGGATTTCCCCCCCACACACCTTCAGGAAGCCTGCCGAGAAAGCCGAGTACTGCTCACTCACGGAGTCCGTGAACACGTAGCGCAGGTAGGCCTCCACAAACTCTTTCCTGAACACACACACAAACACACACATGTTAAGTACACCCTCAGATCATTGATTTGTTTTGTTAGGCTGTGATTTTTTGAAGGAAATCATTAATTCAGACATGTGGGTGTGACTTTAAACACTCTCTTCCCCCTCCATTGTGTTGTTCACCAACAACCTCCTTTACCAGCCTGATCTGGGTTTGTTTACACCTTGGTGACGTCGTTACTTGGGGAGTTGCTCAGGTTGATTAAATGGATAATCTCTTCAGCCCTACTGTGACCTGGGAAAACTCCCTGAGATTAACTTCACATCTGAAGAAAAGCTGAACTACACTTTAAACATATGTTAAACTTTGAAAATCAGCCAAAAAGTTTTCGTTGATGTAATGCTGCCTCCACAGAGAGCAGGATATGTTTGTTTGGTTCAGGAGTGCCGTGATGTTGGCCTTGTGACAGTTACTGCCTCTTTCCTGGGGACATCAGCCTCGGCTCTTGATGTGCTGCCAAGAGCCTCAGTCCTCAGTCCACTCCTTATCAATCTGTCAAAAGTTCTCAAATTGACTTTTGCTCACTATCCTCTCAAGGCTGCGCTTATCCAACTAAACCTCCCCCTCTCTGCCAACTTTTCTTTCATATATCTACACATTGAATTAAATTATAACAGATAAAAAAAAAAACCTTTCTTAAATAACTGATGGAAAATATCAAAATAGGTCAATATTCTTATCTTATGAGATGCAACTGTGTACTGTACGTCTTTATTAGGGTGCAGGTTTGGTCTTATGGTGGTAAAAATGTTGCATCCCATGCACAGAGGCTATAGTCCTTAAGAAGAGTGGCTCTGGTTCAATCCCAACTCTGGCTCTTTGCCACATGTCATCCCCTTTTCCCTGTCCTGTTCTATTCACAGTTCCACCCTCTTTAATAAGGCATAAAAGCCAATAAATAAGATTTAAAAAATACTTTGTGTAAAAGAAGTGTAGTACATCTTTTTGTTTTATTACTTTAAATTTTTTTTAGTTATTACTTAAAGTAGAAAGGCCAGTCATGCAAGGATAACACGACAATTCAAGGCCAGGCCCCAGGACTGCTTTATTCAATAGCATTCATACCCATTTCCTGCGTTTTGGCAATATCTGTGAGGGCGAGTGAGTGCAAAAGAGCACAATCCACTGCCAACAATAGTATAGTCGAGCAAATCAATGGCGATATTGTACTACCAGATGACCGAGCAGCCTCTTTTCCCAGCAATGACACGTCCAACTCCTCACCTCATTAATTGTTTGTTCACCACAAAGGGACACAATTTGCTTTGCGTTGTACAACAATGTGGGGTAGGGTGACAAATAAATGAGCTCTGAAGCTGCAGCTCTGGTGCAGACTGTTTGTGTGGCATGTGGAGTTTAACACCACAGGGACGATGATTTCCTCCCTCACTTGTTGTGCTGTAGTTTTATATCCGAGTATCAGGAAGATTTTTTTTCAGTAACCCTAGCTGCTTTTGCCATCTGTTCCACACCAGCCGCCAGACATGCTGGCACCACCCGCCCCGCAACCCTCCACAGACACCTCCACATTAAGCTGTGATCATTGCCACTGACACAAGGACGACCTGAAGAAACAGGGTGTTGATGGTAGAAAAAAAGTAGACTGAGTGACGCAGACTGCGCTAGAATCTTTTGTTTTCGATGTTTCCAACGTGAACGTGACCTTCAGATGGAATAATAGGGGCACGAGCTGCCAGCTGTGTGAGCGCATGATAATCTCAGAGCAGGAAAAAAATAAATTAGAAAAGCGCAGAGTCATCTGTCGATCTTTCAGAGAGAACAGAGTGAGCGCTTCTAAAACCTAAAACAAGGTCATTTTGAGGGGGACAGTTGATTGGTTTTAGGTCTAATCTTTAAAGATTGCTGCCTTCATATGTGATCTGTTGCTCTGCCTCACCTGTTGTTTTTGTCCACGCTGATGCTCTCTCCTCCAGGAATCAGCTCCTTGACTTCTGTCATCCCGTAGTTCTCCCTGGTGATCTGTAGATTTACATTTTTCTTCCAAGTTATTTTATTCTCAGTTGTAATTTGGTCAACAATTGGCAGTATAATGCTGTTTTGAAGGGAGATACAACAAATCACAGCTTGTTGCTCAGTCTTTTCAGAGTTCTTATGCTTGTAACAATGGGGTGCTGATGCAGCAAAACACCAAGTACAATTTAATGATATGTTTCACACATACGACTGCTCACTGTGAACAAAAATCTTATGTACTTTATGTATTTTACTACACTTTAGTTCCAGAATTATTTATGTTTTAACACTATTTGTTTATTTTCTTTTATTAATTGATTTAAAGAATTTTATTATATAATATTTTATTATTTTTTTTATCATTTTATGAGTTTCCTATATCTTGTCATGATTTTATCAGTTTAGCTTCAGCTCCAGTGTTTCCCCATTTTAGTTTAAGGTTGTGTGTGTGTGTGTGTGTGTGTGTGTGTGTGTGTGTGTGTGTGTGTGTGTGTGTGTGTGTGGAGGGTGGGTGGGTGGGGTTTTGCAATTTGTATTTTATTTTGTATTTTATTTTGTATCCCCTGATCCTCTCCTTCTTGTGTTCTTTAATGTACAGAACTTTGTGATACAGCCTATGTATGAAAAGTGCTCTATAATTAAAGTGATTGATTGATTGATTGATTGATTGATTGAAAAACTCTGACTTTATTCTTTTATTTTTGTAATATTATACATTTCAAATATCACAAGATGGCTTGATTTTCTTATAAGGAGTTTTAAGTTACAACGAATGTGAATAAGAGGTAAAATGTACTTACAGCAAAGTTGAGAAGAAACATCTCCTCCACATCACTCCCTTCATAGTCCAGAAGTTGCTGTAGACTCCTACCAAAACAAAGACAAATGGGTGATCATAATTATTTCATGACAGAGCATGTAACGGCGGCCTCAAACACGATTTTCATTTTAGTTCAGGCCAGAATCATTGTCAGAATTATCATCTCCATCATTAAATAAAAACATCAGGGAGTAGGAAAGAAGTGTCCATCACATACCAGCTCCTTTCTGTCTGTATTCATAGTATATCAGTTGTTTTTTTTAACCTCAGTAAACAGTTCATCAACTCACACCTGTCCTCTCAGGTTTTAATCTCTCTCTGTTTGGCTTCAAATTGAAAACCAGGGATCAGCTGTGCATGACAGCTGCATGGATCAAATATTAACGAAAACTGGAAACTCTGTCTTGCATTCAAAGGTAAGGTGGTATCCTGGTCGCTAAAATGACTCAGAGGGAATTTGTTGTTAGTTTCCTGGAGAACAAAACACCATCAAGAAATAGTGGACGTGGAAAGAGGACATGGAATTACAACTGCTTGACAGTTTAAAGTCCTAAAAGGAATCACAAATTCATTTAATCTGAATTATCATTTCATCTTCTCCGGTACGTTTTAGAAACAAAGTCTCTAAAAGGTTTATGAGATCAGGATCTTTTTGGATGTGCTCTCCCTGAAGGCAACACACTCCATAGCAGTCCCACATGCAGCACTTACATGACTCATCTTAAAATCAATAATAAAGTGGACACAATTAGACACAGTGGATATGCTGACTCATCCTGCTCTAAAGTTAGAGAGGGGGCACTTCCTGGTGGTAGCTGATTTCACATCTACTAAAGCCAATAAAAATGAATAAACATTGTTTATGTAGGCAATGACACAGCGGTGCCTGCCTTTTTAAAAAGCTGTTTTGGTGACTTTTATTTCAGAATTTCACAATATTTCATTACCTGTTTGCAATGACAGTTTTTATAAATTGGAAAACATCCTCCATAAAAGGCTTCCAACCAAACATTTAAAACTAACAAGAGCCAGTGAAGCATCAACCAGGAAATAAATAATCCTCCTCAGAGGTGTTTCTACCTGGCCTCAGTGGGTGAGAGCTCCATCAAATCCTCCAGGGTTGTCGACACGTTGAGCAGCTTCTTGTAGAGAGCCAGGGGGAAGTGAAGGTCCACGACCGTGGAGTTGTAGATTGCCAACCCACAGATGATGCCGATCAAGTGAAACCAGTTCTGCTCCACAAAACACTAAAAGCACAAGAGAGTAAAAGGATCAGACTCCAGATGTTCTTACTGCTTAAGTCTGACTGCATTAACATCTAGCATAACAAGCAGTGGGGCACAAAGGTTTCCATCTGCATTTGAATGAATTTAATTTCTTCCAGATTTCTGTGATGAGAGGCCAAAAAAAAGGACAAAGATGAAAGGACAAAAAAAGTCACAATGACTGTTCAGTCAGTGGATCACTTCTGCTGCTCCTACTTTCGAAACAAGTGAATTTGGAGTTCAGGGACATGTTTTCCTTCTGGACATCTATGTTTTGTAAACCTGAATGTTGCCACTGACACAGTGAACAATGTGCACCAGCAGGACAAGCTCACATTTGTAGAAAACACAGCTGTGGGTTGTAATACAGCCAAAACACATGTGCTGGAGATTTCTTTCAGCCTCACTGAGACAACGTGAGACATGAGTCTAAAAAATGACAGAAAATAAAGGAAAAACTCCAAAACAAAAATCCATATCAGATATTTATCTTTCCTGTTGCATTTTCTTCCAGGTGTACTGTTGAATTTCCCTTCAGGGATCAAGAAAGTTCTTCTTCTTTCTCTCTAGCCCTCAGTTTCACACAGTGATATACTCAAATGAACAGTTGTGACTGCTTGTCCACTAAGAGTGAACATGATGCAACATAATAGTTTTTAAATCACAAGTATACAGGTGGAATGTTGCTTCACAGAGTGGCTCACTTTGTCTGAGAACCACAGCAGGTTGGACTCCTTGTAATGAGTGAACATCCCATAAACTGGATCCATCAGCTCCTTCAACAGCAGCAGGAAGAACTCTTTAGTAACCCCACCAGCGTCTACGGCCTCCTCTCCATCAAAGATCACCTGAAGGACGGAGAGTCAGAGGAGATTTGAACCATCGTCAACATAAAAAGAACCACATGCCCGGTCAACGCTCATACCTTGAGTGGTTTCTTGAGATCCACATCGGAGTACATGGTGAGCTCACGCAGTGTGTCACTAACTAAATGGTTCCTGCGCACATGGAGCACCAAGTAAGGGTTCCTAGCAAGGTGGGGTTCCAGCGTGAGCAGCATAAAGACATTGTGCAAGTTTGCACCGCTGACTGCCATCTTTAAAACGGTACAACAAAAAAGAGAGAGGATGAAGAAATATTAAAACAATCTGATTCTTGACTGTAACAAATCCACTGACTCCTTTGATAGTATTTAAACTCGGTTCACATTGGGATCTACCTGCATTTGCAGTTCAGCATCTGTTTGCAGCATGGTTGTCTTGGCTTGGGCGTTCAGTATGAACGGGTAGGCACATAGGTTCACTGAGGGGAAGTCACTCTGGAAGAGAAAGGGAAAATTTGACTTCTGCACTGATATTTCTTTAAAGCGTCATGTCATGTTAAATGTTCGATATCAGTCCATGAATCAAGTACCTGTGAAGGGGATGATCCAACTTTCTAAGAATGCAAATTGAGGGAGAAAGAAGAGTCACTTCAGCTGATTTTTAACAGAACGATGCTGCTGTTAGAATATAAGCATAAAATTCAACAGTAAGAGCTCGACTCTTCACTTAAAATAAAATTCAATATCGAGAACTTCCAAACATTCACACACAAATGAGTTGTTATGGATAATATTTCACTCTAACCCAACAGACACTAAGCTGACCTGAATTATGAGTATGTGTGTATCCTTAAGAGTGTGAAAAGACTCAGCAGATGTCAAGTGACAAGGAAGTGAAACATAATGGAAGGTTGTCAGGACTCACAATGTCAGCTTTACTCAGAAACCATTTGAGGTAGTCTTCCTGGATGTCCACCAGGGTGGTGATGTCGGGGATATAAAAGCGGTTGTACTCCACATGGTGGGCCTTTAAGTTTACCTGATGACACGGAAACAAACACATCAAACTTCCTCTTCTAAAACAAGCCTGAGTTGGCAACAGTGGGACAGATCTCTTAAATGCAGCAGTAGCTCATCTGTGTTGATACCTTATGGAGTTTCTCCAGCAACCTTAGCGTGGCAACAAAATAGTTCTCATAGAAAACAGGTACGAGCAGCGTCTTTCCTCCAGTCAGCATGAACACAACGATGCTTTTGTACATGTCAACCATCCTGGTGAACACGTTGCCATCCACAAAACACCACCAGTTATCTGCAGATAAAGACACAACAGATTTACAAAGGAAAAAGCACACTGTAACCCATTTTGACAACACTGGAATGAAACTAAATGCATTAAAACGAGTGTTTAGAGGTATTTAAGTATCAATATTTAAGTTGATAACGGTGTTTGAAATTACTAAATGTCTTTCAGTTTTAGAAAATATTTTTACATTTACATTCATAATCCCAGTCCAACAAGATACTTCACAATTCTCAAAGTAGACTGTCTTACATAATAAGTAATTTATGTATTTATAGTTTAGGTATCTTTAGGCTTCTACTTCTATACATTCACTTCACAAACATGTAGGATAATGATGCATTGAGAGGAGAGGTGTCAACTTGTAGGTGTGAGTGTTAGTGAGCATGTGTCTTTAAGCACCCTGGTAATTAATGTAAAGAATCAGGGCCAATATAGTATTTATTATCTTTATATGTAGATGTAGAGCAAAGCTGACTAGTATCCTGTTTTGGCCGGGAAACTACCGTATTTTACCCCTCTTTCCTGCCGTCTTCCATATTCTCCCGTAAATCTCACATATTATAATAAATGTATATTAAAAGAAAACAGTCTTGTTCCTCTCCAAACCGAACTCTGTCACTAGCGTGTGCTAAGTACCCACCAACGAGTAGTAGCGAGTTGTCATCTGTGATCACACAGACAATGACTTAAACACCCCAGGTTACATGAATGTGCTCATGTTGCTGAGAGAGTACAGATAAAAAGGTTTATGGTGAGATGTCACATGATGGCTTCGACATGGCCTGATGATCTGTGTTATAAGCTATGAGGTCATCTGGATGAAATAAAAAACGGCTTGTAGAGTGTGCATGCAAGTATGATACCCAATACTTTGCTGGGGTTGGCATCCAGCCGAAGGATGGCCATGGCAAACGGGATAGTGAGGCGAATGTAGTTCTTGGAGTCCTGCAGGGCCGGGTACTCTGACAAGATGAGGTAAATCCTCATGGCCTCAACATCAGGAGGGGAACGCGGCAGCTGAGGGATCAACAGACTCTCAAAACTCTTGCTGGTCTGGATAGACAGTTGGGCAGAGGAAGAGGGAGAGAGTCGGTATATTTATATCTTTAATTACATAGAAACAAGAGTCACTGTTGTGTACTGTCACAGTTGAAAGATACGAGCAAAAACAAATAAACAAGAGGATCTTATATGACACCATTTATTTCCATGATAACAAGGAAACAAGGAAGAAGTATCACTGAATAAATTTTGGGAGAGGCTTTTAGTGGTTTGGAATTTGGCATCTGTCTCTCCACAGATTACAACTCATGCTGTTTTAAGAAGCATGAACCAAACATTACTGAGCTAATGTAAGGGAATGACTCATGATCTGCCACATAACCAAATGTACTCGGAAAACAAGACAGTGTTTCATTTATTTTAAAATGTATAACAAGTAAGACGCCTGATCACATGTAATGTTTCACCTTTTTTTGCATTATGGGAAGAAAAAGCCAAACAGGAAGGTAATACAACTTTTACTAAGTATGAACTCAAGGAACACTCGAGGAATAAGACCGAATTGTGTAATATTCTGCTCTTTGTGTTTGAAAACTTTTTAGAATAAAAAGTTATGAAGTTTGAGTTAGGGGTTTTATTTCTTTGAGTGGCAACCTTTAATCCTGGGTTCATTTTTGAGAAAGGCTGTGTACATTTTGCTTCAACTCAAATTAGATTCATTTGGCTTCAAATATGTTGTTGTAAACCTGTGATGTTATAAAAAAAACTTACCTTGTTACAAAGAACATTAAGTTTTATTCAGTTATTTCAAACCCAGAAGACAAATAGCAACATTATTCATGAGGTTTCTGACACCTTGATGAAAGGGAGATTTTACATTTTTGGCTGAACTTAAAACTCTTTTTCAGTCTTCAGGAACTCTAAGAGAAATACCTGTGGTCTGCTCCATAACATGATATATTAGACACCCAGCTGGATGATCATGTTCTTAACTTTTGCCACATATCACTGGGAAAGCACTATACTGTTGGTGTATATTTGTTTTCTTTTTAAACAAGAGCAACAGCAAAATACAACATTAAGGTTTGGGGCTATAAAAGTTTAAAAAATGATAACCTGAAAGATAATTAAATAAGAGTTAAGTTCAGCTTTATAGATGAGATGACTAAATGAAGTAGGACCCAAAGCCTGAGACAAAACCTGTGTGATGATTTTGGTATCTATTTTCCGGAAAGGGGCACTCTTAAACATAAGAATATAACAAATATCATAGCATCCATGATCTTCATGTCTCTTTATTTTATTTTGATTAAGAAAGAGCAACAGTAGGAAGCATCATTTAGCGGTGCTACAATAAATGAAAACTGAGTTTGGGGATCAAAAATGAATTATACTGTCATTACTATGTAGTAATAATATTATAAATACACCATGAGTCAGTACCTGCTCCAAGAGTCCAGAGAAAGCTGGTTTGCTAAGCGTCTCAAATAGCATTCTGACAGAGTTGAGATCGATGCCTGGGATCTTTGGGTTGGTCTTGAAGTGTGCATCATCACTAGGGGGAAGGCAAACAAACATGAGTATATTTGGACCCTCTTAAATATCTCTTTGACCACTAACAGGGTAAAAATAGGTGACTGCTCAGATTCAGGAGCTTTATGGTAAAGCCTTGATATTAAGGGTGCATGTTACTTGAACAAAAAAGCAGTCTACTGAAACCCTGACATGTGGGAGGTCAGCTGTGAACTGAATCTACTGAATGGTAAACACTAACAGAGCAGAGCCATCCTGAAGGTATTTCAGTCAATCTCTATGAAGATCTTTACAGCCAGAGAGCTTGTGCCGTCTCCTGCACAAAGCCAACAAAACCCTCTGGACAGAGCTCAGCACCTATTTACGGTATCAGCCTTCACGTTCTGATAACATCACCTTTATTTAGTCATAATACAGATACATCACATCTGATACTGGGCGGACTGTTTGCCAAACAAGACCCACTGATGCAAACAGTATTCTGTGAGATTTAGCACTGACCCACAACATTCTGAGAACTCTGTGCTTTCAAAGAACCAGGTGGGCTGTTGTGGTCCCATATGAATTCAAGTGAACATGTAATAAAAGCTACGCAAAAAAAAAAGTGTCTCTAAGTTTTACTGAGGTATTACAGTAACTGTTCAGCACTGATGTAAAAGGAACATTTGTTTCAGTACTAGTCGCAGAATTGAGTACATCTTCACACTCACAGGGAGCTTTTTTCCACCCTCATGGTCACAGAACTCAATACATCCAACATGATAAGTATCTGCTGATGATTGCATCACTGCCCTTCACAGTGTTATGGTGAGAACAGTCAGTGACCATGCAGACAACATCTTTCTCAGCCCTGACCATCAACATAAGAAGAAGTGTGTGTGTGACCTGCATGTGGGTGCAGTGGGATCTCAGCTGGAACATTTCTAAGAGCACTAGCTTATCTATCACTCTATACATTTGGCCATGTCATTCATTGTGTGTTGTATAATACTCTATGTTTTCATTTTCTGTTTCATAATTCTTTTCAATCTACGCTTAATCCCACTGAAATTTACTTTAAATATCATACATGCTGAAATTCCTATTGTTAAACTTGTCTTTACTGTTAGCTTCCTTCAGCTAATCAATATCACGGGTTCAAGGGGAAAATTTCAAAACAGTTCACTTAGTGAAAAATTAATTTCTGTCATAAGATTTGATGATTAATTCATCATAAATCTGAACCTTAAAAAGTTAAATGTATGTATGGCTACTTAATAAATGCAGTGTAAGTGGAGAGAATGTATGACTTCAAAGCTAAATTGGATAATGTCTGATGATAACGTTAACTTGCCTTTGGTCCAAGAAGCTGGCGTTCCAACAAGCCGTGGAGGAGAGTTGGATTATGATGTCACTGTGAACAAAAATATCACATCAACAAGAACAGAAACAAAAAACCTGATATATAGTTTATTGGATGGAATCAGTGTGTTCGAGTACAGGAAAGTAAATCACAGAACTTTTCAAAGATCTGTCTTTATTGTTGAACTTACTTTGTGATGCTGGAATCTGGGCTGTACATCAGTTTTAACCTCCATGAGTCTAATCTTTCATACGTGATTGGGGAGAGGCTTTTACTGACGTTTATCACTCTGAAGTCTTCTGGGGGGACAAAACTCTACAGAGAGGAAGACAAACAGACACATGATGGCACAAATATTTGAAGATTGTTTGCATTCGTACTTCCTCAGAGCGTCACAGAGGTCTGTGTTGAGTCTCTACCCTCTATGTAGATAAAATAAATGAGCCACGCCTGAGGGCTGAATGTTTTTACTGTAGAAGTTGGTTGTTATGTCGTTATCAGAGCACATTCCTGACAATTTGTTGAAAATTTGTAGCAGACAACTGCTCTCCGTATAGGTTACTTCTGCATAGAGCCCATTTATGTCTTAGATGGAAGTGCCACCATGTGGTGGACACTGGAACTGGCTAAACAGGACCAAGGAAGGGTTTGAGGTTTAATATTCTCCATTTTTTTTAATCATCCAACACCCTGGTGTCCAGTCTGTGGTCAAATTTAAGAAATTAAAAAAAAAAACAGCATCCCTCCTTTTTTTCACTGACACACCAGTAAATTTGAACATTTTCTCTGTAGGTTTCTTTGATTGAAGGTGATTTTGAACTGAAGGTAAGAATATAAAGGGCTTTGATGAAATTAGTTAGTTTAGTTGTAAAAGTTTGACTGTAAGTTTTTAAAACACTAAATACTCAATTTTTAATGAAATACTATCAATTGTTTCTTTTTCTTTTACTTTTTTTGAATGACCTTTTTTTGTTTACATTTGTCAGGGTTGCCTTTGTGTTTAGAGTTCAGCACCGATGATTACTGTAAAACTTCAGAGATTTTTCCCACCGCATGTTCTCCGACTTTGGATTAAGCAGTGTGTGTGCAGTACAATAAAATTATTCAATTACGCTCATTAGTTTGCTTTGAAAAGACAAGTGATGGAAAAAAACAAGACTAAAAGAAGAACCAGTTAAAGACATATTTAAAGCTAGCAGACTGAGAGACAGTAAGGCTAGAACAGAGGAGGTAATAAAGCTAAATCACTTACCTGTTCAGTGGAGTACAATAAGAAACTGTGGTCCCCTCCACAGATGATTTTGGTCATTGTGTAATGCTTTAATTCTAATTAAGAGAAGAAACAAAGAACAAAATATGTCAAGCTTATAACAGATCTTCATATGACCAGCACACCAACTGATACTATCAGAATATGTCACATTCAACTGAGCTCGGAGTTTTACAACAACCTAAACTTGGGTAGATATTAGCTGGTTTGTTTGGTTGATTGAGTAAAACGTTTTCTATTCTATGAGCGCTGTACATCAGTAAGTGGTATAGTAAGGAAAATAGAATATGCAATAGCCCAGTCTATCATGAAAGCCATTTAAAATGCTTGTTTTTAAGTGACATCAGAGTCTTCTGCTGACCTGTTTTGTTGGCATTCCCAGTTAGGAAACTGGCCTTAACAGGAAATGGACTTCTAGCATCCCCCATCATCCCTGTGCCCAGCTGACCGTGGCTGTTGCAACCAAATGCATACACCACACCAGTGGACGGCACAAACGCGAGTGTGTGGTGCCTGAAAGAGATTAAAATAACATTGTGGATATAAAGAAACAAAGGCAGCTTGTTTAGATTTTTATATATTAGCTGTTTGTTAATGCTGTGTCAGAAAAGGTAAGACTTTAGCTTATGTTGGGATGTTATATGTAATTACATTTCTAGAATGAGTGTTGAAAGATATTCAAGAAAAATAAACATCTTAACATATAAAGCTTTGTCAATCCAACTATGTTAATTGCTGAGACAAAATAAGGGCATTAAAGTGGGCACATCACTTGACCTTGATTCTGATCTTGTTCTCATGTATGTCAATGAGATGGAAAAATCTTTATGTAATTAAGTTAATGTAATTCAAAACAACAACCCCTGTTAATCCAGCTTCAAAAAGCACCATGAAGATAATTTTGAAAAACTTTCTGCCACACTTAAAGCTTTAAAGAGATAGACTTGAGCAGAATCATTTCAGATGGAGTGACTCTGACAATGGGTACCTGCCACAGCTGATCTGAGAAACCTCAGTGCCCATAAGCTCCAGCACTCTTCTGGGCAGAAGTTCATTATTGGTGGAGCCATGACCCAGCTGACCCCAGGAGCCATCACCAAATGTAAACAAACCACCATCCTGAAAAAGAGACAACGCAATTTTTTTCTTGTTTCTATTGTCTGAGAGCGATTCTCTGCACTGAGGAGCATACAGTCAAAACAACAAAAACAGCAGGGAGGATAATCATAATAAGATTTAGGGTTACATAAGACTTAGATTTCATTTGTGGAATTAAGGTCATATTAACTGATATATTCACATGGAACACGAGGCAAGTCTTTACACAGCAAGACAAAAAAAGCTTAAAAAAACTGAGCAACAACTAAAAACCTTACCTGGCCATCAAACATTTAAAAGTATGCAATCAGGAGCAGCCTGATAAAACAACTTTATTTAGGTCTTTAGCTGCTGAGCACTGATTGGCAGTCATCTATTAATATACCTTTGTCAGGGCTGCAGTGTGTTCATCCCCACAGCTGATGTGAACAACTTTTTGAGATCTCAAGAACTTGATGTGGCATGGCACAGCACGGTCTGGGGACAAGAACAAGAGAGCAAAGTTCACGCTGTTCCACAACGCTACCAATCTGGCAGAAGTTCAACTATGCAGTACAATACAACCATTTCAAAAACAGGGGTGGTTCCTCCTTCAACATGGCCAACTGTAACCACTCATAACACACTTTTAAAATACAAATAACAGCAGGTAAAATACTTAATCCACTGAAGCTTGTTTATATGCAGACACTGATTTTAAGTTTTAAATTATATATTTTAAAAATGTCACGTGAAAATAACAATACATCCTGTAAGTGTTTAAAAAAACAGTGTCAAGCTGCCTATTACCTTGTTTGTCATTGAGACCCAGTTGTCCAGCTTTGTTCTTTCCCCATCCAAAAACAGCTCCGGACAGTGAGAGAGCAAAGCTGTGGTCTCCCCCGGCGGTTATCTGTGCCAAAGGAATCCCTGCCAGAGACTTGAGGGGATGAGGGAACAGCTTGCTGGACTCTCCTTTCCCCAGACCAAGCTGACCGCTGGTGTTCTGGCCCCACGTAAACAGCTGGCCATCTGGGAGGAAAAAAAGCAGTTAGCTGTGCATCTACAATGTTCACCACTGTCAGAGGCAAAAATGTTAAATGTGTTTGGTTAAGTTGTGCTGTCTGTAAAATTGTAATGAATTCCATCCCCAGATATAAAAAGGATCTAGATCTCTCTTGGAGAATCCTTTTTCCTGTCACTCTACATCGTTACTAAATAAAGGCAAGATGGTACAAAAATATATCTTCAAGAGATGAGAGACCGAGAAATGTTCAAACATTGTCACTGCACTTGAATTGCTCCTGCAGATGTGCTTCGAGGTCCTCTCAAATGGATGAAATATTTCCAGAAACGAGCTGATACTCTGCAGATCTGTCTGTTAGTACGGTGTTTCAAAAAAACATTTTATGTGTGACTTGCAGTGTTTGTGGTGAATGTTTGAGTGATAAGTGTCTCTGTTTATCACTCTCAATCCATGGTGAAAATACACCAGTTGTCATAGTAACCAAAAAGAAGAAATAAAAATAATCAGCTGTGCAGAAAAGATAAGAAAAGAGTTTCTTATCTTTTCTGCACAGCTGATTGTTACCAGTTAACATGATTGTAAGAGGATAAAGATGAAAATGTAGGCAGTCATTGGTCTGACCTGGGTGTAAACCAAATTAATACAGGATCTAAGCAGTGCTTTATGCAACGCAGAGTTTATTTGCCTCTCACCTCTTGAAAGTGCAATGCAGTGCTGATTCCCACACATTACTTGAGAAATCCGGTGGTCACACAACCTTTTGACCAACCTAGAAAAAAAACAAAAACCCTTAATCAGTCCAGATGACAATACTCGAAACAGGAGTTTTATGAAATCATGTCTTTTTTACTAAAAAGTCACATCTAAGCTCTACAAAATTGTAGAGAAACCACAAAATGGCCTAAACGAAACTCCAGGTCTTTTTCTTGTGATAAGATGTCAGGGGCATTCAACAATAACATTGAATTACGACTCAATCTCAAGGAGTGTCTGAATAAAATCAATCTTTTATTTTTGTTGACACATGAAAATTTATGTTTATTCACTGAAAGATTAACTGTAAGAAAATGATATACAGTCATTTTCCTTCATAACTACCTTTATCCCGTCTCATCAGTTCACTACATCCTAACCTTTAATTTATTCATTTTCTTCAGGAGTCCACTGCCTGCTCACCTTGGTATTCGTACAGCCATCTCCGAGGTCCCCAGGCCCAGCTGGCCCCCTTCACCAGCCCCCCAAGCAAACACCTGACCCTGCTCATTCACTGCCATGGAGTGGGTTCGACCACACGACACCATTGTGATCTTCTGAGTATCCAGAGCTCCTACCAACTCTGTGGAGAGAAGAGAAATGTTGATCAAGAAACATATATATTTATTTTATATATACAGTGTTTATGTCTGTCACTCAACATTCTTTTGCATTCCTATACATTGCACCATTGTCTTAAATATATTGTCGACATAAATCAAATATTCGATGCCTAATGTGGGCTTGTGTCACAATTTGCCGAGGGTAAACTTACCTGGTGATATCCCTGTTTTATCATGGCCAAGCTGTCCACAGCTGTTGGAGCCACACGTGTACACACTCCCATCATGCAACAGGAACATCGAGTGTTGCCCTCCGCAGGCGACCTCCCTCAGCCCCCTGCCTCTGAACACAGGACAGATCCTGGGCTCAAACATGGGGTTCCTCTCCACACCGATACCCAGCTGTCCATCCTTTGCATTCCCCCAACACAGCATGCTGACGAGGGGAGGGGGGATAAGAACCAGTCTGAAGGGGCAGAGACACTGATGCCAGATGGAGGGAGACAAAAACTATTCAGGCTTGAGAGCAGCCCCGCTTTCTCCTCTTCATATAAATTCCAACCCTGAGAGAAAGAAAATATGGGATATCAGTCATAATTCAGAATTAACAAAAGATATTGGGCATTACACTCTTTGGGAACTCTCAGTGCATTTGAGCAAGGATGGGTTTCAGGATATTTCTGACTGTGTGTGTGAATGATGTAAGCTGTATGTCAGAGGAACAGACAGTGTGTTTAAATAAACACTGCCTGTGTAATCCCAGCTTAAGCAGCTCCTAGCACTGCTGCCTTGGTGTCATCTCCATGTGTGCAGCACATGCATTTGACAAAGTTGGCCAGGGTTTGTTAAGAAACGGACAACAAATATGATTTTAAAAAAAGTGTTGAATTAGAAGGCAAATACATTTATTCTTATTAGGACCGTCACAACTCCACATTATAGTTTGCTCTCTGTCTGAATCCCAATCAGCTTTGTTCTCATAGATGGTTTCATATACAAGAAGTTTGTCTTGGTGTTTTGGTTCAAAAACCATGGGAAATAAACAGTTAATCTCCAGTCAACAAGGGACTGAACAGAAAAGGATTTTTTTTTTAATACAAAAAATAAAACTAAAAAATATACTCAGGCGACACAATTTAAGTGATGTACATTTGAAGAGAAACGTGTTGGATGGGGTTGGATGCAAATTTCTTAAACTAAATAATATGATAATAAAAATGTAAATTTAACACTTAACTCTTGGAGAGTTGATGCATGGTCTGATTTAGCACCTTAACGTTATATTGTCTCTTTTACTCACACTTAACTGCTAATTTGTGAAGAAGATATACCTCAAATAATCAAGAGTTAGTTGCTACGAACACTAGGAATCTTAACTGCCTGACAGAAACAATTTAAGCTCAAACTATTCTTTATTTATAATTGATACAAAATTCATCCACATTGCTGGTTACAATGGACAGTATCTGTTTTTTTCAAAGGAATAAGCTCTGTATTTTGATTCTTTAGAATAAATGTTTGTTTCTCTGACCTCTATAAAAACATGTTTGACATCTCCCTACTCAAAAAATAAGTTTAAGATGCCAACTTGATATCAGTGTTGTAACAGTAAAATGATGCTGAACAGGTCCACAAGAAAACAAACTCCAGCCTCTGAAATGCTCCACAGGTCAGTAAATACTGAATATGACTGCTGTCATGAGAAAGAATATGCTCTTATATGTTTATCTGAGGCTGTGTACGAAATTAATCACTCAATAACCCCTAACCTCCATATGGGATTTCACTATATAGTAGACTATGTAGTGAACTCAATCACCGGAGGTTTCGGACACTACATGTCATGACACAATGCATGACGGGATGCCCACCACTGGTGAGTGACCATCGGATGGTCACTACATTTCACAATGCTTTATGGGAAATTTTGAGTCGCATATACAGGGCACTGGAATTGATCACTGAGGTTTCGGACACCCCTCAAAGTGGCGCTAACCCCCATGTAGTCACCTATATAAGGGTTAGGGATCCATTTCAGACACAGCCTGAGTCTACCAATAAATCTGACAATACTATGGAAGCAAATGTGTATCATAATTCAAATGAAAATAGATTAACAGAAATGTATTAGCATTTTCAGATTGACATTTTGAATTGAGTTTTGGTACTTATTTGCTGGGGCATATTATGAAAATTAAATCTCAAATGGCTTTTTCTTTTACATCTGAATTAAGTTACACAATGATCAGTTTTGAAAAAGAAAAAACAATTTCAGTTCCGATTATTTCATTTTAGTTTTATTTATGAGTCAAGAATTGCAGGTATATTCTGAAATGTACTATACGGGGTATACTGGGAGAGTGCAAAAACATATTCTAAGAGTGAGACGACTACAACTGAACCAGAAATGATTAACCCTTTCAGCTTCTTGTGTTATCTTGCTGTAAACGTCCTAAACTTGGTTTGAGGTTCCAGTCTGAATCAATGTTTATCCATGTTATCTCAGGGACTGTCGATCACTGCAACAAAAACAACCAAAATGTAAAGAGTCCCGTAGAGCTCGTTGTTGGTTTTCAGTGTTTATGAAAGACTTGTACGTCCATAGTCAGCCTCATAATCTGTAAGGACGTGTAATAAAGGTTACGTTAGCTTGCTGCTGCTGAGGATAGTGAAGAGGAGTGGTCTGGGTCAGCGTTGAGTTTGCATGTTTGACATTGTTCTCAAGCTTAGGTAAATATCATCATGTTGGCTGAAAGGTTTATTAGCAAAAGTTAAACACGTCTTAGTAGACAACCAGATAAAGTTAATAGTTCGCTAACGTTAGCTAATCAACCTTAGCAAGCTGCAACATCGCTGTTAGTTGTCAATAGAAACAAACAAACTTAATTTTTTTGAAACGAACAATGTCTTTATCATAAGTACAATGGTTTTGAAATGGAGTTGGTCAATAAAAAAATAAAATGTGGTATTTACCTGTACAGATGCATTCTGATATTGGGCGTTTGGTTTCGGTTCAGCTGAGAAATCCAGCTAGGAAGCGCCCCCGCTACGTCACTGGACGTCAGACACAGGAAGAGAAGAAGGCTTGTGATTGGTCCGCCGATCAGGAAGTGGAAGTAATACAAACAAATTCTGTGACCTGTCGTGTTTGCTTAATATCGAATAATTAAAACTCCCTCTCTGGGGTAAACATTTCTACTCTATGATTCTATGTTATCACATCCAAAAAATAAGTGCAAATACGGAACTACAAGCTTTGAATGTCGTGAATCTGAATGCTGTAGGCTGTATATACTATTCTATATAGAGTCTGTGTTTTGGACTGCTGTCAGATGTGATAGCAGAGGCATGGATGTCACAGATATCGGTAGATTGAGCAATAGGGGAGAGTGGGGTAAGTTTAGCCACCCCCTGTTGCTTGGAAATGGTAAAAGAAACTGATCATGTGACCAAATATTAAGGAGATTGGCATCAATTCATGGAGTCTGTGAAGGTTAGAAGCACATGGGTGAAGGGGTTAGACATTTATTTCCAAAAAATCATTTTTCACTCTTGAAAGTGAATTTAGTCCGTCATAAGTTTTGTTAGAATTGTGTTCAGACCAAAAAAGATCATTTTTAATTTGTTTTATCATCAATTGTGGTATCTATGAGCTACAACATGAGGTCAAAAACCTAGCATAAAAGTCCACCATTTTAGTTTAGAGGACTAATAAAGTCAAAAAAGTAGTTCTGGGGTAAATTGAGCCAGTGGTTCAACTGAGAAAGTAAAGGAGTCTGATGAGAGGATCAGAGTTTCAGTTCAGATTGTTGAAATGTGTTACTTTTTCTTTTTTCAAAAATACAGCTGCTAATGTTCTGAATCACTTAAAGACATTCTTGTGTTAAAATGGTTTTTTACAAAACAGCTTTTTAGCAGTTATATGCAATAATAATAAAAATAATTATTGCACCAGTTGAATAGCATATAATAGATAAAAATACACATGAATGTGAAGAAGTGACTGTTATTTAGTGAGAGAGAAGGTGAGGGAGGGCTGGGGTGGAGAATGGGGGGTTGTAGGGATACGGCTCAACTTACTCCGCTCCTATGGTCAACTTACCCCATACACGGGGTAAGTTAACCATAGGAGACCACTTTTTTTGGCATGCTGTATTATCAAGACAGTTATGTTTACACTCATTCTGTTGGTTTGCAGGGATGCAAAACATCTTGAAATATATGCAGATACACTTGTTAGAGACAAAACTATGATTGCCTTGATGTAGTGAAAAATGGCTCATCTTACCCCACTCTCCCCCATCTGACATAAGAGATGTCCACTGAAATCAATATCTATTGATCTATTTCTCACTCATCAGTTCTCTTTAGTCAGAAGCTTCAGGATTGCTATCAGTTGCCACAAACAAAAAGGGACACCTTGATGTTGACACTTTTAAGAGTGTCAAATTGTAACATGCTGCTAAAATAAGTAAATATGAAAAACCTGTAAACAAGTTCAGTAAAGTCAGACATTTCATTTTGAAGGTAGCTACCAATAAATGTCAGCAGCTACAAGGTGCTGATCTGCAAATGTGTTGGTCCACCTAGTTCAGTCTGAAGCTCCAGACCACAAGACCTTTCTTTGACATGGTGATAACACTACTCCGCGGTATGATTATAAATGGTACGAAATAGCACAGTCATATTGCCAAGTTTTACTACATGTCCAGTTCATTTTGGAAATAAACAATTAAACATGGTCCTGTCTGGACTGAAAATCAGTCACACCATGCAAGCCACACAGTAGACTACTGGATCCATTCTCCAACACTAGAAAAGTAAAGCTTGTAAGAATTGGTTCTTCAGATGACTGCTCAAAGACAACCAGGGAAGTCTTCAGTTCTCAAATATAAATTTTATTAAGGTCACATGAAAAGTATTACAGCACTGGACTCCCAATGATAGAGCTCTGAGGAGCTCCATCACAACGAGTGCCCAATTTCGGGTACAATTCACATTTATCTTCTTGGGCAGGGATTGCCCTGGACAGAGGTTAGAAGTAAACACAACCAAGTATTATTGACCAGTTATCTCTGATGTGAACAGGCCAACCACTGTTCACACAGTCTTACTAAAATGTGCTATGAAATATGTGTGTGTTGTTGACCTTGAGGCGTGTAACTACTGTAGCAAACCTGTCCAACAGAACAAAGAGAGCCTTGTGGATCATCAGGTTCCTCCTTATCAAGCTGGACGTCACACTGTCCTGATTAAATAAAAACATCCTATGAGTTACATGAAAACATTCAGTAAGTTGCATTACTTCAGTGAAAAAGTACAGATCTAACCTTAGCAAAGTAGAGGACAATTACAACAAACTCAACAAGGAAAGGCCCTTGCCATATCTTAACTTGCTCAATATAAGGCATCAGTGCTGACCACCACAGCAAAGTGCAACTTTGCAGGTCTCACCAATTAAATTTATCTGTTTTCTAGATTTATCTATTTTCCATTGGTTAGTTGATTCAAAAGTATTGCCAAGACAGCAGTGATAGAACACCAGAACAACCCCAAACATATTCCCTCTGCCTACACAGCCTATTTCTCTTGTCACTCCTCCTTGTTTTTATCGATGAATCATTTGTGGCGACAGATTTTCTTCACTTTAAGCAGCCAAAAAGTTGAGAGAAAAATAGGTCAAACGAACACCTAGTTTTCATTTCAGGCCTGTAAAGGACTCTCTCCTGCCGTCCTGATTACGACCCCTATAGTTGCACACTTTATGTTTACATTAGTGACCTTACAATCTACAAATGCACTTATGGAGCCAACCAAACGAAAACAAGGGTCCTAATAATATGGTCCTGAGACTGAAGCCTCTGGGTCAGCAGACACATCCATACTTCATTAGTTCAGTGCCCTACAGTCATAAATACCAGAGGGGTCAAGTCGCCATTTGACTGAGGGTAAATACCTGAACAGCAAGACTGGCCATTCAGTAAGTAGGTCAAACAGTTGATTATACATCCAATTGAAATATTAATTATTCGTTGAACTCGCGGTAACTGAGAGAAATCAAGATTTATATAAAAAAGGAAGAGCGTAAAAGTATTTTTTCACTCTGTATGAATACTTTACAAAAAATAAACGCTTCTGCGATTGGCTGCCTCATGGAAAGGTTAATGGCTCATGATAGGTGTTTATAGCTGTCAATCATCTATGCTTGATCCAACCATACGAACAGGATAGATGGGTGTTAAAGAAGGCGTACATGTTTCGTGCATTCTGATTGGCGCGGTCATTTCACAGGCCTTGTTTGATAACACAGAGAGGACCCACAACATTGAGACAGAAGACGAGGGCGGCCGTCTTCAATGAGACTCCAGCGGGTTCTACCGAGAACCTTTTGAAGGATTGAAACTTACAGAAGGGAAATTTTAAAACACTAAAGGTAGGGTTTTTAGCTAACACATAACTAAAGATGTAAGTCGGTTGTCTCTGTATTGCTACGAAACTGCGAAATCCTAGCCAATGCTAGCTAGCTAGTCCGCTAAAGATAGCATTTATGTTGTTTGCTAGCTAGTCGGCGCTAACACAGAATATGAAATAGGCGCTAAATGGACCTTTTGTATTAACATGATTCGTAAATCTGCACGTTAATTAAGGACATTGAACTACGTGACCGATTATGTTTACAGTTCAGTCATGGGTTGTTGTTTTTTTTTTGTCAGCGTAAGCAGCTGATTTTCTAGTTGTTAAGAGTTGCATCATGCGATTCATGGTTTCACTGATACTGATTGTCCCCAGAAAACGCATTGATTTAACGCTGCTTCTATTTGTCTCTATACCTGAAGGTCAACAGACTTTTATTTTGACAGCGTAATGAAACGAGTTATGACATATGAGACATGTTTGCTAATCACGTGTTTACACACATTGCATCTGTAGAGTTTGTAAACACGTGATTTCATTTGTTACCAACAACTCCATGTGAGAACAAACTGCATAGTTCGCATCGTAAAACAATTGTTTGTTTTGTTTTTTAATGATCGGCTAGACATAAGACACCAATGCCAAAAGCAGTACATGTTTTATAATCGATGACCAAAAAATAGTCACACCCTTTTTAGAAAATAGTTTTCCTTTCTCTCAGTCTGATTAATGACTTTTTTTCGGCACTTCTCCTGCTTTATATTGCAAAAATGCATCCATTTTTTGTAAAAAAAAAAAAAAAAAAATCCTAACAAAATGTATTTTTAACGGATATATTATAATTAAGTATGTTTTTTTTTCATAAGCACACTTGCATACACCATAGGTAGAAATAAGTATTAAATATTTCCCCTTTTGTTGTGGTTACACCACTTGACATTTTCAAGGGAAATCCATCCTTCATTTATTTTGTAAAAAAGTTTAAATGATATGTGAAATTATATGAAACCAAGAGAGATACAAAATATACATTTTTTCAAACCTAACGCAAACTTTGAAAACAATTTATTAAAACAGTTTTGAATTACTCAAGATGCAAACCCTTATCTGTCACTGACCCTTATTTTGAGAGATGTTTTAAAGTGTTTTTTTTTTTTGTTTTGTTTTTTTATCTTGAACAAACACATGTTTAGGTTAATATGTTGGATATTAGCATCAAGCAAAGATAAAGTTTGAACTTGGAGGTAAATGTGTGCCAGCGATGTCTCAGGATACGACTTAAGACTGCTTTGAACAGCTTGCTTGAAGGATAAATAAGAAGTAAATAAGATTCACATGAGATTAACTTAAACTGGACCATCACAAGTAGGTAGAACTCCATGAAAAAAAGTGTTATCTAAGAATCCGTCCTATGCTGCAAGGGATATTTTTTGTCCCCTTGTGAATCTGCCATGCCACATTTGGGATCTAAAACTTATTATTATTTTTCATATGTATAGAAAAACAATGGTTAACTTGGTAACAACAACTTTGTAGCATAGCAACAGTGGGGAGGGGGGGTAAGTGCCACAAAGAGACAGCAGCTGAAATCCGGCAAATTTAGGACAGAGGCGAAACTGAGGGGTTTCAAAGGCATTGTGAGTAAATAAAAAACACCTAAGCTCTAACTCATATAAAACTATAACCAAAACTATCAAAAGGACAACATGAAGCTTGAAATTGAGCATAATATCCCCTCCTCAAGCTCTACTTACTTAGCTTTTCAATACTTGACCACAGATTTAAGTTAGAAATTAGCATCATCTGAATCTGCTGAACTGTTTTGTTTGTTTTTTATTTAAGGAATTTCAAACATTTTCTATTCCTTAATGTAGTTCAGAGTCACTCTTTATTATTCATAAAGAATTGCATCAGTATTAAATAAGTGAAAAATATCTAACAAATTGGTTTTGTGAACCTGTCTTCATCAAACAGAGTGTTTTGATATACTAATTCAGCTCCCCATTTTGTCTTTAGTGTCTGGACTGAAAACTCCACAGCATCCATTGCTTCTCTAGTGTTTGTGCTGTCAAAGGGATGTCAGCAGCCTGTCTCGTGCGCCTGGCAAGGTGCAGTGGTCCTTATGTTGGTCGCAGTGGTCTTTTCCCTTTCAGCATTTCTCCACACTTAGTCCAGCAAGACAGCCATCTCCAGTTCACACTATTTAAGAGAAAACTTTACAGCCCTTCAGGCAAATTGAACAGCAACACACGCTTTGATGCAGACAGCAGTGGCCGCCCCACTACTTGGGATTCATTTGGCATCTGGGACAATCGCATCGATGAACCTATCCTGCTGCCCCCTAGCATTCGCTATGGCACACTGATTCCAAAGGTCAGTTTATCAAAAGTAGGCTGTGCTTCACTCATTGGTCAACGCAAGGAGAACGAAGACCGCTACCAGGTCTCCCAACTGACTGACAACATCCTCTACTTTGCTGTGTTTGATGGACATGGAGGACCAGAAGCAGCTGATTATTGTGAAAAATACATGGAAAAAATCATCAAGTAAGACACGCATCATGTCTTTTTCAGATACTTTAAAAGGAAGTTTAATGTTTGTTTGTTTATTTTTTATATGGTTTTGGTGTCTGAAAATAATCGATGACTTCACAAAAGGGGAACAGAGCAGATACACTTATGTATAAAGTCTCTTATCTGTTGTTTCAGGGACCTTGTGGCAGAGGAATCCAACATGGAGCTAGTTTTAACAAGAGCTTTCCTTGAAGTAGACAAAGCCTTAGCAAAGCACTTACACTTCATCCCCAAAGGTAGGTTCTCCCATGTCACATGATCATGTATATACTTTGTATATATATATATTTATTTATATAAACGTGTGTTTATATGCTATAAAACACCCTCACTTTTCTCTTTTAAAAACTCATTTACTCATTCTCAGGCTTTGAAGCCTTGGATTTCCCACTGACATAACCCGAACACTCTTTGATAGAGGTCTGTCATTTAACAAGAGTTACTGAATAACTGCTGGAAAATTAACAAGCTACAAGTAGAGCAAACGCTAGTGCCATTCTGCCTGCATTTACACATACAGAGTGGGGACAAATTAAAGGAAAAATCTGAATACATATGTGAAGAAATTAAGCTCAAATTCATCTTTGAACCATATGATATGGTCTTTACTCAGCTAAACACATTTGTGAGCCTGTGTATCAGGGCATGAGACAGCACACCCGAATAAGGAAATACCTTTTAACAAAGGTCCAGGAACTTGTGTCGTTCATACCAGCCGACACTGAACCAACGTTTTTCTAAGACACACAATGTTTATATTCCTTTAGTTTGTCACCCACCTGTTTGTATTTTATCAAAAGTTATGGATTGTTTTTAGCTTCGCAAAGCAACAAAGAAGAGTTACTTCAGCACCCTCAAACAAATTGGTACATTATAAATCGTGTGGTTTACATGTTTCTCCATCAGTCATGATACAGACTTTACAGATTCGCTCTATTTTGCTCAGTTTAATGTCCAATACCTTTTTGGTCATTTAAAAGCTAGTAAACATCTTATGTGGCCGTGTATCGACCACGCTGTGTGAAATGTCCCAATATGCCTGTGTGTGTGTGTGCATGTTATCTACGGCAGCTGCTGACCCAGCTAAGAGCTGGAGGCCCTTGGCACCAATGTGGATGGCGAGAGGCTAAATTTTGAAGGAGAGTCCAGCGGGTCCTAAATCCTGGACTACTGGAAGGTTCCCTATCTTTCTCTGACTCCTCTCACTTCTTTCTCTCTCTTTCTTCCCTTCTCTTCCACGTGTATGCTAATCTTTTTGTAAGACAGTGCTTATGTTTGACAAGTTGCAAGATGTACATTGTCTTTGGCAGATCTAGCACACGAGATGCAGTATGTTTACAGTTATAACAGGAAGGATTCAATTTGAGTTAATCAGCAATTTGCAAATATTTCACTTTTTAAACCAGATGCCGAGTAAACTGTTCTGGGGAGATATCATCGTCACCCAGCAGGGAGAACGGCTTCGAAGAGAGTGCTTAAAGCAGATCTAAATAAACAGTCAACAGAGCTGAACAAACAAAAAAAGGATTGATGACTGTAGGTCATGAAATTTCAAAAAAGAAAACATAAACAAGTGCAAACACAAATGTGTTGCTCAGATGAAGACCAAAATTTAAAACCACTAGTTTGAATAAAATTGAATTTTTTTTTTTATTTTTATAGAGGATTTATGTGTGCATTAGGGATAACACAGGAAAATCATCAGGAAAAATGAGTTTTGGCAATAAAAAAAGATAATTTTCAACATTCATTTTCTCTCTCTCAGAAAAGCTTCTCTGTGTCAGTAGCCGGTGAAGTACTAAAAGAGGCTCAACAACATTTACATCCAAACACCTACTAGAGTTAGGTGGAGTAATTTCAGAGCAGCTTAGATACACCATATCACCTTACATATGCTATGGCTTAGACCCTGCATAGATTGCACAAGTATGAATCAGACTGTAAATTTAACCCTGCTGTAAAAATGCTCTGGACCTTAATTCTGTGCTGCAACAGTTCAACCTGCATGTGTGACTGCCTCCTCTGTTGTTTACTGTGTAATCTCTAGCTTGCTCTTAAGTCAACTTCATGACCCCCTCCCCCTTGTGTATGTATGTGAGAGTGTGAGACCCCCATGAGGTTGTTGTGAACACTGTGGACAGTGACATTGTGTACTGTCCTCTTTTGGTGTCTGGTTCCACCTCTGATGTTTCCTCTAATGTCTCTGTAGTATCCGGGGTGAATGCAGGAACCACTGCCACTGTGGCTCTGCTGAGGGATGGGATTGAACTGGTGGTGGCCAGTGTGGGAGACAGCCGTGCCATGCTATGCCGTAAGGGCAAAGCTCTTAAACTCACCATCGACCACACTCCTGAGAGGAAGGATGAGAAAGAGAGGTACACCAGTGTTGTCTGTAAAGAGATAGTTTTGTATTTGACAAAACAAATCACTGAGATATGGGGAGGGAGGACAACGGTTCCCACAGATGTCAGAGACATAAGGATGACATTTGATGGATTTTGTTTGGGCTGTGTTTGAGCTTTGGAGTACAACTAACCATGACATCCCAGGGCTTGACACTCACTTTTTTTTTAACTTAGGAGCACATGTACTCCTAAGTTTAAAAAAGTAAGGAGCACACAAAGAACTTTATGGGCACAATGAAAATCGATCAAATAATGTGTGTCTTATTGGTGGATATGTCACATATGTCACATGACATGGAGGCCATTGAAGTAAATGTTCAAAATTTGCCTTTAAATGTAACACAAATTTTTTTAGAGGACAAATTAGGGAAATAAAGAGGTGTGTCTTATTGGTGGACAGAAGTACTACCAAGTACTACTATTACTGGTCATACGACATGGAAGCTATTGAAGGAAAACAGCCTTTTTTGAGAATATCAACGATAATTTATTGATGGTCCCTTATCCAAGACCTGATGTTGACAACGACGGTGCCGGGTAGATTTAACCGCACTGCTCTTGCCATTCCTGGTCATGGAGAGTGGGAAGACGCCAGTAGATCCACAGTGAATGTCTGTCAGATATCCAACCTAAAACTAACTTCATCGTGGTATTTACATGAAAAACATTTGATGCTTCGGCTGATTTTTTTTTTGTGCAGATGTGCCCCTAAATACATTTTACAATTGGCACACATCTATTTTTAGTCGCACATGCGAGTGAAACGGTCACACTTTCGAGCCCTGCATCCTGAGTGCCTCTCAAATAAAGAAACCTGTCATCAGTTCTTTCTTTTCGAAGCACAGTTGCATTGTCAGCAGATGGGGTTGTTTATGCAGTTATGAGAGGGAAATTTGTATCATTATTGCAGAAATCACCACAAGGATCCCTGACATCAATGAAGCAATTCTCTGTGTCTTTTCTGCCTCTTCACCTGTCTCAAGGGTAAAGAGAAGTGGGGGTTATATCACCTGGAATAGTCTTGGGCAGCCGAATGTCAATGGGAGGTTGGCCATGACTCGCAGCATTGGAGACTTTGACCTGAAGAACATGGGAGTTATCTCAGAGCCTGAAACCAAGAGAATAACGGTAAGGATATAAAAATTTAGTTCAAAACTGAAGCAAATATTCCACAGTTGTCCACTCTGTGTTTTAATCAATACAACAGCTATGTTAATCTTACCATATGTGTGTCTATTGAATTAGTAATATGTAGTTTTCTTATTGATAATGTTTTCAAATATTGTTTTGTTTTGCTTTGGTTCAGTTGCACCATGCCCACGATTCGTTCCTGGCGTTGACCACAGATGGCGTGAACTTCATCATGAACAGCCAGGAGATCTGCAACATCATCAACCAGTGCCCTGACCCCAAGGAGGCAGCTCAGAGAATCTCTGATCAGGTATGATTTAATCGCTGGTCATTAATATTGAGTTTCTCATGGCAAAACCACACGTTCAAGTGGAGAATGAGATTCTGATTCAAATATTTGTGGGTTAGGAGGTTGATTTTGTAAGACAAACACGCTCAACTCTCAGTTTAAAAGAAAATCCATTTGATTCAGGCTAGCAATTTTCAGACAGTCTGACAGACCAGCCCAATGGTTATACAGGCATTATTCATTTTGGGAAGAAATTCAGAGTGCACCCATGGACAGGGCTGAAACTCAGAGACAGAGTAGGACTATTAAGCACTTTATTATGCAACTCTTTTCATTTCACTTCACTTTGGGGTAGTTCGGCACCATGAATAAGGAGAAACATCCAGGAGGAGATAGATGCAATTCAGTCTTAGAGGGTGTCACATTGTGTCCAAATGTTGTGTGAGCTCTGTTGACAAGAGCTAGTAAGCAAACCTTCATACGTTCATCTGATAAATATGGATCTCTTCTCTTCCAGGCTCTTCACTATGGGTCAGAGGACAACAGCACAATTATTGTGGTGCCTTTCGGGGCTTGGGGTAAACACGAAAGTTCAGACGCAAATTTTTCCTTCAGCAGAAGTTTTGTGTCCAGTGGTCGCTGGGCATAGCCAGCAGGATGCTGAATGAAATGGTTCTGCAGACCATTGTGTGTGCAATACAATCGAACAAGAGTGCTCTAAAATGTTATCCAGATGTTATTTTTAGTAGCATATTTATTAGTCTCTGTGGGTTGAGGGTAAATTTAGGATATGCACTAAATGAAAAACATCCTCTGTAAAGGGTTTTATCTTCTAGAATGCCAATGATCTTACATGTGCTAAAGCTGACAAGTATTTGAATGGCAGGCAAGCAAACAGTCACTCTGTTAATATGTTGTGTTAGCAAAAGTGTTGGACTGTCTGCTGTTCAGATTTTAATCTTAAGCTTTTCAGCTCCTCAAAATTCTCAAGTCGACACTTAAACATGACTTGGAGAAGTTGTATTCAAAAGGTATATCTGGATTTTACCAGTTTTGTCAAGCCTGCAGTCTGAGATTATGTTTTTGATCATTTTCAGTGTAAACAGTTGGAATGAAAGCAAAGATTTAAGTGGGAAAACACTACAATTCATCAAATGAGTGGAACAAGTGGAACACTCGGATGAAACTACAAAATCCACCTTCATGTAAATGGAGCATCAAGTAAGCAGCTTTAATATTAAGTATAACAATAAGTGAACAGTTTGTGGCCATCGCTTCAAGAGTCTTCACTTATACTCACAGTTCAGTTAGCACCATGTAGTGTTTATACCCTATTGCACAATCTTGATACTTGGAGAAGGATCGAACAAAACCCAGGATGTTCTGTCTTGTAAATGAGTGTGAAAGGAGTTATGTGAGGTTGTGTTATTGTCTAAGCTTGACATTCAAATAGGTATTCAAGTTTCTGCAATTTCATTATTGCTTTTGCTTGTTTAATTGTTGATATCTGTATGTAGTTCAAACTGGTCTTGTTGGGGCACCAGAAGGTGTTCAGGGTACAAAAATGTACAGCTTATTTTTTTGTAAATAATTCTATTTATGTACGTCTGTAAAACTGTCTCTGTAACATATACAGTGTAACTTGTTTTAAAGGAATCTTATCCCGTTATTTCCCACACAGGAACAATGCTCAAGTGCTTGTGTTATGTTTGCTGCACTGTTTTGACTGTAACTGGGTTATAATCAGTAATTCTTGGTTTGAACCTTTTAACCTTGTGTCACTCAGTAAGAGCAAAGAGCACACTTCATGCGACATTAAAAAGCTGTTTGGCTTAGAGCCATGTATGACAATGTGAATGTTTGCTTGAATGCCCTCCGTAAGTACATAATACTGTCAAAGTCAGAAAAGTAAAGAAGCAATTCAGCTGTAAAGGTTTGTTTTTTTTATTTATGTTTTTGCCTAATGTCAGTGTGATCATTTCCAGTTGGTGGGTGTTAATCATCAGACGGACAGTACAGTTGTGGTTCTCCATCGCCACACAAAGTATTGATCAGCATTATTTGACTATGTAAGAATCAGATTCATTAACACTATGTAAAAACAGTGTACATAGTTTTCTTCAGTTTTACATGACTATTAATGAAACATTGAACTGTTTTGAGTAAAACGTCCTCCTCACAAGCCTCCTCTACTTCAAACCTGTCGGAGCCTGTTTGAATTTTATTCACTATTTTGTTTCATTGCCTCTTAAATGTGTATTTTAGCCATGGATCTGGGGCTTAACTGTTAACGGTTTAAACAGGAACCTATCTGTACTGTATTGTTAGTTGGCTTGTGACACCTCAATAAAGACTTGGGAAAAACAATGTCTACATTGACCAGAAGTACAATGTAGGTCCCATACATTATGTTTCTTGTAAGTGGAATTTTGTTAAGCAGCTTTATTCAAACTGAACTGCATTGAAGTAAAAACGGTTTTGTTTCCTGTGAAACATGCAGTTAGCCATCACATTTTACATCTGATTTAAGTTGATTCTTTGATTAATCAAGCCTCACATATTCATGGTCTTGACATGTTGGCTGTACTGATAATCATGTGCGACTGTCTTCAAGTGTGAGTCAATAATAAACAGGTAAACAGTCAGAGAAGAACATGAATAGCAGAACATGAGTAAAAAGCTTAAGTTTCCAAATGTAATTGTTTTTGCGATACTAGCTACTAAAAAAAAACGTTGGAAAATTAAGTGTCAATACAGATGTTGCCACAGAGTTGCCACCTAGCTTGTTTGTTTAGCGCCATGACGAAGATGTTGAGGTAAAACTGGAAACTCCATTGGTCTTTTACATCTTTCCTATTTAAAATATTTGTATATGTATATATATTTACTTTATTTTGTTTGAGCTGCACAAAAAACGATAAATTTTCTGCACTTACATATTAAGGGGAATTGTGGTTGACTAGCAAGACAGAATTGAGATTGTGTTGAGGCTAGTTTTAGTCATTTAGCTTATAACTGGTAACACTGGCCACATTTTACAATTCGTGCACTTTTGTTCCAAGGTATTGAAACCCTTTTTTAAATTATTTGATAAGCAGCTCCTAAATGTCTTTTATCTGTCTACTGCATCATTCTCAGTATTGGCTGTGTAAAATGTAAAAAAGTCATTTTTAGTCATGCTATCAGTTTAATGGTCTGACATCTACACGCTTGGAAGAGTTTCAGGCATTGAACATCACTATGTATAAAATGTCAGGCTCTATGCTGATTGTCCCATTTAGTTTATAGGTCATAAAAAGGCCTCACTATTCATGTTTGTCTGTTTCATGACCAGATAAAAACTCCTCAAAGAAGTTTAAATATTCATTTTACCTCAAGTTGAGCATTGTTTTATAAATGTTGAGCTGGTTAATTACTTGCATACAAAGCTTAATGGTGGTCAAGTACTTGCACTATACCTGTGTTTTTAACTCATAATACAGAAGTCCTCCATGCAACAACATTTTAGAGGGAGTATTTTACTTACGTCCTCTTTTTATTTTGTGGACTCTTCTTACTTTGCAGAGTCAAACTTTAATGTAACTCATCAACAGAGTTTATTTATGTTTGTAGAAATGTATAATATTAAGCACCAGTATGAGAGTTCTGTCTTACAAAACAGATAAAGGTCTGAGTTCAGTGGTTATGCTTTTACTCCATTTCACTGTAGTCACTTTAAACTACCTGTCAACTGCCTCCAGAAGAATTGGTACAAATTTAATGAAGAAAACTGCACTTTTGACTCATTATAGTTTCAGGAGTTATGTTGGAAACACATTTGTTTTGTTAAAAGATGAAAAATAGCAGGCAGGCCCAAAAAGTTTTAGTTCGGGGTAATAAGTACTTTGAGTTTTTATTGATCTATTGCACCTCATATTGTAATCTGACTACTGAAAAATGACCCGAGTAGGTCTCTGAGTGCAAGATTTATTTTCACAGACTTCAGTTGTATTGCAACTTTGGCTTAAAAGATTTGATTACTCCCTTATAGCTGAAAAAATAAATTAAAGTCAGTTCTGTCATGCAATGTCCACTCCGTTAATTGCACACCTGTTGCATGTTTCATGAGTCTAGCTATGGAACTTAACATGGAACAGAAATTACAGTACTCGGACTTAGTGTCATGTGTATAACAAATAGAGTTTAACATCTCGGTCACTCAGGTCTTTTTAAAGGGGTACACAAAGGGTTAAACAAAGTGGACCAGGGATCCCAGCTGAGTAAGTGACTGGATGGTGAGGCACCTGTCACTGCTGTCATGAGCTGATGTTAGTCAGCCCCCTCGGTCTTTCTGCTCTGTCAGTCTGCAGTAGCGGTGCTCCTGAAGGCTGCCGCACAAATCCGAACCAGCAGCCTTCCCACAGCCGTTTGGTGAGTCCCTGTATCGAAACTTTTTACTACTTTGCATTAGCATCATGGTGGTTGTTATTTTTAGAGTTTTCCCACAACATACTTTTTTTTTTCTGATGGGTGCCTCTGAAAAAATAGTTTTCCTAGTTGGATGGATACCTGGACAACCAGGACTACGATGAATGCATTGAGACTCTTAAGGGCTATAAATTCATGACAACATTGATTGAAATTAAATAACATGAGAATCAATGGCATTGAAAGGATTTACATTGAATGGACTCTGATTTTTGTTTTTGTTTTAATGGGGTGGACTTTTTCTCTTTTTTTTGTGTGTGTCAAAAAATGATCAACCATTGGGTTCACATTTACAGTGTTTTAGCAACTAAAGTTAATGTTGATCCGAAAGTTACTTCGAGAAAGTAGACACCTAGATAAAGAAAATATACCTGTGTATACTGCGTATAGTGGCAGCTCATTTTTATTTGATATAGTGTTTTTTAACTTTCAAAACTTCACAGAAAATGGCAACCACACCTAGCACTTAATCTATTGTACAAAAATATATATCAATAGTAAAGTAAATTCAGGTTGCTAAAAACAAATATTCCTCAAGTGTCCATAATATGATATTGTCTTTAGATATGGTTTATGACAGAAAACAGACAGAAAAGTGCTTTGTGAAAAGAATAGATAACATAGTGTCCATCTGGAAAGCAGAAAAAAAATATCTGTAAAAATGGAAGAATAATATGCCAACAGACATGATGTATGACTAAGAAAACATACAAGACCTATGAAGTCTATTTGGAAATATTTTGAAGCACAAAATTGACAAATTACAAAGCTGCACACAAAATCAAATGTGTTTGTGTAAATCATTCTGTAATTATAGTTGAAGAGTATAAAGAAATAGTTGAAAAATTAGTTTGATGTCTAAACTTGATTATGTTGTTGTAGCATTACTTTCTCACTGGGGTGTAAGCCTAACAAACAATACTAAATTAAATTTGTGGTACTGTTTTTCTGCGGGTGCTGTGCAGTTAAACCTTGACATTCACTCATTTCCACCTGTGTGCTCCATTAACAGGGTATTTGTCTCAGACAAGAATGGAGAGAATCAATCACATCAATATCGCAATGATTGAAGATATTGGCACCAACGGGACGGCAAGGACGAAGGTCCTGTCAGCTATGGACCAGAGCAAGCAGCCGTGCGGCTCTACTGTGAGCTTCCATAACATCCATTACAAAGTGCAGATAAAAACTGGCGTCCTCTGCAAAAGAAAAACTTGTACGAAGGAAATACTGGTTGACCTCAAGTAAGTAATGTAGTGAAATCCTTTGTTTGTGTGTTTCATGTCTCTATAGTCCCCGTACTTTCTCTACTGACCTTGTAGGTAAACATTTTAACAGCAGGCACGCTCCTGTTAGAGAAAAAAAAAAATACATGGGTAATCACGGGTTTTTAAGCTGCTGCAGTTTGTTGGTTGTTATACCTTTTATTTACTCAATGAGTCAAATATAAATCATATTGGATTGCCTGGTATATTCTTCTCAGGTTGTGGCTTAATTAATGCATTTTGCTCTGCAGGATGTCAGATTAATTATGAGCATTTTCAAAACATAATTGTAAATCTGGTGATCCTTGGGTAATAAGAGAAACACAAGGTGAAATTGATCTTTTTGGCTCAGAAATGAAACAGTATTGTAATAATACTTTTGAGACCTTTGATTTCAGCATCGATGTCACCGAAGAGCAGGAGTGCTTCATGCCTTGTTAAAATAGCTCATTGTATCTTTATCCAAAGCAGGACAATAGTGAATGGACTCTTACATCGGTTTCTTTCTAGTGGTATTAAATCTGACATTTCCCATGGCAGAATGACTCATTTCACACAACTTCTGGAACCTTTTCCAGCCTAAGTGTTAATTATAGGACATTAAGCATGGTTTCTTGCATATAATCTCTCTGATGCACTACAGCGCTGTCTGCCAGGAGAACGAATTAAACACTGCCACGTGATCCACTGCCAGTCTTTTATTCAGTCTATTAATTCCTTTTTATATCACTGACTCTCTGGGTACTTTTTTGAAACTGTTCTCTCTGAAGTCAAAGGATTTGCTTTGGAGTTTCAAACACAAGGGTATACTTCAGTGTGTGTGTGTGTGTGTGTGTGTGTGTGTGTGTGTGTGTGTGTGTGTGTGTGTGTGTGTGTGTGTGTGTAGCTTTTTAAGAAGGGCTTGTGAAACAGCAAAAAACCTTACATGATCTTTATTTCAGAAGCTAAAGAAAAGTAGGCGAAGTAAAAGTGAGCTAGATTTTGCAATTATCCAGTGGGAAAAATACATATATGTGTACTGCATTGTTTTTATATTCAACTATATTAAAGTACTATTTTTTACATTACTGTGAACAGAGGTAGCTAGCTTGACTTGCGGAGGACTAATAGTGATGAGATAAATTGTCTAAAATGCTATAATTATTTCAAGTTCTGTAGATTTCATCACTCTGTTTCACACACAACTATTACAGTGAAATAAAATAAACAAAAAAAATGCAAAACATTCAGATACATACAAGTTTTGACTTTTAAACCACTGTATTTTTGAGAGCTGTTGTGTTATTTTCTTACAGTGGGATCATGAGACCTGGCCTAAACGCCATTCTTGGACCTACTGGAAGTGGAAAATCTTCGTAAGAACTCTCAAAGCATTCATGGGCATTTTTCTTGATATACTATATTTTGTCATTATTCATTTTTCTGTGTGTGTTTAAAAGATTTCTGGATATTCTGGCTGCAAGAAAGGATCCCTCTGGTCTGTCAGGAGAAGTACTCATCGACCGAGCGCCACAGCCGCCAAACTTTAAGTGCCTCTCTGGTTACGTAGTTCAGGTGCATTTGACTTCATTTGAATCACTGTTTCCTTTCTTTGTAGTGACTTTCAGCATCAGGATAAAAAAGCTAAACACCAACATATTTTATTTAATTACAACTAGCAGTGCTTTATATAAACCATTATATATTTGTATCAGCTGCTAAAAGCTACTGTGTTTATCAGCTACTTATTATTTTGCTGTCTGTATTTAAAAGTTTGCATAAAATTGGTTCTCTTGAGCTTTTCTTATTAAACCAACATGGAGTGGAAACAGGATATTTTAACACAGTGAGTCAATTAAACATTAATATTATGAGACAAAAAACAAGATTTTTAAATATCTGTCAGTCTGAGGAGAACAGAGGAGCTTGGTTATAAAATTCTTTGGGTTAATCACTACATGCATGGCATTTAAAAAAAGAAAAAAAAATTACTGACGACAGCTGTACTCATCAAAAAACACAAAAAGTACATGTTGCAAATTGTCACACATTGCTTTTTGGTTTAATTGGTAATTTCTGATTTTCATTTTTTTTCTTTGATGATTATTGTATTGTAATGATCAAAGTGACGGCATTGATTTATTGATAAAAATGCAAACATCTTTGTTTCATGCCCGACAGTATCACATGAAAAATTCTATATATTCCATTTCTGCGATTATCTAAATACAGAAAAATAAATGGAGCTTAACACAAGCAAAATACAAAACCAACTATTTACTGTGTCTCTGACCTTTGACCCTGTGCTCTTGTCTCCTCTGTCAGGATGATGTGGTGATGGGCACCCTGACCGTGAGGGAGAATCTGCGTTTCTCTGCAGCCCTGCGACTGCCGAGCTCAGTGCTTCAGAGTGAGAAAGAGGCTAGAGTCAATCACCTCATCAAAGAGCTGGGTCTCAGCAAGGTGGCCGACTGCAAGGTGAGTATCCACTCGCGTCCCGTTCTTTATGCTTCAGGTGAGTCAGTCTGGAGTCAATGCACGATTGTTGTGTCCTCCTCAGGTGGGCACACAGATGACTCGGGGGATCTCTGGAGGAGAGAGGAAGAGGACGAACATCGGTATGGAGCTCATTATTGATCCTCCTGTTCTCTTTTTGGATGAACCAACCACAGGACTGGATGCCAGCACGGCTAACTCTGTGCTGCTGCTGCTGAAAAGGTATTTGGTTTTAATATCAATTATGTAATTTGTTTGTCCAATATAAATCACTGAACTCGAGCACAGTCTATAGTGCCTATTGGACTGCAATAATGCATCTTCAGTATTTTTTCTTTCAGCTCAAATTCTTCAAACAGCATATTTGACCTAGCAGGAAACTTATAGAAAAAATGATGCAACAAGTTTGATCAGTTTAGCTGGATTTAATTTCATACTGATAGTGATAAAGGATGATTTGGCTTATTTTTTATAGTTGGAAATTTGATGAAAAAGGCTTTCCCACAATCCCTTGTACTCATCCTCCACAAGACTTTCTTTTAGGAAAGAAAGTTACGTTTAAAAGATTCATTGATTCCATTTTTAAAGGTATTGAAATTTTTAAAACAAATATTGACACTTTAGCTGAAATATTAAGAAGCAAAATTTTCATTTTTGAGAACTAAACTCAACGTTTTGTGTCTTAAAAACTCAAATATGATCAAAACTCTCCTTGTACTTCTTCGTGTTATAATGTGTTTACTTTGTGTCTTTTTAGAATGGCTAGCCATGGCAGAACTATAATAATGTCCATCCACCAGCCACGATACTCCATCTACAGGCTGTTTGACACTCTAACTTTGCTAGTTAGTGGTAAAATGGTTTATCATGGACCTGCCCCAAATGCTTTGGACTACTTTGCCAACATTGGTGATTATAATTATCATTATTTCATTGTCATTCAAATACTGTATTTGTAGATAGTTGTGTGTAATCATATTTTGTGACTTACAGTACAAAATAATTTACATTAAGCTACTCACAAGTGGCCTCTGAATATAACTGTAATTTGTTTTGTCAGGTTTTCCTTGTGAGCCCCACAACAACCCAGCTGACTTCTTCTTGGATGTTATCAATGGAGACTCAACAGCTATAACCCTGAACAAAATGCATGGATCTGAGGGTAACGGTGTTTTACATATGGCTCAGTGAATGAAAGGTGCTGTCCTGGGCAAACCATAGGACCATTTTATGTACCTATCAATAAGTATAGTTATTATTTGAAAAATAGGTATCCAGGAAGTTTTGGGACAGAGAAGCTTTGATTTATTTCTATAAGCTCCTGTGAGTCTTTTAGTGATACATAGCAAATTAAAGAGGCATCATCAGGAACAGAGTACTTCAAGATAGAGATAATTACTGGTCTTTGAGCAGTTTAAGTATTTCATGTAAGAAAAATATTGGAAAAAACACATCAAAGAATATATTAAAAAAATACATTTCGTAGCCAATGCAATGTTGAATATTTCAAATACAGACATCTTTCATTCTCGTCCTGTGTACATGGCCAGATTTGGACTTTGAGGAGCTCAGCAGCTCTCGGCAGAGCATCGAGGAGCGCTTGGTGGTGGAGTTCAGGAGCAGCAGCTATTCCAGTGAAACAAGAGCTGAGCTTGAGCGCATTGTCCAGGAAAAAGAGTGCACACCATGTCAAAAATCTCGCACCATCACCTACAACAGCTCTTTCTTTCATCAGCTGCACTGGGTGCTCAAGAGAACCTTCCAGAATCTCATGCTGAGCCCACAAATCTCTGTGGCCCAGGTAATACATCCCAAATACTTCATCATATTACCCAACATGAACAGTCAAAAGCAGAAAGTCATCTGTTTCATCAATTACTATGGTTGACTGGGCATGTTATGAATGTACAGAGGCGGTTTTTCTGTGACTTATATTCTTTTTCCTACTCTAACAGAAGTATTTTTGAATTTCTTTGGGCCAAATCCAAGTCAAGTATCAAGTCTCTGAGAATTAAATTTATTCAAGATATGGCATGGCTGCAGGGATTAAAAGGCTTGTATGCTAAGATTTAGATGAGGATATCGACACCACCCTTACGCCTGCACAGTTCAGATAGAGCTGAATTGAGAAGCTTGCCACCTCGACTCAAAGACCAGAAACACAGAGAAAGAAAAACTGGCCACCATCATCACGTTGTACATCTTTGACTAATCTTTGGGTCAAACAAAGCATTGTATTTGGATTATCTGCAGGAAAAACAACAGGTTTATGCAGTGCGTGTCATGGACAGAGAATTTTTGAGAGCATTGTGAAGTGATAAACTCAACTTCTAAAACAGCCATATGCTGACAATATGAAAGGTAAAGAGAGTTTCCATTACCCCTGTGAGGGGCAGTGCAGTCATACAATTAGTCATGTAAAGTGCCAACAGCAGCCTGGACAATTTTTTTTCCATCCATCTACTCCAAATGGCCAGAAACGTGCTCTCCAATAGGTCCTGGGCAGTCATTTTAACCCTAACCCCTAACCCTCATCCTGACCCTAAAAAGTGCATCCAGGGGGGCAAACCCTACTTCACCCATAACGTAACCCTAACCCTAACCCTAACACTTTGACAAATTTCAACAATTTTTCAATTTTTTTTTCTTTCTATCCATCCACTCCAAATGTCCTGAAACATGCTCTCCAATAGGTCCTGGGCAGTCATTTTAACCCTAACCCCTAACCCTAAAAAGTGCACTCAGGGGTGCAAACCCTACTTCACCTTATAACCTAACCCTAACCCTTGTTTTCAGTCAATGTCCTGCAAGCTAGTGGGCAGAATCTGTCTATGCCAGTCATCAATTGGTTGAAATAGAACATTTTAACAAGGTGTTTATGTGACTGGATTTTTCTTTTTCATTTGTTCATACTTTTTTGTGATTACAGGTTAATCTGAAAGTGTAAAAGCAATGACATCCACATCACATTTTTGATAATTCATGTCTGTTTTCTGTGCTTCAAAAAGCAGAAACCTTTGTTGCATTATTAAGTATCTTGATTTGAGGGCAGATCCTGTCTTGGATGCATAAGTCCTTCAGTCTTCATTTCAAATCAAGCATTTAAGATAGCAAGTCTACTTCTCTGAGGAATCAAGGAGGTTATAAAAATGAAATTTTGCCCATATTACTCCGTTTCTGGCAAAAATCTTTTAAGGGTGGAGAGAAAAGGAAAAACATCAGTATCAGTGCAGTTATCATCATGAGCAGGATGAACAGACAGAACCTAAGAGGGGTTAAGACTTAATACTCTCATTAGTCACCCCATGGCAACAAAATGCCGTCAGAAGTCTCCTCACTTTATGAATTATTAACAGCTAATTGGCCCCAAATAAGTCAGAGTAATCCTACAAGAGGGGCTCTGGGAGGCGTGGGCGCAGTAATCGGCTTTGGTGACTGTTGTGACCCTACTCTTGACTCTTTGGGCCAGGATCTGAACTGATATCATATCTGGCCAAAACCCCCTGGCCTTGGTCCGGGACTCATCACATGATGGCATCATGACCTATCACTCCAGTGCCCCGCTTTCACATGAGGGGCTGCGGGGAATGAGGTGAAAAAGGTTCAACCGTATGAGCTTATCCCTTAACCCTGGGAACCGCTTTGTCCTGTCATAATCTGTAAATTGTTAGGATTAAAACTTGTGTCCCTTTCACTTTTCTCACTCTTTTCTTGTCATCTTCCCCCCACTGGCTGTGCCGCTGGTTCTGTCTGAGAGGCCACTCTTCTGGAGGAGTAGGGCGTCCACTTGACCCTTGATCCCGAGAAAGACTGAACCTCTTTTTTTCTCAAAGGGGCCACAGTGTCAGTTAAATCTCTACTCTTTAAAAAGAGATCATGATAGTCAACAAAGAGAGTAACTCTGGTGTTGAATTATGGCACTGATCTATCAGTTTTATACTCCTGATCACTAATTTGCAAAGCGTGTGTGGATCATTTACTGAACGCACATTGTCCGTACAATGCATGATGACCATAACTGGACCACAAGATAAAATCAGATTATCAAACAGTAATTCTTATACGTAGTTTTGACCCTGAATATTTTGATACTTAAGTGCTATACAGTTATAGCTGTACTAAATTAACAACCAAGTGCACTTTTTTCTTAATGTATGTCTTCACTTTTAAGTCTTTTTTTCAGTGTTTCGACTCAGGCTAGGAGGAATTTTGAGTACCTTACAGTTAACCCTTTAAACTAATTAGAAAGTTCAATGTTACATAAACTGGGCTTTTCTGCTGTTCACAGATGTGATCTCATTCTGAATTTGTTCTTTGTGAATAATTCATACAGGCTTTGGAGCACAAGTGCACAAAATACTGAATAGCTTGCATGTGAGCACAGATCGATAAAGCTGATTTTGAGTCTGATTTTCCATGTTTTTATCTGTGCAGGTGGGAGTCCACATTTTCCTCGGCCTCATTGTTGGAGCCATTTTCTACGGGGTGAAAGATGATCAGAGTGGTATCCAGAACAGGTGGGAGAACTGCAGTTCTTGTGTATTTGACAGTGGTTTACTGACACACGACCTTTGTGTATTTCCTTCAGATAAGAGATAAATCTGAGCCTCTGTGTGGTGATGGTAGATTTTCATTTTTAGTGATACTCAGATGGAACTCATGCTACAGACTTTCTCAGTCAGTTTGAGTAAAATCCAAATACACAACTGCAGGTTACACACAGCAAACAGGAGTGAACAACACCAGTGTTATGGATTGTTATATCACCTAGAACTGATGGTGGTTTATGAAAGAAACAGAAACTTTTGCTTGTCAGAGATGCCTCATATCTCAAACTAACCACTAACTGTTTTTCCTAGTTGTTCCTATTTTGTGTATATTTGTATCTACTATTATTGTTTATGTGTAATCTAAAGTTATTTCTGCTTCAGTTGATACATGCATCAAGAGTATTCAGACTATTTTGTTGATAGGGTACATTATGTGTTGATTAAAAGATTGTTCAGACTTTTGAAGTTAGTTGCTGGTTTGATTACAAAAAGTGTGAAATCAGAGCAGGCCCTGCATAGCTAATCCTCTTACCATATTTATTGGGTTCAAGCTGGTACTTACAAGCCCACAGAATCACTCAAAAACCTCTGTAGCCCCCCTCTGTTCTTTCTGTGCATGGTTGAGTTGAATATAGGGGCCTAATGTCATTATATTCATGGTCAATGCATAGGCTGGGTGGCAGCCTGACACCGATGTACAGAGCTTAAATATCTTAAATTTTTCAGCCCTCCCTCCTTTTTGGGGGGACTCAGACACTCTTAAGCACCTGTATGTGTATGTGGATAACAGGACATGAAATACTTCAATCTGAGCTGTGATGACTGTTCAGAGTCAATCATTGATAAGTCATGGGTACAGTTTTACCCAATGTTTTACTTTTTTTGATGTTCTCAGTGAAAGTGTACTTGTTTTGGTTTACTAAGTTTGTAGGTTCAGGTCTTCTTCACTAAAGCATGAACTAAAACTTTGAGTTCACATCTGGCTCTTAAAATCCAAAATGGAGAAGGCCAAAATACTAAACCCAGTGCCTCAAAACAGGTGTTTGCTGCCCTCTATGTCATGCTTCATATACTTCTGCAATAAGCCTGACATTAAGACAGACACAATTCAAGTCTTTTTATAATGATAATTTACACCTGTATTTCAACTAAAACCTGCATCCTCCACTACATGAAGAATGTGAGATTGTAGAAACTGTCAAAAAGAGGCAAATGATCCTGTTTTGTTTCCTCTGACAGGATGGGCGCTCTCTTCTTCATCACCACCAACCAGTGTTTCAGTACAGTGTCTGCAGCTGAGCTCTTCATCATGGAGAGGAACCTCTTTGTGTACGTAATGATGTACATGATTCTTTCATATCCGTGACATCTTGGTGGATCGTTTAAGATGAATGAGTTCAGTCAGAGCCTAATGTCAGTGTGTGGTTTTCTTGTGACAGGCACGAGTACATCAGTGGCTACTACAGAGTGTCTGTCTACTTCCTGTCTAAGATCCTGTCTGACATCACTCTACGCATACTCACCTCTGTTATCTTCAGTTTTATTGTCTACTTTATGATTGGTAAGACTGAAAAAACTAATAATATTGTTTGATTTGAGGTTTCTCATCCTGAAAGTGAGCAAATATCCTTTTGATTGTAACTTTCTAAATATTTAGCCTCCATTATGAGTTTGTGTGCATGTGCATTTGTGTGTCTGCTCAGGACTAAAATGCACAGCAGCTGCCTTCTTGGTCTTCACACTGACAGTGACTTTGGTGGCGTTCACTGCCACAGCCATGACTATGGCTATCTCAGCCGATCAGAGCGTTGTGGCCCTCGCCAACATCTTCATGACCATCACCTTCGTCTTCATGATGGTGAGAAACACTGTGATCGTTCAGAGAAATATTTCTAGAAAACCTTGACTTAAAGAGGCGGAGAATGACTTTATTTACAGTCAAAAAGAGCGGGCCGCTCAAAAAATTTAAAATGTTGACTACACAGACATAACAAAACACAGCGATATCGTTATATAACCAAATTTCATCAATACATTATAGTTATTGACTGATATTTAAGGCTTTTTTGTATTCACACCTCAAAGAAAGATGCTTCTTTAATGGAATCCTGCCTACCCCACCCTTAAGTATAAGTGTCGGATGTCTATACTAAGTGTCTTCAGGTTTCAAACTTTGAGGTCATCCTGGTGGAGTAACCCCAGGATGAGACTGCAGGCTACTGAAAACAATGTTTTTGCTAGATTTTTTCAGGTCTTCTGGTGAATCTACCCAGCATCATGGACTGGCTGGCCTGGCTGAAGTACCTCAGTATTCCTCGATATGGTCTTGCAGTAAGTCGGGATTTATGGGGAATTTTGAGAGTAACTGCAGTAAAAGCTTTAGATAGTTATGTTCAATTTCATTAAACTATTTCATATTCTATTTCGGCCAACAGAGGAGTGTAAACAACTTTCAGATTTAGTTTTCTTACCATGTTTCTCCATTGATAACCTCAGACAAGTACTGAGTTTTAGACCAGAATCTTGAGTACAGCGTTGGCATTTTGTTACTCAGCTGTAATTTTTCTTTCTTGGTTTAGGCCTTGAAGATCAATGAGTTTGTTGGTTTGAAGTTCTGTGAGGAGCCTGTGATCCAAAACACAAGTTTCATGGTTACAGAGACCAACTGCAGCTTGAGCACAGCTGGTTTGACGTAAGTAGACTGAAATGCATTTTCATGAGCCCTGGTTGTCTTTCTGATTTTTTTCAACCTATGATTTGCCTCTCTAACATTCGTAACATTATTTGATTGACCACAAATAAATACAAAAATAACAGAGCTTAGATACCTGACTGATGAGTGACCAGTAGGGATCTGTTTTATTCCAGATGTACAGGAGAGCAGTATCTGGACTACCTTGGAATAGAGTACACCACCTGGGGATTGTGGGAAAATCATGTGGCTTTGATTATTATGACGTTCATATTCCTCGTTATTGCCTATCTGAAACTCCGCTACATCAAGAAATTCACTTAAATGTGTGATTCAGAATTTTAGGCCAAAGATGTTCACCAAAAAGGTTCCCATGTTAAAGGTGTATATAACTACTTTTGAAAATATTTTGAAAATACTTTTTTGCTTATAGTTAAGAAGAAAGAATGAAACTTCTCCTTTATAACATGGACTAAATGAATCTGGATTCTGATTGGTCAGTAACAGCACTCTATAGTCACCCCTTTAGGATCACACAAGAACCTTCTTTCTGCAAAAATGAACTCAATGTTGTATATTATTCCTTACATGTCCACAGGAAATTATGGTGTTTAAGCCAAGAGACTGTTAGCTTAGTCCAGTAAAACTTGTCTTGGCTAGGTTTAGTTGATCTTTGTTTAGTTAGCTTAGTTCAGTTTGGTTGGATGTGTCGTGAAGAGGAGTAGCTTCTATGTCCTTGTGATTCCTTAATAAACTCTCCAAAATTAGAATGAAATCATTATCATTTGCTGGTGTTTACAAAGTGTTTTTGATCCGTGAAATTATTTTGGGAATTTTTTGCATTTATCATACAGGAAATGTGGGTGAGAGTGTTTTACAGTCTATGGAATCAACATGCTCTAAATCATGGTTGGACTGGGAACTGGTCCTTCATCCAGTGCAATGAGGACTGTAGTCTCTTGTACATGAAGTTCCTACTCAACCAATTGAGCTTAATCGGCACCCAACAGCTGTTTATATATTTGTCAAAGAGTGGTTTTCATAAACGCCATAAAGTCCCTACTATAACAAGCGTAATATCAAGTAAAAATGAATGTGTTAAGGGGTTTGTTTTTCTGTTTGTGTTGTGTTTGTAAATCAGACTTCCTCTGTTACACCCTGGTCGACTTAAATGTTCTGTTGTTTTTTTTGCACAATCTTCAAAATTGAGTTCAGATTTTTAATTTTCAAATAAGCACTTGTTTTCTTAAGGTATTGATGTGTTATGTCCCACATGGTCAGCAGCAGTCTTGTCAACTTTTCTCTTGCTCTGCTGAGTGAATCTGAACATTTTCAAGTCACTTCGATCTTAGTGTTTTTATTCGGGCAGTCAAGCCTGTTTTCATATACTAATTGAAACGTCCAAATGTTTTTATAATTATATAAAAAGGTATTATTACTCTTACTGTTGTGACACAAAAGCATAAAATATAAAAGACATTTATATTTCAATAAAACTTTATTTGGTATAAAGATTACAAAAGAAGAAAATCTTATATAAAAAAAGTAAGGCACAGGGGAAAAATAATAAATGCATGGGTTTCCCATGAACACTAGATGCACTCCAAATCGAAGTTTGTTTAAAGTTACAATATGTATCATAAAGTGATAAAAAGCTATTAATTCAAACTTAATAGACAGAAAATGAGTAAATATGACAGAACTTGCCACACTTGTACCTACCTTGTTTTATAACTGTGAAAAATAATCAGCATAGTCATCAGTCATAGAAAAGTCCTTTTTGACGTTTGTGTGAATTCTAAGATATGAAACGATTTAATCAAAAGCAGGTGAGCATGCTGCTCATATAAAAGTAAAGCCATACTCTGAGTATTCTGAGTATGACTGAACATGCTTAAGGCTGGTGTTTATATACAATGCTGAGTCCCACACTGAGGTGTGATACTTAACTTTAGGTCCTTCATTATTCTGTAGTCTCTATAAGTGACTGGTTTGTGAATATGCGTATGTTTCTATGTCTTTCTGTATACCCTCTGTCCCTTTCAGTGCATAGAAGTAAGTTGAGGCAAAGTGTGATTCAGTCCCCTCTTACATACTATACCAGGAAGTCTGAACAGCTTCATTTTATATTGTTCCACAAAAAATAGTCCCTTCTCTTAAGTTGTTTGTAATGCTGCCCTGGAATTTTTCAGTGGAAGAGTTTTGTTTTTGCAAAAGCTTCTTCAGCTGCGAAGGCCTTTACACATGGCCACTCCCATTTGTACTCATATCAAGGCCGTCAGCGGACAAGGAGGAGGATGGACGGGGCCTGGGGTTGACAGGAGTTGCTGTCTGTGGGTGGCTGACCTGTGACACCATATCATCAGACTCCAGGCGCTCCAGCTCCTCCCTCACCAGCATCTCCATCTGCTCTCTGTGAGCGTCTGTGTCCCGTCCCAGGCGTTCATCCTGACACACAAGGCAAAATAACCACCTCAGTATTTTTACATGTAAACAGGAAACCCAGTATCAAACATCTCTAGACATACACTGTTGTTGTTGATCAAAATCTTGTCTCTATCACGGCTTTTAGTGCTTGTAAGCATATGCACACAATTTTTATTATGCTGTATCTGACCTCCATGACTCCATCCAGCAGCCTGACAAGCACATCCCTCCTCTTGAGTTTAGCTCTCTCCATGGATTCCAGCTTCACAATCACAGCATCGATCTTTGACACGATGCTGCCGATAGAGTGCTCCATCCTGTCCACACGCCTCACCAGCCTGTCAGACAGAAGTTTGTCCCTTCATTACGACATGTACACTCTGAAATGTCCTAATTCAATGATCAACAACAATTTTTAAAATCTAAAAACTCAGAAGATTGCTTCATTTGAATTTCTTATGAGATCAGCACACATGCATTTACTTTTTTATTTAAAACTCAAACATTAACATTCACTTCATTTTAAAATCCTATTTCTGAATTGGCATATTTTCTTTTTTTGCATTGTTTGTAATATCATTTGTTGTAACTTTACTGTCACTTTAAGTCATTGTTTTTGTTGATTTATTTTTCTTCATGAAGCTATAAATATAGTACAATGAGCCAATGGTTCAAATAAGCTTCTTTGAACATTTAAATACATTAAATTTACATTTAGATCTGATAAACCTAAACAGTTTTACATACAAAATTTAAAAAGTGATTCTGATTAGTAAAAGTTTCTAAATTCCTTGGTTAATTCTGAAAACATTTTCCTTAAAAGATGTTTTTCATGACAATAAACAGAATAACCTTTGTTGTTGATTAATTGTTTGGACAAACAAGAAATTTTAGTGTGCAACCAGTGATGTTGATGACAATGTATTTTCAATGCTATGTTTTCTTACAGACCTACCCATGCATCAAGTGAATATTAAAAACACCCTGCAATTAGCTGATAATAAAACACTATTGATGCAGAAAATGTATTATAATTTACATGAAATTTCAGGATCACTTCATCACATGTCAGTGTAGAAAATGTTCAGCAACAGCAACTCTGCTCGACTTTTTCTTTGGTCAAAATAGAAGAGTATGTAATTTTATGATAGGGCTTTTGTTCTCGGACAGAAACTTGAAACTTAACTGAACTTAAAATGTCAGGGAGGTTGGAATTTGATGAAGTTACAGAGCAACAAAAATGTTTCTTACACTTGAAACTCTTCATAGGAGACGCCCCCTGAGCTGCTACCACGCCTTCGAGAGCTATGACCACTGTCTTCATCGTCATCTTCTTCGGAGTCGTCCTGGGTACGTGGGAAGCTCCGCCCACTGCTGGGTCGAGTTAATGAATTGCGTTCTAGCTCCAAGTCCTCCTAGCAAATGAGCAGAAACACTGAACATGTGCAGAAGCTGTAGCTGAGCATGAACAAACAGATTCATTTACTTCTGCATCTTCTTTTCAAGATGAATGACTAAAATCAGTTATTGTGTGACAAACAGTTAAGCCTGTTAGCATCATTACTCACTCTCTCTTTCTCCAGATCATCTCTCATCTGTTGGTGTTCATGCTCTGTTAGCTCCTGGTCGCCATCTTGATCATACTTTGCAAAGATGGCCTGTATCTCTGCATCTGTGTGTCCCTTCCTGAGCAGCAATGGAAGATACACAACCACTTAACTCAACAATAACACTGATATAGTATCTTGGTAAAATCCTCAAACACATTTGACATCATTTTCACCCTTTGAGATCCTGGCGGAGTTCGTCGAAGTTCAGTTTGCCTCCAGCTTGACGCAAACTCTCTGAGATGTCATCTATTGCGGTCTTCTTCAATCTCAATTTCATCAAGGCTTTGTTGCACCCCTGAGAGAACAGGGTCAGAAGAAAACATGCAACTCTAGCACAGAGAGAATACAGCAAAAGATCATGCTACACTACTTAACCATTAATATTGTGCAACAGATCTCCAAAACCTTTAACAGAGCATTGTCATCTTACCAACACTCATCTCCTACAAAGCCTAAGAAATTCTGGCTCCCAGTGAAGCCTGTAAGCTCGAGCTGCACTGATTTGACACTTGACATGCGTCAATCTACGTGGCAAACATATCCTCTCAATTTGGCGTGCTATTTGAGCTGCAAGATTTCCAGTCCCTGCCTCTGCTTTGCTGTTGCCACCATTGCCATACTTGGGTGCTGCGATCCAATTTTTAGCCCAACCACCACCCCAGGATCCAACTTAAGATATTATTTCCACATGACAACACAAACAATACTCTGCTGCTGCATTAAAAGGTTCAAAGCATAATTATGAGTTGTCTGACTGACCTATGGTTCAGATCAAGGACAGCAAGACCCTGATTCAACACAGTAGAATGGAGCCATTAGGGTCTCATCCACTGAAAGATTTGATAGGCATCCCAAACTTGTGAGAGACCCCAGAAAACACAGAGGGGATATGATTCCCTCATCTGGACTGGTGCTGCTCAGAATTCTCCTTGGAGACCGGTAAAACTTTGATGGGAAAGAGCAACATTTGGACTAACTTGTTTGACCTTAGAAATGTATGAAAGGAGGGAACTCAAGGTTTCCTGGCATAGCCTACAGTGCAGCGTCTTGACTCACATCAAAGCTTATTACCCCTGCCTTTAAATGTGTTTTTTAGGGTCATCACTCCTCCTCAGGTAAGAAAAAAAATTAACCCTGAAGAATCACACAAATGGACATTATTTACGTGTTGGCTGGTGCCTTGCAAAATCAGTCACCACATGAAGTTCAATACCTTTTTAATTAGGTCAGTCATTTCCATTTCAGACCTCTGCTGGGACATATCAGCCTTCACTTCAGAATATGTGTCGTTGATGATGGCCAGGAACATGTTCTGTACAGAAAAGACGAGACTAAATGTATTTCTGTGTTGGCGAGAGGCAAAAGAGACAACGTTAACAAAACAGGTTTGACTGGGTAACTCACCATGAGAATAAAGAAGATGAAGAAAACAAAGGTTGTAAAGTAGATTGGTCCGAGCACTGGATTAGCCTCCTCTATTTTTGAGAACTCAAAGTCCCCCAGAATGATGCGGAACTGGGTGAAGCTAAAACAGCCAAACATTCAACATTACTAAACAGGAAACACCAGCTGTTAAAGTAATCTCTACCTATGTTTACTTTATCCTTCGTGTTCTTACATGCTAGCTTGGAAAGTGCTGAAATCATCAACTTGAGTACCAAACACTAGGTAGGCCAGCTGAGCATATGCCAGGAAGATGATGAAGAACATGATGGCAAAACCCACAAGGTCTTTGGCACAGCGAGACATCGTGCTGGAGAGCTGGCTCATGGTCTTACTGAAGTTGATGAACTTGAAAAGCTTGAAGAGATTATTTCTGACATTAGTTAACAGCGTTCAGTTTATTCTTTGGTAATGCGGTAAAAGATTTTATACCTTGACCCAGGAGAAAAAGACGATAACTGCAGCCAGGTTGTTGAACTGAATCTGCAGAGTGGCTAAAGGCTCAAAGATGGGGTGAGCAGTGTGGTTCTCCAACAAACCTTTGAGAAGGTTCCCAACCATAGCTGTTCTGGTTATGCTCATGATAATAGCAACAACACTCATCTAAATAAGGAAGACAGAAAAATAAATCTGTGCATCATAAATAGGGTGGTATTAATCATATGAAAGTAGACTTTAACAGATACTTTGAAACATACCAAAACAATGAGAACATCCAGACAGTTCCACAGGCTCTTAAAGTAGTGCAGACGATGGATGTTGATCTCCAGCACCTCCTCCACCACATAATAGAGGATGAACAGGCAGAATGCCACCTCACACACACCCACAAAGTAGTCCCAGCTGGACGTGTATCGTATCAGACGGACTGTTTGGAACTCCCAGGAGGTCAACACCCCACCAGTTGCAGGGAACTCTGCCAACAGCCTGACAGAGACAGCAAATTTCAACCGTTAGAACTCATAATTCTTCCATGTCATGATTCGCTGTTCTGCATTGCCCTTCATGATAGAAAATTGGGAGTGTTTATTTTTGTACTGGTGGGTGAAAAAGGGCATATCGAAGATGTTACTTCAGGCTCCTAAAGATGCAGTGAGTGTTTTAATCCACTTTTCAGATCATTCTGTTTATTGAAGAAGAAATTAATTTTGATTTTTGGCTCTATGAAGCACAGGAGGTGAATTCAACAGGTAAATCAAGAATTCAGTAGAACGAATGATTTTTTTAAAGTGAATAAAACTGCACCTTATTTATTTTGAGTATGTAGTTACTGAGATTTTACAAATTGTTCAAATGTTTAAACTGCACATATTCTCGCCATCAAATGAGCTCATTTATTTCTCCTGATACATATGTTTTTTAAATAAATGTTGCATTTCATTTCTACTCGATGTTATTGTGTCTTTATCATTGTACTGTGAACAAATGGTTTGTTTGTTCTTTCCTTCAACATTCTTTTTGCTGAATCATGCTTGAGAAGCACTTTGTAACATTTGGCTCAGAAAAGTACAATAAAACGGATCATCATCCTGCACTAAATTATATTTGAATCAGAAATGTTTTATCCAACATATCTTACCTAACAATGCAGAAAAGGTTGATGTTTCCGTTATAGACAGAGAAGTCAAAAAAGACAGCTCTGGTGCCTCTGTCCAGCCACAGGTGGTCTTTGAGATACTGCAGTTGGACAGCCGACTCCTCTCTTGTACGAGACAGATCCTGGTAGTATCCTCCACCTCCATATTTAGACACCTGTCCCCAGTAACTGCTCCCATTCATCTTACTGTCTGTTGTATATTCCCAACTAGATGAGGTAAAGAAAGGTTTCTTTTTAGAGTTGAGTTCTAAAGCACTGGTTTCCTCCAAAATGGAAAAAAATCAAATTATCTTAACATGCCAACATGGACTTACGCAGTTCCATTCTTGGGGCCAAATGGGGTGGTGTCCTCATTGGATGGGGTGTACATGTTGTAGCAGTCCTGAACTTCATCCCTCAGATCTTCATGGACAGAGCAAGACTCGTTTCTAACTTTGACCTGTCTGAGCCGCGGCACACCGAGCAGGAGATTCTCATAATAGATTAGGCTTTGGTTCTCAGGCAGGCTTTTATTGTTGTACCACACCTCCCAGTACATGCCATTCAGGAAAGGCCCTTGAGTGAACTACAAGTGTAAAACAGACAGGATTAAGGTGGTCAAAACAGTCAATATTGCATTTTACCTATTTTGTAAAAGTGGTTGTATAGATAGTCTTTCATGAAAACAAACTGGAAACCAGAAGAAACAAGAATAAAGTTCATGTTGTTATTGCTTTTAAACTGTCTGTACAGAGGCATCTTCTCTAAAGATGCAAAATGATAACAATTACAGCTGAAGTACATTTCAGGTAGCTGGACAAAAGATTTCAACCAAACAAGAGATTATTTTTTTCTCTTCTACCTTCCAAAAATCCTCCATGGTAGAGAGGCTTCTGAAAGTTGAAGGGTCCTCAACAGATAGCTGTGTGTCCAGGAAAAGCTGAGACATGACTTTGGTATAATAGTACATGTTGGCATTCACCATCCCATACGTCACTGCAGAGCGGAAAACATAAATTCATATCCCACATTCACCGACATTCCTGTTGCATAATTAGCCTCTGTTAAAATCGTAAAAACACCTCTGAATGCATAAATCTGCCCTATCACCTGCTGAATGCCCCAGAGGACATGGTAACAAAACAACCTCAGATCTTAATTTTCATAGTCCACTGAGTTTCTATTCTCTGTAGCTTCCAGTATTCATCAGGGAGTAGCTCTGGAAAGAGCTTTTAATGGTGAACCTCTGCCCAGCGGAGTGTGCCTTAATGCAGTCTGAGGGGAAATTATTTCCTGATCCACCCCAAACCACAGTTTGGCAGTTTTCATTGCAGCAAAAAGAAGGAACAAAACCTTTACGGCTGTTTTTCCAGCCCTACACATTTTAAATGTGGGATTTCTATCAATTAGTTTGCAATGACAAACTGCAGACATCAAAGTCGTGCAGTTACTGAAATGTAAACACACTGAAAATGGTCAAAGATTACATTTCTCTCTGCCATGACTAATCAGCAAATCTAAGTTTGAAAATAAGTTTTTAGCCCCAAGAAAGATGCCAAGGCATTCATGAGTGTTACTACAGCTCAAAAAGACTGAGGACCCTGGTAAAGCTTTAAGAAAATGTACAGAAACTGATTACATTGATACTGATTCATGTTGCAGTATTTGTCTCTTTACTTACAAATACAAAGAGTGATGAGGAATGCAATGTATGTGAGCATCTCCCTCAGTATGTTCCTGAGGTACCTCTCTCTGCTGCTGTCGCTGTCCTCCATTAGTTCTGTGCCCCACAGAACTGCAGAGACAAACAGTAATTCAGACACCAGCACATCAACAGTACATTGTAGGACAAAGGTTGTGAGAGACTCAAAGAATCAAATTTGACTGCTCAAAATTTTCATGATCAAAGAAGAGATTGTAAGAGAGGATAAATGATAATGATTATTATTAATTTTTCACTGTCATTATATCTATAAAAAGTGCAGGTAAAAATATTACTTTCACTGTTACTTTTGCGTCAGTTGGTTGTAATCATAGACTGTATATACGATGGACAACTTGGTTCCGCCTTCCGCCAGTATACAGATTTGAAGCCAGAAAGCTCTCTGTAATTCTGCGTTTTTTCTCCATTTCCTGAAACCAACATTGCGCAGTAGCCTTGTACGCACTCCACCACTTGCACAGTAGTATTGAACGCATTCGGCGGGAGAGTCGCCGAGAGTCACTGTGATGATGCTCAGCTCAAACAGCGTATCCCCCAGGTGAGCCATGCAATCCTTGTACGCCCATAGGCTGTATCAGGTGTCAATCATAAAAAACATGAACCCCCTAATAACTTTTTTAAATTGAGCTGTACAGAAAAAAGAGGACTTGAGCACAAACTAGTCTTATAATAACTACATGTCAACATCGCAGGGGGGGGGGGGGGTATGTTCTGTGTAATAAATATCTAAAGTTTGTCCACAGCTCCATAGGGATTGCTGAAGGAGGCGGGATTTATGACCTATACTGCAGCCCGTCACCAGAGGGTGCTGTTCTGGAAGGCAGACGCTGTCCGTTCTATATACAGTCCATAATATAAGGAAGGGCCACACTTGTATTAACCAATGGTCAAAGTCTACAGACCAAAAGTCTCTCAAAAATGATGGATAAAATAAATATAAAACAAATAACTTAAGACAGAAACTGGGATGGAAACTCAGACATTTTACTCTGCTTATTAACTGTTACACCGTGAATTCTCGAAACAATAACAGAGCATTTTTCTGCAGACTTGGTCATGCATTCAAATCGAAAAAGTACGAACTGTGTGTCACCAACCTCGTATCTTCTGAAGTATCTGCTTCATGCAACTAAGATGCTCGTGCCTGTCCTGCTGCTGGGCATCCACAGTCGGGGTCGGGTACAACCATCCTCGGGTTATGTGGGTGCTGCTGCCTCCACCGGTGTAGCTCCCGAGGCCGCTGCTGCAGCTGCTACTGGAGGCTGTGGATACTGACCTCCTCCCGGGACCAGCCGGAGGCCAGTCAGCTTCCATAATCTCGTCCTCAGGCTCGAAACCGGGATTGTCGCGGCTCCACGCTTGCCTCGACGGAGGGGACGGGGCACCTATGACTCCCCCGAGACACAGGTCTTGAGGTTGGATGTTCTCCATCTCTATCCCTTCCCCTGCGTCAAGTCGGTGAGGCAACCTGCCAGTCTGACTCTGTGGTGACTGTTGCGGTCTGACTCGGGAAGAACTCATGGTCCACTATGTTTTATTTTCTTACTTTAAATGGGACATCTGTGAAGTCCAACGTGCTGCAAAGACCCCAAAGCACTTCAAATACTTTAGAGCGACTGAGTCATTTCGACGTTTCCAACCATTAACTCAGCGCCTAAACGTGTCAAATAACTAACTACACGAAGCTTAATCGTTGTCTTGCTCGTCTCCGTTCTTCCTTTAGTTTCCACTCACCGAACCGTTAGGAAAGTTTCCATGAGGAAAACATCCAGTCGTCTGCATTTGCGTCTCAAAAATCAACGATGTCCCTCGTCTAGAAAAGGATGCTTCTGAAGCGACGTGTTATCTAACTCAAAGCTAAACTTGTTCCCGCTACGTATTTTTACACAACACTGACGACCGCACTGAAACGCTCGGTTTTAAGTAAAACGGTAACGGTACTTTTCGTGGTCCAGGACAGCCATCTTGTTCTCCAACTGTTCCCCCCCCAGAAAAAACTCTTTCTCATTTGTTCGAGACTCAGATTACATCTGGACCAGTCATGGCGTCGCAACGAAGGATAAAAACACTGCAATGGAAAGCATTTCTCTGTGGTGAAATATCCACTGTATCCATTTTTATTCCATTTTTCTCGAAACAGAACTGCTAAAAGCGATAGTTCCAGAGAGATTTTTTTTGGTCGTTATAGAAAGTCGAGATTCGAGTTCAAGCAAACAATTAAAGGCAAAAAACAAACAAACAGAGAAACATCTTTCTTAATCCCAGTGATAACTACTGAAAATAGTCAAGAATGCGAAATTTTAAAGGATGAAGACATTTGCATTGCATTACATAATCTTAGTGTGTTTGGATCAGTGGTTGCCATGACAACGTACTTTGCAAATGGAGCTTATGAGGCCTGGCTTCCTTGCTATTAAACTGTGAGGAAGTTTAGCCTTAAACTGTAGAATCAAAATGCCCTTTATTGTCATCACACTAAAAGTACAACGAGATTTGAGAGCTTCTCCTTTTACAGTGCAATAGACAAGTAAAAATAAGGTAGTAAAAGTACAAATAGTTGTAAGAAAGGAGGTACTACATATACATGACAAGAATTCTACAGAACAGTAAAATAAAAAGTATGCATAAGAATACAATAGAAAGATAAATAATAAAAAGAAGAGTACATTTTTTTGTATATGTATATGGACATGTATTGCTCAGGTTAAGGATATAATAATCAACACAGCAGCAGTAACATTGGTAATATTGCACTTGTTACCTCATCTTGAGGGCTGGAGCTTATGGGAGTTTAAGATGGTATGGAAACTGTATGGAGTAGTTTAGGGGAAATTCACAAATCCAGTTATCTACTCTATATAAATCTTAGAGGTGCAGTTTGGAAATAGTTCAACTGAGTTTTGCAACATTTTAAAGTTTCACAGGCATAATATTCTAGTTTAAAAGTCTTGAGGGGAAAAAAGCAAAAAAAAACCAAAAATTTAATATGATCGCCGGTGCCTATGAACAATATCTTGCGACTGTGATTTTACTCAAAACTTTGCTGCATGCACGTTACTCCTGCTTCTCTTCAAGTTATAATGGAGTATTACATTTTTAAGTCAATACAGCTCACAGGTTACATTTTCAATGACTTCATTTATGCACACCACCTTTTTTTTTCTCCTTTGGTGCCATGGGATAGTGTTACCCATACAGATCTGATGAGCAGTACTTTTATCACAACATAAACTAGACACTCCTTTACATATTCTTTGTTTTGTAGATGTCTTTTTGTCTGTTTTACGAGTGTACTGAAAAAAAATTGGTCGACCTATTGACAACCTATTGACATGGTTGTATGAGAATCTCTTCTATTTCAAGGTACAGATCTTGTTGCACCACTGGGTGGCGCTCTACATCCACACTTGGCTCAAGGTATTCTCCAACCTAATGTTTGAGAAATGCACCCCAGTGATGAAAAACAAGATATATTCATTCATGTCAATTAAAAAATTTCAAATGAATATATTGTTTAATTTTCTTTAAAGCTCTCCCTGAATTGTTGTCTGCACTTTAGAGTAAAGGATTTTCAATTAGCTAATTTTATTTACAGCAGGAATGCTTATTCAAAATCAGGTAGTTTGTTTTCTGATGATAACGTTGGATATGGATCACAATTTATTACAATTGAAGCAGAGCAAACCAATGAATACAAGAATAACAGGGAAGTACCATTCACAAGATGCCACAGTCAAGGTTTAGTCATCTCTCGGTTCTTATAACTGCGGTTACTAAAACTTGATGTTGTGAAAATTGTGTTGAAATTTTTTTGTTGTACAACTTATCAAAACAACACAATTCACATGTTGAGAGTATTCCATAAAGTGAAAATTACAGATTTTACATGACAAACGTATGTCCCAATCAACAGACTTCCTGACAATTAATGACATTTTACATGTTCGATGGGACAAAAAATAAATAAATTTGGAAGACATTATTTTCTGCTATTTGAAGAAGTAGCCTACTGGCATAATTGCTATACTATATATGAAATGTAAAAAGAAATCTCCATCCGTTCTGACATTGAATGACCGATGTATGTATATAAAAGTATGTGGTATATTGAGGTAAACACCTAGAAGTACCATGTAAAGCCACATAACAAAAATCAAATACTAAATGATCTAGTGTTGTGTGAAAGTGGTCTGTGGAAGTTTAGTCAATTAAACGGAGGCGTGGCTATTTGTTTTGCGTCATAATTTATGTTGCCTAGTGTAAACAGTCCATTGGCTGAATCTTTGTGACGGGGTTTTCCGGCCCCAGATTGCAGGGGTAAAACAATAAATAGAACCTATCACTTTAAACCTGCAATCTCCGGTACAGCAGAGATCATAAACTGTCAGGTAGCTGCACGTGGGGAAAATTGAGAATTTTTTCTGAGATACTTGGTATTTCAGAACCGTTTACAGTCGGTTACTTGTGATTATTTATTAAGTAATAATTCTGTCTACATAGATAGGTCATTCATAAGGTAAGTCAGGCATCCTCCAAGCTAAATCAGCTAACGTTTACTGTAACCATGAACGATAGCTAGCTGCATTGTCTGGTCAAACTCTGGACTGCTTGATAGACACGCAGTAATCGAACTGAGTGACCAAACTGGTGTGTCACTGCCGTTAACAATGCCCACTTTTATAACGAGATGAAAAACAGTCGTCTGTGCTGATTTTGTCAAATCTCGCTCCTTTGTTGTCTTTGAGCTAACCTAGCTTAGCGATGCACTTGTTCAATTGATAATGGTTTCACAGCCAGCCTAGGGTAGATGCGTTTTATTTCCTGTTATTTCAAACTTCATATTTGTCATTTGCTTTGACGGTTATCGAAAACAAAATATCCATGCGTAGTATATGTTGTCCACTTATGTCTCATCGTAAACAATATTGCCGTAATTTGTTGGTGCAGTACAATGGATTCATCAGCTTGATGTTTTCCCCTCATGCAAATAGCTAAAATACGAGTTGTTTGCGTGAAGTTTAGCAACGAATTACCATGAAAGCCTAGTCATGTGTTGTTTTGACCAACTGTCACGAAATATGCTCTTCAGCTCATTGCTGTTGCGACGACCGGCCAAAAGAAAAACGACGACGCCACAAGTTAGCTGTAGCTAATGGTAACAGGCTAACTGGCAGCAGCGGCGCAAGCTCGGCGATGCTTTCCTGTTTGTCGTATTAGCGTTAGCTTTAGCCGCTAACGATGACAGCAAAGAGTCCGGCACTTCAGATTCACCATCACTTTAGTTGTTTACAGTTGAAGTTAATGTGGTCAAAGTTTAAGTTGTAGAAGCCATATACTCCAGAAATATCCAGAATAGGCCTATGTGAAATTAATGAATCTGTCGCGCTAAAATGAACATGCGACAAATGAGAGCATGGGGAAAATGTTGTTAGCATAGAATTGGTGGGCCTTTCTGTACAGCAGGCAGTTTATTTAGATATAATTTCAGAGGTATGTGCTGTGGTCGTTCGTCGTTTACACTTTTGATGGATTGCTTTGAATGTAAAGTCAATTTTCCCAGCTGTCTGACTTGTCTGCTTGCGCTAGTCGCCCTTATTTTATCTCCAGTCTGTGTCCCTCTTTGTCTCATTTGATGGACGTGATGGCGCAGTTGAATGTTAGCTAGTGTGTTAGCCGACCAGCTTAACAGTCAGCTGCCTTGCCTCTGCCATTGGATTGATTTGGGTCAGGTGAATCATGTGGTCTTGTCATGAAAGTGAAACGTCTTCATTCACTATTGCACTTCCTGTACATCGGCTTCCTCAAATGACCTGATCGTAACAATCTGAGTAGCAGTCCCACTGAGTACAAACTCAGTTGCCAACTCATTACATACACTTAAAGTAATGCAATTTGATATAAAAGCTCTGCAGTATAACTAAAGGCTTTTATGAAAGTTTTATTGTTCACTCTGTTATAACTACAAAAAGTGAACTGCGTTCTTACAGCGTTGCTCTTACTCAATGGTCATTTCACAGAGTATAGCACTTTGTGGGTTTCTTCTGAATTGTATTTCATATATCGGATAATAATCTTACACAATTTTAGAAACACTTCTTATTACATTGCCAGCTTCAGTACCATTGACTGTGGTGTCAATATTACCATAGAGTTTAATAATCCCTTCAAATCACTCAGGAGGAATCCTGAAGAAATCAATTCACAGAAAAGCAAATGTTTGTCAAAATAGAGTTTATTTACTGCAAACTGTAAGTATGTGCATGCTATTCAGCATCTATGATAAAATGTTTTAATCTTTGTCTTATTTCCTTTTCAAGCACTTAATATTGCTTACCAAAGAAATGGTGATGGAGAAGCCAAGTCCCCTGCTTGTAGGGCGGGAGTTTGTGAGGCAGTATTACACACTCTTAAACAAAGCTCCAGATTTTCTGCACAGGTAAATACTAAATTGTGATGCATTCAACTCTAGATCTGTAGATATCTGTTGATATTTCTCTAATTGTCTTACCATTGTGCTGTTAGATTTTATGGGAGGAATTCTTCTTATGTCCACGGAGGACTTGACCCAAATGGAAAGCTGGCAGAAGCAGTGTACGGGCAAGCGGTAGGTGCTAAAAAGGAAAAAATAAATTTTTTATAGTTGATGTGGAAAATGTTGTAGAGGGTGTGAGATTTCAAATAACATAACATTTGCAAGTAGGAAATTGAAGAAGCAGCTAATGAAGAAATTATGCTCACATAACTGCCACATAAAACTCTTTTCCTAATGAATATTACATGTTTTCAACCACCTTGTCGTAAAACAGTCATATTTGCATTGTTTGTAAAGTCTCCATAAAATGAATTCAGAGATGAGGATATTAATCACAAGGCTTTAAGGTTTAACCTGATAATGAATGTGAAAGTAAAGGAAACAAGCTGATTCAGTCTGTGGTGAGCAACCAATTTTTAAAATCTTTTAAAAATGCCTTGAAGATTTTTTTTCCCCACAAAATTTTTCAATAAAAATGTTAAAGTTAGCAGACAATTTTTGCCGTCTTTCTACTTGAATAAGCTCTTGTGTTAGGTCTTTCATACAAAGTTCATCCAGAAAATATGTTTTAGTGTATTGTAGATTTTTGGCTTAAGTGGCCCCGCATATTCTCTGTTTTTAATATGTGGTTATCCGTTCCTCTCTGAATCTCTTAGGAAATCCACAAGAAGGTCATGTCCCTGCAGTTTAGCGAGTGCCACACAAAGATCAGGCACGTTGATGCACATGCTACTCTCAGCGATGGAGTGGTGGTGCAAGTCCTTGGAGAACTGTCCAATAATGGCCAGCCCATGAGGAAGTTCATGCAAACTTTTGTTCTTGCTCCAGAGGTGAGTACCAGCATTTCCAAGCCACCTTCCCAGATACCTGCACAATAGAGGAGCTTAGCCTATGTTATCTTTTGATAGTTAAAAGGTTCAAACAGACCCACTGGCTGCAACTAATTCAACATGAGTCATGCCATCGTAAACTGAGGAATCTTTTCAACGAACCGAGCACACTCCAGAGTTAATTTACTCGACAGAATACAGCAGTTGTCTTTAAAAGCATGTTTATGACCCAATGAAACAGAAAAAGCGATAAAAAGTGGCACCTGTAGACTGGTCTGCCTCAATATCCATTCAGCATTCCTTGCACAGTGAAGAGGCTGCTTGCTTTTTAGAGCGCCACTCCCTGACAAAATCCACTGCATATTATACTGGTATATTGGTCGCATTGGTGTATAGATGAAACAATTTGGAAATGCATCAGTGCTAAAAATGAATGTATAGGTCTTCACAGTAAAGTGTTAATATTTGATTGGCCTATTTTATATGTTTATGATTTGTTTCTTTAGGGTTCAGTGGCAAACAAGTTTTATGTCCACAATGATATCTTTCGTTACGAGGATGAGGTTTTTGGAGACTCTGAAGCTGAACTGGATGAAGGTAATATGTTCACTAATATCCTACGTAGACCCTGTGATTTGTTTTGAGTGTCTTATAAATACAACTTCAGAATCTGTTGATGAACACAATTGCTTTTTGTCAATCAGAGTCTGAGGAGGAAGTAGAAGAAGAGGCAGAGGAGAGGCAGCCATCCCCTGAGCCACTGCAAGAAAGCCCCAACAGCACCACCTATTATGAACCTCACCCTGTCGCGTATGCTGCCATTTCATCTTAACCATAATCTGTTTCAGGAAGTTTTACATTCTGTTATTTGACCTTTTAAAACTTATGTTGAAATGACACCATGTTGATGTGTGATCTTTAGTAATGGAGTAGAAGAGCCCATGGAGGAGCCAGCTCCAGAACCAGAACCAGAGCCAGAACCAGAGCCCAAAGCAGAGGAAATAAAACCTGAAACAGAGGAGAAGGCTCTGGAAGAGATGGAGGAGAAAGCACCTTCACCAGTCCCTGCAGAGTCCCCACCAAACACCCAGGAGCCTGCCAAGGTAAGACTGATGTAACAAACTTTTAGTTTACCTTTTTAGTTTGTTGTCAGGGATCACGCACAACACAAGCTTCTGAGCCAGAGTTAAGCCTGGCACACACTACTAGATAATTGTGCCGATTATGGGTTTGATTCCCCCTTTCCAACAAAGGTCAGCAAAGGCCAGATTATCAGATGGTTCTAAATATTATCTTGCCAGATTATCCAGTGGTGTCAGGTGTGTTGAGGTTGATTCTGATCAGTGTAAGATGATCAGAGCCGGCCCAACTTGGAATCATAAATATTTAACACCACGACTTATGACCCAAAATCCTTGTGTTTGTGGGGATCCCAGATCATGCATGCTGCCCATTTTCACATGGAACAGCTCGACAGACAACCGGGGAGCAAGCTGACCAATGCAGGAAGCACAATAAACGTAACCATGGCAACAAATAGTAAATGCAAACATGAACTAAGACTGAAATCTGAGATACAGGATCTAATCGTTGTTACATGGAGACTACACAAGTGTTTACACAACCCCTCCCCAAAATGACAAGGGGAGGGGTTGAGGAGAAATTTGTTCTCAGTGGAGGTACCAGGAAGCTAATAAATCTGTCATCATTTGTCATTATGTGGGGGGTCTCTTGACTATTTTAAAATCTGTGCAGATTCTAAAATTGTTTTCGTGTGTGCCAGGTCTTAGCTATGAAACTATAAAGCTCATTTACATCTGTGGTCTTTGGGCAGGAAGGTCTAAAAACAAGCAATACAATCAATTTTAAAGTAGCATTTAAATGACTGAAGCCAAACAGTGCATCACATAAACAACATAACATCACACAAAAAAAACATACTCTGCCTAAATATACAGTGTTAGTGTTAACTTGTCATTGCTACATCCCTCATAGACTTTCTCCTGGGCCTCGGTGACCAGTAAAAACTTGCCCCCTTCTGGCACAGTCACCTCCTCTGGAATCTCACCCCATGTTGTTAAAGCTCCAAGCTCACAGGTAACAAACTGCCACTGGACATGAAATGTGTGGAACATCATGAAATATTTGAGAAAATCTCAGACCACATAAGAAATTTGACCACTGCGCAGAGGTCATCACTTTTAAGGAGCACTAGTTAGCACAGTGATGTTTGTAGATACACTTCTTTTGGACTTTGTGTTTCAGTCACTTGAATAAAAAGCTTAGTTGATGTTAATGTTGATGAAAATCTAAGTTCAAGTTGTGCATAAAAATGGCCTCAAGTAGGGGTAGCAAGTTTTCAGGTAGACACATGTAAAACAATGACACCCAAAAGATGAGTGGCAGAGTGCTTTAGACCATTATGCAGTGCTAAAATTTGAAACATATATTGTGGCTCATGAAATAATTTTTCTGTCACAAAAACAGAACTGCAAAAAAAGGTTTGAGAGTGACTCAAATGTGAACTCATCAAAACATTCCTCTCCCAAACAGCCCAGAGCTGAGGCCAAGCCGGAGACACAGACAGCACCTATGCGGCCCAGAGACCAGCGCACACGGGACAGACCGGCTTTCACTTCACGGGGTCCGAGACCTGGTAATGCCATATCCCCCTTAATAAGGTTTTATTGCACCTTGTCTGTTTTCACTGAATTTTTTCTTAGTTCTGCACGTCTCTGTCACTTTTAGATGGTGTTGCATCTTCAGAGTCACAGACGGGAAAACCACACCTGAGTTTTGTCAATAAAGGTTATTATCAGAGTTCAAGTCAAATCTAAATAATCCTGAAAATGTGTTTTATGTCCCATTTGTAGGATTTTGATGTTGATGATGCACCTAAGCTGATGTGATGACTTTCCCAACATGTAGGTGGACGGTCAGACAATGAATCTGGTGAAATGGACGGCAGGCGTAGCAACCGGTACCCAGACAGCCACCAGCTGTTTGTTGGCAACCTTCCACATGACATTGACGAGAATGAGCTCAAAGACTTCTTCATGAGTACGTTTCATCAAAGAAGCTTTATTTTTTTATTACCTCCATCCTCTTAGAAATATAATCAAAACCTTTTGATGATGGAAAAAAAAAAAAAAAAGATGAGTCAGCATACCTCTTCTTTTTTCCTTTTATTTTTTTTTCTTTTTACAGATTATGGAAGCGTGGTGGAGCTGCGGATCAACACAAAGGGTGTTGGTGGAAAGCTGCCCAACTTCGGATTTGTGGTCTTTGACGACTCTGAACCTGTGCAAAGAATCCTGGGGGCCAAGGTAGACGGGGCATGTATAAACATTTCATTACCCACTTTCATTCTTTGGTGGTGGTTTGGTGACACTCATTTTCACAAATAATATTTAACCTCAATCTCACATAGTGAGGATCCCTCTTGAAAATTTTTGTCTCTTATTGTTGTGCAGATGATAAATCTAGTCAGTGAACAGAAATCCCTGTCTGTCTTCTGGCCAACACTAAGTTAGTAAAAACACATCGGCAGCTGCGTTTGGCAATCAAGTTTCAAAGAGTGGTGAAGTTTTACTCTTTGTGACTGTTTTGTGCTGCAGCAAATGTTAGTCAAGGATCAACTTCTGGAGAACTTTACCTTCTTTCTCAGCTTCTTTGAGGTGAAAATTCTGCCTTGTTGAAAGATACTTCATGTTGACAAACCTCAAGCAAGGCTTCCTTATCTGGCTGACAACTAAAACACAAGACTACTAGACCACTCTCATCCAGCTGAGAATGGGTTATTTCTTATTCCAACTTTGTCTCAGTCAGAGGGAGTAAATGTTTATACTAGCAGACTGATACGTGAGGGGAGAGGTTACACAAGGCCTGAGACAGATTGTCACACTTGTGTGCAAACCAGTGAATGAGGTGGGTTGTGAAATAGACTGACAGGAAAATATGGAATCGTTTTTCTCCTGTATTGACCTTGAATCTCTCTCTTCAGCCCATCATGTTTCGAGGGGAGGTGCGTCTGAATGTAGAAGAGAAGAAGACGAGGGCAGTGCGTGAGCGTGAGACCCGCAGTGGGGGAGATGAGCGCAGGGACATGCGGCGCAACGACCGAGGCCCTGGAGGTTCCCGAGGTGTTGTGGGAAGCGGAATGATGCGTGAACGTGATGGCAGGGGACCGCCTTCTCGTGGTGGCATGGCCCCCAAACCTGGCATGGGCTCTGGGAGAGGCTCTGGTGGCCAGGCAGAGGGTCGCTTCATCACCCAGCGCCGCTGAGAAGAGCACCACCTGCAGCGTGGAAGTAGTACCGTGTTCTTCATCTTCAACCGTTCTCGATAATGAAAAGAAATCTTCATGTATAAACGTATATATTTGTTATTTTGTTTAATTTTAAATTTTTGTTCCCTCTTTGCTTTGGAATGTGACACAGCCTGTCAACCATTTGTTTGTGAAATAGACAAAACAGAAATAAGCAAACAAAAAATTCTGCTTATTAGTCGTGAGCTGAGCATCCTTTTTCAGGTAACTCAAGAATTCACAAACTTTAATTTGTAAATTTGTGAAAAGAGGCAAACCAACCAGGAGTAATCTGCCACACTAGGAGGGACTGATAAGACTTTAAGTACGACAATACAGCCCATCATTTGGAAAAGAGATTATATGCCTTGACTTAACTGGGGCGCTTGCTTCACGAAATCCCTCTATTGCACATTTTATATGGTAGTTTTCTGCCCGTTACTGTTGGAAAAGAGTGAGATGCAAAATTTGTGCAGTTCCAGGGGAAAAGCTTGCCTTTTACTTTTTTCCTTTTGAGAGACCACTGCTTCAAAATTGCATAATGCACTCATCAATATGCACTAATGGGTACTTTTGTCGTATTACATTGACATCTATGCTCGGAACCCAGCTGGAGAGCCCTATCCTGTCTCGAAGCGACACGACTTATCGGGGCAGGCCTCGCTTACAGCCTGTCTGCTGTGACCGGTGTACTTTTCACACTTTTGACCCCAAACTACGCTTCAATTACTGCTGGATGGACAAGATGACAAGCAAATCTACATTATATTTTTCCTCATTTATAAATTAGATAAATACGAAAAGAGCTCAAATCTTGGACTTTCGTCGAATGAGTGGGGGGACAAAGGATATACAAGAAACAAAGTTGAACAATAGGAGAGTGGTGGTAAAGGTGGCTGCTCACTCTGTTTTTCTTTTGATTCCAAGTTTGTTTTTCTTCATGTTTTTTCCTGCCAGCTAGACCGTGAAACTGGGACGGACGACATCTCCTTCCCTCTTCCCTCCCTCCCTGTCTGAAGCACGGAATAACAGAATAAATGTACAGCAAAAGTCATAGTTTACTGTATGTTTTGTGTTCTGTGCATCTTTTGATTTTTCCCTCTCTACTTTATAGAGCATGATGGTGCCTTCTATTTCACCTTTTTCAGTCTTACAAAAGTGGTATGGGGCTTTGCCGCCTCCCAATGCGGAGCTGCTCATTCTGAACTATTGACTTCTTGGAGCAGACATACAAAAGAGAAAATTGCAGTATTCACAAGATTGAGTTTTTTCCAGGTGCATTTTCTTTTTTTCCATACTGTTTTACTACCTAAGATATTCTGTTGTGAGTTTTGTACATTTGTTTTTGTATTGTCTGTTCTGGGTTTTGTAGAGACAATAGGTGCCTCGAGTTCTGTTTGATGTTTAATGGTAAAAGAGCTGCATCTGAAGAACTTCTCCCCAAAAAACAAAAAAGGTACATTAAAGATGATGACGATGAAATGCTTGGTCTTTGGTTTACATGTCATGGCTGAACAAAACCGTGAAGGAGAGTAAATGTCACTCAGTGTGAGTCAGATACTGTTTATCTCTACTTTCAGTCTGACTTTTTTTTAGACTCATGGCAGCACTCGGGTTAAATCCCTGGACTCAGAAGTTGTCGGACTTTTCCTCAGCAACAATTTTGTAATGATCTGTGGTGGGTGGGCTGGTCATAGTTCAGCCTAAAGACTAGCAAATAATGTGCTCACACTTTTCTAGCTGTTTATGCTTTTGTATTTTCATATGCTGATTATTCATTGTGCTTATTTTATTCACTTTTTGTCATTCAAGGCGAGTTTAATCTGAATGCCACACTAGTCGTTTCCTTACCCCTTTAGCGTGTTTCCTTTGGTACCACTTGGTAGGGAGGGAAGACCCTTCTGGTTTCATCTGGAAAGGAAACCCAGACATGAGTTGTTAACTTTTATTTTATTTTTATTTTTGTTATGTTGCACTGAAATGGGAAGTGAAAATTGATGTAGCATTTTTCTGGACAAATATACTGAATGAGGTCTTCCTTGTCTGGTGGTGTTGCACTATTCCCCACATTTCTGGGACAATCTGTCAGTTTGAACACAGCTTCTCCAAATTTCTCATCTAGCTGTGAAAAATGAGAACATTAGGGCTTATCTTGATCAGCATGAAATAACCTTTCCTCCCTTGCAGTAAAAAAAAACAGTTTTGATGCATATTTTATGTCGTTTTTCAAAGTAATGCTGGGCTGTTCTCCCAGGTTGAATATTTTCTGAAGTGATATTAGTTTTCAATAGAGGGACTCTTAATTTGCGACCATCAGTCTTTGACTGAGTAATATAGAAATGAAGTGACAGCTCTTTGGTCTTTGAGTGTTTTTAACAGACAGTTAATGTTTGTCAGGTATTTGTTAAACATGAGCACTTGACTACGGTCCTAGTTTTTACAGCAATGATCGATGAAGAGAGTGGTGAAGAAGAGCCATCTAGCTTTCAGACCAGTCTGTGCTTTACATCAAAGTGGTGGTTAAAAAAAGTCTGACCTGGTGAATTTAATTGTTGGATGGTTATTTTCTCTCAAAGGCTTTTAATTACCCCTTCCCCTTCCTCTCTAAAAGGATCCTCAAAAAAAATACTTGGAAAAAGCTGTAAAATTATTTTCCTGTGGTTGAAAATGCAGTAGAGTGGATCCTCTGTGAATCATTCCAGTCCTTCTTTATGAATGGAAATAGAAGTACCTTATTGGCTTTAGCAGGTGTGGTTAACAGTTGGCTGCCATCTTAATTTTACTGTGTTTGCCCTTGTTTCTAGTACAAAAGTGTTGCAGGTGGAGAATCTTTCTTTCGTCTTCTTTTGTTCCTTTTTCCTTTCTATTTTGAATGTGTTGGACTTAACATACAATAAACTACTGATATCAGCACCACTCACAATGTTTGTCTTGTTTGCAGCTTCCTCTGTATCAATGACGCTCTACAGTATATAAGTGGTTGAAATTTGCAGGACGATATTCTAACTGCTGTGGTGCAGATTTGAGTATTTGGGCTATGGTCATTGGCCAGCAGTGGAAAAAGTCAGTACAATTATGTTTTTTTGTTTTGATTTTTTTTGTTATTTTAGTCAGTGGACATTAGCATTTTCAATTATTTTATGCTGTTTTACTGGAAGCTTTGTCTCAGAGTGGGTTACAAAAAGCTGAAGATGGGAGATGCAAACAGGGCTCTGAAGAATAAGCACTGTATTTGTGTTCATATTACACATTGTACCTCTCATTGTCATAGTTCAGTTTAAAAGCTAAATACGCACAGTTAATGTAAATTAAGAAGTGAATTCTTAACAATAGGTGTGTACGTGTGTGTATTAAAAACAAGGAAACTTGACTCACAGTAAGGTGAAAGAATCTCTGGAAACCCAGTGAGGAGGAGTGGGCGGGTCAGAAACTCCAAGGTGAGTGTGGACCTCCTCTTTTATCTGTCCAAACAGCAAAAACTTCTCACTGACTGGATAAGGGGGGTTGAAAGTTACATGGTTGGTGTAATTTATCGGGTGGACACAGCTGAGCTTTGTTACTCATTGTGGGAGCAAACTTTGACTGCTGGAGATTTGAAAGGAAAAAAAAATATTGAAAACGAACATCATAACACAAGGTGTATGAATTTAGAATCTTATTTTGACATTTTGTATTTACATTTAATGGCTTAAGTTTGTAGTTTTGACTAAAAATGTAAATTAAAACAGAAAGGTTATTTTTAATACAAAAGTAAATGTTAACAAGAGCAAACAAAGAAAAACATCAGTGCAAACTGTCAAGAACTCTTGATCTTCAATTTTATTTGTGCCCACATTTACACAAAATCTGATTTTTGAGTTGCAGACAACGCTGCAAAAACATCAATATAAATTTACATATTAAGTACAGATTTGAGGTTGATTGATTAATCCAGTTGATTGATGGTATTTAATAATAATAATAATAATGCATCAGATTTCATATAGCGCTTTATCAGAGACCCTCAAAGCGACCCTTAAAGTAAATTGGCGTCACACTGGCATTAGCACTCACAATTATGCCATAATCACAATTACCTTTCCCAAATGACTACACATTTTCCCTTCCAAATGACTGCAAATCAAATCTAAAACAGCTACTGGCTAGTATTTAACATGAATGAATGTACAATGTATAAAAAATATATTATCTTATTGCTCCTGACTTAACACATTGACATTATTTACCTTTTATCACGAGTTAATTACAAATCGACTTTTAAACATGTTTTTGGTTATTAGAATATATAAGATTTCAACACGCATGGAGTAGAAATCCCGAAGGCCCCTTGTGGAAAAACTCTACTTGGTCAGAAATTTTTCTATATTTAAAAGAATGTTTATTCAAGCTTGTAAATTTTGTTTCTTATTTGTGAGTAACGTAAATCATTACATTGCTACAGTGGCCGAGAACCGCCACTGCTGCAAATAATAAAGAATGCAAAAAAAAAAAAAAAAAAAGCCACAACGGAAGTTACCGATGCAAAAAAAAAAAAAGGAAAGAAACTGAAGCTCGCTGCAACGGTGAGACGACAGTGAGAAGACGAGCAAGGAAGTAAGTGAAAAGGTTATTGTTAAATTTCGCTTCGTGTCCTTTCAATGTGTATATAGACTGTATATAGAATGGACACCATCAGCCTCCTTGTTGGGTGAAGCCACTCTGAGAACAGCACCCTCTGTTGACGGGCTGCAGTATAGGTCTTAAATCCCGCCTTTCCTAGCAAAGCTTATGGGACTGTGGACAAACTTTATAAATTAATGACACAGAATATAAATGTTTCTACCTCCTGGTTGTGATGTTGACATGTAGTTACTGTCAGACTGGTTTGTGCTCAAGTCCTCTTTTTTCTGTACAGCTCCGTTTTTAAAAGTTATTAGGGGTTCATGTTTTCTTTGACTGACACCTGATACAGCCTCTTGGCGTTCAGGGATTGCGTAGCTCACCCAGGGGATACGCTGTTTGAGTTGAGTGTCATCACAGTGACTCTCGGCAACTCTCCCGTCAAATGTGCACAAAGCTACTGTGCAATACTGATTTCAGGAAATGAAGAAAAATCACAGAAATACAGAGCTTTTTGGCTTCAAATCCATATACAGGCGGAGGCAGAACCAAGTTGTTTATAGTATATACAGTCTATGGTTAGGCCATAGACTGTGTCTGTGTCGATATGGAGTTGAACTGAAGCTAACACTACACCGGCATCCTCCAGTTCAACTTCTTATCAACTCAGGCGCTACATGGCCTAACCGAATTACATCGCCACATTTTTTTTTCGCATCCTAAACTGGCTTTTTTTTAACCTGCACCATTTCTTTTTTTATTTTCAGCGGGCTTCATTTTATTTTTTTTGCATTGTTGTGACTTCTTTCTTTTTTTTGCATTCTTTTTTTTTATTCTTTGCTGCAGTGGCAGTTCTTGGCCCCCGTACATTTCATTAAATTATTTTCAAAAAGGTTACATCAGAAGTTGATCCTTGCAAGCACCTTTTGCTGAGAAAACGCATTTTTTTTATTTTCAAAGGCTTTTTGTGCACATTTGCTTCCAATACACCTGCTCCATCGTTTTTTAATACCAAAATTGGTATTTTTTCATGAGTTGTACACTGAGTCATCTTTCCTTATATTTTAGTGCAGATGCAGACCCGTAGTTAAATTGAGGCTGTATTTAATAAATTATAGAGTATTTGGGTGTAATGATGAATTTGTCTTGCCCTTTAAATAACTGAATTTACTCGTATGTTGGTCGGCCACGTATCGCCACGTCTGCGCGCATGCGCAGAATCCTTTCGTTTGTGTTCCGGGGTCGGTCAGTCAGTGTGTACAGGGTGCTTTAGTCTTTAACTTAGTGCCTTTTCTGTTCAATTAAAAACAGAAAACTGAGGGAAATCGAGTCTTGTTGAAGAGGCAGAGGTGATTTGAACAGGGCACCGAGAGGACGTCTTTGAAGATGAGTTTCATTTTCAGAGGAATGATGGGTGGGCAGCCAGCCGGGCCGCAGCCGTCTGGAGCCGAGACGGTAGGAGAGTCTGCCTGGCTAGCTGCGGCTAACTCCGATTTTCAGATGACTGTGTGACTGTCAGACCGTGATAACACAAATATAATACATTAGGATGGTTGAACACCTTGAATGTCCTCCTTTTAAACCTACAGCATTTGTTGTTGGGAGGCTCGGGGCCTTTTTAAAAGAGGACAACAGAGCAGTTCAGAAGCTAATTGGCTAGTTAGCTAACGAAGGAGCAAAGCTGTCAGTTAGCAGCAGCTGGGTTGTTTGGCTGTTTGACATTTCTGCTGTTTCCCTGTGGGAAGATCTGAATGAATGAAAATAAATATAACACACTGGATCGTATGTTGTTATACAAGTAATGACCGTGAGTGGCTTCGTAAACAACCTGTAAATATGAGTAAATAAATGTGTGTGATGTGTGTATTTAATGGATAGGGTTAAAAAGATTGATATATCCACACCGTAAAGGATTGGTGCCAGCTGAGCAAACTGTTGCAGTAAAACAAAGGTCCTCTACTAATGCACTGATACAGAGATAAAACTAAAGATGACTTTAATGATCTTCTCCTCAGAGTAATACCCTGAATTGTCAAAGGCGATAACCCAGTCTGCACAGGTCCTAATCTCAGTAGAGAAGAGTTCAGGTCCCAGAGGAGATGAAACAGAGTCCTGTATGAAAGACTTTAATATCAGTGCAAAACTGTTCTTCCCTTACAATGAAATCTTTTCTACACAAGTTCTGCTTTTGACTGCTTGGAGAAGCATTTAGGCTCTCCTGCACTGTTCATCAAGCCTGTGTTAGCTTGTTTTTCTCAGTTATTGGCTGTTTCAACCACAACCAGCTTAAAGTCAACATTTATCAACACTGCGCTGACCTTTTCTTGCTCTTTGCAATAGGAAGCAGAGGCTATTATTACAGACTAGTGTTTGTCTTTAGCCCATTATATCTAATGGAGCTGGGAGGATATGCTTTTCTCCCGATTCGATTCTTCTGTGATTTTTTGGATCCCAATGTGATTTAAATTTCGATTCTTGGATATTGTCGATTTTCTCAATATTCAGTCTGCATTTTTAACACCAGTGAAACAGTTATGATTGTCTACTGACAATTCCAGGAACCATAGTTCCCCAAAAATACACATCACATTTAAGTCAGATTTTAAAATTTATTATTAAATTTGAAAAAAAAAGAAAGATTTTTGAACATGAAAATCGATCTAAAAATTGTAAAACAAAAAATCGCCATGCTTATGTGAATCTATTTTTTCTCCCACCCCTTTTTATCTAAGCAGTGTGCCTAATGTTGTCAGCTTCATATATCCTGAGATTGCAATTGTACAAACCAAAGCGTTAACTGCAGCTTGATAGCAAACATTGCAAACAGTGTGGCTCAGTTTTTCTCTCAGTGTTACTCCCACCCAAGAAAAAATCAGAAAGGTGGAAAATTCTAGACTCACCTTCAAAAAGGACATTAATGCTTCTTCATAACAGAGAACATGCATATTTTATTTAGATTAAAACACAAGGCTGTTGAAAAATAAATGTGTATAAATGTATTTATGTATTTAAGGTTCTTGAAGCAGAAATAATTAGATATTAACAATTTAAAAAATTACATTTCAAAAGCTTGAAGGAAAATGTGATGAAAATGTATGTATACATAAGTAAATAATGATGTGTTTGTTGACAGATCCAGAAGTTGTGTGATCGAGTTGCTTCCTCTACACTCCTAGAAGACCGCAGAGATGCTGTCCGTGCACTTAAGTCCCTCTCTAAGGTAAATATTGCACTTATTTAAATAAGAAGCTAGTAGTTAATAAGAGAGCCAGTTTATGAGACATACCCATGTACTCTGTTTTTGTTTCAGAAAAATAATTTAGATTAATTTAAAACTAAACATTACAACCTCCATCAAGGTTGGATTTTATTGCAGAGTGTTGCATAAATTTGCATCATTTTAATTCCAGTGGACTGGTGAAAGAGAGTCTGTGTTTATGGTGGTGTTTTGATTAGTGGTTAACTCAGCGTTAATGAAGCCTTCATTGTTTGATTATTCAGTTAATAGGAGTAGCTGTTAACAAAGCCAACAAAAAACAACAGATTTTCTGTGTTGGAAAATTTAAACAAACAGAAACCTATGAGAATATATTTCCCTCTATCACTGTGTCATAAATAAAACTCTTAAATAGGCATAGTTAATCATGATGAAGGGATCCCTGATATAGTCCTGTTCAAAGTCATCTCTTCATTCTGCTGTTTTGTTTATGGACAGTTTTGTGACAGGCTGTCCCGTCAGCCATGAGTAATGAGTTTATCAGGCATGAATAAGGGGTTTAGGAGGCACAGGGTTGCACATTAACACTCAGTGAGGTCAGAAATACAAAGATGGATGTGTTGACTTCCTGTAATTTAGACCAAATGCCTACAAATTAGTTACAGATTAAAACTAACATGATAATTAATTTTTAAATATGTATGTCTACATGAAGAAAAAAACACATTTATATGTTTTTTTGTCCTGTATTTTTTCCTGTTGCAATACATTTTGCAAAAAAAAAACAGGTCGCTACATCAGTTTCCAAAGGTTGTGAAGCCTTATATTAAATGCCCAAAGAGCCAAACAGAACAAACACTTTTCCAGCAAATGTTTCAAGGTTTATCTTTATGCTGGAGTTTCTCTTTTAGTTGTTTTAGCTTTATTGATATCTTGGCAGTTTATCCTTTATCTCTTTGGTTTGATTTTGCTTCTTCAGATACTTCTATACATACTATTCACACACAAGTATTCTTTTCCTCCACATGTGCTAAATGGCTTTTAATATCTTAGGATCTGACAGAAGTAAAGCAGGATACTGGACACCAGCTCCTCTCTTTGTATTGTTTTGATGAATTCTGACAACCTTCCTTTTACCTTTTGTAGAAATATCGAATGGAAGTTGGCACACAGGCCATGGATCACCTGATTAACATTCTGCAAACTGACAGGTGTGTTGATGTAGCTCATACTGTTGTTCTTTTGCTCTTACAGCCCTTCTGCACTGATTATGTTGACCATAATAAATTCATCTCTTTTCTAAAATAAACAGGTCTGACTCTGAAATCCTGGGCTATGCTTTGGACACACTGTACAACATCATCTGCAATGATGAGGAGGAAGAGCAAGGTACAATACTGTCTCACAAGTTATGACTATAATGAGATTCTTCTTTAATCATTCTTATCATTTGAAGCTAATTCCTCCTATCAGTGAATCTCCTGAGTTACTGTTTTGTTTGCATGCGTAAAAGTAATTCATGTGAACTGGACTTGAGTCAATTTGCATTCCTCTACACTGACAATGATTGCTATATGTTAAGATTCTCGTCTCTCTTCTCTTTCCATGTTTTAACTCTACAGATGAATCAGAAGGTAAAATTCTTTGTGCATGATGCCCCCACTTCTCCTTTGTAACTGGCAGCACTTACAAATGTTTCTCTTGGTTGGGAAAAAAAAAGTGCATACTAAATAGTCTTACTCACCACTCCAACAGCTGACAAATCCAAAGCCGTGTGTTGGTGTTTGTCAGTGCATGTACTCACAAGAATCACTCAGCTGACCCAACACGTCTTCACAGCAGTTTGAATAAAAGCTAGCTTGTGGGTGAGGCTTAAAACTTCTCTTCCTCTGCTCTCCCAGATGCAGTCACTCACATCCTTGTCTTAGGGATAAGCATACAAATGCTTCGGCACCTTGTCAGCATTGACGCTTTATGCAGCATTGCTAAATCACTTAATGCCACTATATCCGGCTGCATTGTAAAAGTGACTGAGAGGTTCTTTGCTAACAACAGAATGTTCCACTAATATCATCTTGTCTCCAAACATCAGTCCTTTAGTAATCTCACTGCTTCATTCTTTTTTTTCCCACATTTTAAAAACTGCTGGTTTATGCTCTGTTGTGGTGTAATTGCACAAAAATGCATTGGTGGCTCATTTTGGAGTGTTTTTCAAAGTCATATCATCTATACAACCAAAAAAATGACTTCGCTGACGCCCTCCTCTTGGTTTTCTTTAGAGAGCTGTAGATTGTTAGAAAAAAGCCATTTTGTCTTTAATGTTCTTTGAAACCTGTGGAAGATTTTTCTCTGGCCCCCTAACAAAGTCCATTCAACAACAATAACAGCAACGTGGCAAATACTTGTAAAATTAGCATATTTTCCCCATATTTTGACATCGCCCAGAACAAATTATTTTAGACGCAAAGTTCCCATAACTAGAGTCTATGAGAATATTGAAAACTGACTGGTGAGAGGTAATTATGACTGTTAGAAGATGCCAAAATAATAAGCTGAAAGATGCCATAAAGTATGTGTAGTCAAATGTAACTGCAGGGATTTCTAACAAATAGAAGTGATTGTCACTGCAAATGCTCTTTTTTATGTACCGCATGTAGGTAAATCTGGCTCAGACTATTAATATTTGTCTAAAGGTTATGATCTATACATGTGAATTTAGTGCATTGGTGTTTCTGGCTAGTTTGTCCCATGAAAGCTTCCTGCTCTTCCCACATGAGACATCTGTTTGTTTATGTTCACAGTAGAACCCCTTCACTCCGTTCTCCCTCCCATCCAGCCGTCCCCCCACATCTGTGTGTCGCCCTTGGTTTCTCAGACTGTTCCCAAGTATCACCCTGAGCATGTGCACATTGTTTGAATTGTATTTATTCTTTGTCAAGTCGTCATTCAGTAGCTGGAAACTGCCTGTGAAAATACAGGCAAGATTTGAAGACCACTGATGACCAATATCAGAGTATTGATTGGGTCTGTTACCAATTTCAGCTCTCTATCTCGTTTACAGATGAGGCTGCTCAGAAGCAGGCTGATGATCTGGGTACTCAGTTCACAGAAAAGTTCATCCAGGACCCTGAACATGTGACCCTGCTGCTCACTCTGCTGGAGGTACTGAACTATTTCTCAACATTTATATGATGCTCAGGAAGCTTTTTAAGCTTTTTATTAAAGTTTTTTTGGTTTGTTTGTTTTAAGGAGTTTGACTTCCACGTTCGATGGCCAGGGGTGAAGCTATTAACCGCTCTTCTCAAGAACCAGGGTACCCAGCTTCAAGGGATTATTTTGGTCAGCCCCATGGGTGAGTTTCTTCTTAGCTTTGTATTTTCAGAATTCTACTCAGGCCTGTTTAGTCTCATACCAACATGTCTGCATCCTTAGCGTCTGTTTAGAGAAAATTTACAGTTTTCACTCAAAGATGTGATATTTTATCAAAACCTTTAATTAATATTTTTAAAATTCCACACCTTTTTTTTATATCTGTGTCAATCTGCAGGGGTTTCCCGGTTGATGGACCTGTTGGCAGACTCCAGAGAGGTGATTCGCAATGACGTGAGTACTCATCCCAGCTGTTAAAGATATCGTTTTAGAAAGAAAACCTTGTTTAAGTCTCTGAAACTAAGTCAAACTGTAGCTCTATGTGAAAAGTAAAATAAACTTGATTAGATTGAGACCAGTCCACTGACAAAGTAGTGATGCTAGCACAGAGAAACCTGGCTGAAAAAACTTTGGGCGTACCATGCTCACATTTGATGCAACCCTACAAGATATATTTCTTCCTTCCCTATCCTATATTAATACAGAGCTGAATTTGGCCTGTACCTCTGCTTGATGTCAATATGGTTCATTTATCATAAATGTAATGAAGAAAATCTATTCTTCAGTATAAAATGTTTCAGGTAGATGACTGTCTGTTTTCCCTCTCAACAGGGCTTGTTGCTGCTTCAACAGCTGACCAAAAGCAATGCTGCCATTCAGAAAATTGTGGCTTTTGAAAACGCATTTGAACGTCTTCTAGATATCATCACAGAGGAGGGCAGCAGTGATGGAGGTACACATTTATTTAAATACAGAATTTTCTCCAATGATCTAAACAGAATTTTACTGTTTTTCTCTGTTAAGAATTATTTTTTTTCTGGGGCGCGCAGATGGAAGATCGGGTTATGTTTTCACACTGTCCTATCCATAAAGGCAAAAATCGCCCCTCAAAAACTTTTTTTTTTCTGGTTGCTATGACCAAACATATACCTTTTTTTTCTCTACGCAGGTATTGTGGTAGAGGACTGTTTGCTCCTTCTGCTCAACCTCCTAAAAAACAACAGCTCCAATCAGAACTTCTTTAAGGAGGGCTCCTACATCCAGCGGATGAAGCCCTGGTTTGAAGTGGGGGATGATAACTCTGGTTGGTCTGCACAGAAAGTCACCAACCTCCACCTAATGCTCCAGGTAAAACAGATCCCGGTTAAATGGTTGCTTTGACCTGAGTGCACTTTGAACAAGCGTGACAGTTGGATGTTTTTATGACTCGTATTGTTTCTCAATGACGTGTTTCCAGTTGGTGAGAGTCATGGTATCCCCAGTGAACTCTCCTGGAGCCACAGCCAGCTGTCAGAAGTCCATGTACCAGTGTGGTCTGCTGCAGCAGCTGTGCACCATCCTGATGGCCACTGGTGTGCCTGCTGACATCCTCACCGAGGTAAAACCAACGGAGCTGAAGAGGAATTACGAATTGTTGAGGACAACTCGTGCTCATTCAGAGGACTTCTGATTTTTAAAGCTTTTAATCTGGTCACTTTCTTTCAGACAATCAACACTGTGTCAGAGGTTATCAGAGGCTCACAGGTCAACCAAGACTACTTTGCATCTGTCAACGCACCTTCAAACCCACCAAGGTGAGACACAACCAGCCAACAAAGATATCACATTTCCAAGGGATGTCATGGTACCTAGGAATACAGAAGTCACAAATGTTTTGACAATGTTTCCTCATGCTTCTCATGCCTCTCCTCTCCTGTCTTTACAGACCAGCAATTGTTGTGCTCCTCATGTCCATGGTAAATGAGAGACAGCCATTTGTGCTTCGCTGTGCAGTCCTCTACTGTTTCCAGTGTTTCCTCTACAAAAACCAGAAAGGACAGGGGGAGATTGTGGCTACGCTGCTGCCCTCCACCATTGATGGTAAGTCACAGTATATTAAGAACTTTGACGTAGAATTATTGGCTGTTTTGCGAGAATTTTTAGAGAACCTGTTGACAAATGAGTAGACACATTTGGCAGACCAGTTTGTTAATTTTGTAATTGAAAATATTAAACGAAGAATAAAATTACAGGTTTCGTGGTTAGTGATAAGGGATTTCCAGCCAAGACTTGTGTTTTGTTCGCTACATTGTTAACAATCCAGTTAGCAACTTGAAGAGTCATTGTTTGGTGAAATTAGATAAAATCTGCCAGTTCAGACGTACTGTTTTGTTTCCTTCCTTTCCGGGAAGTCAGCAGATTTGTTACTCATGCTACAATTTTTTGATCTAGAACTGGTGTGCAGGACCAAAACAAGCTCCGTTCAATACAACAAAAGAAAAACTGAACACAGCACAAAAAAATCAGCTTTACCAGTGGTTAAAGAACACCACATGAAAAAGATGAAGTAAAGCTCAGTTTTGTTTCCAAGCTTTGTTCATTTGTGATCAAAGTGTTACTAAGTTTGATTTAAAAGAGTTAAGTCTGGAGTGACCTCTTACTGTTATTTCAGCATCTCCCACCACCACAGTTAGAGCTGTTTGGATACCTGATACCTCCATGTTTAACTGTGTATTTACATTTATCTTTTGATTGACACACTCCCTCTTTTTACTCCAGCCAATTCCATCTCAGCGGGCCAGCTGCTGTGCGGAGGCCTGTTCTCAGCAGACTCTCTGTCAAACTGGTGTGCTGCTGTTGCTCTGGCTCATGCCCTGCAGGACAACCTCACCCAGAAGGAGCAACTGCTGAGGGTCCAGCTGGCCACCAGCCTGGGGAAGCCCCCCGTCTCCCTACTGCAGCAATGCACCAACATCCTCTCCCAGGTAGGACAGGAACAGATGAGCTTACCTGCTTACATACGAGGGTGAACATCAGAAAAATGTGTGTCAGGAATTTTGCAAACAAAGATAAATGTCGTGAACAACAGTGAATGGAGCAGTGTCACATTGTGGTTTTTCAGGGAGATAAGATCGCCCGGCGGGTAAGCAACACGTGTGAAAAACTGTCTGTGTGTGTTTTGAGTGTTTGGGCGGCACCTCTACTGGTTATTGTGGCTTGCCATCTATAGTAGGGGTCCTGTTGGCCCGTGTGTTTGGGAATCTTGCCTCTGTTAACCCTTACACTCTGTCTTTGTCCCTAACTGAACTCTTCAGGGATACACACATATGCACTCCTCTCTACTAATGTTGAAGCAGTGGTTGTTTTCAGTGTTTTTACCAGTGAAGTCTGTTTTAATTTACGAACGGAAATCAGTGCGAGGTTCAAACTTGGGGAACATGGGACCTTGTTTTTTATGTTTTCTATTGATGCCATTATAAGACTAACTTTGGCTGTGATCTTGGACCGTTCCTTCTGCGAGCTCTTTTTAGGAAGTGTTCGCTGCTGCTGCTAAAGCTTTAGGGACTTTTTTTTTTGTAGGAAAGAGATCGTCACTCTTGTTTTCCTCTGTGAAGGTGTAGGAATATTGAAATATTTATACTTGAGAGTAGAGCTGCAAGATAATGGCAGAAATTAAAATCACAGTCGTTATATTTGGGCCTTAATTTAACAGGACAGTGAATAGAGCAGAAAACGTGGAGCGCATGGGGAGGAAAGAAGCCTCAGGCTGGAACTGAGCCTAAGCTGCTGGTGTGTGGGGGGGGGCAGGATTGGCCTGCAGCACCCTGAAAATCACCATCTTGATAAAGATTGAGATCACGTTCGTCTATCAAGCTAATTCATTCACAAAAATATTTTTTATGTATATTGTTTAATTTAAAAAAAATCTATATCCAGCATCTCATTTTTTGATAGGGCTGGACGAGGACATAAGCTCTGCCCTGGTATCCACCCTCTGCGCTTTTAACAAACATCACCTGATCCTGCTGTCAGTCTGCTGTGATGCAGGTGGTTTTTTTCCCCTCTGAGCCTTCGATACCCTTTGTCATGCGCAACAATAGTCTATGTCAGTATTTGGATTGTCAAGAGGAAATTGTGAGTGCAAATATTAGTTGGTGACAATAAAATGAGCTGCTAATGAGTACTGTCAGAGTTAGCATGTCCAAGTAAAGAAAAAAGGAAAATCAAGCAGTATGTTTATGCCTTTCTTGACATCCTACTTTCACCTGATTGTTAATTGCTAATTGACAATGATTGCTGTGGATTATGTTCCTTTGATCATATGGAGGCTGAAGTTGGGATTGAATTGAGTTAATTGTGCAGCCCTACTTAAAAAGATTACTAAAGTCTCAACTTGACTTTATGAGATGGTTTTATTTTAAGAGCTAGGAGGAAACCAGACTCTTTTCAGTCATACTTCATCAACCCTCTTGGAGTTACTTATCTTATGAGTAGCTCTTCATGCATCCTCTCGTTTTGCAAGTTATTCGTTTTTTTCCTCCAATGTGGTTCCGTGTACCGGTCTATAATTTGAGTCTTTGGCAGTCTGTTAAAATGCATGAACCTAACTGCTTCTTCATGGTGATTTTTCTTGGTTTTTGTTGCTTGTTCTCAAGATGCATGACTCATTCTGGATCAGGGGAACTGGGCCCGTCTCCTGGGTAACCACACCACTTTGTCATGTTAAGCCAGCAAGACACATCAAGGCTTGTTGTAGGGCTCTGCTGTATTTGCAGTCAGGCAGAAGGCAAAGGCAATATGTCCTTGCACCATATGCTGAGGATGAAAGTGGGACCTTTGTGGCGTAAAATAGCCCACAGAGAAGGAGTCAGAGTACGCTAAAGCAGGAGGACACACTTGATTCCAGTCGTGGAATTTTCTTTAAATCTCTTTTTAGTTTGAACTGTGAGGATGGAGCTGACCCTGAAGGCAAACATCTTGATATTCCAGTTAACCAACACATCAGCCCTTGCCTACTGTATGGTCTTAAACCAAAAAACATGGATTAGCGCCCTCTGAACCCATATGACAGGGTCAGATTCAGTGATTATTCATTTCATTCACCCTTTTCTCTGTATGACTTATCTTTCAACAATGTCAATGTGAATGAACCTAAATTTAAGATTGGATTATAACTCCTGCCTCTTCATCATTAATGAGCCGGTAGTTCTACAATTTCATAATAATGTCCTCGAGTCTAAAAACGCAGAGAACTGGAGTTTTTGTTTTGCACAATATGTATTGATAGATGGTTAGAACTTTTTAAATATAAATACTTAAACTGCATCACAGGAACTTCTTGTCCTTGAAGGTCAATACACACATTTTTGCATACTGTACCTTTTTAAAGTTGTTTTTTTCCCCCACATTTAGAACATGAGCACATACATTGAGGAAGTCTATATGTTTTTTTAGAAGCTTGAATATCTGGTGTCATGTTTCTGTCTTTTGTTTTCCTCTTCATTTTTTGCATTTCGTCCCATTTGGAGACTAAATCTGAAAAGGTGATTTTGTACATTTTTGCAGTATTGGATGCTGATAAGTTTTTTTTTGTTTTCTCACATCTTCATCGCGTAAATCTTAAATCCTTTCTAGATTTTTGGCATCAGTTTTTTTCAGGGCTGCTCCTCCTGAAGCATGGTGTGCATTAAGTGATAATGCACTAGCTTTTGAGCATCCTTCACCTACATTGTTTATTTTCATCATGGTTCATTCCAACTCCATGAAAACTCTGCCTTTTTTTTCTACGGCCAATTATGAAAACATTATACAAAACATCATGCAGTGAATGTGTTTTCATTTAAAGCTGAACTTTGTAAAGTGGAAATGAAACCCGGGATGTCGGAGATCTTGCTGTAAATCTCCATTAGCTGCATTTCAAAGCTGTTTTCATGGAAGTGCATGATTTCCCTCCCCCATATTTCTATGACAGAAATCATTTTTCCTTGAAAAGCACAATTTGCAATTTTGGCTTTGCATGTGCTGATATCAAATTCTACATCCAAGTTTTAATTCTGAGTTCACAATACTTTCATTTGCAAGTCATCAAATCACTTGCAGAATAAAAACTGCAAACCACAAGCTGATTGAAATTCTGAACTTGTGGACAACATGATGGCTGGAGGTAAAGATAAGGACTGATTGTTTATTTCTGGCTCGCTTTGATCACCTCAGCTTTTTTTGAATATAATGAATGTACTAATTTTGACTGTCCTTGTTCTGTGTTTGTGATAAGATCATTAATAGCTACTAATGTTTGCTGTGAATCAATCAAGTGCTTCGTATTAACCGTTGTGATTTACCTAACCATATCATGGCAAGCCTAAGGTTTCAGTCTCAGCATATAAGGAGGAAGATTTAACAGGGCAACTAATGGAAAAGTCAGGTGCTAGCAAACCAATGTTTTTCTTACACAGAAGCACTTTACTGCCAATTAAGTAGCTCTCTAATTTTTTTTCTTTTTTAGCCCCATTTTAAGAATATATTTTGAGAGATTTCCAGATTGATTCTCCATGAAGTGCTGAGATGTTTCCCATTTCATCTTAATCTCAAACCAAGATCAGTTTAAAAATTAAATCCAGTAATTATTACTATGATCAAATTTGATTTGTACTCAGGTTCAAATGTGAGGCCGTTTGCTTTTATATTCATTATATTTTTCATCTCTCAGTATCAAACATAACTTCTCATTGCATTCAAACATTTTTAAACTATCCCAAAAATATGACATGGTTGGCAAATGTCTGTCTGCCATGTTTTTTACATTCATTGACATTTGTTAACATTTCTCATATTTTTTTTTCTTTTTCTACAGGGCAGTAAAGTTCAAACAAGGGTGGGCCTCCTCATGCTGCTGTGTACGTGGATCAGTAACTGTCCAATAGCTGTCACACATTTTCTACACAACCAGGAAAACGTCCCCTTCGTATCCTTAAAGCCGCTTGTGAATCATTTAAATAAAAATCACACTACATTTCTTTTTTTGGACATACTTTTTTTTTTATGAATACACTCTAACCTGATAAACTTGAACTTGAACAAACAAAAGTGATCATCATTGGGAGAATCAGAGTCTAACTCTCAATGCCTACCAGTGTGTGATAGATCCTTGACTCTGTGACTCGTGCAGCTGATGGCCCAGATCTCAGAGAACCTGGGAGAGGATGAGAGGCTGGTACAGGGTCTTTGTGCGCTGCTTCTCGGCATCTGCATTTATCATAATGACAACTCGCTGGAAAACTACACCAAGTAAGAATCAGCCCATACACACCCATCCTCAGAACTGCTCCTCATCTTGACTGACACTATATAGTCCATAGTTGTTTTTTGGCCAAGTTCTCTTATGGCTGCTAACTAGCTCCTTTCAAAGTTCTGTTAACTTCGCATGATCTTTGCGACTGTTTCATGTGAAAAGCTGCCATGCTGTATCTTTCATTCCCAGAGAGAAGCTAAAGCAGCTCATTGAGAAGCGGATCGGGAAGGAGAACTTCGTAGAGAAACTGGGCTTCATAACAAAACATGAGCTGTACTCGCGGGCAGCTCAGAAGCCGCAGCCTGTCTTCCCGTCTCCAGAGCAGATGCTTTTTGACCATGAGTTCACTAAGCTGGTCAAAGAGCTGGAGGGTCAGTCAGAGTCCATCCAGAGACCATTTATTTATTGTCAATTTTCAAGGAGGCTTTAGTATTTCATTTTGTCTGTTTCTCCCTGCAGGAATAATCACCAAAGCAGTTCATAAATCCAGTGAGGAGGAGAAGAAGGAAGAGGAGGTGAAGAAGACGTTAGAGCAACATGACAACATTGTTACTCAGTACAAAGAGCTGATTAGAGAACAGGTAAACAGAGCCGCATGCTTCTGCCCTTTGAATTTTGCTTCATGTGTATTTGACGTTATTCATATCCAGTGTACCTAACTGTTGACCGCCTGATCTCCAGGATTCTCAAATCCAGGAGCTGAAGGAGCAGGTATCATCCATGTCATCTCAAAACGAACAGTTGCAGGTGACGGTCACACAACAGCTGTCTCAGATCCAGCAGCACAAAGATCAGTACAACATCCTCAAACTGAAATTAGGTGAGTTCACCTCTTTGGTCCGATGGGATTAGGTGACCCTCTGGGAAAATCTGGGATCACAAGAAGTGATTATTTTAATGATTTTAAGATGGTTTATTTACACAGCTAAAAGATTTTCTCTCAGTTTCAGAGGTTTGTATCATTTTAGTGGTAATTGTGTTCTTTTCAGCGTACTTGTGGGTTGAATTAACATTCATCTCAAGCATTTTCACTCAGGGTAAAGGCTAATTATTGACCTTTTATCAACATCTTTTATAGTTTTTCAGACGAGCTAAATGAACAGTGAAAATAAATCATAATACAAAAAACATATTAAAAGAAGAAAAATGATTTAAACTGCTCCATATGCACAGTTTGTTGAAGTGCTAGCTCTCAGTGAGCAGTAACTTTTGTCAAGACCACTCAGAATCTATACTTAACACTGTCAGGTGGTTCGAGAAAAAGCTGGGTAATAATGGATGTAGACAATCTGCCCATTTTAATTCTAGCCAAAATGCTAAATTCATTGTTTTGTAAAGAAATCACAGCACTTGAGTTGTGTGTCTATCGTCGTATTGATGGTAACGTTTTAAGGCTTCTCTGCTGAGGTTCGGATCTGTGAAGTTTGGAAAGAGGAACTCATCGGCAGGAAAAACCTTTTCAACAGTTAAAATTTGGAGTTAAAAGCAGTTGTGACAATTTGTGATTTTGTTTGAATGAAGCTATATGTGCACTTTGTTGTAACTTCAGGTAAAGACAACCAGAGTCAGATGAACAGCCAGGTAGACGGCTCACAGGTGAATGGACTTCAGACAGAGGAGGTCGCACAGCTCAGAGAGGAGCTGGAAGAGCTCCGCAAGCAACACACACTCCTTCAAACACAACTCACTGAGAAAGACACACTCATCAGCAACTTGGTTAGTAACTGTCTGTGCACAGTGACGTGTTCTGGTGTGAAACTTTTCCACGTTTGTGTGTATGCTAAAAGGACACATGCTCCTCCAGACATATCCAGATGTGTTTGTGTTTCAGTGACTTTTTAATATTTTTCTGTGTGTGACGACAGAGGTCAGAGACTCCGCAGATTGCAGAGGATTCAGCGGCAGAATCAAACAACACAGAACTACTCCAGGTCAGACATCCTTACAGAGTTCTTTCTCTTTCTCCAGCTTGTGGGTCAATCCTTTAAAAACATCAAGAGCATCAAAATGTCTAATGGTTTTTTGATTAAAGGATAAAAACAGTATTATTCTGTATTTTTGTAATTAAAAAATGCCATAAAAGACAAAATTGAACAAAGTAGAAAATGTTTTTAAATACTTTATGATTGCTCCTCTTTCTGTGGCTGGTTTGTACCCACTGAAGATACAAACGTAAAAATGTAGTCAGGAAGAAAAGTTTATTTTTATTGAGTTAATCGGGCGCATTTACGAGGACATGACTCAAAATAAATTGCAGCATGTTTCTTATTTCCTATCATAACTTCATACTCTGGTTGTAACTATGAACTTTTTTCATACATAGCTGGGCACGCATAATTTTTAAGGCATTGTCATGTACATGTTGGTTATCTGTGTTCGTTGCAGGAGCTGGAGGCCCTGAGGAGTCAGGTCCAGTCACAGACGGCAGAAATCATGCAGATGAAGACAGAAAGAGAGGAGCTGCTTAAGAGAAACGAAGCTATGGTACATTTCAAGCAAAAACTGCAAAACAGATCACATAGCCGTTTGCAGATACTAGATCGGTGAACCTTCTGATGTTTTCTATCAGTCCTCAGATGCAGCATGCAGCAGCGATGACTTAGCAGACTCTGCCAAGATGGCAGAACTTGAAAGCAGACTCACAGCACAGATGGCAGCTACAGAGAGACTCAAGGTCTCAATTATTGTTCAGCAGAAGTTATATTGTCTTGCATAATTTCTTTCAAGTAATAATAATAATAATGTCCTCTAATTTATTCTATTCAACAAATGCTTATTGTTTTCACTTTGCCTCTGTGCTTCTCTGTGTTCAACCTCTTCTTTGCTGGTCCAGGCAGAGGCAAAGAGCCTGTCAGAGAGCCGAGCAGAGCTGGAGCAGCAGCTGGCCTCAGCCACCAGCACAGTGGCCATCCTACAGACAGAGAAGGGCAAACTACAGACAGAGGTTCAGGAGTCCAAAAAAGAGCAGGACGACCTGCTTATGCTGCTGGCGGACCAGGACCAGAAAATACACAGCCTCAAACAGAAACTCAAAGACCTCGGAGAGACGGTAGACAAACTCTCTGAGTTATCTGTTACAGACTTAACAGGACTATAAAACAGATTGAATTATCCATACAGGGAATTTTTAAAATGAAATTTAGGTCAATGTGACAAAGGTGGGGACACAGAAAATGATAGTTTTACCTAGTAAAGATAATCCAGTATAAGCATAAATCAATAACGCTCGTGTTGTCAATGAAAACAAAAAAAGTTTTTTTCAAATCAATACTAAATCAATACAATCTAGATCTGTAACATTTTAAAACAATCTAATGTATAGAGTCCTAAATGAAATAGTCCTCAAGTCACAGGCTCTGTTTACACTCGGCATTAACACATACCCATTCTGAATTAGCCAGCTAATGTGCCCCGGGCCACATTCAGTCATACTGAGTCTCTGAATTCTGACGTGGGATCATTGGCCTGTCAGTCATTGTCTAATTTCATTCTTCTCTTCTGCATCCTGTGGAAATCTTCAGGTTTTCACACTCCTGTCATCCAGGTGTGAGCGGACAAAGTTGTAGCAGCAGGACAGGAAAAGTTAACTCAGTAGCCCGAGATGAATATTTTTTATTCCATCACTGAGACAGTGCGTCTTATCTTTGAAAACGAGTCAATTACAAATGCTGGCCAGAGAGAAGAGTTATCCACTTCTCATTGAATCAAGCATCATGTATATTTTAGCCGGAGTAAACGGAGCCTAAGAATCTCCCAGTTTAACTGAACCTGTAGTTGTTTAGACGTTGTGACTAGTGAGCAGATACTTCAAAGACATGCTCTGTGTCCACACCACTCAGCTGTGTTTCATCTTTTTTTGCTTTAGTTAGACTGTGACACTCTCCTTACAGGTGGACGATGAGGATGACCTCGACACCAGGGACCAAACAGATGACGATTACGAGGAGGATGAGGATGAAGATGAAGATTAGAGGGGGGAAAAAAATCCTCCAAAAGAAGAAAAAAGAAGAGATCAGATCTGTTCGTCTGCAGGAAAGAAAAGACTTTCCAGAAACACACCTGAGAAACTGGACTTCAAGACTAACACACTGAAGCAGTTTCTCTCCCCAGCTGCCATGCTATGTTCATTTTTCTTTCCCCTGATTCATCACATCACACGTACACGTTAATTTGAAGACGTTTTCGTAGTTAAAGACGAGGTTCTTCAGGTTTCAGTGACAGAAAAAAAGAGAAACGTGTCAGTGCATTCATCTCTGCCGCTGTTCACCATCAGTTAGTGATGGTTTTTACCAGTTATGTGTTTAATGTAACTTAGTGTCACAACATGTTCAGTTAATTAAAAACCACAAGTCACCTAAGGAATTCAGAGAGGAGAATATCAAATGTAGCTAAAATAGTAAAATTAGCAAATTTAATGTTATGAATTTTTATTATATCATTAACATTGTGGTCAGCCTTTGATGTTCTTCCCTCTCATGCGATCAGGATCACTCACGACTGGTCACTGTGCCGCACACTTGGTTTATCTTCACAACCACCGATCAGTTCAGGTTCAGTGTGAAAAGAGTGTTTCAGAGTTACTTCATTTCACTTTGAAAACAAATACCTAACTGCTCTACAATATGCTGCATAAGACGGAAAATAACACTGACAGAAAAGATGTAAAGACAAAAAAGATATTTTTGCAACTTTTTTTCCAGTCTGGCATCCAGCTTCTGTATGATATTGTGTAACTTATCGATTTATGAGCCACATTGATATGAATAAAGAATCTATCAGTCTGTATGCCTGTATGGTGAGATAATTGTAGATAAATTAAATTTTACTAAATCTGTACTGAGACTTTTGTATCATATTTTTAGTTATTATGAACCCACCACGTATCTACATGTCTTTGGTCTTGCCATATGATAACTACTTCAAATAATCGGTGTTGGAGAAAATATTCAGATTCTGTACCTATAACACACAGCCTGTAGGGAAGGGTGTTACTAAAGTAGATTTAACAGGATTTAAAAGTTGCGCTTCGTGCTGAAAAAGACCACCTGCCTTACATGTAGTTGAAATGTGAACATTAAGATGTTTAATGCAACCGCAAATGCTCATTCAGAATCCTTGTATTTTGAAGCCTATCCAAAGTTGGACACTTTTCAACATGACATGGCTTTGTGAAACACAAAGTTTCTCTGTGACAGCCTCTGGTTTGACTGCCTGGACAAACCTCTTTCTTTGCTTATGTTGACATTTTTGTTTGTTTGTTTTACTCTCCAGGAAGAATCTGTAGAAGTCTGACAAGTTTCTGGAGTAGCTCAGTTTCTCGACCACTGAGTGCCGAGAGGGTGAAGAGACCGATCGTGTAGTTCACATTTTGTTTTTTAGTCCACTAAAAAGCACTGCAGGCAGCTTGAAGCCTTCAATCAGGAAGAAAGACATCTCAGTTTTTTACTCAGCCTTGGCCTTTGACAAATCAGCAGTCCTGCATTTACCTATGTCTGACATGCCCAGAGAGTGTAGCACACCAGAGAAAACAACGCACACAGCTCAGGTAGCATAAATATCTCCTGTCAACACAAAACCTCAGGCTATTACTTGAGTTGTGTCCGACTAATTGGAGCTACAGTCAGTGACAGAGGGTTACTAGCTAATCAAATAAAAAGCTTTCATTTTTTAGGACTACAGAATCATTAGATCACTGAAAACAACGTTTTAATTAATGAATCTCTGACTGCCTCGGGTCTTTGTAAGAAATACAAAAAAGAGTCAATCCAAAAATAGAGCTCAGACCTTCCAAAAAGTCTGTTACTACAATTTAACACTCAGTAAACTGCACTTTTGGTATTTATAATCCTAACACTGCTCTGTGCAGATTGACACTTATCACTAACTTCACTTTTTAGCCCCAGATTTTCAGAATATATGTATTTTTTCACATTGATGCGTTCGTCCCAACTTGTGAAAACTGATTGTTTATTGGTTTATCATACAATGTAAGAATTGCCCTGACCAACTGTAAGTATCAGTACTATTCCTGAAGTTCACAGAGAGTACAGATGCTCCTCTTGCTGTTATGAATCCTTTTGTGATGACTGAACTTCAACACTTGAGGGCAATATATGCCCTCAGTTGAAGGTGTACACTTCGGCTGACGCAAATATTGATGAGTGTATTGGATGCTCTCTGGAATAATAGATGAGGAATAAAAGTAGTTTGAGTTTAAACCATCTAGTAAGGAGATTAAATCGGTTTATTGGCGATTGTTTTGTTCATTAACATTGGATTTAATAGCTTTGATGAGAGTGGGCATCAAAATGCAAATTACAAAGGTCAGGAAGGACACTCATCATTAAAATCAAAAATCTGTGCAAACATCATGAAGTTCATTGTGCAGCAAAAGTTTTATCTTGATGTACGAAAAGATTAGAAATAAGACAGGATATATTTACATACAGTATGTCATGTTTATTCCAGTAAAAATACAGGATTCCAACCAACACTCAGCACACATTAGCTAAATGAAACAAACATACCTAACTTTTTTCTTTGGAAATACGGTTTTTAATTTTTTATTCTTATGTAGGAACAAAAAAACAAGCTAATAACATTTAAGATAAACAAATAAATAAATATAGAATAAAAAAATAAAAAGTCAGTTTGTATTTTATGTACAGATGACAGAAAAACAAGAGGATCTTACGGTGGCCGAGAACCGCCACTGCTGCAAATAAAAAAAGAATGCAAAAAAAAAACCAAAACCAAAAAGAACAAAACAATGCAAAGTAAAAAAGAAACGGTGCAAATTAAAAAGCCACAAAGGAAGTTAACAATGATAAAGAAAAGGAGTGGCAATGGAAAAAAAAGTTACTTACTGCGAAAATAAAAGGATGCAAATAAAAAAAGCTACAATGGAAGTGAGCTGCTGGGATCAATAATGATGATGCACTGGTGTTTTATGATCTAGGCACGGAAGACGACAGCGAGAAGACGAGCAAAGAAGTTAGTGGAAAGATTATTGTTTAATTTCACTTTGTGTGCTTTTCAATGTATCATTTGGTTAGGCTTTGCACCACGACTTTTTTTTTTTTTTTTTTTGCATCATTAACTTCCATTGTGATTTTTTTTTTTTTAATCTGCACCGTTTCTTTTTCATTTGCAGTGGGCTTCGGTTTCTTTTCTTTTTTTTTTTTTTGCATCATTAACTTCTTTTTTTTTGCATTCATTTTTATTTGCAGCAGTGGCAGTTTTCGGCCACCGTAGCTCTTCCTGCTGGACTACACCTGTGAACATGTCACAATGTTTGAATCACGTTATGGAAAATTTCCACCCAAAATACGATAAAGTAACGATATATTAAGAAGGTTTGCTTAAGTGGTATTTCTATTTGTGAATATTTTTGTAAATTTCATTTAGTTTGAGCACTTTTACTGACTTGTTTCTATTTTTAACCATCCATTGATAGTGTACTTGCCCCTCCCTCCCTCCGCTCTCCTCCCTCCCTCCTCCTCTCTTCGTCCCCGTCGCATCCACTGCTCGCATCTCTCTTCCTCCTCCTACTCTTCCTCCTCCTCCTTTTTTCTTTCTTTCTTTCGGCACTTGTTTGTTTTCCTCACATGGTGTCGGCCAGTCGCTTGCAGGAGCAGAGACATGCTCAGTCTATGAGCTTTTAATCTCTTTTTCTTTCTTTCTCTTTTATTTCTGGGACTCTGAAGGTCGAGTCGTCTGGCATCATGACTTTTAAATGACCATCACGCAACAAACAAACACTGGTGTTGTATCACAGCTCGTCCCCACCCGGCTCCACCACCACCAGCAGCAGCTCCACTTGAGTCCTCCTCAGGGAAAACTGCCACCACCTGCCGACGCATCCCGCACCACATGACCGTCTCAAAGGTGAGTTCACTTCAGTCTGAACTCGTGCAGCTCTCTGAAATGTCTGCAGCCATGGTGGTGTTGGTGGTGGAGCTGCAGGGTGGGGATTAAACCCCGCGGTGAAAGTGGGACAGTTTGATTTTTAGGCGGTTTTAAACTCTTAGCGTGGCTCCGAGCTGCAGCTCCACTGCCATGCGGCTGCACAGCCTCCAAACGCCGCCTGGAGTCTGGACATGAAACACACCACAGACAGGACCCATGTTCAGGTTTCATGTGTGTGTAAAACTGATCATCTCATGTTCAGGTTTCATGTGTGTGTAAAACTGATCATGCTGCTGATCATGTGTGGCTGCCAGCAGGTTATGCTTGTATTTCCCCTCGGTATTTTTTGAAACCCTTTGAGTTGGTACAGTATGATTCATGATCCTGGACTGAAGTGCACAGCTGTTAATACTCACAGTTTCAATGTACATCTCTATTTAACTGTACAGCTTTATTTTGTTTACAAGGCCCCTAAAGATCCCTTAAGTAACTGTAACTTAATGTCTAAAGTTTTGATCATATAAATAAAAGAAATATTATTCAAATAGTAATATCTGCCTTTTACCTAAATGTTTGAGATTAACAAAGTTAGTCACTAAAATCAGCCGGTTAATGGAGAGATAATTTTGAGCAACTAGCTAATGATGAATAAAATCATTTTCAATATTTTATAAGGGATATTCCGGCATAAAAATTAATTTAGTCAAAGTCAAACACGTAACTCCAAGTTAAACATCCCCTTGCAAGATGAATGTTACCGACCGCTTGCTTCTCTAGTTATACCAACTTTAGTAACGACCGCACGATAGCAATACACAGCGGTCTAAGGAGGCATAAACAAACCTCAACCAAAACGCCACTCTATAGCCACAAATAATGCTCAGAACAGCACCTAACTTCATCAACAGTACATAGAGGGTCCCAGCCATAGCACTAGCCACCAAACATCTTTTTAACTTTGCCTGATTTCTTTAGCAAAGAGACTAAACACAACTAACCTACTCTCTTCCAGCAGCCGCTTGTTTGTAGTGAGACCTTGGACAGTGGGTGACAAAGCTTGAGGAAGAACATTAATGATGATTTCTTAATGGAAATGCAATCAGACCAAGACACTAAGGCAGAAGAATTACAGCGTCTGCAGTGAAAAATGATTAATATGGTGATTATTACTTAAGCTCGCATCATCTTCATGTCTGCAAACACAATAACCTAGAGTGGATTCTGTTAATTTTGCCCCTGGTGGCTCTATTCTATTCTGTTCTGTTCACCAGATGGTTTGGCTCTATTGTTATTATTTACCTTTTGTCTGGCTGGATGTAAACAAACTGAAGACAAAAGAAGAAGCAGTTTGAGAGCGCTGTGTTTAATGACCCGGGTCTAATGGTCACCACATGTTAAACAGTGGGAGAAATTTAGGACTCAGTGCCAATTGGATCCTGTGGGGTGGCATCATGTCCGCAGGGACAGGCACACGGCATGAAGCTGGTTAGAAGTCAGGCCAGTTAGTTAATAAATACCTAGTATTCAAACACATTTTTAAAAATTCTGTGTTAATTTTACTTGATGGTATTATTTTATGGTTGTTAAAAATATTTCAGCAATTCTTTGTTGTTGTTGTTGTTGTTGTTGTTCAATTTGGCTCAAACTAAGCAGCCGTGCTAGAGAGTGAGAATTAAATATAACCTTAATTTCATAAAATAGAACTTGGCATGGCAGTGGCATGTGTTTAAGTTCTCTAGTTTGTCATAAATCTGACTTTTTGTGATTTGTAATCCATAAATATCACTCAAGAAGCCAGTTTATTTGTAAAGAAGTTGTGTAGTAATGTGCTTTTAACAGTGATGAAATTTAACACCTGGGGAATACATTTCTTTGCTTTCTTTCTGAGAGTAAGAAGATAAGATTTGCTTTAATTTGCAACACACGTGGCTGGAAACAGGAGGCTGTTAGCTTAGTTTATCATAATTATGTCAACCCACTGAGAGAAATAGATAGCTTAGCTCGCTAAATCGTTCACAATGATGTTTGAAAACATTAAAAAAAACAAGTTTTATTTGATTATTGATATGCTGTAAATTAACAAGTAATGGAAACAGGGCAAAACACCTCCTCTAAAGGCTTTTTTTGTGCATAGATAAATTCAGGATTTTTAAGACTGTTTTAGGATTCTGTTGCTGTGTTTATATTAAAAAGATATCTAAAAAAGGTCTAGTAGTCTATGATTTCCTGAGTGATCAGGGATCAGGGTCCAAACAGATGTGGGGAAATATGGACAGTCATAATTTCATATTTCAAGGTCAACATATCTGAAAAGTAGAGGTGGGAATACTCAGTGAAATCTAGAGGTCAGATTTTTAGATTGACACGCTCCCTTGCTCACCCCTCTCGTTTTTATTAATATAAATTCTTCTGCACACAGCATCTAGGTTTATTGTTCTTGCACAGGGTTTTTTTAAGTTAACCCCATGACATTAGATACTCAGCTTTAATCTAGCAGTGAGGACCAATGTTTGCTCTTGTAATGGTCACTGTTTGTCACATTGAATATACACATTTTCACCCTAAATTTTTGAATGGAAAATTAGGATTTCCCCGTTGTCCTCTGGCGTTTTTTAGATCAGTGAACAAAAATGTGGTGTAATTCAAATACACCCATCACTATTAAGAGAATGCTTCATGTACTGATGCTAACACAATTGATTTCATTCACAAATTTGAATGATATCAGACTTTGAAACAGTGATGTCTGCAGAATTTAGGGCATGTGATGAATAGAGCTGTGACTTTTGGACTTGTGTTGAGTGAAGAGGTGTCATGCCATCACTTTATCTACATTAGACTGTCATCCAGCTAATGGCAAACTCCTGCCAAAATCAGCATTACACTAATGAGTTTTCATCACTTCTACTGTGGGCGAACAGAAAACTTGAGTGCCAAAAACAAACCTCAATCTTGTAGCAGCCTTCACACATCTTCAAGGTCTCTAGACATGCTTTAATGAGGTTTTTGAGTTATTTTTAGACCGAGTTGCTGCGTATTCTTTGTCTGGAGTGAACTCTGTCGTGCATTTGCATGCTGTGTTGTAAAATGCTACCTTTTATCTCGAGCATATTATCACAGACTGTTATCACAAATACCTTAGACTGTCCTACTTTTCAAATATGCATGTTGTGCAGTTTGCTTAGCAGAAGCTCATTTTTTCAGACAGATATAGAAGAAGATTTGAAACAGCAGATTTGTCTGGTCCCTGTCACCCAGGCCAAGTCAGTATGGAGCTAAACTGAAAGATGATACACAAACTTACCACCTGTTACAGGTGTCAAAGTCCAAGCTGCTGTAATGAACACTGTGAATCAAAGAGAGGCTTAAGATATGCAAACAGGCCGTTAAACCTGGGGACCCTCATAGGTCTATATAATGCTTTTAGAGTGATCTCCAAACAAGAGGAGGTATAACCTGCATCCCTTGGAGATAACCTGCTGTATCCTGGACAAATAGTGTGCTTTGATTCAGGGAGCCAGTTGACAGATGGCTGATTAATTGAGCAGCCATTCTAAAGGAATAATTGTGTAGAGGGGTTCATTAAGGTGACAGTACCATGGAAATTAGACCTCTTCACTCTCTGCTGTTTAGGATAATGTGAAGTATAAAAAACGCTCTGTAAGTTAATAAATGAGGTGATATGTAGTGACAACAGGTATCTCTACTGTTCTTGTTTTCTTGAAAGCATACATGCAGTTCTGCCTCACACTGTTTGGACAGAGGCAAGTGAGACTTCTTAGCACTTTGACGGATCAGAAGGTGTTGGTCCAAACAGCAGAGATAAGACCAATTAAAGGGTTACAGGTTATTGTGTAACCTGGTCAAACTGTTGGTGTTGGTGTGTTGTATGTCGTACATTGTAATGTTTCTAATAGATGATGCTTCATACATGACCAAACCTCCTGAAGTTCCCATCACTAGCACTTCCACTGTGGTTCACTCATAACTAAACCCCATAAAGACTAACCTAAGCGGGACAGAGTGACAACATGGAGTTACATTTAGTTAATGTAACAAATGTTTTTTGTTTGTTTGTTTGTTTGTTTTTAATTTTTATTTTGATTAGTGTTGAGATTATTCTTTAATGTTAATGACAGTTGTTTTGTCACATCATAGATATTCATTGCAAGAAAAAATATATAAAAAAAACCCCAAAACAAACAAAAAAAACCCAACCAAGTCCAACTGATCATCCGTATGTAAGTGTTCAGGCTTTAGGCAACAATCTGTCGGTGGATGTTGAGGATGATTACTGTACATGTCCTGACAATGGTTTGAAAATCCTAAAATGCTCTTATGTAACCAGAGTCTGCACGTGACCGCAGAGCCTCTCTCTGTTTTTGTCTCTCTCTCTCTCTCTCTCTCTCTCTCTCTCTCTCTCTCTCTCATACACACAGACCACCTAAAGACCACCAGCCTCGCCCTGAAAGCCAGCTCCTGCTTTGTCTTTCCCTGCAGGGCGAGATAATTTACAGAAGGCCTCAATGACTTCTTCAAACAGTAGCTTTAAAGGGCCAGTTTGTGTTTGCAGTCTGTGCCCCCTCTTGTTCGGTTACATCACTGTCACTCAGATCAGGTCATCCTGCACGTTTCTGACATGACAGCTGTCCGACTGTTGGAGGATTATCTGCTGCTACACCCACGTGGGCCAGACAGGGAGGGGATTACTTCAGAAATACAGAGAGAGTCGGTGGATTTGCTCTCGTTTAAGTTTCACAGGCTGTGTAGAGGCGACACTGTGAAGGCCTCAGGAAAGAGGAAACTTCAGGTTTCTGGTTGGGCTCTGAGGGGAACAAATGCACTTCTACTCAAGTTTCAGCCTTGCATCGTTTTACATTTCTTATTGATCTTTCTTATGAGTCAAAAAGTTGCTTCCAGAAGGACAATTTTAGAAGCCTCATATTTAACACGTTTATCTGACATTGTCTGGGTGTGACATTCATTTTGAAGTAAATCTGCTTTGCCTTTTTAAACACAAAATGTCCCAATAGGCGATTAAATTACCTTTTAAAAAGATTTTTAAGGGGTTTTGAAAATGTCTTTTAAAGCTGTTTTTTTCCATGCACGTAGATGTAATATTTTTTATGTTTTCAGCTTTGTTTTCTATTTTGTGGCTCAAATGTTGGGGTTTTCTGTCTTTGAGCCTCTGTGTTGATGAATTTTGGAATTGATATTTGCTATTATGGTGTTGAGCAGTAATAAGATGTTTTTATTTAAGAGGCAGTGTTTCAGTGAGAGCTCCTGTTGTTTGAGTCAAAGGGTTGTCTTTGTAAAGCAGATGGGTCAGCAGAGTCTGATTCATTATTAATGAAGAAGAGTAGATGGCCTCTTACACTGTGTGAGTGTGTGTGCGTGTGTGCGTGCGTGCGTGTGTGTGTGTGTGTGTGTGTGAATATGCGCTTCTAATGGTTGTGCCTCATGAAAAATACTGTCAGAGTAGGCCTGGACGATATAGAAAAAAAGCATATCGATAAAAAATAAATCATATTGATCGATATCGATAATTATCGATATTATTATAATTATTTAACATATATTTTAATTGCAGCCCTGGATGTTTTATGCTATTGCTTAATGACCTACTTTTAATAAAGAACACACAAGCACTGAATTCAAATTCAAACCTTTATTCAACCACCTTTTTTTTTTTTACCACAACTGAAAGTTTTTTTAAAAAAGAACTTAAAAAAAAAAAGAGATCAACTTAAGTGGCCTGAGTGATGTCAGTAAATACTGACAAACATAAAGACTAAAGGGACCAGAAAATCTGATAAATAAATATTTAAATAGTCTTTTGATGAAAATAAACAAAACAAACAAATATATAAATAAACAGAATAGCTTTAGGTGGGAATAGCATACTACCAGTTTTAACTATGTGGGAAACTGCCCACAGCCTGGTGTCTGAACACTGAAATATTTCTCCCGGGGTCGGGAGATTTATTTTTTTTAATTATCATGTGATTGACTTAATACGCAAACTGAGCACGAGAAGCAGGACTTATCCACGCCGGTGTTGTGTCGTAGATTGCACCCCTGCCGAATGCACCCCCTGCTAGTAGCCATGATCCAAATACTCGCGTCTTTGTAAAATATGAGCTCATTTTCTTCCACTTTAAGAAGCTAATGAGTGGACGGGATGCAGGGGTGCATTCTACGGTACAACACCGGAACGTATTTCCTCCGCACCCTTCTCACCTTTTCAACCCCTGACCCATTTTCATGCCTGAAGCGCTGTGTTTGAGAAATACTTGCGGCCGGGCACTTCATATCGCGGGTCGAGAGTGGCTAGAAGCTGGTCGAAGCCAGGCTTTTCAACGGTAGTTATTGGCAGTATGTCCCTCGCTATGAATCATGTTACTGCATGGGTGATGTCCTTATGCCGCTCGACGCTTTGTCGTATTTTGGCAAGAAACTAAGTCCAGTTTGGTCTGCTTCACTTGCTTTGTGCCGGTGCTGGCAGCGGTTCCAGAGGATTCCTCCGACGACGACGTGGAGCCGCGGCGCGGCCGACACAGCTCGTACTCCTGCGGCTGCGACCGGTTTAGATGGTAAAACAAGTTGGTTGTGTTACCAGACTTGGTTTTTACTAATTCTCGGCAAATTTTGCAAACGACCGCTGTTCGCTTTTTGTCAGACTTCTAAAAACCAAAACATTGCCATGCTGGAGAACTACTGAGACCTTTTTTCGGGACAATGTCCTCCGCTTCTCCTTGCTGTAACATTTTTTCTAATACACGTGCTGTCTGTTGTGGTTTGATAGGGGCTGGGCTTGGTGCCGTAGCGTACCTGGGTCTGCGTTTGTGATTGGTTGGGAGGAAGTAATGACTGTAGTAAAAGCTACATGATAGGCCATGATGAAAAAGGAAGGGAAACTGTGTTTTTCTATCGAACTTTTTATCGACCCGTTTTTTTTCTATCGCCCCACACGTCTATCGATCGATATATATTGTTATCGAATTATCGTCCAGCACTATGTCAGAGCAAATTTGTTTGTTTGCTGATGGTGATACATTTGTTTAATAGACTTTAAAGCCATGAATCCAATAATATTACAGACTGTAAAAAAAAAAAAAGTCCATTAATTAACTTGATGACTCGTTAACTAACTTCTCCTGCCAGCAAGCATTGTGGTTATTCAGGATAAATAATAAATCTAAGTGTGCTAATCTTAATTTATGTTCTTCCATGTTTAACTGTAAAAAAATCTAACTTAACTCTTGATGCTGCCCCATTATCGAGTCAAAAGTTTTGATTTGTCCATTATTAAAGGGATATTCCAGCGTAAAATTAATTTAGGGTCAAACACACCATAACACCGAGTTAGACACCCCCTCGAGAGAAGAATGTGGCCAACCGCTTGCTTCTCAAATTATTCCAACTTTAGTAACGACCGCACGATAGCAATACACAGCGGCCTCAGAAGCCATAAACAAACCTCAACCAAAACGCCACTCTATAGCCACAAATAATGCTCAGAACAGCACCTAACTTCATCAACAGTACATATAGGGTCCCAGCCACAGCAAACATCTTTTTAACTTTGCCTGATTTATTTAGCAAAGAGACTAAACACAACTCACCTACTCTCTTCCAGCAGCTGCTTGTTTGTAGCGAGACCTCGGGCCAATCCGTTACAGACTGCGGCAGGGTGACGCAGCTCAAGGAAGAACATTTATTTAAAAAGCAGAGTTTCAGTGAGACTGTGAGAACATTTAGGCTGGAATATCCCTTTAAGCTTTGAAATGTGACACCTGCAAGTGTAGACAAGCTATACATTGTGCTTAGTGCTAATATCAACAACCATGGTTGTAAAAATATAAACATCTTACCTGCAGAGCACTGTCACAGTGAGTGAGCTTTGCATGTTGATGTAAGTGTCGAGCCTAAAGATGGTGTTGCTTTAAGCTAAATTTTAATGTCTGAGAGCTACCTCACTGAGCTAGCCTACTCCAAACACTTCGGAGTTCTGAATTACTTTATTAAAAAATCAAACCGATCTGCAGAGATGCTTCTCAACATTTTCTTATCGAATGCTTATTGAACATTGTCAAGTTTTCCTCAGCATGGACGTCAGAATCAAAGCGTTCCGGCATCAGTATGTCAGTGTGCTGCTCATTCTGTGTCTTTAGTATCACAGCACATTGATGCTGTTAGCTAATGAAGGTGATCTGATTAGCTATAGCCTCCCTGAGCCTGAAAACAGGGTGTGCACTGCAGCAGCGCACTGTCAGTGTATTATTTGCAGACAGACTGAGCCTATATAAAGGCAGGCTAATCCCCCTGAGTCTCAGAAAGTGAAACTCACCTTGACAACAGTTACTATGATGGCCTTGGCTGGTGTGGCTCACTGACACTGTTTTATTTCAGGGGACTAGTTTGGTTTGCTCAAAGGACAAGCTCATTGTCTCTGCTGAATTATTCATTATCTCTCAGCCAGTCATTTAATATTCAAAATGAATATTTCACACAAGGTGAATTCTGCAATGAAAAGCATCTTTTTGCTATATTATCTCCCAAGGTTGTGCTAATTTTAGAGTATCAAAACACAGTTTCTTTGCTGTTGAACATCTATCCCGTGTTCCCTTTGATGCTGAACAGTTATTGTGTCAGGAGTTGGTGCAGTCTGACGGTAGAACAGTTTGGGTTTGTAGTAATTAATACAAGTTATCAGGAACTTTCTAGAGGCTCAGAACTGAGACACGCTGCTGCCTCTGTGCTTGGATGTGGCATGATACAGAACTATAATAATCTAATTTCTTTAGCAAAGAGACTAAATACAACTCACCTCCTCTCTTCCAGCAGCCGCTTGTTTGTAGCGAGTCCTCTACCAGTCCATTACGGACTGCAGCGGGGTGACGCAGCTCAAGGAAGAACATTTATGATCATTTCTTTATTATTTCCTTGTAGTAATAATCTTCATATTAATAATTTTGCACTGCAGACAAGGTCGTTCTCCTGCCTCATCATCTCAGTCTGATTGCATTTCCATGAAGAAATGATCATAAATGTTCTTCCTTGAGCTGCGTCACCCCGCTGTAGTCCGTAATGGACTGGTCGAGGTCTCGCTACAAACAAGCGGCTGCTGGAAGAGAGTAGGTGAGTTGTGTTTAATCTCTTTGCTAAAGAAATTAGGCAAAGTTAAAAAGATGTTTGGTGGCTAGTGCTATGGCTGGGACCCTATATGTACTGTTGATGAGTTTAGGTGCTGTTCTGAGCATTATTTGTGGCTATAGAGTGGCGTTTTGGTTGAGGTTTGTGTGACTAATGTGTATTTCTATCATGCGGTCGTTACTAAAATTATTACAGCAGCATATTATGTCATGTACCTCCCTCTTTTGAGTAAAAAGTAGTCAGTTTGAAGTGACTCAGAAAACATGTGTGCTCCCATGATTCCAGGGTGTGCATTATCTACTTTATTCATATATTTACATTCTGCTTCACTTCTAACAAACATCAGTGGCTCTATTTCAAACGTTGCTATCTTTCTATGATTAGATCATGATATTCTTGGTGTAAAATTATCTGTACAGCATGTCTTGAGGCTGGACTTCTTTACTGTAAGCCAATAAAGGAATTGATCTGGTTTCCAGCTTGTCAAACACAGCCTGTTGTTTGTAGTACTCTTGGATGCCAAACACTAATGGGACTTATCCTAAAAGTTTAAATCCTTGATATCTTAAATCCTTAATGGTGCAGCTTATGTGTGAGGAAAGGTGGTGGTGTAATACTGCATCCGAACGTAAAGTAATCTTCCTCTTGTTTTTGATGTTTTTTTTTATGTGAACCAGGATTTTTTGGCTGTACAAACTGTCTCCTGCTGCCAGAGTTGATGTGAGCAGGTTGGTATAGAGCTGTGATATCACAGATTGGGATCTGATTCAAACAGCTGTGCTAATGCCGATAGAGCAGACATGAAAGAACAGGCATGCTTACCGTGAGTCATGTAACATTGAAGCTAACTGGAGGCTGAGATCACTGTCACACCATGTACCTTAGATTCCCCATGATGAAATGTACGTCTTGAGTTCAAAGTGCTGCATAGTTCTTGGATGACTATTGATTATCTCATCAAATACTTTGTTCTCCATGCCATTTCCTAACGGCTGATTGCCATCACCTTTCTGTCTCTTACTTAATCACTAAAGTCTGTGCACTCCTCTTTTTAAAACCAAAGAAAAATGTTTGCAAGTAGAGGCACCTCCACGCAGCGACCAGGCTGGTAGAGGTATAACCAGTGATTGTATCAGTGTACTCAGTCACACCTTTACCTGTTGAGACAGATGAGATTATGATCTCACTGAGGCTTCATAAAGCACAGTGTTTCTTCATTTTCTGTACATGTGTTTGTGTGTTGCTGGGCGACTTTCTGTAAGTTTTTTCCTTTTCTGTAGTTTTTTTATGCCTAATGTCCAGATATCATTTTTATTTGAATAACTTGAACTGAACATGAACTATCATACATGCTTCTTGTCAACAAATAACGCTGAACTCTTTTCTGTGTGTGTTTTGAAATAATCAAAATCACACAACTTTAATCCCCCTCCTGTTTTTTTTTAATCCATGTTCCACAGCTTGTGAACCACTGGCCCCATTTAGTAGGAGATATAAATTGTATAACTGATCTATGAAATCTGTAAATTAAATGCTGTTTCTGAAAAACTAAGCCCTGACCAAATTTTAAAGAGACATGTTCTCTAGTCTCCAGTCACAGGAATAAGCTGCTTGGGTTGGTAAGTAGTTTTAACGTTAATGCGTACATCATAGGTTTTAGCTCAAAGTGATACAGATATTTGGCTTGATGTAATCTGGTAGCTTGATGCTGACTCAAAGAGCAGATTTGGAGGGTTTTTTACACCAGCAGTCATCTTGGTGGTTTATGGAAAATGCCCCAGTGGCTGTGAAATCCACTCCAAATCTCAGTTTATATATAACATAAATGTGGTCTTAGTTACTGATGCCTGAGGAGAGCTTATGAAACCCAAAGATGGAGGCCACCATGGACAAATACTGACTATCATCAGTGTCATACTGATCTGGAGTTTTGGTTGCTGGCCACAACAAGCCCAACTGTCAGTCATTTTAGGCATGGCCATATTTCAACTTAATCATCCATAACTCTAAGCCTTTATATGATCAGATAGGATGAGTTACAAAAAATACTCACCATACAGTTATCAAGAATAACAAAAATGTAGGGGTCATATCTTTGTCCCCTCACCGTCACTGCCAGGGATTAAAAGTAAGAACTCAGAACTTGTGTGTTTCAAATAAAGTACATTTAATTTTTAAAACTTTTAAAACAAAAACTCTGCTGTCTCAGCGTCTGTTTACAAGCCCAAATCCTGGCAGAGCTTTCTCCACCGCTCCAAGGATGACCCGATGTTTATTCGAGTTAGATTCCTCACTGGGTCACATTTCCTCTTCGTCTCTGCCCTTTCTTCTGTTGTCTTGTGTTTTCTGCAGAAGTGTTTTTTTCCGTCCTTCTGCATCACAGCTCCTGTATCTACACTGCTACGCTACTTTTAGCCGCTCAGAGCTCCGAGGAGGGCCAGGAGAGTGGGAGGGGATGAATTTGGAACTACAGGAGGCAGGATTTTTTTCCATAGGATGGTAGGGGAAGGTCCTGCCCTCTTTCACCTCTGATTGGCTAGAAGTGCTGGGCTCTGATTGGTCATTCCTTATGGCTGTGAAACGTCATCATCTGTCGGGTTGGGGTTGGGGTCAGGAGATTCAGAATCGTGATAATGTTCGTGTACGAAGCCCACAGCCCGCACTCGGTTTGAGCGTGTGATGACGTTTCACAGCCAATCAAAGGCGAAGGAGGCGGGACCTCCCCTTACCGTCCTACGAAAAAAATATTGCCTACATGAGTGGAGTGTGTCAAATACAGCAAGGTGATTGGATGGAGAGGCGGAGCAGGAGATTCACCAATACAAGCCGTCCGGGACAGATGGCTCCCATTGGTCAAAGTTTTCGCAGCCCTGCACCTGCTATGGCGAACGAATTTTTTCACTCTTTTTTCTCTTCACTTTGTGGAGATCTTACTGTAGGACCATAACCGCCATATAAATGAGTTTCATAATAATTACCACTTTCTCCAATCGTCAGCCATGCCTTTAAGTAGATTTACAGACTCATAGTTTGACCTCTACTTGAGTAAAATGTAATTTCAATTACTATTCTCTTACTGTAGAATAATATTTAAGTGCTCTTGTTATGATGACTTGGAATGAGTGTCTGTCCTGTTTGTCCGACCAGGTGTGTCTCCTCATTTGCACAGTAAAGCAACAAAACCAGAGGGTAAAGCTGCATGCAAATTTATGATGGCAAGAAACAAAAACTCGCTCTTGCTTTTCTTATGCACAGTCCTGCTCAGCTCTGTCATATTACTCTGGTAATAAAGAGTACATTTATTTCCACAGAAGGTACTCATTCAGACGTTTATTTGCTCTTTGAATGGCGTGTAAATGAATCTGTCTTTGTGGATTTTTCTGTTTACACTGGACCAACCACTCCTGATGACATATTTCATTATCGGCTACACCTGTTCATGTTTACCGAAGAACAACAGGACTAACTGAACATTTGACCATTTAAAGCCTACAGGAAGAAACTTGGAAAGCAAAGTTCACTCACACATGCACTAGCTGAAGCATTTTAGCCTTTGCAGGACCGTACTTGGAACTGAAACCAGGTGTTTTCCAGTCAAAACACAGTCAAATTATCAGGAATGACAAAGTGCGGGAGAGAAGGTCATTGTGTGTCTCTGTAGTATCATTTTCTCACAGCAGCTGACTATTAGTCTGCGTCTGTATGAGATCTGTGATTAGAGAGAGCGAGCCTTGTGGTTTGAGCTTTTTGGACAGAGTCACAGGCTTTTAGGACTCCTGCCCTGTCCTTATTGATAATTATCTATGGAAACGCCAAGGCCTAATCCAGAGCCAAGAGCTGGACAAAAGGAAAATACAGGCTTTGAATACGAGTGAGGCTTTTTGGCCGCTAGCAAAGAGTCTATAAATTAAAGCTGTCGATATTAGGGGTGTATACATGGTGACACTGGTCAATAAACCCACTGTCAGTCTGTCTGATGTCTTGAACACACCCCTCTGCACTGTAATACTGGCTCACACATTTTTCTGCTCATGGGTGTGCTATGTCTGGCCAGATTACAGATTAATGATTCAAATTGATGGTTTACAGGACCATTAGCCAGCCTGCAACCAGCCAGTCATACATCTCTATCTCTGATTTTTACCTGCATCCTTTTCTTTTTAACCCGAGAAATGCTGGGACAATTTTTTAAATGTTTGTCATAAGGACTCTTCATTTTATATCTTTTACATGGTTTTTAAATCTGTCACATTACATGGCTCCCCTTTTTATCTAGATCTTGAGCTAACGTAATGAACTTGAACTTGGCTTTATTTATATCAGTTTAAAACAGGGCTAGATAACTCTCTCTTTCCTAGCAACTCACAAGTCCAACTCACTCATAATTTCAGATTTACTGTCATTATGTTATAAAGCTCATCTGCGTACCATATCTTATTTCTGCTTCTTCTGAAGGGTTGTAATGCTTGACTGGTCACCAGGCCCAATGGTAAGGTAATGGTGGATGTCATCAGCGTAAAAATCAAACAGACATAATGTTTGTGGTTTATATTACTTAGCCAAAGAAAATAGCATGGGACCCAGAACTGAAGCCTGGGGGACACCATGACACAAATTTGCTATTGAAGATGCTGGATTATCAGATAGGACCTGAACCAATTTAAGGCCACATCAATGACACTGGCCCACTTTCTTCTCTGTCACTGAGTGTGTTGGTAATAGATGGTGAGAACTAAAATAGAGCGGTAACCACAATTTTCAGCCAATCCCAGGTCTTTATAAACTTTTAGAAGGACTGTCTCAGTGCTGTGAAGGGTACAAAAGAAAGAAAAGCTCTGCATTAACGAGCCAAATCTGATGTGAGGGACACATTTCTGAGATACAGCCCTGAACCTCGAGTGTTTTCAGTAATCTGTGTCAATCCCTAGATACTGGTTCAGTTTTTTAGCATTTCTGTGTATGACTGCTAAGATTTCATTTGTGATGTAAGAGTCAGTAAATATAAAATTCCAGTTGATTCAGAAGAACTCTGATGGATTTGTTGTGTCACACTCCTGCCTTTTGCTGAGCAAATCTACTCCCACATGCGCACCAGTTTGTGCTGTTTGTTATCTCAGGGACAGTGTTTGACCGTTGGACCTTGTTGAGTATTTGGGTAGGAGGATATGTTTGTGGCCACCTTTTTTATCAATGTGTGTTTATGAGGTAACATACTGGTAGCACAGGTACAGAGCTTATAGTTACTGGATCTTTAATTAGCCTTGTATTTCTCATTTTGCATGTTTTACGACTCTTTTACTCCATCGTCTTTATCTTAGCCTCACTGATTCACTTTGCGTATTAAAATTTTAAACACAGACATTAGCTCACATTCTGAAACTCCCATGGATACAAACACCCAGATTAGACTGAAGTGCACGCCTGTATATTGATCTAACAAGAGAGGCAATTTAGTAGCTCTGCAGGAAGTATACAGAGTAATGATTTTGAATACTCTCTACTTGTTGTACCTTTAAACCTAATTTAAATCTTACCTTCACAACAGTGAGGGATCATATTTGACTTTATTTTAACTCTTGTTAATCAGGTTTTCTTACAAACTTTTACTTTATAAATTGATATTGTTGTTACACATAGTGAGCTTGGATGAGTAACAGTGTCCAAAATCTCAAACTAGAACTTAATCCATTTTTTTAACTCCACTTTGTTTGGATGGATGGAGCACATGAGACAACAAAGGCAAAAATCAGACGGTCATAGAAATGAACAGGACTACAGATAAAGTATGATTCTGAAGGAAGAAAAAGTCAGCATTGAGTAATACCTGACAAATCACTATGTGGGACATGAGTTGACCTTATAGGCCTAGTGGATCTCTAAAATTGAACCCTTTTAGACTCCTGATAATCTGAATACTTGACCGTTGCAAACAGCCTAGCAGGTTTGTGTAATAGTGATCGATCCCCCCTCAGCGTCTCTCCCTGTTTGACCGAGTGAAGGCCGTTTGTGAGTGGACAGCTCTTTTCACGTATCGACCTGTTAGCCTCTCTTAGCCTCTGATGCTAATGCTGTGTTACATAATTCCTCACTTTACTCTGGGTGATTGTAAGAGCTGCCCATGAAGCCATGATGGAGGACGGTGGAGTGGGTTTTCTAGCCGTTGCCGGCCTTCTGCCAAGAAGTCCAGCCAACTTAATTTTGAGTGCAGATCTCACCTCTTTGCTTTCACGCCCAGGATGTAATTCCTATGAGTTTGAGAAAAGTCAGGGTGAGCTTAATTAAAGTTTTAGTTTGCTGTTTATGGAGAATTTCGTTTAGATTGATTTTAAGAGCAAAGATTACATACCATAGCAAGATTAAAAGGACTATTGACCAATAATGCACAATAATGATCGTCTGGCTAGTCGGCTGGAAATGAAAAGTTTGAAGGTTCATCATGGGGATGTCAGCAGAAGATTTGATTAAAAAAGCATTATGGGAAATGTAGGCTCATTTGTATAACGAGAAAAGAGAACAGGATGTCTCCTCTTCTTTAATTTGGGCTGTTGTTTTGTGTCCTTCTCTTAGCAGAGTCACAACAATCAAAATAAACAGTATCTAAGATTGTCAGTTTTCCTTAAGAAGACTTGAAAAGTTGGGAGATGGTGCGAAAAGTTTTTGTCTCTTTGGAGAGGTTTATTCTTGCTATGTGGTAGCATTTTTATCTTTCTAGCTATCCCTCTATTTAACTACATTTATCTCTGTCTTTGCTGCATTATTAGGAGGCTGTTTGGTCATGAACAGGGTTTCGATTGACTCCCTGATTCAAAGGAGATGCACATAAAAAACTTGCAGTTGAAATTGGACAAACTTTCATCAGACTTTTCTTGCTCGAAAAACAGAAGCGATAAATGTCATGTTGGTTCATAAGCTGTAAAATATATCTTTTTAAAGAACAGAAATGATAAGAGGGTAATATTTTGGTGAGTAATAAAATTTAGAGGAGAGCATCTCCTCCTTCCTAAAGATCGAGCATGAAGTCCTGATTGAGCAAACAGTGTCAGAGGGAGTGGCACTTCGATAAGGAGAGACAGAGTGATTACCTGCTCTCTCTCTCTCTCTCTCTCTCTCTCTCTCTCTCTCTCTCTCTCTCTCCCCCTCCCTCTCTCTCTCTCTCTCGCTCTCTCTTTTGCTCTCCTTGCAGTCACCTCCCTCTCAGGGAGTGTACACACTCCTACACTCTCCCCCTGCTTGTTCACACACGCACTGGGCTTCATGCTGCACACACACCCACGCTGCGTCTCCTCCTGACTGTCTGTGTAGACTGAGCACATCAGAGAAAAAGAAGAAGAAGAAGCTCGGACAGGAGAGGAAGACCATTTTGGACAGACTGTGTGTGTGTGAGTGTGTATGTTTGTCTGTGTATGTGTGTCAGATTGTGTGGATGTGTGTTTTTTAGACAAAGCAAGAGAGTACGAATTTTTTGAGGTTTTGTTTTTAATTTGGTGATTTTTGGACTATTTGTGGGGTGTTTTTTGACCAGCCATTCATTGGCAGAGACGTTGAAACTTTTTGTCACTTAAAGGATCCCTCTGCGACTTCTGAGCAGGTGACAATTCACTGGACAGGGTGAGTGCTGCTGAAATCTGTCTTGGTCTCTTGTTTCTTTATGAATTTCTTGTCATGCTTCGCTCCCCCAAACCCACCTCTGCAAATGGATATTCTGTTAATGATATTTTAGTCCACAAATGTCTCTCACTGCTGTGTGTGTGTGTGTGTGTGTGTGTGTGTGTGTGTGTGTGTGTGTGTGTGTGTGTGTGTGTGTGTGTGTGTGTGAGCACACTTTTCCCCGGAGGATTCAAAGTCAGTCAGCATGCATTCGCTTGAGACAGGCTCGAACAAGATGGAACAAAAATCCTTCTTTCGACACGCTCTTCTTTGCCTGAATCTGAACATTTTTGAAACACCGTTTTCCAAAAGTTTCCTTCATGTATCCGACTTTACTTCTGCTCTTTATAGTTAATTGTTCCGTTGCTCCAACTTGGAAAAAGCAGCTGCTCATTCACTGCCACAAGCATGGAAGTATTTTCTATTTTTTGCTGACAGGAGAAAAAAAAAATGACAAAATGAAAGTGAGTCCGCTCCACAGCAGTGAAAAATGACATCATCATCCAGCGTCTCTATAATGTCAACTTTAGCCACAGATGCTATTTATGGTAGCGTCCAGCCTCCAGGACACCAACAGTCATTGAAATAAGTGGCCTGTGGTTTGAATCCAGTCAGTCTGAGGTCTTTTCATTAAGTTTGGTATCCTATTTCTAGAGTTTGAGCTTTTAAACTTGGACAGTTGCTGCTGTGGAAATCAAAGTTGATGCTCTGATCGTTTTTACAGTGCTAACCTGACAGTGTATGTTGGATGCTGTATCCTAAAGTTACCGGTTATGACTTTTCTTTTTACATCATTAAACTTGGGTGTTTGTTCTTTCATTAAATGCCCCTTATTTGATTTGGGAAACCTTTCCTAACACTTGAAAAATACTCTTTTCAAAGCATGAATTGCAGGTTGATGTTATTTTTATTAGTGGTGAAAAACAAAACAAAACCCTGAAACATAGCACAGACAAAAGTACGGTATTGTATTTGTGCAAAACTCTTGCATCATGTTACTCCAGACATGACAGATCTACAACCATCACACAGACTGTTCTGTTGTCTGAGTGTCTGTTTACATGAAGTCTCTGTGTCTGTCGTGAGTCCATTATTTGTTTCTTGTCAGATAAACAACACATTGTTGTTCTTAAGCCGCTAATGGACACGGGAGTTGTGTACATTTGCTGAATGGTGAGCTAATAGTCTCTTATAGCTGAACGTAATACACATCCCTCATGAAACTAATGTAAGTGCTTTTATTGTGTTGTGTTTCGCACTTGTACTGCAGTTGTCCATTCTTTGAACAACACAATTCCCGTCCAGCTATGCAAATTTATCCCTCTGTTTGTAGTTATTTCTGTCCCGAAGATAGAAAGCAGACTTTGGTGTTAGCCCTTGAAATGCTGCTTGAAGAATAAAATTGTATAAAATATACACCACGGTCAAACAGGATTTAACAAACTGTACAAGTAAGACAAGGTATACGAAAAAAGAGAAGACGATGTAAGCTGTAAAACTCTGCTTCTTTGGATCTCTGTACTCCCTGTTGTTGTGCAGACAAACACTATTCCTGTGTGATGAGGCTGTTTTACCCTCATCTCAGGTGCATCTGTCCAAACTGTCTGACTTATTTGATGTCTTGCTGGGCTGGCTTTGTTGTAGTAAAGTTGGTGTTTTCACAATTTAGCAGCTCCTTTCATGAGCACAATGTTATGATAAGTATAGAAATAATGGTCTTAAACTCTAAATATAGACCAAAGATGTTATGAATCAGAGCAGTCCTTTCATCACAGGTTATAGTGTGAACAGTTATTTACAATTCAACTGTTATGAGTGTCCTTGAGTAAGATGATTAAATATGAAAATATTTGCATTGCTCAGCCATCATTCAGACTGGGGTGTACAGATTTAAAAATGATTCACTACAAACCTGAAAATCTACTCGGTGAATACACAGAACAACCAAAATTTGTTTTTTATTTTAATGAAATTAAAATCATCCTGTTACATCCGAAGCTGCAGCCCAGTTTATGTCCAACCACCAGTCATACAGTCTTCACTCATGTCCTCCACACCCTTTACACCGGATTTCTGTAGATGTTAATCATTAACTCACTTTTCTGTGTTCATGAATTCACGAGCATGTAAAACAGACTCCATGAATAAAGGACTATTGTGAGCTTGTGTGAAGATCTCAGTGGTCTATCCTGGATTTACAGGTTACAAAACTGTCTCAAAATTAAGCTAAGATAATTACTACAATGAAGAAATGCGTTTGACTTTGCTGTCACTGCACTGGTATAGTTTAGATTACACATGAACATAAAAAAGTCCTGATGCGTTTGTAAAAACACGTCTGCTAAAGTTGTCATACAAAGTTTAGTTTTCCTGATTTTTTTATCCATAGTATCAGGAAAAAAATTGCAGCATTGCATTTAGTCACTGCAGGAGAAAGAAAAATAATATGAATTATAAATGAATTAAAAAGTGCATTAAAGCCTTTAAAAAGAGTACATTCAAATAACTACAAATTAGGATAGAAGATGTAATGTTCCAGTTAAAGGACAGTCCAATGATTATCTCCTACATGTAAACACGATGCATCAATGGTTAATTGCAATTAAAGCTCCTGTGAGCGTTTTTATAAGTGGAATAGATGGCACAAAGTGAGAAGTGCTATCTTATCGGGGCATTAGTGTCATTATTTTCCATCATGCTAGCAGCAAAAAGCAGGAGGATACAACACTGCAGTGAACACATGAACACTGACAGCCCCTGTGTGCACATTTTAAATGATAAGCTGCAGCAAAGAATAATTGCATGAACCACATCTTGAGTAGTTGCTAAACACTGCACCCATTGTTAAGCTACAGTAAGCACATGTAATATCTTGCTAATGTTAATGTTTGTTGTGTTACCATGGTGACAATTATTGTGCAAGTAGGAGTGAAAGAAAATAGTTAATGTTAATGAGGTTATCTCATTGAACCCCGGATACTATTGCCTGGTTTACTTCACCTATCTCCTTTAGAGCCTGTGCACAACCACATGTATACACAAAGCTACACGAGTTCAACAAAGTGACCCAAACAAACACACTCACAGACGGACACACAACCTGACTAACCCTTTCACTCACATTCACCCTCGCTGTAGCATTAAAGCAGCTATTGGATTACTTGTTTGGCTCTTATCTTGTTACGAGACAGAGGTTGTGAGCTGTCGACTGTGTGTGTGATATCAGTGGGACGTGTGTCTCATTCAGACACACGTACACTTTCTTACTAAACAGCCACAGCATGTATTCACACCTGTACATTCCTGGTCTTGAATTTCACCTGGAGCGTTTACAAAACATTACAACTTATCCCATCTGCAGATTGAGGAGGCGGGGCTGCTGCGTGCTTGGTTTTATAATGAGAAGGTCTCTAGATCTTGTCTGAGGACAAAAGAGGGACAAAAGTCCTCACAGAAAACAGGTTAAAAGTGCTGATTGAGGCGTTTGAGAGTCAGGATTATAGGTTTCTTTCTCCCTGTAGCTTTAGGCCAAGTGCTGCTGAAGTAACTGATATCGTGACTCGAGTAGGTAAACTTTGAACTCCTTCTTCTCCTCCAGCACTCCTGAGAGAGGAGTGGCTGCAGGTTTTCAGGTTTATGAGTTATGAGGTGCTTAAAAAAGGCCTGTAGGTGAAAAATAGGTGAATACGAATGTTTTGCAAATCTATCTACAAGTACAAACCCACACAAAAGATCTTCTCAAGGAAAGCAGATGCACAATATATCTTTTTTAAAAGGCATATATCTGTGTCGTCAGTTTAGTTTTTATGACTGTTCTTTATAATCCCCTCATTTCAGCAGCTGCTGTGACTCACTGGTCACAGACTAAAATAAGTTTCACTCTGAAAAAAAGGCCTGCATGGTTTTTTTTATTTTATTTGTCAGACATAAAGCCTGTCATAGAGACTTGGTTAATTTAACCATTTTGTCTTGCTGACAGCAAACTCACCTGGCTGTCTTTTGATCTGCTGGAAGATGGTGTAAAAATAGCGAAATACTGATTTCTGTCCTCAGTTGCCTGACAGGCTGCCCACCACACATCCTGCTGTGTTAACCTGCTGCAAAACGAAGCTGCCAATGGCCTGATTACAACCTGCTTTTGATGTGACAAGATGTCTTAGCTTTCTGCCCTGGAAGCATCTCCCTCTGGTCTTGTAAGCCTCAGCAACACATGAATGCTGATTATATCAACCAAGACGTGTTCCAGTTTACAAGACCATGTAGCTTACAGAGCAGTTCAGTCCCTCCTTTAACAAAAATGTGCACTGACTGGTTGATTAAATACAAAAACTGGTCAAATGTAGATATTTAAAACAGGGGGGTATTTTTTCAGATTTGCAGCTTTAAGTACGTCTGAGGCAGTTGTGTTTGAAATCTTGTTTTTGTTACCAAAGTGCAGGAGCTGGGAGCATTTCTTTTTAAAGCTCTAAAGGGCTGATAAAGATCGAGACTGTATTTGTGTGGCTAAGTATTGCAACACATGCATTATCAGTTTCAGAGTTTGCACAATGGGACGAGCACGAGACAGGAATGCATAAGTCTACACTACATAAAAAGACATTACTATGTGTTCCTCAGTAGACCTGAAACTATTTGATGAATTGATTGTCCTCTCTGTTAAAGCTTCTGTAAGGAGGTTTTAGCTGGTTATGAAACGGTCTGAGATTAAAACTAATGCCATGTTTGGACCTACAAAATCAAACAAGACATGAAATTGATTATTTCTATAGAAATATTCTTAATATCTGTAACTGATCATATTAAGTAGGTGTCATACACAGGGAATGAGATTTTCAGTGGATGTTTATCCGACTGTTCAAAGACAGAGGGTTCAATTCCTTGCAAGAAAAATTACCAGTTTGTCCATTTTGCTCACTAGGCCATAGCAAAAAACATCAACCTATTTACTGTGTCGGTTCTGCAGGTTGAGCTGCCAGGACTGTCATATGGCTGTGACTGATGGTGTCTTTGAGGCAGTCTGACTCTTGAACACCTGAGAGGTTTAATGAAGCGCCTCTTCAGGTGTGGAAACATTCCTGTATGACAGCATGAAGCTACTTGTGACGGCCTCAGGGTAGAAGCTGAGAAGTGAAAGAGTAAACGGAGACTGGGTGATAATCATGATCCCAACTGGTGTTACTTTAAGATTTTCACCTTTTTTTTTTTTAACCTTTTCCTACAGTCAGTTTGTTTCTCAGCTCCAGCCACACCTGCATCATGCAAACCAAAACCCTTTTATTTTTACCTCATTCGCCGTGACGTCATCACAATCATATGACACAGGGATGGGCACGAATGATCTTTTTTTTGTTCTCTCTGCACTTCTTTACTCCCTCTGTCTCTGTCCTGTGAGTGGTTGTTCGGGTCATTTTTTTAAGCATTAACATCTTGCCCATCAGCCTCCTCCACCCCTAATTTATAAGTAATGACCATGCAGCAGGCAGGCAGGAAGCCAGACAGAGTAGCAGAGCAGACGTGCTGGCTGGCCAGGCCTCGTCCCAGAGGACCAGAACCACTTATCTCTCAAAATAATGACATATACATCGACTGGCTTAAGACACACTGCTAAAAAGAGCCACTGGTGTTGGAGAAGTCTCACATGTTTTTCTTTCTTTATTTGTTTGCTGGGAGATAACTCCGGAAGTTAATGTTGGAAAAAAAAAGTCTTTCAATCAAAAATGTTTCATTTTATTTCATTTATTTAGATCTCAATTAGCTTTGGCTAAGGCCATTGCTATTCTTCCTAGAGTCTACATTTACGATTAGCTCTCCATCACAGTGCAAAGATACAAAAAAACATCACGCCACAAACACAAAGACAACGTCGATAACCACAACAACCCGTAACAAAACTGGAACAATACAAACAACATACACATATTACTGGACCTTATTTATTTTCACAGTGTAGCTTTCTGAAATAATCAGATGTCCAAATACCAACATACATACCACATAATTGAATTAATTTACAGAAACAATACCCAATACTTCAGCAGACTTCAGATATATCAAGTAAATCAGACAAACACTGACTTATTCTACAAAGTAGCTTCATCTAAATAAGAAACTGTTTGGCTAATGAATGTTCTTTTACTAGATCTTTAAATCTGTATTTGTTGTGTTCTTGGATAATATGTCCCTGTAGAGCATTCCATATCACCATGGCCCTATACATTACCGTACTTTTCATCTTTTACTTTTCATGTCGAAGAAACATTCATTATTTAAAAGTCTGTTGGATTTAAGAAGAGCCATTTTTCTGTAGTACATTAAAATGCAATCATAACGACTATTGTCAACGACATAAAATAAAATCATAGCTATAAGAAAGTCCACTCGCCACATCAAAGTGATCGTCTTATTGAACCAAAGTCAAGGTTTTGTGGAGCCAACAAAAACAGTTAATCTTGTTGTTGACGTGTTCTTGAAGCATCTCTTCATGCTGTAAATTCAGAACAACTCAATTTAGGATAGAATGAAGAATTTAGTACAAGCAGCTGTTGAATGGGTTCAAGTCTAAAAATTCAGAGTCTAGAGAAAGATATGTGTTGCCATTGAATTCCTTGAATACTCAGTAGGTACATGATGGTATGAGATAAGATTGGTATGATAAAAATGATTATATTTGAAAGCTTTTCTTTTTTTACAAAGTAACAAGTAATTTAACATCCATTTGATATGCTTTTTGTTTGTACAAGAATGTAAATATCACTTTCAAATCATACAGTAGCAGAATAATCAACAAACAAGAGGGAGCAAAAAATGAAAAAATCATGAAAAATAGAAATAAAAGTGGGACTTGAATAAAACTCTGTGAGACACCGCAAGATATTGTTCTGCATTGAAAATTGCAGTTATTTTGGTATTTTGAAATACAGCTATTCCTCAATCATGAAGGACACTACCCAACATATAAAAATAGACAGAAGCCTTAATTGTTTTATATGCCCACACCACTCTTGTTAAACCTCTGTGCTCAAAGCAGTGTGTTATTATTCTCTTGGAGTAAACCAGACAGACTACTGCTCATGTTTTAAAAACCCTTCACGTCTACCATGACTCCATATTTCTGCTTTTGCTCGGAGCTGGGGTTAAAAAATTCCATCACCATAACTGTGAGGGATGACTCTCCTTGACTGACCTCCCTACTCTCTCTCTCCTCTCTACGCTCTCAGATGACATGGCGTCCTCAGTACCGCAGCTCCAAGTTCCGCCACGTGTTCGGTAAGGCTGCCTCCAAAGAGAGCTGCTATGATGGTGTGCCAATTACACGCAGTGTCCAGGACAACAACTTCTGTGCTGTCAACCCCCGTTTCCTGGCAGTCATCACTGAATGTGCAGGAGGAGGGGCCTTCCTGGTCCTGTCTATCCATCATGTGAGTATCTGCTCCTCACGGCAGGCTTTACAGTACTGTTGTAAGTTTTTAAAGGGGCATGTGGCCAATTCTCAAAAAATGCTGATCACAGATTATAAAGTTATTTTGCAATCGAAACATCAAAATTTCTTTTAATTCTAGGGAAAAATTTTCTTCAATTTATTGCAGTTTAGTCGGGTATTGTCTTAATGACAGGTAATTTTTTATGTGTGGTTATTCTGTAAAATTATATGCTAAACACATTATTTAACTGTATAACTGCACGTATAACATCCCCAAAGAATTCTCGACCTAAAACACAACCTGAATTTTCTGTACCTAGCGCCCCAAAAAAGGTATGCCAACTTAGTAGTAGTTGCTTCAACTCAAGGAAGAACATTTATGACCATTTCTTTATCATTTCCTTGAAGTAATAATCACCAAATTAATCATTTTGCACTGCGGACACCGTAGTTCTGCTGCCTTAGTGTCTCAGTCTGATTGCATTCCCATAAAGAAATGATCATAAATGTTCTTCCTTGAGCTGTGTCACCCCGTTGGAGTCTGTAATGGACTGGCCTGAGGTCTCGCTACAAACAAGCAGCTGCTGAAAGAGAGTGGGTGAGTTGTGTTTAGTCTCTTTGCTAAAGAAATCAGGCAAAGCTAAAAAAATGTTTGGTGGCTAGTGCTGTGGCTGGGACCCTATATGTACTGTTGATGAAGTTAGGTGCTGTTCTGAGCATTATTTGTGGCTATAGAGTGGCATTTTGCTTGAGGTTTGTGTGTGGCTCCTTAAACCACTGTGTATTGCTATCGTGCGGTCGTGACTAAAGTTGGTATAACTAGAGAAGCAAGTGGTCGGCAACATTCATCTCTTGAGGGGGTGTCTAACTCGGTGTTACGGTGTGTGTTTGACCCTACATTCATTTTACGCCGGAATATCCCTTTAATCTAGAGAGACTAAGGACATTTAAAGGAAATTTGTCTAAATCTGTGAGCCCGCCTCTCAGTGGGATTGTGCAACTTTTTTGCCTGCAAAATCGGAGCAAATGAGCCAAAAACCTATTTGCTAAGTCACATAGGTTTTCATGCTGCAGAGACTGCACTGCCAGTGTCGTTTGCAAGCATTTAAATAAACCATTGTGCATTAATCTCGAGCAAGTTATGCCCCTTTCTATGCAAGTGGGTCTCAATGCAAACAAGAACTAATTCACTAACACTGGCACTAACTGCCCTATACAGACAATAACCATAAATTTGTGTCACATGAATCCACCTCGCAATAAAATGGTAACGACCTTTCTGTCGTCATGATGGGTATGCACAGTGCAGCTCTGCACAATACAGAGAATAACATTGGAGCGATTTGCTTTGTGATCTAGACCTTGAGAAGGAGCAGGGTGTAGGAGCACATAATGACAAATCTTGGTGCAAATAGTACCAGGCCTCTCTCAGTGAATTCCCATCCAGGGTATTTAATGTGCCAGACAAAGAGTTGTGTGAGGACCAGATATTTTTTGTGTCAAATGTGTAAAAATGAAAATATTAAAGATATTTGGAAAATGTGTCTAAAAAGACTCATAGAGCTTGTAGATTTCAGTGCAGAAATATGATTGTGTATAATCAGTTTCTCAAGGCTTCTTACTATTAACTAGAGTTTAACCAAATATGTCTGGGCACTGTCACAGAGATTTAATAAGCTGTCTTTTTGATGGTGGGAGTTTGAAGTGCTAAGGTCAGGCAGACACCCCCCTCCCCAATTACAACCAATGTGTATATTTTTTAAGCCAAGTTGGATCTAACAGTTTCTGCTGACTGGTCACTGTATGTGGTTTTGTTTTTTGTTTTTTTCTCCACCATACTCCTGCACTGGACAGCACACCTGGACAAGACAGCTCTGCTCTCAGATTATAAATAGGGCAGCAGTCTAGAAAACCCTGACAGCTCATCCACCACAACCCAAACATACAATGTGGTCTTTTTCCCCTCCTCATTATTTTACCTTATCTTCCTCCCTACCAACTTCAACTTAAACAACATTCATCAAACACTCCTTTAGACTCTATTAACGCCTGTTATCACAGACACTTGTCTAACCAGTAAAAACAGCGATCTCTTAAATTAACTCAGTCAGACCTCCCCTTATGAGTGCTGGTTGGATTTATGTTACCAGATGTCTCTCCTTTCTTTCTTCATTCTCTTCATTTTGACTAAATGTCTTTGTGAATTATAACCATCCTCTTGGCATGGGCAGGGGTTGCATACAAGCTTAGGAATGGCATATAACTCATACTCTGACCCTCCTTTCTCCCCCTTTCTTCAGTTTCACAAAAAGGTGAAACTTCAGCTTTCTTTCCTCCCTCTGTCTTCTCACTGTCCCATTTTTCAGTTTGCACTTACAGATAACATATTGTTCTAGTATTTATGCACGTTTACTACTTTCTGAGCAGAACAATAAGTGCTATGTTCTGAGGATTGCTTGAAGCACAGGTAGCTGTTACATCACCTTACCTGCACAGTAATCCAGCCTGTGGGCATGTATATCAGTATGAGGAAGATCCTGTCTATACAAACAGCATAATTAGAGTCATGTTGAGGCAGAGAATCTTCAGTAATGTCTCCCTTGTAAGAGCATCATCGAATACCTGAGCATGTGTCATAACAAACTGTGTCAATACACCTCTAGTTTGAGATATTTTGATAAGTTTTTATTCCCCTCTCCCCTCAACAGATTGACCTGTTCAGATGAAAACATGGCAGGATTAAAGCTTGGTTTCAGTTGTGTCTTATCAAAATTTTGCACCTTTCTGTTTTGCAGAGTTCTGGTTGTTCTGGTTTCTGCGGCAAAAAATTAATGCTGCATTTCTTCCTTGGCTGATTCACTGCCTTCTTATTGCTAATGCCACTCTTTCCTATTCTTGATTTGTGCATTTTTTTTTAAGTTAAAGGGATATTCCAGTTTAGAATTAATTTAGGGTCAAACACACCGTAACACCGAGTTAGACACTCCCTCGAGAGATGAATGTTGCCGACCGCTTGCGTCTCTAGTTATATCAACTTTAGTAACGACCGCACGATAGCAATACACAGCGGTCTGAGGAGCCACACACAATTCCAACCAAAATGCCACTCTATATCCACAAATAATGCTCAGAACAGCAACTGACTTCATCAACAGTACATATTGGGTCCTAGCCACCAAACATCTTTTTAACTTTGCCTGATTTCTTTAGCAAAGAGACTTAACACAACTCACCTACTCTCTTCCAGCAGCCGCTTGTTTGTAGTGAGACCTTAGGCCAGTCCATTACGGACTGCAGCTGGGTGACACAGCTCAAGGAGGAACATTTATGATCATTTCTTTATCATTTCCTTGAAGTAATAATCACCATATTAATCATTTTGCACTGCAGACTTGGTAGTTCTTCTGCCTTAGCGTCTCGGTCTGATTGCATTTCCATGAAGAAATGATCATAAATGTTCTTCCTTGAGCTGCGTCACCCCGCTGGAGTCCTAAATTAATTTTACACCGAAATATCCCTTTAATTCTAGCAGCCAAACAAACCATTTTGAGCCAAAAAGCACTTGTAAACTCACTGTTCTCTACCTGCTAAGTATGAGACAACAGACAAAGAATATTCACCTATCTAGGGATGATAGTAAAAGCTTAAAGCAGCTAAAAAGACAAATATTTCCCTCAGGAGTTAAATCTTAAGTTTGTCGACACAATAAAACCATTCTGTGTCATGCTGTCCAAGGATTCCCTGCTTTTCCCTTGGCCAAGGTCAAGCTGAATAAAAGACCTTTTATTGTGGGCTTGTCCCTGGACTACCAAAAAACATGATAACAGTCAGTTTAAATCATTTCAGGTAGTTCAGGTAGTCAGGTATATATAATGTGAAGAGTGTCCTAGCAGCAAAGTTACAAAAAACAAAAACTTGTTAAAATGCAAAGAGAGAAGCTGAATTCTGTAACAACTATTAACACATTACTTTCTTTTTGTGTTATGAACAAGAAACTGTATAACACCTGAATGTATTTAAACAGAGTTAAGAGACAAGCAACAACCCAGAAAGGTAAATAGTTCAGTAACAATTAGATGTCATAGTTGACTCTTATGTCTGTAAGGTGACTGTAGGTAGAGTCAGCAGCAAGTGATGATCATGAATGAATGAATTTATTTATTTACAAAATATGTAAAATTTTGGCTGAAACTATGAATTTCTATCCATTATTTATCCATTATTGTAAATCTATGTGCGATATCTTTCAGACGGGTAAAGTGGACCCCCATCACCCGCGGGTTTCTGGCCACAGAGGAAACGTCTTGGACATCAAGTGGAATCCTTTCAATGATTACTGCATTGCCTCCTGCTCCGAGGACACCACGGTTTGTACATTTTCAGACTGGTTCTCTGAACTGTTATCATTTCTTTCTGGAATATGAGCACGTAGCAGCAGGGAGATAATTTTATTGCCTTTGCGTTTAGCCTTGAAGGAGAGCTCGGAGTCATTCCTCACATTCCTCAGCTCTGTGCTGGCAGAGACGCTGTGAACAAACCTCTGATCACAGAAAGAAAAAGAGTCAACAGGTTTTACTTTCAGAAGAAGAGTTTTACTAAGTGTGCCCTGTGGCTGCGTTCATTTACCTTCTAATTTATATCTAATTTTCTGCTCTTTTTTTTTTTCTTTGGTTAACCTCCTCTGAACTCCTCCTCATCTGTTAATATTGGTGGGCTCTTTTTTTCTTTTTTAAATTATTTAGCAACAAATAAATAAATAAAATCCATATATATGTTTGGTTTAGTTTTCATCTGATGGTTCTATCCTAATGGATTGTTTGTCCACTTCTAAGGAGTAGTAAAATTATTAATTTCATATAAAATCTACAAAAAATTATCAGAGTAGCCATTGTTTCTTCAGCTTAGCAATTGGCTCTACTCTGCTGTATTCATTTTGTCTCACTGGTTTTGTGAGTAAAACTAATAATTAATTACTGACTTACGAATTTGATTTAAGTCGTTTAAAAGCAGTAACGTTGTGAAAAGTGAAACATTTGAATCAACTGAAGTAAAGTCCAGAGAAATTAACTCCACAAGTGACTCATTTATGACTTTCCTATGTTACTTGGTAAAGTGTAGTTAGTTGCAGTCAACCGTTGTTGATGCGTGTGTCCACAGGTGAAAGTGTGGGAGATCCCTCCTCACGGTGTGCTGAAGAACCTCACAGTACCATGGAAGGAACTTCAGGGTCACAGCCGCAGGGTGGGCCTCATCGAGTGGCACCCTACTGCTAACAACATCCTTCTCAGCACGGCCTACGATTACCAGGTAACACAAACACACACACACACACACACACCTGCATGCGCACACTCACACGCTGACTCTAACAAGGCCACTTCAGAAAAAAACATATCTTTAAAGAAAGAGGAGCTCTTAGGGCCTGCTATGATGTTACTTATTTTGAGAGTGATCATGTTTAGTAACCAGTGTTGTAGCTGAGTCGCCAAAACCTAAAGTCTGAGCCAAATCCCAAGTCCACATTGTTCAAGTCTGAGTTGAGTCACCAGAGAAGTTTGGTTCGAGTCTTAAGTTCCCATCCCCTCAACCTGAGTCCAGTCCTCATTATTGATATTGTTGTTCATCATCAGGCGCTCTGCTGTTGGTTTCCTAAACCTGGACTGACTGTGTGGGACTTTTGGATGTGCAGAAATCCATTTTATCTTTTCACATTAGACTCTGATCCTGTGGGTGTGTCTGAAGATGTAAATCATGAATGAAGTTTCAGTTTCATCATTTCAGCTATTTTGATCACGGCAGTAAATAAACTCAAAAGTACCTGCCGCCCAGCAGCTATCAAAGTTTTAACTAACCTGACATCTTGATCATAATCTGTGAAATTTGATCCTTTCTTTGGATTTTCAGTTGTTTTAAAAGTCGTCATTGGTCGTCTTTGTTTTTTCTTTATTCGTCGGTCATCATAGTTGACAGTATTTAAAGGTGACACTGTCTGGTGGTTGTTTTCTGTATCTCTGTCCAGCCATGTTTATGAGTGTGTGTGTTTGTGTGTCTGCACCCGTAGATAATGATCTGGAACCTGGACTGTCATGAGCAGGTGATCAAGAACCCAGTGCGAACAATCAGCTTGCACACAGATGTCGTCCTCTCCATGTCTTTCAACACAGACGGCAGCCTGTTAGCCACCACCTGCAAAGACAGGAAGGTCCGCCTCATAGATCCACACTCAGGAAACATGCTGCAGGTGATGTTTCTCATGATTGTGTGTGTAAGTGAGTGCATGTGTCGTGGGGCAAGGTTTGTAGACAATTTGGCTTTTGAATTTAAATGTTCCTTACATAATCTACAGCACAGTAGCGTTTTCTTTACACTGTAATGATCTGTAATGATAGTAACTCTAAACTGCCATGCACAATATCTCTATTGAGTCTGTAATCACAGTTTTGAGGAACATGTGGAAGTAAAGTCTGAGTGAAAATCAATAACACTTCAAAGAAAACACCTACAAGCTCGAGTTGTAGTGTAAAATGACATCTCAGCAAGTATTGCATAACCTTTCCTCTCAAGTGCTGGCTCCCATCCAGCACCTCTTTGCCAAAACTGACACCTCTGTCCTTTGCAGGTTGCAGTATAATTCTCCAGACCTGTGGGTCACCACACTTTACACTTTTACTACACCTCTCTTCCAAACAACCATAACATTTACATCAATATGACATAGTTTTCAACCCTTATTGCTAACACAGCAATGTCTGTATGCTTAAATACTTAAGAGAGTGAATGTTTGGTGCATGTTGTGCTGTGGTTGTAATGAGTTTTATTGTGTGCTTGCAGGAAGGCAACTGCAAAACGCACAAAGCCAGCAAGGTGCTGATCCTAGGTAACATGAAGATGCTGCTCACGACAGGCACATCACGCTGGAATCATCGACAGATCTCTTTGTGGGATCAGGTGAGTGAGCAGCTGCAGCAGCCGAGTATCATTTACAGAGACCTACAATTAATCCACCATGAGTGAGCAAATAAAAAAAAATCCTGATTGTCAAAAACCTTTTGAAGAACCAGACTCATTAGTCAACCGTTTCCTGCCTTTGCTGCTGCTAACTCTGCAAATTTACCCACCATGAAAAAAATAAAGGTTTATCTTAAAATAGAGAATCTGCTTTCAAAGAAATGTTGGCATCTTTATTTTTAAATCTTCATTATATTTTTACAAAGCCGACTACATTGAAGACCGAAGAAGATTTTAGGATAAAAGTTTAAAGAGTGTGAGGTGAGGCAAAAATGTTGGACACTAAAAAAATCTAGGGTAGAGGTGTTCAACAGGTAACGGGTTCATCTATTTTGCATGAAAAGACGACAAAACAAAATAGAAACATAACGGTAGGACAGAGACTCTCCTCCAACCATGATATTCCTTCCCAACCTCTTTCAGACACAGATCTGCCATCTAGTGGACAGATTGGTGGACAGGTTAAACCACCTAACAGCATGTCTGTTGTGTTGTGTTCACACCAAGCGTGAATAAAATCATTTACTCGCTCAGTTCACGCTATTCACACTGCGTCACAGAGCCGGAGGATGTTCTTGATCAAGTCATTACCAGGCCCTTGAATCTATCACACCTCTATGCCTGTAGTAGCAGTCTGCTGGTATGTTTTTGTGTGTGAGAGTGTGTATCGTGGTTGGGAGATTACTGCTGAGGCGGGGATTAGGGATTGAGCACTTAATGTTTTGAATTTATCTCTGCAGAGTGCTTCCTATGGATTTAAACGACTTGAGTGTTTTGAAATGAGGGATTTGGAGGATGATTTTTTTGTTTTTCTTGCTAATATCTGTGAGTGTGCTTTCAGGATGATCTGTCAGCACCCTTGTTACAAGAAAACCTGGATGGTTCATCAGGAGTCCTTTTTCCTTTCTACGACCCTGACACACACATGCTCTACATTGCTGGAAAGGTAAATCGAACTGCGTGTCCATTTTTTTTCAATTCAAAATACTGCTTCATGTGATTGTTTCACAGACTGTGTCTCTGACAGGGGGATGGAAATATGAGGTACTATGAGATCAGCTCTGAAAAACCGTATATCCACTACCTAACAGACTACCGATCCAGTCTACCTCAGAAAGGAATGGGTAAGAAAACTCACAGATATGTGCACATGCTATAAGTCTAAAAAGAGAGCAAAGTCCAGGATGTTTCTCTTGAGTAAGTCGTGGCTTGAATGTATGTAAAAAATGTTTTTGGTTCATTTTTGCGAGGCCCTGCCTTCCCTCTGGCTGTTCTGACTCTCCCACACCTGTAAGCAAAACTGCTATGCAAATAGACCTGCGACTATTTGACTAGCAAAACCAGCTGATAAAAGCTGAGTAGTAGATCTTGTTTAGTGACAGACAGCCTGTGCCTCAGCATGTAGACTGATATGCCATACATTTGGAGTCACATATGGACACTTTTAAACATGAAATGGCAAAAAAAACAAGAGATTTCCAGTTTGAGCAGCAGATCTATTACCAAGCTACAGAAATGCAACTAATATATTGACTACACTTTTTTTATTTTAATTTTGTTTGGGGAAAGTAAGAAAACAAAAGTACACAACACTTTGATAATGTTTTACATCATTTTCTAGTTTTTTTGTGTCATGATTTTTAACGGCTGAAGCTGGTGTGAAGTGGTACATGTCAGCTGAAAAGCTTTAGAAATAGCCCTGTTTTTACAATTTCACAATACATTAAAAAAAGGAATACATCTACCCATCAAAAGTCAGCAGCATCAGATTTTTCATCAAGAGTCACTACCTCAGCACCAAGAGGGCGAGATGGACAAGGACTGCTGGTGATAACTCAGTGTCATTGAAGTAGAGCATTACAAATCATTCATTTTAAGGGTCCACAGTTTGAAATTTTGCCATGTTTAAAGGTTGGAGATCCTGATAAATTTTTTGTGCACACCTTCCTGAACCTGCTCTCGAGGTGGGTGTGGTCCTGTGCCGTATTTACCTGGATATCCACCAATTTCAACATTCATTGTGTGCTTGATAAAGGGCTGTAAAGTTTGCAGAAACCCTGTAAAATTATCGTGAAATTAAAGCAGTGTATTCTTTCATAGCACACTAAAATCAATTGACAGGACACCTGACCGAAGGTTATACCAGTCCCTTACAATATGACTGTATCTGCATCAGTCAGCGCACTGTTTGTGGGAGGTTACACTGCATTTACCTCACAACCACTTGTAAAAAGTGTGCTTCCTGTTTATCAGAGTGAAACTGATGCAGCCTGCATTTTGTTTCCTCCAGGTGTGATGCCAAAGAGAGGCCTGGATGTGAGTTCCTGTGAGGTGTTCAGGTTCTACAAACTGGTGACAATCAAGAGCCTTATTGAGCCGCTTTCCATGATTGTACCCCGCAGGGTGAGCGAGCAGCAATGCAAACGCACCGCAAACATTAGAGAGAATAAAGGAGTCAGTTTGTCTGATTGTATTATCTGTGTGTGTGTGTGTGTGTGTGTGTGTGTGTGTGTGTGTGTGTGTGTGTGTGTGTGTGTGTGTGTGTGCGTGCGTGCGTGCGTGCGTGCGTGCGTGTGTGTGTGTGTGTGTGTGTTTTCAGTCAGAGTCATACCAAGAAGACATCTATCCAATGACAGCTAGTAATAAACCTGCTTTGACGGCTGAGGAGTGGCTCAGTGGCATCAATAAAGGTCAGAGTGAGTGTATGTGTGTGTGTTTATATATATGTGTGTGTGCGTGTGACATTTATGCCGGTTGGCGAGATGCTGGGGGATTTACAGGTCCTCCCTTATAGTTCAGTGTGAAAGTAGAGTTATCAACTTCTCGTTATAATTGTCATTTAAGAGTTCAGATAAACCTACTAATGAAGGTATTGAAACAGCAAAGGCGTAATCTAAAAGGACCACATGAAATAAGGGTTGCATTTAAAATCAGATGCGTTGCAGATAACTAGATATCAGTGTTTTAATTATGATAGATGTAGTTTCAACATCTAACAGGACACTTTGACAGGACAACCGTTTCTAAAAGTAAAGGTAAGCTCTTTAGTAATGTTGGGGCCCTTCTCTTATTTCTTAAGGAAAGTATTGATTTTCCATTGTTGAAAGTTGTCTTGTTGGATGACATGATCATCCCCCTTGACATGCTTGGCTGGGTGCAGACACAGCAGACTCAGATAGCCTTAATGAATAGGTATTGATTTTAATGGCAGCAAAGAGGAAAACAAATTAGAACAGGGGGGACCTCTTGAAACTTGGCTCATATTGGAGCACAGTCTGGGTTACATTTAGAGCCCATCTGAACGCCACGTCAGCCATCTTCCCTCAGATGCTGTCAACACTCGGCGTGGTTGCTAGTTGTCAGGAAATATGCAAAAAGAAGTCTATACCTGCACGGTTAAAGGATGTAAAGCAGCACCTGTCGAAGGCTTTAACTTGAAAAGAATGTATTTGGATGTAATCCTTTAAATCAGTTACTAAAATTCAGTTTCAGTGATTGCATGTAATAGAGTTGTATAATCAAATACCAAACAGTTACACTCATAAAAGCATGACTTACCTCACTTACCTCTGTTGTGTTTTATCTGTTAGTTTTTACTTGGAGTGGTGTAGTCAAGTACATTGACAGATTCCGTGTAAGTGGTCAGGGTTTGACTGATGTGAATCACTATGAATCTTTTTATATGGCGTCAGATAGTTTCATTTCTAACCTTCAACCTGTAGGCCCAGTGTTGATGTCTCTGAAGCCAGGAAGTCGGGAAGCAGAGCCATATCCAGAGTTGAACAAGGGGATGGGAAACTCGCTGGACTCATGCAGGTCTCAGAGCAAACCAGGTGCACTGCAATTAGCATACATTCAGGACCAACTAGGAACCAAAGACGGCAACGACAGAGTTCAAGCAGGGGATGACTCAGGTCGGACACCTGTCAGCAACGGAGAGGACCTGGGTCTCTGCTCCCCTCCGAGGACAGAGAATGAGGTAGTGAAGGATTTTAGTGTTTGTGCTTGCAAGAGAACTTCTTGAGTTTTACCTTTTTTCCTTTAGATTTTAAAATAGATTTTAGTGCCTTTATTGAGAGATTAGGACTGTAGATGGAAAATTGGGAAGATGACATGGCAAGGGGCGATTTGAACCCAACCTGTCTGCTTCAAGGGCTGTGAGCCTCTGTACATGGAGTACCCCGGGCAAAATGAACCCTCTGAGTTTTAGTATTTTTATACATGATCGTTGTGCTCTCAAAAAGTCTTGTGGAAGAACTACAATTATGGTCCTCATTTCTACATTGTGAACGCCCTGACCTTCAACGTCTGGTTCAGTTTTGGTCATGATAAGGCCGGGACATACTCCTCCAATCAAAAGCACAGAGTCTCAAGTGTATACACCTCTCTGAAGTAGCTCTGAAGCTCAGAGGTAAACTTAAAACGGTCAAAAATAAAAATATGAAAACCCATCATTGAGGCTTTCTTACTGAAACTCTCATAAGACTCATGTATCTTTCCCTTCTGTTTGCCTTAGAGCTCCATCAGTCAAACGAATGTAAAGACAAATCACCAAGGCATCAAGACAGTGTTAAATTCATCACTGTAAACACTGAGTGCCCTTTCAGGTCCTCTATAAATTTCAGTTTGAGAAATAATGTGTAAAAATGGCACAGCAGGGAGGGTGTTTTTTGGTAAAAAAAAAAAAAAAGTGACCGTCTTTTGCAGAAAAAGAACAGATCTGTAGTTCGATTTTTGAAGGTGCAGCAGTCAAACTTTGGAGTTTGGAGCGCCTGTGTTGTTTGTTACCTTTGCTGTGTACATCATAATAATTAAAGCTGAGCATCAAATAGGAGTTCCTCACATCGTGAGTAATACATCTGTACAGTTTAACAGATACATACAGATCTTAACAGATACATGTTGTGTTTTCGTCCACAGCTGCGTCTGAAGTTCCACAAGCAGCAGGAGGAAATCCGACGTTTGAGGGAGCTTCTTCAACAGAGGGATGTGCGTGTCAAACAACTGGAGCTGGAGATTAAAAACATCAAAAACTCTCAGTCTCAGACCTCACTGACAGACTTACCATGACCTGCTGATTCATAATTATTATCATCACCTCCACACTGAATACACACATTACTGTTCAAAAGAAAATCTATTTCCAGCCACCTTTCACCTGTTAGGATCCTGACTCACTTCTTATCCTTTAGTAGCCTGAATACTCACTGCACAGGGGTGGTTTGAACCTCAGTTATGTTTTTCTCAGTCTATTGTTCAACCCTCATGAGATGCACATACTCTTCACAAATGTACATACACACAGACACTGACTCTTGTTTTTAACATCTTTGCACCTGTTGACCTTCTTTACCAAGTTTCTTTTTTATGCTTCACAGCTATGCAAGTTTGTCGTTTTTTGTTTTTTTTATGCTCTTATGTAGCTGGAAGTAAAAGGATGTCTGTGTGTGTCCTGGCTGAATGATGTGACCGTATGTTGTTTGATAGTTGTTGTGGTGCAGACATTCAATGTGATTATACACTAAATTTTATTATTTTTTTTCTCCTTGAGATATTTAAACTACTGTAAGCAAAGACTGTGGCTGTGGTGTTTTAATGTATGTGTGATTGAATGAGAGCGATCTAAATGAATGACTGATATCAATCTCAGTTGTGTATTTGCATTCCTTTGAGCTGCTTTTTGGTTGTTGATTGACTAAATTTGGGGACAGGTCAGTCACTAATGCTGCGCAGCACATTTTAATTCTCATTTTAATTATTTGAAAAAAACGGCTTACTCGTGTACATGATTTCACGATCATAAAAACATTTTTTAAAGGGCAGGCCTTGCTTTATCCCAGAAAGAACAATTTAAAGCCATTGTAGAGTTTTGCAGCGCTTGGTGGATACGCTTCAGTTTCCAGTTCTTAATGTATTTCCCTGAATATGACAGGCAACAGGTTCTCTGTTAGAGTTATAAGCCCAAAGAGTATCTGCTTCTGCAGTGAATGTCAAAATAAGCGCACCTTGTGAAAGGAATAGCTTGAACTAACTGTAAGACATACGTTAAGGTACACAGTAAGTTGATGATTTGTCTACAGTTTAATGTTTTATACCAAGGTAGCTTTTTGACAAGTATCTTGGCTGTGCTGAACAAAGACTACCATGTTTTCATAACTGGGGCAACTTGATTTATGGAATTTATCTGATTTATTCCATACACATGTAATTTATCATAGCAAATATAGTGATAAACAATCTTATTTGACATTAGGGCTTAATTTGTGACTTTAAATCACGTTACTTCTTACCTAATTCAAGATGTTTAAAAAGTCTTAACTGTTCAATGTGATGTTTTCAACTTGGGACCCCTAAGTCATGTTTTTTGTCGATTCATTTGTCTGAGGTCACACTGAAAAGGGAAGCAGTTTTTTTAGCCAGCTGGGTTTGTTGTCCTAGCACATTGGAGGGTGTTTGTTTTTTGTTGTTTTCAATTTCAAAGATTGACAGATTTATAGTGTCACGTTTCAGACATTAAAGGAACCCAATATATGTAACATTGAAGTGAAAAGGCTGAACGAACAGAGGTTACCTCACAGATCATCATCTTTAAATCTGAACCTATCACTTAAAAGTGTCAGTAATACTTGATATTTTTCAGTGCTTGGCTGTGGTCTGCTGATCAAACCACAGACACTTGCATAACGAAATATAATCAAATTGACACAAAGTTAACTCAATTGAATATGTAAATGCATGTAAGTTTGTCATATTTCCGACAATGATGCAGTTGGACCAATTTATTTTTTTATTTTTAACAAGCTGTAAGAAAATACACTCCTATGGCTCTTATCTCTTTTTTTAAATGGACCTCTATGAGACTGGCATGTAAATAATCATAGATGGCACAGAACTGCTTGCAGATATTAAAGCAACACCAACAATATAGCATTTGATGAAAACTGCATCTGGTGCTGTTCATTTTAGCATGCATAGCTGTATTCATGTTAGCAACAAGCAGAAGCACCACAATGATATTCTAGCTTTGGTTTACATCTCATGGCCACAGGTCAAATATGTAACAAATGGAAATTGCCACACCAACCCGCCCACATACAGACACATTGGCTTCAGTACAATCGTGAACCTTTGACCTCTGGAAGGACAGTTCTCGCACAGCTTCATCTCTGGTGTACTTTTGTCCAGAAGCCGCAGCCCTGGGACAGTGTAAACTCTAACCAGCAGAGCGGTTATCGGACAAGTCTCAACACAGTCTCTCAGTGGTGCAGTTTAAACTGTCAGCTGGTGGTCTTGTTAGGATTTTTGTCAACTTAACAGTTTGAGGTGACAGGTTACTCCTACCTCCATCTAGCACCCTTTCAGATACAACATCAATTATGTCAGATTTGATTCAAAAGGATATTTTCACATCCACAAAATAGTACATTTTCGCACTCTGAAAGGGACTGCCTAGAACTACCAAAATAGGGTTGTGTGTCTCTAGGGTTAGTGTCTAAGCCTTGTCTAACCCTAATATTATGAAGACAGTGTGTGATAACCAACATTTTGTGGAAAACAAGCCAAAAAACAATTATGCTACTGAACTTTGTGTATGTAAGTCAACTAAAACAACAGCTAATAAGTATAGCCTGTTAGCTACAGCAACGTTAATGCTAGCATTACAGGTTAAAAGTGGAGAGTCAACAACACAACTCAAGGCTATTGTCAGTTAGCTAGTTAAGTAGGCTCATGAAATTTCTCAGTGAAGAGTACATGTTAGCATTGTAAGCTAACACCTTATGCTGAGCAGCAGCGTTGAAAATGGGTTTCTGTTTTATTTCTTATGTCTTTTCAGAGGCTTCTGTCTTAATGATGTCATGGATGCTGCCACAAACTTTGATACCAAGTACTTCGACAGCTTAATAAAAGGACCAAAAAAGGCAGGGCAGAAAAAAAAATCCTGGCTGAATTTTTTTAATTTATTCTTTTTTTTTCTAAGAAAGTATTTTTTACTAGCAAATTCAACAGTCTTAGAGGTACATTTTATCACAGTCTCTTCAACCTAAACTTCTTGTGTCTCAGTTGCCTTATGGGAAATGTGAGCTACAAAGTTTTAAACTTTTTCCATAACAAGGGACCAAATAAATCTGGTGAGGATTTTGGCAGCATCTGTTATGTGAATTCAGCCAATCAGTTTTGTGCTGAAATGAAGCTAGAGGACCAACTTGTTGAACAGCTGAATTTGGCTTCATATTTGAAGTTTTGCTGACATTACACTGTTTTATGACTGTGATATCACTGAAGCAAAAAAAGGACTTCACTGCCACAAATGCAGACCAATTCTACACTTGTACGTACACATATATATTGCCTCTCAGTTATTGATGCATAGTCTCAATGCTGTGGTACTGAAACAACTGCATTGAAATGTAGTAATGTTATGTTTTTCTGTTATTGATGTAGCTAAACTCATCTGTAAGAAAATCACTTCTCAACAAGCCAAATGAACAGAACAACACTGATCCGTTTGGTATACCTCTCAGTGGTGAAGCATTTGCACCATGAAAGACTCTCATGTTACACTGGAGCAATAATGTAGCTGCAGAGGGGGCTGTAGTCATCACTGTACCAACACGTCTGATTCAATTAGCCATCTCACTAAACTGACGATTCTGGGTTCATATGAACCTCGGTGTGCCTGTTTGAAATGCTCTGAATGCCACTTGTGATGTCACTGAACTGTTCATTTTACCCTGATTCCTCCACAATATTGTTTCATAAATATGTAAAAAGAAATCACAAAGTATAATTAAATTTTTTTCCTACAAAAACAAAGGTTGCTTGCTTGTTCGTCCTGCACTGTATTCAGAGGGCTATTGACTGTTTGGGATCTGTGAGGTGTAAACGTGGACAGACATTTTTTAGTAGGGTAGATTTGTAATTATAAACCATTAAAAACAAAAGTGAGGCTGCTGAGCCCCTTTTGCAGTTCAAAATAATTACAGACCAGTGCTCTTTAAGGATCACATTACTGATTTTAACGGATAGATGAGTGAATTTGACTGATGACTCAATTTTATTCACAGTATAAATCGTTACAGGCTTCATCAATCTTGCAGAAAAAGTCACAAGGATTGATTTGCATATTTTCCAAGTCTGTTCTCAAACTGTACTCACCTGCATTTGTGTCCATTCAGAGTAAGAAGGCCACATGAAATCACAGGCTCCACTTTATATGGGAGGACAGATCTTTTTTTTTTGTCTAAAAGATAGGAAAGGTTAAAAAAAAAGCACTCTAAACAAGTTGTCGTATTTTTTCCTCAGACCTGTAATTGTGGGCTGATTCTTCTCTCCCAAATGTCTGTTACAAACAAGAGACAGGGATGAAAAAATCCGAAAACTTGTTTCTAATATTGCATTCTCAGTTTAGCCAGAGGAAGGGAAACTCTCCCAAGGTGAAGGCCATTTTGTATATAGGACTTGTAAAATAAAAAGACACACAGTAGAAAAGATATATAAAGATAAATTCTAAATTTCAAAAGCCTTATTAAGCCATTTGAGAGTTTTGGAGTGGAAGTTATGAAAAAGAAAAGAATGAATCTTAGCAACTTTTGCAGAAAAGGTAAATTTTTTTCCAAAATCAACACCATGCAGGTGTGAAAGGGAGCTTTTCTCTGAATGCAAAATAGATAAACATCTATTCTGCGTACTGTTCAAAGTTGCCATCCATGCAAAGAACATATTAAAGACAAAGTGGTAAGGGTCGACAACAAAAAAATGGCCATGTGATCAATGTACTTAAAATCCTTTCAAATTAATTAGAGGTCTAGGTGCTGATTGGCCTAGCATGCCTTGTGTACTCTGGACATACTGTACTTTTCAGTACATGTAGTCCTCTCTACACCCCACATTTCCTTTGTCCCTACAGCAGTCTTCTCTAATAAAGGCAAAATTGCTTGGAAAAAATAGAATTCAATTTGGGATACCAGAGAAACAAGGGAGATTGAGAGAGAAAAGCACAAAATGTTAACATTTTATTTACAAAGTTGTTGTTTTTTTTTTCTTTTTTTTTTTTGTCATACAGAAAGTAAAAATGTAGCTACAACCTTGATTTGTGCAACAGGCAGCCACACTAAAAATCATGGCTTGCTGGTTGCACAGCTGCTATAGCAATAATTTTATTGGGAAAAAAATAAGGAACAGAAAAAAATAAAAGACAAAAATGAGAAATAATAAACCCAACAACAAAAAATAATTCATCCAACAAAATATTAAAAGCACAGACCCAAAACTAGATACCAGTCCCAAAGTCCTCATATGGGATTACGTAAAGAGGGATTGACAGTGAAATTGTGGAATGCTGAGTGCTGGGCTGCCTGAGAACCTCTGGGGGGCGTGGGTTGGGTGAGGCGGAGGGTGTTGGGTGGCTCTCAGTTCCATGTGGGGAGAAAAAAAAAAAAGAAAGAAGGGAAGGGTCAGCTCCACTTGGCCCACCCATCCGGTACAGTCTTGCCCCATAAAAAGAGCTTGGAGCTGGGGGGTAGACGTGGATTACAAAGGCGGTGCGAGTTGAAGGAGGGGGGACGTCGGGAGGGTAGGAAGGGTAACTCGGTAGGCTCTCGTTTTCAGTTAGCTCTTAATCGTCGTCTTAGTCGTCGTCTTCATCATCGTCGTCATCGTCCTCATCCTCTGGGTCTCGCTTTCTCTTCTCACCTTTACCAGTTTCTGCTTCTAGGGGCAAAGGGGAAGTTAATGTCCTGTGGTATCCGTGGTGCAAAAGCTAAACTTCAGCTTTATATACACAGCAGAAAACTTGGAATTATATAGTAACATGCTAAATGAATTCTTTGTCCATCGCTTCAATACAGCGGCTTCTTCACATGGATTGAACATGATAAACTTGAATCTTTTAGCAATAGTGTCTCTTGCAGGATTGTAGGGAGTGTGAACTTTGTTCAAGAAAGATCACTATCACATTTGGTGGACATTATAATGTTACAGGATCATGAACTTCAAATAAACGTGTCAGACAGCTATCTGTATCATCCACAATTAAGGAATTAAGGAGGCCTTTCTCTGCTCAGATGCTCGAGTTCACAGGCTATAAACTGGAGTTTAAGCAAATGATTTGTCTGTGATGAAAAACCTCTATTGTGGCAACTTTAGACTGATTACACATCCAACTTGGTGTATGCTTTGTCAAATCTACCCCCAAAGCATCCAATGTAGCCTGACAAGCACCTCCTCAAAAATGTTACTTAGGGGTTGAAACAATGTAGACTGAAAGCCTTTAACTGGACTACTAAAAAGCACTGTAACTCTGATGAAACATGTTCAGATAGTAGTCTTGGAGTTGCCATGATGTTCTGTGCAAAAACAAGCAGAGAATGTATCTGGAAACTGCCAATACGACTGGTATAGAAATCGCTCTGCCAGCTGGCGTTTGTGCCAAGCACTGCAGGGCAGCAGTCAGCATTCAATGCTCAAGTATGTGGTGCTGATGATGGCGTTGGCCACCACAGCATAGAGTCAACATAGAGGTATGAACCAGGCTTCACAGAAATAACCATGTAATATTTCATTAGCGCTTTGTTGTTCACAAAGCCAACAGCTAAAGGCTACGGTCATATCTTTATAGATAATGCAGAGCACTACAGATGCATAAACAGCTACCATGGCTCACCACTGTTGATTTAAAATAAACAAGCTGGGGTTATCATATACATTAGCATAGATACTCTGAAATTTAGACCCCTTTAGAGTGAAAAACTCAAAATTCTGAATAAAACCATAAGAATCACATCCCTCAAGAATATTCACGTGATGAGATAAATCATTGGGTTGCTCTATTAACACGTGATTGGTGTACCATGGAGAAGATACATACCATCATCGTCTTCATCTTCATCTTCGTCTTCATCATCCACCTCCCCATCCTGGCCAAAATCTTCCTCCTTGGACCACAAAATTGTATGTGTTATTTCAAATATAAACCTCCCCCTGGCTTACAGACTAGGTCTGCAGGACATAATGAAAACGTGCTATGTGCAATTACATTGTTCAGTATTGCAATAAGGATATAATGTGTAATGGTTATTAGAGATAGAGGCTGTGGTTAAAGCTTATACACACTCTCACAATATACATGCCACTTTACATTTATTTAACATTTTAAAATTGCTCCAACTTTGTTAATAAAATGAATTTAAGATTTCCTTATCTGCTCTTTAGAGGGGGAAAAAAAAAGAGGGCACCATTTCTTTCTTTGGGCAGTGTTACCTCATCTTCTCCACTGACTTCATCCTCATCCTCTTCTCCTTCTACCTCCTCCTCATCTTCCTCATCTTCTTCCTCATCAAAATCGTCTTCCTCGCCATCCTCATCTTCCTCCTCTTCTCCCTCTGCAAGTTCAAACGCAACAACAGTAAGGCACAAAAGTGAAGCAATTATTTCAGCTATTATGACCAAATCCGACACATTTTCCATGAAAATGAACATATTCTCATTTTAGGTAGTAATACACTTTTTCTTTAATTTTTCATTGTTTATTTGACACAAGGGATGTAGAAAAAGCAGTTATCAATACAGAAAGGACATCTTACCCTCATCTTCATCATCGTCTACACCATCTCCATCTACCTCTCCATCAGAGTCAGAGGCTTCCCTGTCCTCAATGTCATAACCATCCAGGTAGGTGAGCTGGGGCAGCAGCTTGAAAACACTCTCTCTGTAGTCATTCAGGTTTGTCACTTCACAGTTGAAGAGGTCCAAGCTCTTCAGGGTTAGCTGCTTTTGCTGTTGAGCAAATATAGTCAAGAACTGCAATGAGAAACTGCTGACTGATGTGTCTCAAGTGCTTTATGTCAATGTGTGCCTAACATAAATGGGGTTGAACCATATGCATCCTTAAACTACTACAACGACAAAAAAGTGGATATGCTTAAGTTTGTGTACTTTTGACATTTCCTGTTGTACTGGACACTTCAAGCTTAACTATTCTGTGTCAATGGCACATATTTTAAACAACTTTTACCACAGGGGTATTCTTTAGTTATGGAAAAAGCCCCCTATGTCTGGTTATTTCATCCTTCAAGCTTCAGTTTGCTGAACACTGTGCATTCAAGTTTACAGGGTCACAAAAAACAGCAGCTGAGTTAATTGTGCATGCAGACTGCTCAAGAGTGTACAACAAATTTTTGTCCTTCTTGTTTTATTCTGCTTCACAATATAAAAGAGAGTAACAGCAACACAGCTTTAATATTCAGATTCACATTAAACCAAAGCAGAGGTGAGCTGGAAATGCACACCATCACTGTAATGTGGATTTATTAAGTATTTGTGACATTGAATTAATTACATTAAATGCAGCTGTGGATATGGCACATTTGTGCAAAATTCATGTTTAGCTAACAAAGAAGAATTTTGCTTGAAATAGGATTTCAAAAGCCCTCAAGGCTAAAGTTAAAAAAGCAAAGTAATCACTTTATATGGGTATGTAATAATATATATATGTGTGGGTTTGCCTATAAATCACCTTAAACAAATAGGATAATACATACCAATGGTGCTTATACATGAGCTTACAGAAATAGGAAAATGCATACCAATGGTTCCAACGTGCTGATGTCTTTCAATTTGTTGCCACTCAGGTTTAGATGTGTGAGGTTGGGTAGTTTCTCTGCTAAAACATCGAGGCCGCCACTGATTCTGTTGTCACTCAACTCCAGCTGAAATCAAGGTAGAGGATAATACATTATAATAACCACTGACAATGAAACATTATTAATAATAAACATAAAGAAAAAAGATTGAAAAATCTACCTTTTTGAGTTTTCCTAGTTTTGGCAGGTTACAGACTGAAATTAAGCCAACGTTTATCAGACTGAGAAACTCCAGGTTGACAAACTCAGCTGTGAGGCCTTCAATTTTTCCTTCATATGATCGACAATTGTCAAGGACAAGTTCTCGTACCTGTAATGTAGAAAAGTACAAATCACATAAAAATTTCTCCTTGTATCTTCAACTCTGCACTAAAATACACTTATATCAATGCTGATAACTGGTGTGCAATACTGTTTACAGCTGCCTCGCGAGTTTTGATTTCAGTCATTTTTCTCCCGTATGTTTAATTCCCTACTTTTTGCATTCTGTGTAAGGTTTTAATCTTTTATGGACTTTGTTTCACAATGTCTCACTTTTTTCTTTAGGTTAATTGTATTTTGCATATTACAAGTATTAATGGAAGTATGCGGGTAAAAATAATTCCGTTATAATGTAATTATAACGGAATCTAAACAGACCAATTTACAGCACTATAAATTGGTCTGTTGGGACTCCGTTATTTTCTTAAACTAAACAGTTTATTGCCCGTTATGTGTAAACAAAAAGACCACGAAAACGAGCTGACGAACAAAATAATAAAAATTAAGCGGTATATATGCCTCCAAACAACACTTTGTTCAGTTATTTACTGTGAAATGTATGAAAAACAAGTCTGAAGGCGGAGTTAGTGTGGGTCAGTTTAAGCTAACACTAGTTGCGCAATTCGGTGTTGAAACAAACGTTGCAAAAAGTTGTTTTCAAACGTTAAACATCACAATTTCTCAAGTCAAACGCCGACAAGAGTACCGTGCCTTCTTTGAAACATCCAAAGTTATTGTGTGCTTAATTTCTCCGGACAATACAGTTCATGAACTGAGCTTTTGAACCGAGTAAAAGTGCGGCTGTAGCTCTCCATGGCCTACTGATGCAGTCTCTAATGACAAATGCAATGATTTTTGAGAGCTAGCGTGCTACAGGCTAGCCATTGCCCCTTTTAAACGCTGCCGTGCGGTAGAGGAGCAGCTAGAGAGATCTGTCTGCCCGCCATTAGCCAACCCAACAGCAACGGAAAGGATTGCGAATACACCCTTAGAAAAGCTTTTCTTTTTTGTTACACCAGATTTCAGGTGGGAAAGTGGAATATACTTGTCGTCGAGCGAACGACCGATAGTGGCAGTTTGTTGTAGGGTACAACGTCGTTTTCAGGTCGAAGTGGCGAAGGAAATATGTTGAGGACGGAAATTTAGTAAAAACAAAGATGGAGACGGTTCCTTTCTCCCAGAGCTTCAAAGACGACAGAATGACAACATGGCGATTCCTGAGATACAGTATGCAGTTCTCTGAACAGTTCAACGGCAAAAAGTACATTGTGAAATAATAATTAACGTTCATTACACGGTGTTTGGGTTGTTTGGGTGTTAATTTAGTTTTATGCCGTGCATGGACAGAGAGGAACAGCCGACCGTCGAGTTTTTTGACTGCCCACGCACCAGGCGCGGTGCACCGGATCTCCGTGTCAGTCAAGCAGCCCGACTGTGTTCATGAAATCGCTTGCCGACAAATCCACGCGTTTAGTCGCGAACATCGCCAACATTGTCTCATGATGTTTGTCGGAGGGAAAGCAATTGTGTTCTTGCTGTTTCGAGTACAATTTGACACGTTTTGTTGTCTTTGACTTGTGAAGCGAAGGGGGTAATATGGCGGGAACAAAATACTAAGTTAGGTGGTTGCTGTCTGAATGATTGTGTCTGACTTATCTGAACCACCAGACTTGGTGTAATAAATGCAATGTTGAGTACATGTTTCGAAAAAAGGACGGTAACGTTGCTGTGTTGAAGTGTGTGAGCTATTTAGGGGGAATTTGCTGCTGCAGACTGCATTTAAAACTTGCGAATTGCAACAGCTTAAACCTAACACGAAAGAAATCACGATTACGGGGATAGTTCATTGTTTGAGTTGGAGTACACATCAACTTACTAGTGGGCGTATTATTTTCTTTATGTTAGATGGGCAAGGTATGGATGACTCGTGAATCAAGTGACTGTTTTTGTTGTCGCTGCTGAATACGGCCAATTGATATCAATGTGCTCTACGGAAATAAGACATAACGGGTTTGGCGGTGGACAATTCTGTTTTATCAACAACGCCTTCGGGAGTTTTAAAAGCATTTCTGATGAAAAAGCGCCCCATTTAGCAGTTATGCTAGCAGCAAACATGGCTTCCAATGTCTGTATTAAATATACCTCTCTGCGAATGCCAAACGCGGCACAGAAAGCAGATTTCCTCATATATTGGCGTAAATATAAGTTCAGAAATTGTGCTATAAAGGTGGACTCGAGCTGGATCGTGTGTGCACCACTGACCGAGGGGGCTGCGAAACGGTTAAAGCACTGCAATAATGCCAGCAAGCTGAGGAATCGCCGTTTCAAAGTAACGATTGAATATAGCTTTTCTCGTCTTGTTACCGCTATACGCCCAATCCCGAGCAGTAAAAAAGATTAAGCTTGTTGTACGAGTGTTTTCCGCTTTATTATAAACGAGTAACACAATCTAAAGCCCATGTGGTCACCATTACGCTAGCCACACAGGTCACTCTCAAAGCAAAAAAGTAGCAGGCTGGCTAGCAGGGCTAGCAAGAAAACTAAGGGTTGGTTTTAAAAAGCACGACTCACATCAGACGGTGTCCTGTTTCTTAGCTCCAAGTGGATCCTCTTTTTCATGTCCATCGTGCCCTACGAAAGTTAAACTTTTATCTCTGGGGTTTTGCTGGGATCTTCAGTCCAAAGGCAGAGATGCCCTAATGGAGGGAGAATATAGGACTGTATAATGAACTGAGCCAAACGCTAAGTTAGTCGGAGAGAGGAGAAACCATGGAGGGAAACGGGACTGAAACAAAATATATGCTCAACAGCGCCATCTGCGTCCAGAAACGCCCATCGCCTCTATGAAGGCATTGCAGTCACAAAACATGACGCTGCCCCGAAACCGTGCTGTGGTGCAATTTATTTCCGCAAGAAATGTACTGTACAGTGTTTAGTTAATTCAAGTGTATTTAATTTTAGAAGTGAAATGTATCTATCATCAGAACATTTGACACATGATTACTTAACTCTAAAATATATCTGTATGCCAATTAGACATTGATAAAGTGGGTCAAATAGTGAGATCCGTATACTTTCATGAAGTTTAATGGCATAAAAACATGGCCCTGTTGCATACTCCCAGTATCATCACTGCACCATAGCGAAGTAAATGATACAAATGTCTTGTGACACAAAGAAACACTAGTTTGGAGAGTACTTTAACGTGTTGCTGAACAGAGCAAAAATTCCCTCTTTAACTGGTAAATGCTTGGTGCTACTGATGTCCTTTGTATGATATTTGTGACCATTTTTATGAATAAATTACAATATGAATCAAATTTGTCGTGTTTGGTTCATAAATGGCAATCTTAATGGGCACATTGCAAAAAGAGAAGGTGTGAGTTTATTTGATTTGCAATAAAGAGAGCATTGTAAGTGCACATGGTGTAGGGGACCCCCCCCCCCCCCCACACACACACACACACACACACACACACATTACTCACTGAGACACCAGAGCTCTTAATGTAGAAGTCTGCTGAGTTTGACTGGTTGGTTTTTACTTGCTGAATTATGAATAAGCTGCTATAATATGATTTTATTTTACCCCAAAAAACAAAATAATTTTCAAGAGGTAAATTAAACAGCAAATGTAGACACAAATTAAGATTGAGATAAACACGAGATTAAAAAAACACAACTAAATCTTCTATTTGGTTGGCTGTGTTCATTTACTCAGTAAGGAACATGTAGTTTAGCTGTTTCAAAAATCAGTGTTTGGTAGTGAAGAGCGCACACCAGAAGATGGCACTGTAATATCTACTTTGAATCCCTAAAACCGAGTTTCATTGTGCATCGATAAGCATGTGTGACTGACATTCTCCGCTTTTGTTAGTAGAACAGAAGTGCAGATAATAATCTGTCATTTGAAAAGATTAGCATACCCAGCAGCAGTTCATTATTGTTTCTAAATGGCTTTTTAACTCGCTGGTGGGCAACATTGATGCTGGAGTTGCTGATGATCATCCCAAATATAGATATATAGAGGTTGCATGAGTCCTTCTTATTCAAATTTAACAGTGGGTCCTCAGAAAAAGAGGAAAATTATTTTAATGGTCCTTAAATGATAAAGCTTTAAACAAGAAAAAAGGTGAAGTGTATCATCTACAGCAAACTGTTTGCACCCATAAATCCATGCTTAGAGATCATACATGAGTTGTTAAGAGGAGGCATGCAGGATGTGTATGCGCTTGAATGCAACAAGCTTCTTCACTGCAGACATGAGAGAGTTTAACCAGAAGAGACCCTCAATATTCCCCCTTCAGTTCTGGAGGCAATTGGCAGTTGAGTGTTATTTACTCTGCCGGACTGCTTCTTTTCTCTGAGTGGCTCAAACACACACACCAGGGCTCAATGTGCTGTGGGGAGATTGAGAACACACCCCAACTGGGCAGTTCTCCGTGTGTGAGATAAGATGGGTAATACCCTCTTCTCTTTGAAAGACAGCTTCAGCTCATGGCTTTTCAAAATAGTTCACTTGAAGGACTTTGAAATGCAGAGTTTTATCATAAAAAGTAAGAGTTAAGTATGAAAAACATACTTTTACTTTGTTGAGCCCTGCATTGAGTGTTGTACTATAATATAATAGTTAATACTTTTACTATATCCTAATAATATTTGATCATCTTAAGCACACTCATAATGGTATCAAAACCACCTTTTGACTTTTAAATTGCTGTCATGCTGTATTTGTTGTTTGATTTTAGTATTATTAGTATAGTTGAATTAATAAAGCTTATTTTTTTCATTTTCTCACCCTTGAGGGCGAATTTATCCTTACTTATCTTTGATTTTTTAAGTGACATACATGTATTTATAATAGTCCCATCAAGTCCAACATTATCATTTAAAGTAGACATTGAGTAGTTACCTAAATTCAATGCTTTTGCTAATGCTAAGCAACAGTTACATTTTTGCACTATTCTCTATTGTAGACTTGCACATCAACAAGCAAACAATTCCTTTTAATTTTCCCTCTTTCACCACATACATTCATCCCTGTTGTACATTGCCTACACACTAACTTGCCTTGGTCTTTTTTTTCTCTCCTGAGCTGAGCTGAGCTGTGCCAATTCCTCCAGCTTTACAAATATGATAAGACCAGGGCTGCACGAACTCTATGGTAATGGTTAACCAGATAATTCTTCTAGGGGTGGGAATAGAAAACAGTCACAAGTTATTCTGCATTCTTCTCTGTGCTTTCCCGCCGTCAATGACTTGAATTCATTCAAAGCAGGACGCAGAATGGAGGAGACTACGCTACAAGAGAACCAAGAGGTGGAATATAAAAATCCAGATGAGGACCAAGGTAAACTTTTAAATTGTTTTCTCTTCCTCTTACACCCAGTGCCTTAGCTTTTGTAATATGAGTCAGTTATGCAATTGCACACTCTGTGGTGTTTCTCAGTTTAACCATCTAGACTGCATTATTACAAAAAAAGATGAGTCCCTCTGTAAAATTGAGTTTTGAACCTTGGAGTGAAAATAATCATGCAAAATTTTGTGGTGTGCAGAAGGAGGGAAATAGTGCACATACGCTGCATTTTTCTTGGAATTAGATTTTTTCCATTCATTCCATTTCGCATTTGTGCTGAAATAACTCCTCTCTTCTTGTCTTTAAGTTCACACTGCCTTTGTTAAAGTGTTTTTTCTTCACGGGTCTCTGCTTATAGGGGGCATTCGCCGACGGTTGCGAGACAGAGATCTTCTCAGGAAGAGGAAAGCTGAAGCTGAAGCGAAGGAGACTAACCAGTGGGTTTTGGGGTAAATTTGTAGTGAAGCACAGCTAGTGTTAGAACAGTGACCCACGTTTATTGATATGTTTATTCAGAGCTATATTTGTTAAACCATGGACTCTTTATTTATGATTAACATACAAAAAGAAAAGTCATTATAATGTGAGGTGTTTTTAGTTGGCAACTTGTACTGTTAAATATTGTAAACTGCAACCTAAATACACTATCAGCTTCTTATCACTCCTCTGTTTTATATTGAATGTGGAGCTAGAGGAAAGCAAAGGTTGCATGCTCTGGTGTTTCTATTGACAGCCTAGATCCAGGTCAAGGACTTTGTACTATTAGCTTTGCCAGCATATCACAAAGAGCTGTATCAGTGTCCGTTGCCGTTGATTACAATTGTTTTACTCTATCAGGGAGGAGAGCCAGAGAAAAAGACCAAGAGCTGAAAACAAGAGTGGAGCAAAAAGAAGAGGGAGGCCCAGGAAGACCGAACCCACACCAGAGATATTTTTCAGTCTAGGGGAGACACCAACACCTCAGGAGGCTCCTGTGGTACTGCCTGAACCTGCCGAGGTCATACCAGATCAAATATCAGGCTCTCTGGAATCACAGCCAGCCTCTGTCCTCATTGCCCCGGCTCCTCTACCTTTGTTTGGATCCATCCAAAACAATGTCTCTGCTCCTACTCTGACCTCTCCAGCTCTGGTTTCAACCACAATTCCTATTCCTTCTCCCACCAAAGTTTTAGATACTTCTTCAACTCCTGTCCAAGATTCGGCACCAGCTCCAGCTCCAGCTCCAGATGATGTTCCAGACCCAATCCTAGACCCAGTTCCAGACCCAGTCTCAATCCCTGGCCTAGTCCCAGGAACTGCAACCGCTGAAACCCCTGCTCCTACTGCAGCCTTTGACCTTCTATCAGCTCCTGTTTTGGATGAGACCCTCTACACAGAGACACAAGGCAAGGTGGCACCTAACCAGGTCATGATTGAGGACTTGGGCCCAGATGAGGAGGAAGACATCACTCCATCACAAGAAAATAGAAAAGAGGAAGGTAATGAGAAAAAAGATGTGAATTACAATAAAAACAAACAAACAAACAAAAAAGAAAATGTTAGAAGATAAGATATTGGTTGAAGAAATTGGATTTGTCTTAATCTATACTGCCTGCCTGTGTCTTTTTTTTTTAGGTCTGAGTGTGATGCCTTCATTAAGCACACCTGAACAAAGTAAAATCTTCTCAGTTCCAACCTTGTCTTCGCAGCCTCCTCCGCCAGAGTATCTCCCTGGAAATTCAGTTTAATTTCGCTGAAGCACACATTTCAGATAATGCCACATGAAAGTCAGATTACATATTTTTCTGCTCAAGTTTATATCTGATCATTATCTTTGATAATATGCAACATTTAGTTGAAGAAAAACAAACAAATTCAGCTTCTGCATTGCCTATGTGATGAATGTAAGAATCCAGACCAAACCTGTGTGCTTATTTATTCTGTTGTGCTTTAAGGAAAGCTCATGATTTGTATTTTGTATTTTGCATTTCTTAAACAGCGAAATGTTCCTGCTTTTATTTAAAAATATATGACAAAAATCACCGTTAATGATGTTTTTGTAATTGTAGACTTTTGTATGAAATTTTGAAAAGTTGTTCTTCATCTCAGAAAAAAATAATAGCTCACAATTAACATGCATTTATCCACGAGTCCTTTCTGAGTAATCTAGGCTGGAGTAGGTTACACACAAACATATGAGCCATGATCTTTATTGGGAGATTCCTTTTAAATTACTGTACAGATTTTAAAATCCACTTCCAAAAACATGTTTTCCTTTTGGATTAAACATTTAACACACAATGGTGGCTAAATTTTGGACTTATTCTTTTATATGTACAAGTAAAAGTATTGTTAAACTATTTACACTTTACACTTTAACTCATGTATGTTCTTCTTTTCAGTATATTTTTGTAGCTGCCTTTTAGCCCTGGTCAGCAAAGTTTGGAAAACACTTTCCCCTTCAATCCAACATCAGAAAAGTGACAGAGGTTTTCTAAATTTCATTGACTGTTAAACTCTGTATTGTTATCCTCGCCATTTTAACACCTCTCTTCTTGGATTCAATTTGTTTTAATAGTTGTACTTTTCTCTTGTTTCAGTACATCTTTTTGTGCACACTTTGCATTTTAAATAAAGCTTCTTAAAAAAGATTGATACGTTGCTACTCTTTGCTGACATCTGCTGAAATAAATGTGTAATACTGGTGTTTATTTCTCAGGGACATTGTCATGTCTATTACCTGGAGTCGGTTTTGTCTGTATATTCACGTTACAGAATGTAAAACTTGGAAGAAAGAGAAAGAAAATAAATAAATAAATAATAAAAAAGGTCCAGTCTAGAAACTATGCAGCTCGAGCGGCATCATGATGGTGTCACGTGAACTCCCAACTACAGGAAGTAGTAAAGCTCACACATGTCACATCGGTGTGCGGGTAGTCGAAATTAAAGAGAGAGCCAGCAGCGGGTTTATTTGCAGTTGTCGGTCTTTGTTGCTGTATTATTTTAGCTGCTATTTCGCTAAAATGACTCCCGTGTGTGATAGTTGCTGTGAGAACATTATGAAGCTGAATCAGCAGGTTTCTGTGATGAGGAAAGAAATCAAGAACTTGAGGTAAGATCACAACACCACAGCTCCTGAACAAGGGAGCAATCAAACTATCCATTCAAAATCTGTCACCTTGGAGTTTAACAAACAAAATCTAGTTCACAAATGCATTAAATACAGCTAGACTATTTTAGTGTAATGCATATCTCTTGTTTTTTTCCCTTAACCCTTGAACACTATCGCTGGGTGATTTTCACCTGACCAAACATGTTTACGTGATTTTCATTACGGTGTGTTTGAGTATCATGGGTCCCTGGGTAGCTTCAGCCTTGCCTTTCACATCTTTTGAAGGCATATTTGTTTCCTTGATCTAAAACCTGCTTTTTCCTACAGACACGTGCAATAGTGATAGGGTAAAGTAGGTTTGGGTGGATTTTATAGCTGCATGTAGGGAATAAGGTAAATAAGAATGGTCCTGGAATTTGCAAGCTATCTTTATTTAGCGCAGTGGTTATGAATAACTATCAAAAAGTAGTGATTGTCAAGGGAATTCATATAGTCATAAGAAATATTTTAGTCAGCTGGTCATTTTTACTCACTCAAAATCTGCCATATTTTGGTTCTCTCGCCTGCAGCTGTTATTGTGCCAAGGTTGCCTGGCTGGGCCATCCTGTTGCGTGAATCACTTGCCGTTCCTTCCTTGTTGTGGGAAGGAACGGCAAGTGATTCACACAACAGGATGGCCCTGAGTGCTAAGGACCCTGAGTCTTCACCAGGGAAGACTCACATGACCCAGGAATGGGTGGAAAAGAGACAATGTTTACAGTTTATATCTATATTTTTTTAAGGATTTTTTTGTTCATGAATGTCTAATTTCAGTTATTTTGTTGCATTTTTATATGGTCATTTGTACATTGCACAGTTAAAAATAAAAGAAAACTCCTTTAATTTGTCATGTATTGTCCTGTTTTGATATATTTTGATGACAAGTACTTTTTCTTGGGTATATTATTTCAGGTAGTGATGGTGTTACTAATTTTAGCGATAGTGTTCTAGGGTTAAAATATGTGATTCACAACACTGTAGTTGATACTTGATCTGATATGGTTTGTGATTCTTGTGTTTACTCGTCTCCCGTTGCTCAACAGGCAAATGTTGGAAAGCGCAAATAGAGCTAATCGCAAACACATGACATCCATTCAGTCTGTCGTGTCAAAGATTGAACTGTCTGGACCCAACAAAGAAAAGGTACCGTCACCACAACCACTACCACAACCACCACCGCCATCCACATCACCTGAGGCTGCTTTAGAACAAGGTAATTGTCCTAAATGCTGCCTATACAAAATGAAGTAAACAGAAAACAATACAAAACATATTAAGTTGTCCCACTGAATCAACATGATGTTGTGGTAGTTTATTCTTATGCCTCACTCATTACATAAAACACAAATGTTTCAGTATAAAATAAAATTTGTATAGGCTACAGAAAATAGTCAATGTACAGAATGACAGGTTATGAACGTGGGACTCTAAAGAAATCAGATAGTTCCTGAAAATGAAATTACTCATCAAATTAATTATCTTATCTTGTTTATGTGGTTGACTTGTTGTTTAGGCTATAGCTTATTATAACAAACTGTTACTTTATAAATTATCTCATACGCTCTTCATATATATCTCAGCTAAACATATTAACTTGTCAACTGAGCTGTCAGTAAAACTGTAAAATAATTGTAGTTCTTCCTTTTGATGTTCACAAGAAGAGAGTAGTCAGACAAAAAATAGGGAATCATTATGCAATATTTTACTTGTAAGATTTTGTAAAATTGTACAATTGTAGAATTGTACATAGAAACATAACACAAAATTTATCCTCTGATTTTGTTTTTAAAACTTGTTCAACAATATAAAATGTTTGACTTTGAAACCTTCAGGAAACATCCAAACTGTCCCGATCGGTCACATAAGTTCCTGTTTCTCTCTGAAGAATGGGACCCCGAGACAGCCCACCATTTGTGGCCCTTCAAGAGCTGAGCTACAAATTCAGCAGAAAGTCTTTAACAACCCTGAGCATTCTTTGGTGGGTCTAGAGCAGTACTCCCATGTCTGGTAGGTCACATACAGTTTAGTCCATGTAAATTTGTTCCTTTTTCACTGCTCAGTCTACGGTTACTGTTGCCAAAAATATAAGTCATTACATTAGCTGCTATCTAATGTAATGGCTCAAAAAGGACCAAGGTATGACTTTCTCTTATGAGCCTTAACAGCTTTGTGACACTTTTGCTGTTTAAAGAAATGCATTTTAAACCCCTTTCTATACTTTTAAGTTCCTGTTCTTTTTCTCCTGAAAAAATGGGCTTACCGTTTGTTTTATGTTAAATTCCTTTTTGAATATTTCCACATTTTCCGAAAGGCTTCTGTCCTTCACAACAAAGCAGTGTTTCCACACATATGAACTCTATTTTGGAGCCTCTTTGAATAAAAAATCTGTGTGCTTTTCCATTTTATTCGGTCTTCACAGGATCATCTTTCTTTTCCACAAAAACGGGCACCTGAGTTACAAAGCCAAAGTGAAGCCTCCTCGACTCAATGGTCAGAGAGTTGGTGTGTTCTCGACACGAAGTCCACACAGACCTAATGCTATAGGTCTAACTCTGGCTAAACTTGATAAAATTGTGGGTGAGTATCAATAGCAAAATATCTGTTTAATTGCTAAATGTGTGCTTGCTCTGTCAGTGACAACCATATAAAAATGCAACAGAGTATGAATATTTAAGCTAACACTTTTTCTCTGGTATGGTTCTTTGTCAAAAAATGTTTCCAGCTTTGATAAAATGCACAAAAGGAGTTATTGTCCCTGCTTGTTTAAATCAGATACCCTCTCTATTTTGTAGGTGATACACTACATCTATCAGATATTGACATGATTGCCGGCACCCCAGTTCTGGACATCAAACCCTACATCCCAGATTATGACTCCCCTCAAACCAGGATGGTCATGGACTCTGAGACTCATGATTTAATCACAGAGCAACTATACCCATCTGCTGAGTCACTAAATGAGACTACAGACGCACTAAACCTCCGTAATAGCTCAGAAACCAATCCTCTGTCAGGCCCAGAAAGTGAAAGAGCTGATGATGACAATGAGGATCATAATAATGACAGTGATGGTGATGACAGGGAGATTCTGCTCTTGAAAAAAAAACCCAATTGTTGTAGTCCAGACACAGAGTCAGCGGATGTTGGTGCTCAGTTTTTTCTATCCAAAGACCTCCACAGAGTGGTGGAGGAGGTCAAGACCTTTGTGAGTCAGGGTAAAATTGGCCCGCAGAGTTGTGTGAGAGAGAATCAAGTTTTGGAGACAAAAACCAAACCACCTGGGTCAACTTTGGATCAACCGTGCTATGGAGTGGAGGCCTACAGCACTATTGCCAGCTGGATCAGAGAGCCTCCTGTTGGAAGTCTGGACGTGAGATTCACACCTAATGCTGAGAGAGAGTTAGCAGAATTTCTTCCAGCTCACCTGTCTGGTAAGTCAGAGAGCGAGCATTCAACATGTTAAAAGAAGTTGTCATCTCCCCACAAGAGGGTGCTGTTGTTTAAGAGAGATAAAAAAGAGAAGCGTTATAACAAACTACTAAAACTGAAAAACAACTTTTTTGTCACACAGCACCCTCCGACAGAGGCCAACCACAATTTAGATTCCTGCGCTCTTCAGAAGAGGCTGCTGCTGCCATCAGAGGGGTGCTGTCAGCAGACCCTCGGTCAGTCTACAGGAGGTCCCGTTGCACAGACAAACTCTTCTTCTTCACCCTGGACACAGCTGACATCACCTGCTGGTTTGGACAGGGCTTTGCTGAGGTGCTGCAGGTCCGACCTGTCGAGCAACCAAGCACCTCTGTCTGACTGTAAAGTGTGCAGAGCAACTTGGACTCCATTTTATGTGTCTCTTGTCAGCATTTTCGAGTATTTGATGAATACACATTTTGGCTGCAAGCTTCATCATTCAAACTTTCTGAAAGTTTGACCCATAAGAAAGCACATTAGTAGATCAAATTAAAGACTTCAAAAAGAATTGTTTTGTCATCTGTATGTCCTCCTACAAGTTTTCAAGGTTCAGAAATAGTATGATTAATTTATTATTATTATTTCATAGTATGAAATATAACATCATTGTATTAAACAGTCTTGGATGGCCTTGTAGAAATAGTATGAATATGAATATTTTTTGTTTATTTTTTACACCTATAATATTGTTTCACACAACACATTAATTGACTGAACAGATGACCCTCAATAATAGCTGTAAAATCTTCTATATATATATACACACACACACACACACACACATACATATATATATATATATATGTATATGTATGTATGAACATCTAATCTGGAAAACATCAAGTTTCCATGTTGCTTTTTGTGTGCTTTTCAATAACATGGAAAAATTGTGTACACAATGTTTGGTCGCTCATAACCTTAAAAATGACAGAGAATTTCTCCTAAATCACTTTATTTTAAAATTATTTCATAAAACTATATGCATCAGTGTGGACAATTTAAGGAAAGTGAAAGAGTATAAGGTCTCATCTTTTGAAAAAGATGTGATATACAAATGCTGAGAGGTGGTTTAAGAAGACTTGAAGCTGCCAAAGATAGCTTTAATAAGCACATTAGGCAAAGATTGTTTTTAAGTAAATATAGATTTTGACACGGCAGATGTAATGACTGAAGACTCTTTGTCTGTGCGACTGTGGAAAAGTTGAAAAAAAAATCATTTTACAATGTTATGTTATGATTTGCCGTCGGACACCGACAGGGGCGTCTGTGGGCACACGGAAGCAGCCACTTTGACGCCCGAAAGAGGGCAGCAGTGTGCCAAAACGAGGCGTCTTATGACCGCCGAAGAAGAGCAACGGACCAATCACAGAGCTGACATATATGTTTTGAATGAAACGCGGTTGATGGCAGTTCAATTCTCAATTTGTTTATTTCATTATCATCCTTTCTGCTACAAGTTTTGAAGTTTTCTGTCAGACATCGTAAGGTAATGTGACTCTATATTCATTTAAGGACTGAATTGTTGGTTTGCATGTCCGTTTGCTGCCGCTGTTAGTTTAATTCACACCACCGCGAGTTAAGGCAACTTAACGTTAAGTTAGCAAACAGTTAAGATACTTTTTACTATCCCGAACTAGAGTTAGCTAACATACACAGGATTTACGAGCAACAGCCTATTTAAAAACAAAATGTAGAGTAACTCTTGCGTTTAACGTGGGGCTGCCTACAAGTTAATGCGTTAAAAGCCTAACGTTACTTCAGGTCCCCTGCCCGTACTGAAAAAATAACACAGCTAATGTCAATAACTTCTTCACTTACGATTTGTTTTTACTTTATTTGTGTTATTGGAATTACATCCATAATACTGTTTCACACAGCCCGTTAATTAACTGATCAGATGACTCTCAATCATAGTTGTAAAATCTTCCAAAGTCGTTGAATTAAACAGTCTTGGATGGCCTCGTAGGTCTGATCAGAATGAGGAAACCTGGCAGTCAAAGGGATGGCATGCAGTTTGTCTATGGAGCAGAAAGTTACAACAACTGACAGTTTAAGAAGTATGCAAATGACATAAATAAAAAGGTAGTTCACAAGGTATGACCCTACAAAGAAAGATAAATCAATGTTCCATTCTTTACAAGGAAGATAGACCCACTTTCCCACACAAGGCAAAGTAATGTTGGCATAAACCAAGGCCAGACAAATAACAATGCAGTATAAGGCCCCGTGTCTAAAATTGTCTTAGTGGATGAGAAGGCCTGCATAAAAAAACATCACCATAGCCAACAATGTAAAGTTGTAAGATGTAAAGTTTGCTAGGTCAAATTTTCCCCAGCAACAACAACAGAAAAGATTTTGTTTAAAAAAAAAAAAAAAGTAACCCGATTTCAACCCCAATTTTTATTTTTAAAGATTTGCAATATGATGATTATATGATGATGATATGATGAAAAAACAGATTTGTAGTTTACATATGCCTTACTCAACCTGACTGTACCTTTGTGTCTTTGCACCTTTTTCCTTATTCTTAGTAATAAGAGTATTTTCCTGGTACTTCACAGCAATGTCCTTCAGGAAGTCAAGCTCCAGCGGGGAAGAGTTGGTAAGACCTTTGTCTTCCTTTGTGCACAGTGTATGTTGTTATATATATGTTTAAATAAGCCATTGATTAATTGTTGTTTTTGTTTTTTATTTATTTTTGTCGTTTATGTCAGCCATTAAGCAAATGTGGAGAGCGTACTCCCCTGAAAAGTCTGGAGAATGAAATGTTCGGTCTGTCAACTCCTTCATCAAGGTTCAAATCCAAGTCACTGCTCACTACAAATGAAGTAAAAACAACAAAGGTAGGTATTACATATAACTGGGAAATGTTATCATTTTTCTAATGGAGCTGTTCATTTGTCTTAAACAACATTTATTTTCATCAGCAGGGGGATCCTCCTCTGTCTCCTCTATCAGCCAAAGCGATACATATCACTGATGTCCCCAGTGATACAACATCTATCCATACAGCTTTTGGACTTGGAGATGTCACATTTAAATCCTTTATCTGTTCAGGTGGGGAGGTTGAGATCGAAGGCTCTCCAGTGTGTGAAGAGGAGATTATTATACTTCTCAAAAATCAGGCTGTGGAAAATCCTAGTAAAACAGAAGATACAGTCCTCTTAGACAGCATCATTGTTCAGTCATGCAGTGGCCACATGGAGCATCCCTATTACAAGTCTGAGGTGAATGATGCTTCCCTGGCTGAGACTGACGCAGCATGTATTTCTGATATTTTAAACACCCCAGACTCAGGAGACTTGTCTGAAAAACATGCTAAAAAAGATTTACAGGAAACCATGACCTGGAACTCTTCCGCCTGTGAAGGTATTGAGGTTGTTGTTTCTGATATCACAAGTCTTCAAGATGAGACTATCCCTTTACCCCTGGAACAAGTTGGTGAGCCTTTGTCAGACATCAGTGTAAATCAAACAAATCCTCCTGACTGTGGCCAACTATCTGAAGCAGAACATGCAGATCATCCCTACTGCAGCAGTGAAAATGTAGCAAGTGATTCTGAAAAGCCTGCTGATGGAGTGAGTAATGTCACCTTTAAATCATTTAACTGCGCTGGAGGTGAAGTTGAAATTTCAGAGAGCACAACATTGACAGAAGAGACAGTTCCTCTGCCAGCTGGCCAAACTGCAACCTGCTTTGAGTCATGCAATTATGATATCGATCCAAGCATGTTACCAGGTGACCAAGATGCACCAACGGGTGTTGATCATTTTGACCACCTGTACGGCTATATTAAAAATTCCTTGTCAACGCAAGGTGATGACCTTTCCATTGCACATGAACCAGTCAGTCTTCATGCTGTGGATGAGGTTAAAAAGACAAGCATAGTGGTATATGACAGCCAGCCTGGTAGAGAAGACAGTAGTACACCCGGTTCTTTCACCAATGTTGGAATTGAAGTTGAGCATTTTGACCGCACTCAATTGTCTCACATGACGCTCCCTCTTCCTGATGGCCAGGCTGTGACTTGCCAACCACCACCAGATGTTGAGTGTGTACCTACCGGTGTTACACAAGATCAAACTCAAGATAATGGTGAACATTTCTCCAGCCATGTTGAAAACAAAGATATTGACCCACCAACTAAAAGTGCCTCTTCACATTATAACAAATCTTTAAAGGCACTGGAAAATGAATCTTTCAACTGTCAAATACAGGAAACACCAGATGAGGACAGGGTATTGCTTTCAGTGCTTCATAAAACCAATACTCCTCACAGCAGCCATCCTGCAGATTTGGCAGATGCTCCTACGCCTTTAGAAGTGCATATGGAGCATGCCTCTGAATTGCCTTCTTCCAGTGGATCTCATGGTTTTAGTGAGGCAAAAGACAGTGCCCTTGGTTCATCTGGCAACGTACCTGTTCTTTGTGACTCTGCAGACAAACCTGCAGAAACCCTCCCTGATGTTTTGAGAGTGCTGTCAGACTGTCCCTCAGTTGCATCAGCTTTACCCTTTGGAGCTCTCACTCCTGTTGTTAGGAGAGCCTCTCTTCTATTGAGGGCTTGTAAAGATCCTGAACTAGAACGATTTTTGGCCGATGCGTCTGTTGTTGACGGTGAGAAGAGCTTGGTGGCCCCTGTTAACTTCGACCCTGCTGGTTTGTGGGCAGAGCATTTAGAGAGCCCCATGCCACGTCCTCTGTTTAACTCTACAGCACTGTGTTGCAAGATCCAGCAAGGCCCGCTAACTGAGCCAGTAGAGGACGTGGAACACAAGCCTTTTGCAGTGCCTCAAACTGAAGTAGAAAAACCAGCTCTGGAGACGCCTTTGATCCCAGATGGTCCCCTTCAACAGCAGCTTCGGCAGATGGCAGAGTTTCTCCTCTTAGCGTCAGGAAAGATGGGTCCTGCTGCTCTCTCTGCGCCTATATTTCCTCCTGCTGCCTCCACAGTCCTGTCAGTGCAAGCAACTCCTGTACAATCCCACAGTGTCTGTGTGGGGACAACTCCTTTGAAACAGATGGACCACAGTGTCAATACATCTGGCAAATTTGAAAGAAAGAGGGAGTTCTCTGTGGATGATGCCTGCACTTTGACTGACCCTCTCTTGTGGAAGTAAGTGTTGAGTCTTGATTGGTTATTTAGAAGAATGTCTGTTGTGAATGTCTGTGATTACAATACGGCCTATTCTTTCCCTTTTTTATTGTAGTGTACCTCCTGGAAGCCTGGAGTCTCTCCCCAAACAAGAGCTGGAGCTGAGGTTAAGGTCTAGCATTATCATGGTGGAGGCTCTGGTGCAGCAGTTGGCTGCAGCCAGGACACATCCCCCTGCAGGCCCTGCTCCTTCAAACCTCAGAGAGAAACTAGTGCAGACAGACCACAGTGAACTCAGTCAGGTAAGAACACATTCAGACACAACACATTCTTTTTTGATTAATCACCACTAAGTTCTGCAAAATGGGTTTTGTACTAAAGTTATAATGTGTTTTACACAGACCACAATGCACAGAGACCTTTATTTGGAAGCTCTGAACAGAATTGGTGAGTTGGAGCTGGATGAAAGTTCCCTAAAGCACGTCATTCAGTGTATGCAGGACATGAAGGTCACCATGGTAAGTCAACAAAAATCCCCGAACACAAGTTCTATGCTAATAAAATGTGATGTTCTGAATGATTTCTGCATCTGTAAATAACTTATTAGAAATGATGTGTGTTTTGAATTATTTAGTTGGTCCTGTGTAGAAAAAAGTAGAATTGAAACTCCAAATATTGTTTTATGTTTGACAATTGTGTGTTGTTTGCCCAACAGACTACACTGAGCTGTGACACAGACGCTGCTCTTACAAGCATGAAACAAATAGGAGACATCGTCAAAAAGGACCATCAAAGCCTTGTGTCTCATGTATGTATACATGTGACCAATACTTTTACCATTCAACACCAATTTCATGCGTTCATGTAGTCCAGCAGTCTAAATGTTTTCCCTTTCCAGTACGGTCAGGTAAAGTCTCTATTTGAGAAAACAAAGCAGACTCAGGCTGTAGTGATGCAGAGGGTTAAAGAGGCTTTTCGTCAAAGAGATGATATGAAGACACAGATGGAGGAAGCTTTTTCAGCCAAAGAGGCGGTAAGCACTGTATCAAGTCTCTTAAATATTAGCTGTGTAAGATTGTTGCATGTCTTGTGTCATGTTTTTCCAACTATTCTCATCTTTAAATATTACTGGACATAACAGCAGGTTTAAGTGCACATTTTTATGTGTATTTTGCATCACTGAAGTTAGTGTGAGCTTAACTTTGTCATACTTTGTTGAGGGAAAGATAGAATACTGTACCAGAAACTCTGTGCTGATGTTGAATAACAGCACAGAGAGGTAAAGGTATCGTACAAAAAATCCTTGTTATTTCTGTGAAGCACACAGTTTTGATTCACTGTGCAGAGCTCATACCAAAGGGAGAATGTCTCATGTTTGATCATGTCTGAGGCTACTAACATGACTGTTGCTATAAAAAATGTTCCGTTTAGTCACACAAGTGAAAAACTATAACCCCCAAACTATAATTGGCTTAAGAAAAGAAGTGAATAAGTAAAAGACATAAAATCTACACAAATTGTCCAGCTTAAATTGAGTTATAATGTAATAAGAGGTCATTGTTAATGTTTATATAGACACTACAGAGCTGAGGTAGATCCACCAGAGCAGCTTCAAGTTCCATTCTGCAAAAGATCGTACTCTCATGCAGCTTTTTTATGAAAGTAGCAATAAAGTGGAATTTGCTTCCCGGTTACTCAAAGTTACAGCAAACATCACCTGTTTTAGGAAAGCCACCAAGTCCTTGTTCATTCAGACTCAAAGCTGTGTATAAGTGGTTTTCTGTAGCCGTCACTGCTAAATGGGTTTCATTGGAGCTTGTGCCGGTTTTCCTTTTTGAATATTTCTATTTACAGCTTTTATTTTCACAAAAGCCCATCTGGGGATGGCATCTACTATGAGCTCTTAAATACCTACACTGGATGACTGTTTCCAGTTTCTCTGTGTTTGTTGTATCTGTCTTTATCAAGAAAACTATAAATACATTATTTGATAGAGCACTCATTGGCATAGATTACGTTTCAATTTAAAAAACTGGAGATAATTCATGCTTGTTAATGTTGTTTTGCAGAGATGTTTTGTATTATGGCTGCTTGGATAATACAAGATTCATTTATGGTAATATATTTGTAAATTAGAAATATAGAGATTGAATGCAAAGCATCTGAAAAAGCACTAAATGAGTTTCAGTTGATAATAAGCTGGTTTATAAGACTTTACTCATGCGCATAACAGTCTGAAACTACAAGTATCGGCAAACCGTGGTGGTGTTTCATCCTGTCATAGAGGTATGCTCAAACCTTTACAAGCCACCAGGTGTCACTGTGTTTGCAGAGATTAAAGCGCACAGGCACAATCACAAGTTTAAATCAGACCCTACGAATCAAAATGTAATAGGCCTCCTACTAGTTAATGTTTTACTGAGAAAGACTGGTAGTTTTCCGGCTTTGATTGGATTTCCAGGTTCAAAAACTCTATTACTAAATATTGACACTTGCTTCCAATGTTAGATTTTTACAATTCTTTTTCAGTGACCTCTTTTGTGAAACTTCTCTGTCCAGGGATGTGAAGTTTATGTCTGCACATCTTTTAACAGGCCTTTAGTGCAGTGGAGGGGCTGAGGACCCACTGTGCCACTGAGATCTCAAAGCTGGAGGAGGTTGTTGGGTCCCATCAAGAGCTGTTAGCTGCCCTGAACAAGACTTACCCCGAACAGGTGCACAAAACAGTTGAACTTAATTGAATCTCTTTAGAAAACCACCAGAATGTGTAGTCTGATTCTTTGCCTTATCTTTTCTGGCACAGGTCGCATTAAACAGGACTTACACCGCTACACTGGATTCTGCTACTGATGTTTTGTCAGCAACCAAAGAGGAACACTCCAGTTTGATGAAAGAGGTATGTTTGATATTACTCCGATAAAAGTGGCAATACAACTGTTTCAAATAACAAACTCTTACAACAGCAGACAGTGTTTTGTCATGTGATCTCATTATTGTTCATTTTCACACATAAGTGCTCTTTGTATCATTCTCCTATGTTGTGTTGAATGCAATAATGCACTTTCTCTGTGCCCTTCTCACAGCTTTGCACAGTCAGAGGCCTGCTGCATAAAGCTACTCCCCTTCTTTTGAAGCTGAATGAGCGAGCAGCTGCTGCTCTGAGAGAGCGGGATGAGTGTATCTTTGAGAGAGACCAAGCTGTGGAAGAGAGAGAGCAGGTTTCTTATCTAGTATTAAACTGGGTTACCTATTTCTCAACAGTTGATTTCTGCTTGTTGCTATAATGATGGCAAATCATGAAAAGGGTTATCACTTTTTTACTCAACAGATTGCAGAAGAATGGAACCAAACTAAATTAAATCTCCAAACTGCCCGAGAAGAAATCAGTGATTTAAATCTGCAGGTGACAATTCTGACCTCAGGTAAAATGAGAAAGTGTAATTTGCTTTGGTTTTACTTTTTTTTCTCTTTAAACCCATTTTCCTGCCTTGCCATCCTGTCAGATTACTGATGCCTTTCTTTGCTATGAAATCAGAAATGGGTGTGCTGCGTCAGAAACTAGCAGAAAGAGACGAAGAGAGGGGTCAGCTGGACAGGAAAGTCACTGAGCTTTCTGCCACTGTTTCCTCTACCTTGGCCTCCTACGCTTTCCTGGAGCAGGCTCTGGCTGCTGAAACCACAAAGTAAAACTCCTCAACCACACTCAATTACTTTAGATAGCACATGTGCCTTTTTTGTTGTGAAGTAAAAAATTAGGTACTTAAAATTGTTGTTGTTTCAGACTGCAGCAGTCGTGGAAGGACATCCAGCTGTCGAAGAACAGAGCCAGCGAGTAAGTGACTCTGATTTTGGTCTACTTATTAGAGGTGATGGTTTGACTTCAGTATGAAATGGGTTGGTGGTTTTGTGTAATACTGTTAACAAAATCGGTGACCAATCTGAAATTTACCTTTATTTTATTTACGGTTGTTGTAAATGCATTTAGTAAAGTCATGTGTCTTCTGTTTCACACAGTATTCTCAGCCACAAACTTATTTGTCCATCTGCCCTCCATGAACCCCCTCACAGTTTCCCATTAGAGGGAAAAATCTATTTACTCTAAGAGTATCCTCTTGTATCTTGTGTTGCTTCTCATTAGATGAGTCTTAGATAAGTACGTAGCTCACAATAATTTTTATTTGTGAAGACCAATTTTTAAACAAGGCGTCAAACACAGAGCCCTAGGCACAAATTGTAGGTTAACGGAGAAAACTGACAACCTCCTTCATGATACTCATATATAGTTAGTTGGTTCTATAGTTAGAACCATTTTAAGAAACAGAGAAAAACAAACTCCCTGCCACATGTCTACAAATACCTTAAACACTGAGGCAACGACTGCTACTGACGGTTTCTGTCTGGTTCTAGGCTGGAGGTGTCACTAACTGAGTCTGAGCAGCGTGTGTGTGAATTGAGTCAGGCTTTGGCTCAAAGTGAGGAGCAGCTCAGTCAGCTGCAGGCCCTCTCACAGTCGCAGAGCATGCAGATCCAGCAGCTCCAGGATGTTTGCACACAACTCAGTGGTGTCCGGGAGGAGAACGAGGTTTGCTTTGTCACATACACCATTTCATCCTTAGACAGCTGCCATGGTAATACAATAAAGAGCTCTCATCTTGTGACCCATTTTTTTGTGTTTGACAGAGAAAAAATGTAGTCCTCCTTTAGATTTTTCATTTGGAGGACATTTGTGAGGAGGAGACTCTTAATGCTTGTATTATTAGAACAGATAGAAATACAGTTTTTGCAAGGGATGAAATGCTTTGTCCCTGCTACATGATTTAAATGATCAAAGTTATGTACTGTTATTTACCCAGTCTGCAGATTTCTGGTTGAACTCTTTTGTTGTCTGTGTCCATGTGTCAGTTCTTACAGATGGAGAGTGAGCTTGCACGAGAGCAGATGGCTGAGAGTGAGCGTGTGCTGATGGCAAACCTGCAGGGGCTACGGGAGAGGAACTTCCAATGTGAGGACCTCAAAGGAGAAATTGTTCAACTTCAGTAAGTTCATCTCCATTTGGCTTAATCACTCCAACTCATCATCTTATGTCATGTGTATTGATGCTTTTATCACACCCTTCCAACAAGCCTTGAATAAAAAAAAACATTTTCAGGTAGAAAGTCATGCAGCTTTATATGAATCAAGTAATTTGTGGACTAAATGATAACTTGTGTCTGTTGCAGGTCTGAGAACAGGAGTTTGCAAGAGGAGCTGGAAAACACAAAGTCTAATGCCAGTACAAACCAGTTGGGTCTGGAAGAGAGACTGGCACAGGCTGTCACTGAAATTACAGTAGTACATCACACACTACGAGGACTGACCAATAAGCTGCACGTGGCTCTAAATGAGAAGGTACCTTATGAAAAACAGCTACAAAATAACCTAATATTCTACACATACCACAGCCTAAATTGTGAAAATTTATTTATCTTAAATTCAGTTCTGAGAGAGTCATTTTATTCATTTACTCATGACTTGGGTTGATGCAAATTACCGATATGGACAGAAACTATCCTAAAAGAAATATTGATATTGTGCTCAAAACGAGTATACAGTAATACAGAGAGTTTATAGTGGTAGCCCTTTGAGCTAGTTGCCACTCCCTCTGAGTGATGATCAGGCATTTTTAAAACTTTCAAAGATGAATTGTGAATCCCTTCCCCCCAAAAAAGTTAAGAGTTTGTGCCTCTTTGGATCACTAATCAACTGAATATGTGAGCATTTAGACTGTTTTTTTTTTTTTTACCTGTTTTCTTTCAGTCATTTAACCTATGATATACACCTCATAATAAAAGCATAATTTTAGAATGAAGGAAATAAGATAACCCATACTCAAGAAACTTAGAAAAAATAAAAGACATTTTGGTGTCAGGGCTGGTGATGTGGAGAACTCATACATTTAAATTTCTTTACAAATAGATGATGATGTGGATGATAAAGCATTTGTTAGTGAAGTTTATGCAGTACTGTGATGCCTCACCCTTGGCTTGCCTTTCCTCATTTTGACTGATTGTGTTGTTTCAAGTTAACTGGACTGTGACACATTTTCATGCAGCTTTATGCTCCTTACTTTTCAGAAACCGGAACTGATGAAGGACAGAGAGTCTCAGCAAGTCCACGGCGTTGACAGCATCATGATTGCGTTAACTGCTGAGAAAGAAGAAGATGACAAACAGGCATCTCCTGGACCAGGTACTGATGCTAACATGCTTATGTCCTCAAGAAACACTTTCACATGCTGCTCCAGCTATTAGACCTCTGAGTGCTGCTTATTTACCATGAATGTTCTCAGGAGACATAAAAGAAATTTGTTATAACTAAATATTTGTTCATATAGTAGTCGGGGAGACACACACTCACTGACTTAAAAACTGACGGCAGTGCTTGTGGTCAGTCTGAATTGCTTCGTGATCCCTCAGCTAATCTGGTTTGAACTCAGCGTAAACACTCGCACTGCAGTTTATTTAATCTGATTTTGTGCAATCAAATGATTTTGTTTAACAGATGCAAATAGGATCTGTGAGCACTGATGCATAGAAATTCACCTGTTACAGCTGCTGACCTAAATAACTACATACACTGTTCAGCAGACCTGTGTGCTACTTAGACTTTACTATTAAAAAAGACAGATGAAGAAATTATCTGCAAATTTTGCAAATATAACTCTGGTGACCCTGCTTTTAAAGGTAGGGCGTATTTTTTAAGACGTGCTCTCAGCCCTCATGGTTAAATTTTCTGCTCATCCCGTCAAGTTACCACATCTCTGAACAAAACTGAGCGGATCTAAATTGAAAACTAGGCACTGACGGGAAAAACTTTGGATGAAGCCAAGAAAAGGTTCTACTTCCATCTTCTGACTTTTGACAATCAGCTACGTTGTGGTTCACTGTCTCCTCAGACACCTCAGACATGCCCGAGCCCCAGCGTGAGACTTTGTTCAGCGAGACAAGTGCCTTCACCCGCATCACAGCAGTAACACCTAAAAAGGGTTTAAACACAGTCGAACTTGAGTCCGAGGAGAACGAGCAGAGCAGCGAGGCGGAGCTGCTTGCTAGCCTGAGCAGCACAGTCACAGAGCTCATCAGCAACCTGAAGCTGATAAAAGAGCGTAAAGACGCTGAGTTGAAGGAGTTGCACTCCACTGTGTAAGTATACTGCTGTAAAGTTGCTGCATTAGGCTGTGGTGAGAGTGATCTTTTTTCCTTTTGGAACCCCTGTCCCTGTTTATTTTAGGTGGAGCAAACATTTGCTGACAGTTGTAAATTTTGGAGTTTTATGGATATGTACATTGACTCCTTACAATCAGAGTAAAATAAAGGACCAAGACAAGTTTTAGGAGCTATGGTGCAGCTCTCATATTGAATGTTTTTGTTAAAATGATTTGTCCAAAACCTCACATTGAAAGTGAAAAGAGAATAACTCACAATTTTGAACCTTAAAAAGTACGTTTTTGCATTTTTGCTCCACAAGTGGAAAAAAAAGTCAAAATTGAACAGTCAAAATAAGAATAAGAAGTCTCACTATTATCTGAAGCATGATCAGATGACATGCTGTAACTGTGAGCCTCCATCAGAACAAAGGGACTGAATTGCATCTTTTGTTTGAAGATTTATATTTATGACTCAAAAGTGCAGAAGTTATGTGAAACTTTAACCCATGTTTGTAGTTGTGTCGTTAAACATTTACATTTATGTTGTTCCAGCTGTGTCCTGCAGGGGGAGCAGCAGGCTGCAAACAGCAGGCATGAGGCCGAGTTGTTTGAGCTGAAGCGTCAACTTCATCGTCTGAATAGCCTTGTTGAGAAGGGCAACCAGGCCCTACAGCAGAAAGCTCAGGTCATGACACTGCACATCCTATTGTTGTTTTTGTTTAACATTAATGTTGGAAAGACTTCAAAGGATCAAAGGAGGACGCTGGCAGAGTGGGAGAAAAGCACTGAAACGTATCATTAAACCTTTTTTTTCTTTTTTCAAAACAGGATGAGGATACGGTGATGAAGTTGATGTCAGACGTTCAAGAAGCCCAGGAAATTCTGAATAAACACAAGACTGAAAACAATGTAAGAAAAATATCCATCAACTTGTATCCATTAACGTAAGTCATTTGGCATAATATAATTGTTTTTTTTACTATATTAATTTTTGTAGGAATTGCAAAAGGAGGTTGTGGAGCTTCGTCGTTCTCTCCAGTATTCAAAGGTGGAATCTAAGTTCCTACGGGAAGAGTTGAAAAAAGTTGGAGGCCAATCAGCTAACCCCACAAATGTCATGGAGGAGAAAATCCAGATACTAAAAGAGGTATTACATTCATATCTTTAGTCTGAAAGTTGACAAATACAGTGTATTTATAGCCTTGAACTCTTTAGGCTATAAATACAAAAACACCAGGGATTCTATGCTAATTTTACTCTGACGCTTCTCTTTGATTCCATCCGTAGGTGGAGAGACTAAAGCTGAAACTGCAGGAAGTGGAGCAGTCCAGAGTTAAACTGCTAGACAGGGCAAAAAGACATGTAAGTCTCTTTAAACACTGAGGTAGTTAATTATTTAGCTTCCCCTATATCAGCAAAATAAAAAAGCTTTCTGATTATGAAGATAGTCGTAAGCTGAAAACAGTCATTTTTATTTCCCAGCAAATCATTCATCAGACCAACCAGCAAAAAAGTGAGAATGAACTTCAGATGCTGAGTAACCTGGTTAATAGAGTAAGAGAGGTAAGAGATGCTTCATCCTCCATCTCTAATAAATACTGTACTTGTGCCATTGTTTTTTGTGTTACGAGTGTTTTTCTTTTCACAGACCTTGCTGTCTTTGCCAGAGGTGGTGAAGAAATCTGAGCAACTCCAGCAGCTTGTTGAATACATTGGCTGACACTTTTATTATTGTTGTTTTCTTTCTCTGGATATATTTATGTCTGTTATGTTTTAGTTCATCCTGATTGAACTGTTCTAGTATATTAAATGTTCTAAATCTACATGATCGTCTTTGTTTCGAGTCTTTGGGTGCAGAGGCAGCAATACAATTCTGTTTTCACAATATTCGTCTGGTATACACAAGAAAATATTTTACTATAAACTCACTAACACTGAACACAATGTGATGAGAACAGAAGTGCATTCAAAAGGAAGAAATAAGTTCGACTCAAATATCTAAGACTTTTTCTATGTACACAAAAGACCCTTTTCATTCATATATTGTTGACAAATTTGTCTAAATCTGTGTTAGTGAACACTCCTCCTTTGCCAAGATAATCCATCCACTTCACAGGAGCATGTTTGGGATGCTCTGGGAAGGCGTTTACGACAGCATGTTCCAGTTCCTGCCAATATCCAGCAACTTCGCACAGCCATTGAAGAGGAGTAGACCGACACTCCACAGGCCTTGATCAACAACCTGATCAATTCTATGGGAAGAGATGTGTTGCGTGAGGCAAATGGTGGTCACACCAGATACTGACTGGTTTTCTAACCCCTCGGGATGCCCCCAATACAGTAAAAGTGCACCTTTTCGAGTGGCCTTTTTTTGTGGCCAGTCTAAGGCAAACATGCAATAATCATGCGGTCTAATCAGTGGAAGTGAATGCGGCATAGGCACCAGAAAGTAGAGTTTAATTTTTATACACAAGGTTATTTTCCGTTTCCGTGTTCTGTTGACGTCAATCAGATATTAATTTATGTACATATTTATCTTTAGTGTTTATCATAAATTGATAATTTGCTTTCTTGAAGATAAAATTTGCCATCTGCTGATTTCTGCAATCATAATTTAAGATAGATTTGAAGATTTAGCAGCACTCGAGAAACCAGCACCCTTTCATCTGAGGATAATTTCTCATCAAAAGACATCGAGCCCTACCTGTCAGCAGAGCTCCCCTTTTGATAGAAAAACCAAGTGTCTTCATTAAAACTAAGCCTTTTCTTACGAGTCTCTTCTTGTCAGATATGCAGACCTTAAGTAGGGAAAACCAAATTCCCACAACTGAACTTCACGGGCTGAAATATCCAGTTACAAGTCAATTCATTTAGTTGATTAGTGGATCTGTGTGGTAGATTAACTGTGTTTGTCTGTCTGTCTGAGTGCTGTGTTGATGTCTGGACATGATAACTGAGGCTGGTCACCGTGAAAACTGGCTCCAGACAACACTTCAAACCAGCTGAGCTGAAACGGCAAAGAAAGCAGAGCAAGCACAAAAGAGGTATGTTGGAAAGCACTGTTTTCACTGTGGTATGTACTGCCATCTGTTTCACATATATATTTTTTTAATAATTATTTAAGTATTCTGACAAATATGTTCGTTTTCTTTAAGGAAAAACAAAAGATATATATTATGAAATACTTTGGGCTAGATGCATAAATTATAAAAGTCATTTACATCAATAATTTAAATTGAAAACAGGATGTGCAATGTAGTTCCGTTTATTTTCAAAATGCAACCTGATCTGCATTTTCATTTGGCAACAAAATACATGCAAATGTTCGAAAGCTGATTTTCTTCATACAAGCACTTCTGCAAAGCCTATGACAATAAAACACAATAATTTATAACAAAGAGTTCAAAGTACTGCATAAACTCACCAGTAATGTACATGTTAAACTTGCACATTCAATCCAGGACAAAAAAAGCTTTAAACCACAAACAGATAAATTTTACACTCCTATCTGCTTTTAAGAGCCATGACATTCAAACCCCTATTAAAAGTTACGTTAACCAAAAGTTGTCACGAAAGTGTCATGTAAGGTTAGGTCATTGGATCACAGTTGTTGTCAGGAGACATGTTTTCCAGCAGTCTTTTCAGTTCTGTCTTTAAAAATGTCATAAACAGAGAGCTTGTCTGTTCAGACGGTAGTAAGACACTGGTTGAGATACTCAGCTGCTCAGATGGCAGACACAAACTTGTCCATGTTCCCGGGGTATGAGGGGTGTCTCAGGTAGCCCCCGGTGCTGGAGATAGGACCTGCAGCGCTGTTATACTGGGGGAACGAACCCAGCTGCACAGGGGAGACCTTGTCATAATGATCCACGGGCTCTGCAGACCCATGAACAGAGGAATGGAGGCGCCCTGTTGCCACATACCCCTGGGAATGGTTCTGTCCATATGAGCCCTGGTGGGGGTGATGGTGGTGTGGGTGGCCATTGGGATTGGAGTAGGTGAACCCAGGATGCGTGGAGGATCGGGATGTAACAGCTCCACATGGTTGGCTTTGAAAAGCAGAGGCTCCCAGGCTGCAGGGGTTGGATCCGTTTGGAAGCCCCTCAGGACTGAAGCTTCGGCTCGTCTGCTGCATCACCTCTGACCCTTGACTTCCTAGCATGCTGGCTGAAGTTGGGTGCCCTATGAGGTTGTTGATACTGAACATGCGTGGGTCTGACCGGGGGCCAAAACCAGGCGGAGAAGAAGAGGGGTAGTATGGTGATGGCAGCTGCTGCCCGTAGGTGGGACTCACCGTCATGTTGGGGTAGACGGTGTTGGCATACGCGGCTGATCTGGCAATCTGGACAGGAGAAAAAACTGGTGTCTCATGGACATAAGAGTTGTAAGTGCTGAAGTCACAGCGCTTGAACCTCTTCCTGCGTCTAAGGAAGCTGCCGCTCTCAAACATGTCCTCTGCATTTGGGTCCAAAGCCCAGTAGTTGCCCTTCCCAGGCCGGCCTGGCTCTCGAGGGATCTTGATGAAGCAATCATTGAGGGTTAGGTTGTGGCGGATGGAGTTCTGCCATTTCTTTGAATTGTCTCTGTAGAAAGGGAAACGCTCTGTGATGAACTTGTAGATGCCACCCAATGTTAGCTTGCGATCAGGGGAATTGGCAATGGCCATAGAGATGAGTGCGATGTAGCTGTAAGGGGGTTTCCCTCGCTGGATCGGTCTCTTTCTTCTGCGACCCTTAGGCTGCTCCTCGGTCTGTGGAGGAGGGTTGGAGGTGGACAAGGTGGTGTCCGCTGGAGAGTCTTTTTCCACTTTGACCACAGGCATTGTCATTGGTATAAAGTGTCTCTTGAAAGACAAGGTTATACTGGAATTTACTGTAGGTGCTGCACAGTAAAAGTACTTCCAAAGTTCTGTTGAAGGTTTGCACTGTCCGAGTAAATAGGTAAATCCTTCACAACAGATGACAAAACAAAAGATCTTCCAAGTGATCACATTTGTTTCTAAAAACTCACAGTTTTAGAGTCCAAATCCAGCAGTTCTTCAAATGCAGAAGAAGAAATCTCCTGAAGAGCATTCAGCCTATTCCCACAGTTTGTTATCAGGTTAAGAAGTGGAGGTTTGTGAGCGCCATGCATGTAGTTTAAGGTGTGTGTTAGTTAGAATGAGTCACTCAGCTTTACCTGAGGAGTGTATTACCTCCACTGAGCACCTGAGGGGCCACACCCCCTTCAAGCATCACATGCTCTCAACATACCTGAGCTTCAGAAGGGTCTATTGTTCATGTTTGACCAAGTCTGCATGCTTTGGAAAATTCTATTTTGAGGGATTTGGTATATTCTAAGTGTGTCTGTGATAAATGTATGATGTCTTGTTATGGTGGGGTAACTCTCCCACTGAAATTAAAACCTACTTATGTGTTCAGATGTTAAATTAAAGCTTCATCTGTTGTCAGTCTAGAAATAGACACTGAAATCAAAGCTCTCACAGCTTGTTTAACACATTCAAGTTTCTTTGGTGCAATGAACTTGCTGTTATAAGAAATAATCTGTGCTGGCAATTTTATTAGTTTTATAGACTAAAACTGTCAAAATAAACATGGTCTCCTCTTAATATTCAAATTCCCCTTTAGCCAACCTCAGTTTATTTTAAAAAGTCCAAAATGGTCTCTGTTGTTTTGACGCTTAACACTAAAAGACCTCTTTAGTGGTAACTTAACCTACGGGTTGTTTTTCTATCTTGCTTCCTTGTTTGTTTTGTGCCAGTGGTTGGACCAGCCAGCTGTGTTAAGAGATGTAAATGTTCGCCAGACAAAGGCCAGCCTGTGATTTCAGCATGCAAAATATAGGCCATCATCATAATCCCTGGACGCAACCCGAGAGACAGGAATAACCAACCCTCAGCATGAAAATCCTTTATTGTTTGGATTGGTTTTGATTGTGATCGTCTTAAAGAAACTGTAGGTGCCTCTTGCTGGACATGTTTTATTAGTGATATTTTTTCTGTGTGTTAATAAAGCTTCAAGCATTTAATTTAGAACAAACTGATTATCTTCAAACTGAAATCTTAGATTTTTACTTTTAACACTAGTGTATATCACTTGAAGCAGTGACAGATGTTGCTTATACTGGTGGTATGCAGTGCGGGGACTCCGCAGGCCCGGGGTTCACCACCTTAATCTCTTAAACAAACAGAGAGGAAAACACGGCAGCACACTCCCACCGCTCAACACCAGGCTGGGTGAACAGCACGGGTATGTGTCAGAGCGAGAGCGCAGGTTTGCTCATACAAACCCTCTGATGAAAAGCTTTAGTCCCAGCAACAGTCCCCAGAGAGGATATGATCTGTGGTTATCCTGCTGGACCTGTAACACCCTGTTACACGATGGAGTTGGTTGTTTGATGAGATCATGAGCTGCTTTAGGTTAACATGAGATTTTTATGCTCCACTTCAGTTGTATTGAATAAGACTTTTCAGACTGTGCTTCGTGCACACAATCCAAAATAAAAGAGGGAAAAAAGATTAAGATATGAGACCTGACAGATGATAAAAAGTCCAAGTTTTAAAGGTTTAGTAGAATTTTGTAAATAGAGAGGATATTTCTTCCTTGAAAAAGCAGCACTTGTAATGATTTGAACTTTATCAGACAGTGAGGGAAACGTTTGTTTAGGAGTAAGCACTGCAGTGGTACTTGATGTTATTTCTGTCTTGATGGTTAGAAAGACAATATTTTTACCTGATGGCATTGAGATATTAAAATGTTTTTATAGCCTTAATCTGTGTTTGATTAATATTCACTCAGATATTTTTGAAACCGCTGCTGTTGTCATTATGTGTTTTTTTTGGAGATAATTTATGCAGATTATCGCAGTATGCAAATATTTCAATGCTTAAAAAGAGGGACAAATTTTCAGCCTATTTGTCACTTAAACACATTTATCCGACCATAGTTTTTTAAATCTTTGAATAGTACTATATGAATATTGGTAATTCATGTTTAGATTAATGCTAAATTTCTACTGTTTTTTAGTGAATATGGAAATATTTTAATTTTGAAAAAGAAAAAAAAAATACACAATTTAATCCATAAATACATGTAAATCAAAAGGGATACCATTTTCTTTAGTTGGCTGTTAGAGACTTTATCAATTTTAAAGTTTGGGTTTTTAATACATTTAAAAAAAAAAATAAAAAAAAAATGCACTTTTAGTGTCTGTCATGTTAAATAATGATAAAAAATTTTAACATTTTTTGACAACACAGAGAAAAAAAGAAACAAGAAACAAACTTTTTTTTTTAAACAGATTATAGAAAAGATGTTAGCTCTTGAAGGAATAATAACTCTTGCAGAGGCTGGTATTTTAAAATAAATTCAATGCCAAATCAATAAAAACAACCAAAATATGAAAAAACAATAAATCAAAGAAGACTGTTGAAAATGCAAACACTTTTTATGCTCAGTCTTAATTGAAAAAGGAGTGATGGTGTTTCAAAACTGCAACAAATACAGGCAAAGAGTTTGGGCGTGCAGAAAACCAACGGACAGTTAATATTTTATTTACATTAAGTGCAATTATTTCGCATTGAATCAATTAAAACTTGATCTTGTCATCTTTACACAATAAATTTGAGTTTTGTTTTAAGAAGCAGTGCAAACACAGAGGATGTATTTTCATTAGTTAATGGAGTTCTATCCACATGACTGTGCTGATGTGTTTGATGTGTGGTTACTTTGCTTCATCTTGTGACATGTGATGGACATGCAGTGTAGTTTGCAGTGGACCTCACCCTTTGCCTAAGACAGCTTCGTATGCTTTATGGCTGTGAACAATTAGTGGTGAGTAATTTCTCAGGTAGCCGTTGTTGTTGGAGCTCAGGTTCATAGTTGCCATAGTTTGCTCATGCATCACAAATTGGCAGAGCTACAGAATTTTCTGTTAATATTTGTTCATGAGCCTTTTATCTCTGTGTTTGTGCTGGTGGATTAAAAATTTGACTTGGGCTGCTGAAAGGTGACTCTACTGTCAACATTTGTGAGCAAGAACATTTTATAACGTGTTGATGTGCTTTGACGCAAAGGCTTTTGGGTCAATGCAGAATGGGCTGTGTTTGACCTGGAAGAGAGTTTTCACAAAGAAATAAAAAAAAAAAACTTCAAACATCTTTTTATTTTTTAATGACTCCTCCCTTTACTGGAAATTTTTTATTGTTCAAAATAAACACATGCCACTTATATTGTCAAACCAACCTGCTTGCATTGATCCAAATCTGTAGTTTCTTTTAGCTTTTAGCATTTTAGCTACTTCCAGCTTATTTTTTTTACAGGGAGAACCAGATTTTTTCCCCACATGAAGACTAGCACAGAGCCACAAGTAGAGTGAATATTTGATGTACATTTATCAGATGGGTTAGAAGACAGGTCCCTTTAAAGGATTTGCCCTCATGCATACACAATAAAAGCAAAAACTCAACAGTAAAGCAGCACTTTTTCCCCCTCTCTGTTTTCTTTTTTTCATTCAGGATCTTTTATGCTCTAATTTTTTTAATCTTGTGCTGCAAACAGAGTTAACTTTTTGAAGCGCACTTGAGTTAGCAGCACTCAATCGTATGTTCGGGCCTCTGTAGCGAAGGGCCCTAAAGCTATGCATTGATGCTGCCGTGACAGAGCCTCCACTTGTTGCTCACAGCACGCCGTAGGGACATAAATGACAGCTGGAGGCCAGCACAGCTGCGGAGGAGCGCAGAGCTGCAGCCAAGGCAAATGAAGAGCTCCTCACTTTGTGTCTCATGTATACTTTTGGCTGTGCCAGAGAGAAACGGCTCTCTCCAAACAAAGACAAACAAATTAGACATTTGAATTTGAACACTTGGCTTTAACCATGTGATGGCTACACGTTTACAAGAGGTGAACGGCTTGAGGGCAAATACTAGATAAAAACAGGGTGCACCTGCAAACATGTTCGATAAAAGGTAAAAACACATTGGTTTTTAGTTTTATGTTTAATTTTAAAAAGTTAATCTTCATTTAGAGAAATGGATTGATTCTTTTTCCTCAATTTTGTTTTTGTGATATGTATCTGAACATGCTGAAACTTTTAAAGGCATATATGGAAGAAAATCTCTTTAATGAAAATTAAGAAACTCAGGAAATGATCAAAGTCTTACAGATGAATAATTAAAAGAAATAACAGGAGGGAAACGTTCAAGTGCATGTTTGTTTGTGTTGAAGGGTACTGTCAAAGTTAGTGAATCATTCACCAGAAGAGCTTCAGGGGCCATCGTAAAAGTAAGAGTAATTTTTAATTTCACACCTCACTCTCTGATATAGCCAACATCAACAAATTCATCACTTTGTCAGGAGAAAAGAAATAAATCAACTCTAATTTGCATACTGCGTTTATTCACGTTTTTGTACGAGCACATACACACACACACACACACACACACACACACATTGATTTAACGGCAGGCTCCCCTGGCACTGCAGCGCTTCAGTTATGTAAACTGGCCCGGGTTTGGAGCAAGTCAACCGTCAGGACTTTGCATCCTCACCAAGTCCCTGCAGCTGCAAATGCAAACATGAAGCCCTCACTTGCACCACATTGGCCTGACTGGGTCAGGAAACACACACACCCACACACCAGAGATAGAAGTTTTAACAGCAATAAAACACTCCATCTGATAACATGACATCCACAGCTTAAAAATGAAAAGTATTTTGCAGGTTATTTCAAATACTTATCAAGGTGTCTTAGATGACAAATTATGCATTTGAATGAATACAGCCAAATATTTTATAGGCAACAAAAACAAAAGTTTATAGCTGC